AGTGGCGCTAGGACCAACAACCTGCTCGCAGCCTAGGGACTGAGAGAGTGAGACAGTAAATAAAATAAGAAACTGGAAATGGAGAGAGATAAGGGCAGAAGCGGGTAGGTGGGTTGCTGGGCAGCAGGTCCCCCCTCCTCCACCTCCACCTCCCCTCCGGCCCAGAGGCCTTGGCATCCAGTGAGTAACACCCCCCTCCTTCCCGTCTCTTCCCTTTCCCCCCCTTTCGCATCACCACCCCCCACCTGTTCAGATCCACGGTGCAGTGAGTGGCGATCAGCATGCTGTGAACACAAAGCAGCGGCCCTGCGGCCCTCCGCCTGGACCTCAGTGTCAGGACCCAGCCGAGCTCAGAAAGAGAGAGCATTAGAGAGCATGAGAGAGAGAGGGAATGGATAGCAGCGAAATGCAGAATAATTATACCCAGTGGGTAATGTGAGCACCGTCGTTACAGGGGCGGTGTGGTTGGGCCAGGGAGGAAAAAAGACAAAGAGGCAGGAGCGTCACCGGGGCGAGCTCTTAGGGCCAGTGGGCATGTTTGGTAAAGCACACTCACAGACCTCCCACTGCACGGCTGAAGCTCCGTCTGTGGAAGCGCTGCAGGAGATCATCTGGATACTGGCGAGCAGGAACGCACAGGGGATGAAACACTGCTGCTGTGGTCCTGCATTCTAAGTACAGATCACGTGTGAACATGTCATGAGAAGATGAGGGAGAAATCTCATATTTTATAGGGCAGGAAAACAGAAAAGTGTGGTAATATTCCAGGTAGATATAACCAACCTGAGTGCAGAACAGGAAATCATTTTATTCAGTTTACAGTCCATGATAGACATATTTTTTCCACTTATCCTACCAAATTCCCTTTAACTGTGTTAAAGTTTAAACCCTTTTCCCAACACAAAACAATCAAAAGAAGAAGGAGCTTTTATATGACTATTTACTTAAACTAATTTTAAAATATGCTAAACAAGTCAACAACACATTGTCTGATAAATTCAATTCATAAATCATCAAAGGATCAATCTGGGGCATTAAAAACTTCTGAATTTTAATGTTAACAGCCGTTAAAAAATAAACCGCTGAATAAAGTAAAAGCACATTTAACAAGAATAAGTTTCTTTTCTCTCTTATCACTTTGTACACTCTGTCTTTTCAGTGACAATTTCGCAGAGTGCTCCAGGAAGGCTTTGCGCTCTGCACAGGGGTGTCAAATAAAAAGCAGAATTCACTTAACAGACCTGTGCGACAGCATTACAGAGAAAGACATGATGAGCTCTCGTGCGACGAGCTCTCGCATGCAAACTGTAGCCAGACATCAGGACACTTTCAGATAATGATGCACGAGGACAAAAATGTCCTCATTATTTTGATGTTGGCTCAGCCCTCCAAAATTATTTAATACTGTGGAAATCTAAACTTTGGAGTGGAATAAATGTACGACTACTTTTTCCTTCTCCTTGTAAAAAGTACAACTATACAAGGCATAGATTGTGAATGTTTTATTTCAGACCCTAGAGTTAACGTGTATAAAATCTAAGAGGGTTTCATATTTCTAAATAATGTTATATTAGATATCTTAATTTAAATGAATGAATAAATGGGATCATTCTTTTTATTAACTTTAGACTCATGCCTATAATTCAACTTTGATTTATTTAAGAGTTAGAATTCATAAATCAAGTTTAAGCAGGTCTATTAAAAATATTTTTTACTTTTTTACCATTTTAGTTTGTCTAAAATGTGTAAATAGTTACATTAAATACTTGTTTTTTTTATTTAACAGAATTAAGATATGACTTTAATGTCTAAAATAACTCGAGATGATTTTCATCATATTTTTTCTTTAATTGTGTATATCTATTTAGATTGCCTTCTTTTTCAAGCAGTGCTTTAAACACAGAGAGGATAGCTGCTTTAATCTCCCCTCTGTACCATTCTCAAAGTTGATCTTAATGTTTTTAATTTCACCCTGCAGAGTCATGAATAAATAAACAACAGGATGCGCGTTCCTGTCATAGACGCCTTTGCTGGATCTGACATGTTTTGTTCTATCAGATCCTTTCTTGTTTCTTGTGACAAGCATTGGCTTGTTTTTATCCCTCAGGAGTTGATCAATCATTTAATCTTTTTAATAGGCCCAAATCAAAACTAATGGTGCATGTAATAAGTGTTTAACTAAACAATGTGGACAGTGGGGGGCTTAAGTGGAGCCTAAATGATTTTCTCATAACTGAGGATGACAGCTCTAATGAATTTAGGGCTCACAAACAAACTTTTTGACAAGTAATATGCAATGTTTGCCTCCAACATTGCCTGCATTGCCAACACTGCATGTACTTTGCTCTTGCCACAAGTGTTGTGTTTATTAATACATTAATGCCAATATATTTGCATTTTTATAAAGTGTATTAAAAGCATTTCTCTAATCCAAGATAATTCATTTCAGTCACAGGGGAATTCGTCAACCACTTATTCAGAGTGGAAACTAATGTGAGGGATTTAGTGCCACCTTGTGTTGGCTGTGAAGGAGACACTGATTAAAACAGGCTGAAGAACTGTGAAAGAATTTCTTTAGTGATAAATGTGGACTAAAAATGTGTGTCTTTATAAACTCTAGTGGACAATGTTATTCAGTATTAGTTGTTCTTTGTTAATATTTTAGTTTTAGGACATTAATATTTGCTACTTGATGTTTACCAGCCTTTAAATAGTCCCTGTTGCTTGAGTTAAGCTATTTAATACATAGTATTTAAATATAACTTAACATTGATTAATAACTTGTCTGAAAAATTTCACAGAGCAATGAAGTCAAAGGCCAATAAGAGGAGACAGACCTAGTAAGTTGGCCTAATCGATGGTTTCTATTGAAAAAATCTCGAAGTGCTTCACTATAGTTATTTTTAATACATTTTAAACGGATAAATAGGGGGTGGAAATGTGTTTTTTAAAAGCAAGTTCTTTATTTTTGTCGTCCAAAGAGCAACACTGACATCTGCTGTCCTCATTCACGAACCACTTGATCCGTTCAGGAAACCAGATTTGTACTGCGCATGCATACGTCACTTCCTCAACTAGCCATCTTTGCGACCGTTTACGACAGCTTCGACATCAGGTTGCAGATAAAAAGCAGTTTAAAGTCTTATACTTTATATTTTTGTCCTCCTTTTCTTTAACTATTACATTTAGAGCTGTTTTACAGTCATAACCTTCCAGCTCTAATGTGTTTCTCCTTACTCCTTAAATGTTTGTTTTAAATTGTTAAGGACATTAGATACAGAGTTATACAGTAATGAAGGGCATGACTCTGTATTTCAACACAGTGGACTTAAAAAGTGGAGAGAAGCTGAAAACTAGAAAGCAGGTCTCAAATGGCAGATTTATCATTTTTAATGTTATTGTTTTGCATTCAATGAAGTAATACAAACAAAAATACCAGAAACAAAGTTACTAAACTTGAATAAACCTTATATCAATAATACAGACCAGACTAACTTTGGCACAGTAAGATTATGACAAGACATTTTTGTGGTTTCTCAAATTGATTAGAATTTAAAAAAAAAAGAAAGTGGATGATTGGATCAGAAAAACAAGGGGAAAAAATGAAAGTTATACTCCATATACTCAATCAGCATGTGAGCCTGTCGAGGTTTTTTTTAATTTGAAAAACTCTTAATAATTATAAATAATTCCTGCAATTTTAATAGGGCTCTTGCCCACTGCTTGCAGCATTGGCTCCGGCCCTTATAACACCAAACACAGCCAAAGGTTTAATCATTCATTTGTTCATAGATATTTGAGACCTAGATCATCTTTTCTGACAGTCATGCAAAAATAAGTGCAAACAGATCTTCAGCACAAATTCAATAAAACTTTTCACTTATTTAAGTTTTTACTCTTCTAAAAGACATCACAGCAAAAAATAACTCCTTGATTTGTGAAGAAACCTGAGAGCCTCTCTGAGTTCTCACCACAGTCCAGTTTGACATCCTCAGCACAGATCCAGGACCACACAGATCTTTGTTTATTTTATTTCTTTGATACAAGAAAGATCTTTAGCCCCCCTTTGAGGTACTTGCTACACTTTCTGATAGATGGGTTGGAGATTGAGCTGCCTATTAAAGGAGAGGGGAACTGCTCTCAAGGGAGGAAAATGTGTCCAAGGGAGGAAAATGTGTCGTGTAATCTCAATTTAGACTCATTTTGGTTGATCTTGGAAAAAGTTTGTAGTTTTTAATGGAACCTATATGTGTGCACTTTACTGTAAATAAAAAAAAATAAATAAACTTCTGGGAAAACAGCCATCTGTCAAGTTGCCTTCCTACCAAATTCCTGGACCCTTGAGCCAAAGCTACTTTACAAAGGCCCTGAAGAGCTGAGCCAACAACACAACCACCAGAGGGGGGGACCCACAAGTTTATGAATAAAAAACACACAAACACAACGTGACTCTGTGTCCAGGTCTGGTTGAATTTTAAAGTCAAGTGAAAGAGGAAACAAACACGTGACTCTTGTGTGTCCATGTGGCTCAGGGGTTAAGGAGACTGACTGGCACTCCTGAGGTTGTGGGTTCAAGCCTGACCTTACTCAGGTTGAGGTGAATTTTTAAGCCTAGTGCCTTACAAAGGACACTCAAATAGGACAAAACTGGAATTGTTCAGTGTGTCCAGTGTGGCTCAGTGGATAAGGAGACGGACTGGCACTCCTGAGGTCGTGGGTTCAAATCTTGTACAGGACGCATTTTAAAGTCCACCAGCCAGAGTTCCAAGATAAAAGGGCACGAAGCTCATCCACAAGTGCGGACGGTATCCGGTGGCGCAGGGGGTATGCAACTGACACCCAAATACCAAATGCTGGTCAGGCGGGCAGCCCTAGTTCGAATACCCACACGACACGCAGGAGATCCTGAAGCAAATCCTGGGGAACCAGGCCCGGGGGGAGGTTTCCCCCTGGTGTGTCTGGAGCGGTAAAACGGGGGGGTTATGAAGCAAGAAGTCAGAGGCGGGTGAAATTTTGAAGCAAGTGACTAGATCTATAATACTTTTTCTTTTATCTGTATTATAGATCTAGTCACTTGCTTCAAAACTTCACCCGGCTCTGACTTCTTGCCTCATAACCCCCTCGATTTACCTCTCCGGAAACACCGGGGGGAAACCCCACCCCCCAGGCCTGGTTCCCCAGGATTTGCTTCAGGATCTCCTGCGTGCCGTGTGGGTATCGAACTTTTGTCCTATTTGAGTGTCCTTTGTAAGGCACTAGGCTTAAAAATTCACGTCAACCTGGGTAAGGTCAGGGTTGAACCCACGACCTCAGGAGTGCCAGTCTGTCTCCTTATCCACTGAGCCACACTGGACACACTGAACAATTCCAGTTTTGTCTTATTTGAGTGTCCTTTGTAAGGCACTAGGCTTAAAAATTCACGTCAACCTGGGTAAGGTCAGGCTTGAACCCACGACCTAAGGAGTGCCAGTCCGTCGCCTTACCCACTGAGCCACACTGGACACGCTGAACAATTCCAGTTTTGTCCTATTTGAGTGTCCTTAGTAAGGCACTAGGCTTTAAAATTCACGTCAACCTGGGTAAGGTCAGGGCTTGAACCCACGACCTCAGGTAGTGCCAGTCTGTCTCCTTATCCACTGAGCCACACTGGACACACTGAACAATTCCAGTGTTTGTCTTATTTGAGTGTCCTTTTTGAAGGCACTAGACTTTAAATTTTACCTCAGCCTGGATAAGGCTAAATCCCGCATCCTCAGGAGTCCCAGTCAGACTTCTTATCCTCTAAACCACGATGACACTCAGGAGAATTGTGTTTGTTTCCTATTTTACTCTCCTTTGTAGACACTAGCCTTTAAAATTCAACCAGACCTGGTTCTGATTAAAATAAAGAGACACAGAGTCACGTTGTGTTTGTGTTTTTTTATTTCATAATTTTGTGGGTATAGTATGAAAGAAAGTCACACTATATTTAAAAAAAATTCAAAGTATAGTATGATATAATTATCAAAGTATAGGATAAAAATATCATTTAGTCTAGTATGTTAAAAAATCATTGTTAAGTATTTGAAAATCTTACAGTGTGGTATGTTAAAAATATTATAGTATAGTATAAACAAAAAAATCATATTATAGTATGAAAAAAAGAATCATAGTTAAGTATGATAAAAATATAACAGTATAGTATCCTATGTTAAAATACCATAGTTCAGTGTGATAAAAATGTCATAGTATAGTATGATAAAATGTTATAGTATAGAATGTTTAAAGAAGTTATAGATAGGTATAATCAAATATATTATAGTATGATAAAAATGTCATGATATCTTTAATGAAATATCATATAATATGAAAAAAATGTCATAGTATAGTATGATAAAAGAAAATCATAGTAAAGTATGACATATATATCATAGCATAGCATGATAAATGTCATAACATAGAACGAAAAAAACGTTATAGTATAGTTTAATACAGAGATTATATGATAGTATGAAATTCATTTTATGGTATAGTATGATAAAAATGTCACAGTATAGTTTGATAAAAACCTCATATTGTTGTACGAAAAATGACATTGTATAGTATCTTTTTAAAAAGTCATAGTTTCGTTTGTAAAAGTTATCTTATTGTAGTGTAAAAAGCTCAAGACCTCTGTTGTATAAAAGAAATAAAATAAAACTGCTAACTTCACTGCCTGTACCTAATGAAACTACAGTCATCACAACCACTTCTGCCTGTCTGCTGTCTTCCGCTTATCGAATTCAGAAAATACTTCCGTCCACACCACCCAACAGATAGTAAAAGATTTTTCATTTTATACCCTACCTTATAGCAAGTTTGCAGCAGGATAATAAAGATTTATTTATTTTTTTAGCAAAAAATACACAACAGCCCGAATGGACCCCCGGCTCAGCAGAAAAGACACCCCTGCGTCGATTGTTTGGTTCAGTCCACGGCCTCGTACCCGGAAGTAGTAGTGGTTGTTTACATGGTCAGCTGACATACGTTCACCTGACAGTGATTAGAAAAACCTAACACACTTCTTTAATGTATCCAGCTTTGACAGTCATCGACTACTAAAGTTATAAGCTGCGTTGATGACTTGATTTCTCTCTTGTTAAGTTAGCTGTCCCACAGCAGCTGCTGTTTCAACAGGATTTATAAAAATGGACAAGATTGCTCAAGGTAAGTCCTGCTTTTTCAGTGTCTCGGTGCTCTTAATATATATCTCAATGATTAATGTAAATTTAAAGAAACTGTTGTGTTGTGGATCAATGTAAACAGTAGCTGGCATGACTTGTAGGTCAACTGGTGTTTACTAATAAAGCAAATTTAAGCATGCAAGCTCAATATTACGTTTAAAAGTACGTACAAACTATCAAACTATTGTTAAGAATCGGCCTCAACCCTAGAACACTATCGCGTAAATTAGTAATATATCAATAGGACAATACATGACAAATTAAAGTAGTTTTCTTCCATTTTCAACTGTGCAATGTCTAAAGGTAGAGAAAAAACCTGCCATTAGGGCACCATAAAAATGCAACAAAATAACTGAAATTAGGCATTCATGAACACAACATTCCTAATATATATTTATATATAGACCATAAACCACCCATTCCTGGGGTATGTGAGTCTTTCCTGGTGAGGACTCAGGGTCCTTGGCACAATAACAGCTGCAGGGGAGAAGAGAACCAATATATGGTATATTCTGAGTGAGTAAAAATGACCAGCCAACTTAAAAAATTTCTTATCACCATATGAATTCCCTTGAAAATCACTACTTTGTGATACTTATTCATAACCACTGCGCTAAATAAAGATAGCATGCAAATTCCAGGACCACTGTTACTGACCTTATCCCCTACATGTAGCTTAGTTTAATTCATTTGCACATGACAAATAGAGAACAATTTCATGATAGATTTAAAACAGCATTGTGCAGGGGAGGTTAGAAGCCAAAAACGCTTGTCAAAGTACCTCCCCCTGATATAGCTACAATTAATCTAGGCAGCAGTGCAAGTATATGTAATATGACAATACAGTAATATGACGTACTAAGTTGTTGTTATTGTGTTTGCCATGCGTTTTTGCAGATGTGGGGGATATCCAGTCCCGTTTGCTGGACCACAGACCAGTCATCAATGCTGAGATCCGTTACTTTGTGAGGGAGTTTGAGGTACTACACATGACACATTGTTGTTTTTTAACCTTAACTAGAAGCTTGACATACTTGTGCCTACATGCAGCAACATTAAAAGAAGATATGTTTATCATTTTGCATTGACAGGACATGTGATGTAAAAGTCTGTGGAACATTTTTTAACTCTGGACTTTTCTGTTGTTCAGGATAAACGAGGACACAGGGAGAGTAGACTGTTAGAGAACCTCAATAAGATGGTGATGGAAACAAATGAGCAAACACAGCCTGCAAATTTGGAGGCTATCAACCAGCAGCTGTCTGATGTCGCCAAGCGATGTAAGTGAAATTTTGCCTGTCTGGACTCAAACCTAAGACATTATTGTTATTACTTCAGGAATATTGCAATATTTGTTTTGTAATTTACATTTTTTAATGTACACCTTGTCCAAGCTATGATCAAAAGTAGGGGGTCAATGTGTTGTATGTCTATACAATCATTTTACAATCATGCATGTTTAATCTTAATGTGTTCCAGTTGACAAACAAAGAGCCACTTTAAAAAATAAAACCTAATCTAGTTTTTGCTTTTGTTTCATGTGATAAATCTGACAATGATTATTGTAAATATATTCTCCCTTTCTCCTACAGTGGAGGCTGCCAATCACATGACAGAAAGAGTCCAGCAGAGGGAGCTAGAGGCACAGCAGGTAACAAAGATTCCATGCAAAGGGTCTGCAGTGCAGGTGGACTCAAAACCATTACTTTCAAGAACCAGATCCCTATGCAGTGTATAATTATCCTTAGATATACAAGTCTGAATTTTTTGCTATTTTAAAAAATCTTTTTCCATTTTTTTGTGCTCTCGTCTCCTTTTGTCCTCCCAGAGTACTCAGCTGCAGGTGAACATGGAGCGTTTGAAAGAGGAGTGGGCAGACTTCTTGAAGGAGCAGCAGAGATTAAAAGAGGAGGTGGATGAGGAGCACGCCAAGGCTGTTGGTCAGCTTAGCACTCAGTACAATGAAATGAAGAAGGACTTAACCAAGAGTCCATCAATCTAATCAGCTGATTATAAGGATATTGTTGAACAAAGACTCTCTTTCTTAATAATGTTATTGTATATATGGATATCTGTTCAGACATATTAAAAACATACAGGCTTTGATTGATGTACTTGATGGTTGACATGAAGAGATTTTGCTGCGGCACAAAACCCAACATTTTCCAAATCATAAATCTGTAAGAGGTATTAACATTGTGACATTTCACAAGCCATCAAACTCTTTCATTTTCTTGAAAGCGTCTGGAATGTGTCATTTTTTTAAAACAAGCAAGCATTTGATTGTTCCAAGGCTGTGAAGTTTTCAACATTTCAAGATTTTTAATGGATGCCTGCCTGAAGGGTGCAGATGATGAATTCACCGTGAGTTGAAAGGAACCTGGATGATTAAATGTAAGAAAAGCCCCTCTAAGCAGGTGTGTTTAAAGCACAGGTCAAGTGTTGTAGAAACGAGCTGAAACAGAAGTGTTTCCAGAGCAAATCATCTCTCACCAGCTCACATGTGTTTGGAACGTTTGACCTCCAACAATAACTCGAGTAAACCAACTGTCTGATGAGGTCACTTTTTTTTGCCGTCGCCAGCGTGGATGATAAGTAGCAGCTCTTTTTGGTTTCGCCACCTCATGTCTAAATTCAAGAAGTCATGAATCAGAGACACGGTTACATACCTTTCTAAATTTTCATTGTTTATCATACTTAAAGTGCACAAACTGCTGCACAGTGCACACATTTGCAGCTTCTCTCCACTGGTCTCTTTACCGGTGCATGGGTCTGTGAGAGAGGGAGGGACCGAAGAGCCTGGGTGAGCACAGCATGGTGGTTTGCATGCCGTCAGAGGTCAAAAAGGGCGTGTACATGCCAGCAGATGTGTGTCTGCATATGTGCGTGTGTTGTGTGCATGTCCTCCCTCTGCAGCTGTCCGACGGGGAGACAGCCCATCATCAGCTAACAAGGAGCGACAACATGGAAACATGGCCTGCCTCTGCCAGCAAGGTACCTTTGCATCTGCTCTTGTTCAGTTGAATGGAAAGAAAAGCTGTTAGAGGACACGAAGGTCAATATTAAAGTCATAAAGATGTGTGCCATTCATGAACAGAGATTTTAAAGCTTTAAATTAATAGATTGGGCTCTGGAGGCCTGATTCGTACAGATCTTTGGTTTGTTTTTGGAAGGTTTTTTTAGGTGCAAATACACAACATATTTACTGGAGTTTTATCACGATGAGATTGCTCAGATATTCCTGCTCCAGAAAAAAAAAGACCTGCAGGTCAAAGTAACCCTTTTCTATCTACAACTGCACAACTGGATTATTGCTCTCAATAAAAAATAATGTTCTTGGTCAGACCAAATGGACATAAAAATATCAGAGGGTTTACAACAATAAGAGAATTTGATATTCATGGCACGTTGTTTTTAAGCTGAGTACAGGCTGAACATTGAAAACGGTCATAAATTTCAGCATCTGGTCAAGTAGTTATTGACTCACCAGTGCGATCAACAATCTTGTCTTTGCCATAATTCAATGGTGATAACCAGAGAAGTCAAAGCATAACAATAAAGCTGAGGCTACGGTATCGTGTATTCAAGCAGATAATCTAGTTTATTCAGACAGTTGTCTGTGTAAATATTCAGAGAAGCAGGTCAGGTATCCCAAACTCAGCAGCTGGTAGAAACTTTCCCTCCAAGCAGACCAGGACATACAGTCCAGTAAGGTGACTCTGTGTGCAAATATGGAGGGCAGCGTCTGATATTTCATGTTATCATCCTTCTCAGCTCGCTGCTTCATTCCTCCAGACCTATGTTTTTTGTCTCTAGTGTAAATAAGAAGGCAATGTGTACTTCCTGTTTTTGAAGGAGCAGCTCTCTCAGGCCGTGGAGCTGCAAGTCCCGGTGCCAATGTAAATGGTGAAGGAAACAGCAGCACCCAGCTGGAGCCCGATTTGGCAAGGAAGAGAGATAAGGGTTTTCTTGGTTGAAGTAATCTGATGCTCAATCTGTAAAAGAGCTCACTGGGAAAAAAATGAAATATGAAAAGATGAAAGGTGCAGATGAAACTAAAGGAACATTTCCCCAACAAACAAGGATCTGATTTTGGAAAATCAGTCTGGTTTGAGTCTCTGCCATCAGTGTTTGAATGTGGTATCAATGAGTGATTGTGACATGCTACACTGTTAAAAGTAATAAGTTGTTTAAACTTAAAATAAAACGTGAACTTGCTGCGTTGATTATTTCGAATCATGACCACTATTGTAGTTTAGTAGTGCCAACATAAAGATACTAGTTTAGGGTACAAAGCTCAGTGGTCCCTCCAACTACAAACAAGTCGTCTCAGCAAAAAATATCTGTTGTCTGCATCAACTCACTTATTCTAGCATGTAATCTTATAACTGGCCTTCAGGTTTTATGACATTTAGGAAAACGAATGAAGACTTTATCTGGACCCACAGCAGGAGCTGCTCTAGGAAGTTAGACTTCCACTTGGACAGATTTCAGAACATGTCTATTTATCTTATTACTGAAAAGTTAATAACAAATAACTTCCTGTTTTCATTTAAGAATAATCAGTCTCTAATTTTCATTGATATTTACATGATTTTTCACCATTTTGTGTCCTACATGTCCTTATCATTATGATAACACAGAACCAGTATTCCAGTATAACGAGTCCATGATCAGAAAATGAAACCAGTATTTAATTTTTTTCCTCCAGTGGCTCATCAGACAGTGATCTTTATGATACCATTAAAGGATACTTAATTAGCTTGTTGTTATTTTTAGCTTTCTGGTTAGAAAATAAAAGTCAAAAGCACCAAAATACTCAATCACTGCCACACTCACCTGTAATGTCAGTAGCCTCCTCTTCATGTTCAAATCCTGGCACTTTATGTCAGCCAGGAGCAACTGCTTTCTTAACACGTGTTGTTTAAGCGCTGCTTTAAATTGTTGTTTTGAACTGTCACAATCAAAAAGTAGAGGTGATAAGGACCTACATAAGTCTACCTGGAGGCTACTACCCCTGAGTGAAAGATTTCTGGTTCAAATCATGGACAAAAGTGGTCCATGGAGAGAACTTCTGGTCTCACATTACATTTTCAGCTTTGTTTAATAAAGATGCAACCAAAAAACTGAAAAATCAAACAGGATTGATCTTACATGTGGTGTGATGGTTGAGGTCCCTGCCTTTCAATTAGAGATCCTTGGACCAAATCCAGGTCCACAAGAGACAACCAGTCCTAAAAGTCCATTGAGAAGGTCTTTCAATGAAGCGACGTCAAATGATGAAATAAAAAGTCCAAAAAGGGGAGTACTGCTGGGCAGTCCTGTGGTGAAATGGTTAAGACTGCTGACTGTCAATGAAATGGTTCTAGGTGAGAGCAAGGTTAAGGAAGGAAAATAAAGAAATAAACAATGGAGATTAAACTGAAAATTGGGAAAAGCAGATGGGAAAATGAATGGGTAAGAAGAGTCCAATCCTTGAGAGCGGTAGGGAAAAAACTCCTCACAGGAGCTTTAAAGCTTCATAAGACTATAAGTTATTTTCTTGTTGCATTTGATAACATTCACATTTATGTAGTTCTATCTCTGTAGGTCCTATGAATGACTTCGGAAATCCATATGTGGATCCTTATCTTCTATGGGTCGTTAGCAGGAGATGAGTTACAACATACAATTTTATGAGTGTGTAGCAGGTCAAATGCCATCCTTTTCATGGTATTTGAATTACTTCTGCGATGTCTAACGACTAATAAAACACAAACAGACCTTGAACTGTCTTGAGGAAACAAATAAAACACACATGACCCCAAAAGACTGCTTCAGTTTTTTTTAACAAAGGTGACTGCACACTTGGCACAACAAGACCGTCTGATTAACTTTCATTTGAGTTGACTGATGAGAAAAAGCAGACCTAAAAGAAACAATTTCTCTGTTTTGTGTCGGAACAATAGAAAGCAGGGAGGAATTCATTCACACCCGCTCTCCTGACAGCTTATGGGAATTTTCAGCCTCTGCATGCTCACGCTCTTTCCTTTGTGCTGCGTGATGGGCCCCCGTTACTCAATTACTAAGAGCTTCAAAATGAAAATGCCAATGAACAAAAGCACCGTGCTTCCAAGTTAATAATCCTGCATAAAACCACCCCAGGGAGTCGGTGATAGGTCCTGGGTGGACTGAAATCCAGGTGGTGATATGAATTCTTTGGCAATAACAAAAAATTCACCCAGTGGATCCCTAAATAAGAGAAGAAACACTTTCAAAGCTGCTTTAAATCAAATTAAGAAATGGATATTTCTCAGAGGGAAAGTTGTGAGGCATGCTGGATAGTCTCAGAACCTTACTGCTTAGAAAATGAGCACTGGGTGGCAAATAAAAAGCAATAATTGAAAATAAAAAAGATGGAAATTAAATGTACCACAATCCACTGCAAACAGCAGCACTCTTTATTGGCGAGCTGCGAAACAAAAGTTGTTATTCAGTTTCTTAACCAGATGTCTTGTTCAGATTATCGGTGTTTGGAAACCGCACAACATCTCCCGTGCAACGCAGGGCAAAAGGCTCAATTAGCTGGACTGTGCGTGATGTTTTGCGTCTGTTCAGTTTCATCAGACAGCCTCGCTAATACAACAGCTCAGTGTTTCTGTCAGGTCCAAGAAATACAGATAAGAGTCCAGGAACAACAGTCACCTTCCTTAGTCAATCACAGGGCAAACAATAGCCAGAGAGGATGCAGAGAACGGCCTGTCATCAGCCGCAACCACCAGCGGCAACAAAGTCTGTTGTCGTCTGGATTCCTGAGATGTAGAGGAATGTCTGGCTGTACTCCCAACCACATACCTTCTCTTTTCTGGACCAGGTATTTTCCTGATGTAATCTCTGTTAAACAGTAGCAGTCTATGCTAAATGCTAACTCTTAAGAAACTATTTCTAATGTCATCCAGCAAGTCAGATGTTTGGAAGGAAAGAAAAGTTAGTTGAATTTACTTGGCTTTACTAATTGGGCAGACATGACGCAATATTTTTAATCAATTTAAAGACTTATTTCTTTCCTCTTAATTAGGGTGACCATGTTCTAAATCCCCAAAAAGAGGACACGACCACGCAGGTGTGGGGTCAAGGAGTCGCACAAAGTTAATTTTGAGAGTTTTTCAGGTCGGATCGAGTGTCTTTTATGCGCTTTTACGACAAAACTCCGGACATTTGAAGGATTTTATAAACTTCCCTGGACAAAGCCGGACAGCCCCCCAAAAAAAGGACACGACCAGGTAAAAAAGGACATATGGTCACTCTATCTTAATGGTGTAAATTCTGCGCTCTTTTTGCTCTGTTTTTGGTCTCCACCAGTTCCAGTTTGAAAAATATCCGCGACTACAGCAACGCGCCTCAAGCTGGCTGCCATAATGGCTGCCTGCGGTGTGCAGGAAACATTTCCGAGCTTTTAGAGCTTTTGTACTTAAGAGATTTGTCATGTGTGACCTGAAATAAAAAGCATAGGTTTATATCTTATCCTAAATGAGAAATCCAGTTGATTTGGCTTTCTTGATGAGTGATTTATCGCTCGATTTTTGGGTACTGTTAAAATAAAGTAAGTCATGAAACAGAGAGGGGAAGCAATATGGGATGATTCAGTGCTTTGTGGATTTATGTCATTCAAATTTTACTGCTCGGTGTATTTTTCTTAACATGACTTTGTAGGAACCTCGGCCAAAGCCACAGGGCTCCTTGAGTGGGATATATTAAGTGTCAGCGCTGTGAAGGAATGGTACAATTCAAGTAGTCTATGAAATCAGACACCAGCTGATCTACAGACTTGGACAAGGTTTTTGCAGCAACAGTGACCCATAAAAACTAGTTACCTACAACAAAGTCCAACATTATCAACGGTCAAAGAAATAAATAAATTTGGTAGCATATAAAAGTGACAGTGAATGCCACAATTCTCAAAGTCTAATTGAAAGGCCTCACGAAACCACCATATTTAGTTATCATACTTAGGAGGCTAAACAAACGAGGAAGGAGAGACCTCGCAAAAGCTGTGAGCATTTCATAAAACAAATTAAAGTGAGCAAAAGCAAACCCGAGATTGAGGAATTTCTCCCCTGTTGTTCTTAAAGCAAGCCCTTTGCTTCTGCTGAAAGATCTCATGATGAGATCTCCAAGGAGCATCTAATATCCGCCCAGCCTCAGACCCCAAAAGCCAATAAATCAATCAGTTGTGCTTTACAAGCCTCTGTGTGTGTGTGTTCGGGAAATAGAGGACCCCTATTGTGGAGAACAGCTAAGAACCATCCTGACTGACAGAACAATAGGGGAGACAGGGGATGTGGGAACCAGGTGTATGCATGAATGTGTGTGGCTGCATACTCACAGTGATTTTTGCATTTGTGTGTTTTTGTAGCAGTGAACCCCCCTCTGAATGTGAGTCAGCCACTCATCCTGGCTTTCTCCAGGGAGGCCCGGGCTCTTGGCAGAAGAATGCATGGGAGTGGGCTCCTTCAATAAAGGCAGTGCTCTTCAGGGCTCGGGATGGCCCCGGGCTTTACTTTTCAGCGTATCCCTCCCTTGTCTATCTGAACCCAAGTGGTTTTCTGCATTTTGCTACTGCTGCTGCTCCATTTCAAGCGTAATAGCTTTACCCTGTGGCTACAGAGGAAAGACACAGAGGAAGGGAGGAGTCCAGACCTAGAATTATGACTCACCTACAGCAAGTTAAGGGGATAGTTTGGATTTTTCTGAAGTTGGAGTGTGTTGTTCTTATCAAAGTAACCCCCAATTTCCACCGCATCCGGAACAGCTACGAAAAGGCTGTATCCGCCGATCGTAGCTGATCGTAACCATTTAAGTTAATGCGTCAGTTTCCACCGGCTTCTTTCCATTCCACTGCTGATCACCAGACTCCGCAGCTGATCACAAGAGGTCTATTTTTTCCGGACGCCGGCACATGCCGGATAAATTCAGCATAGATTAACCCGTGCTGGAAAGGAAGTCGGGCACAAATACAAAATAAAATATCTGTCTCCTTTTCAAAATCATACGCTCCATATTTCAGGCGGATCGTATTTCACACCATGCAAACCGGCGGGGATGAAAAAGTGAAAGGTTTATAGACAACATTTCATCCCATGGATGAGAGCATGCTGATTTAATAAGTCTAGAAGTAGATTTCCTCCTCTGGTAGGACACAATCTACTGCTTATATGGTTAGTCTATGTGGCTAAAGACAACTTGTTATCGTGCGACTGCACATGAATCCGTGGCTTCTTGTGAGTTCTTGCAATTCCAGCTGTCCATAATCTGCCACGAAATTTGCCTCGCAAATGGATCCAATAGAAATTGCTGCCGTTCCGGATGCAGTGTAAATCCCGGGTAAGCATGTGTACTTTTCTGTAGGTGATGGTCAGCACAGGTCCTGTTTGGAAAGTACTTTCAAAAGAACCATTCGCTTCTCTTCACTAGCTCCAGTCACAGCCCCCATCAAATGTAAAACTCTACTGCTGGACCAAAAAACTGAAACAAAATGAGCTCCTGCTTACCTGCAGTCCCTCATGCAGGTCTATACTTCTTCTGCCAAGGAAAGGTGCTCCCATCACGACAAGACCTTGAGTCACCAACCAGAGTCCATCAGATCTACAAAGTCCATTTCTACCTTTGAGAAAAAGCTCTAGTACCTATGCACTCAAGTTCAGCTCTTCTCTTCTCCTCTCCTATCCACCTTCAAGACTTGTTTGCATGATGAAATAGCAAGATATCTGTGCAAGCAGCTTCCAAATTCAATGAGCAATCGAATGCATAAATCAGAACTTGCACTCATGGCCCTACACCCAGTTGCGTTGTCGAGATCTAGCAGATGGATGGCTGGAGTACAAGAAAAAAGACATCTGTATGAAAAAGCGGAAATCAAGGATGAAAATGTCACAGTAAAGGAAGAGGGACAGGAAAATCCAATGGAAGCAATGACAACAGGACCAGTAGGGGAAAAATAGGAAAGGGAGGAACCAACTCAAGAAAGGAGAAAGACAAAGATTGGACGAGAGGCTGCTCACTGGCCTCCACATCAAAGCAGGCTGGGAGCAGCAGCTCCAGGCAGGTCCTCCCTGCACCTGCTGCTTTCCAACAGCCAAGTCAAACACATGATTCCAACAGACACGCTGCTTAATGGCTTCTGTGGAGAGGGAGAGACCTGTGCCGGACATGACTGCCTCTTTGGACGCTCAGGGGTGACACACACATGCAGACACACTCACAGAAACTCGTAAAGATTCACAGATTTGTTGCTAATCACTACTTAACACAGGTTGACACATCCAGGAGAGAGCACACACAACTTTCCATGTGTGATACATGCAATTATTTCAAGGCACATCTGCTTAAGACCAAACCAATCCAGACTCATGTCATTGAGGATCAGGAACTCCCTCAAATAAATCAGACTACATCTATCAGACATCGTGTCCTTGTCTATCCGCACCGATGTTAGCAGTCTTTTAGAGGGATTGTATTCGGACTCGGGTCAATATGAATCAGAGAACTAATCATCCCTAGAAAAACAGTAAACATCTGTTTTGTGACTTGGCCACCTTTCACTGGCAATGTCATCCTGACCTCAACCAGACTGGGCCCCTTTTATATTTTCCATGAGCACAAGTACCAGTAAGTGGGTGACAGCATCTGTAATGTCTTTTCAAAAACAAAGTGGGGAAAAATAAAAACAAACTTTGACGCAATGAAGGCAGGTACCACTTTTCAAAAAAAAGTCTTGAAGTGTGTACAGAAAGAATAAAATCATGTACGGTCGTTTATGCGGCTTTTTCTCTGGCAGAGCGAAGCCTCGGTGGTTTTCATTGACATTTATAAGAATTACTGTCTGCTGAAATATCGCTTTAAAGCTTTACTGTCCTCGCAGCTTCGAGCCTTCGCGGCTGCCTCTTGATTTTTACTCTATGGAATTTCTGTTTGGGCTGAGCTACAAAGCAGCACTCAGAGCTGGTGGTGGCATATTAATGTCTTGCTCAAGGACACTTCAGCAGAGTGGATGCTTTCCAGTGCGTGGGCTTCAAGGAGATCTCTCCCCCCCTCTTTTTATATTTATAGAACAATATTTATTTATGTAGCGAGCAGTTTGATTATGCTAAAAGGGTAGATTAATGGTCCTCTAAAGCCTTTTAAAATGGGATTTCAACAAATGTAAGCATTTTAAACCTCTGCCATAAATAATGGTGTTACTGATAGTTGATTAGCATTAAAGGTTCAAAAATAAAACCTCTGACATGATTTAGAGGAAGTCCTTTGAGTCCTATTTCCTATTTTGAGTTAAAATACCAGGATGTCCCATTCCTCTTGTCTCCTCTTCTATCATAGTCCTTGTCCTCTACCTCCTCTACCTTCCCCCTCTCCGCTCTGCCCCACCTCAACCCCCTCAAAATCTGGCCAGTATATTCTGATAGCTTTACCAGCAGGAAGCGGGGCCTGTAAAGTAAAGGCCCTGGACCAAAACGCATCTGTGAGCGTCAAAGTCCAAATCTAGGAGGGTCCTGTCTCATGTTTGAGACATTTGTTGTTATAGGCAAGACAAGAGGAGGCAGATGATAGCTGGAGAGTCACGATAGGGCTGACAGTGACTCCACAGTGGTCAGTCTGGGCTCTGGTGAGGCAGCTGAGTATGAGTAACCAGAAAGTCCATGGGGTTGGTCTCAACTAAGGAAATACTGTTGAAAACAGTTGGTTGCATGGGGCATTCGGGGGTCATTCATTCATGAAAACTTTAATTAGCAGTCAGGGGAGCTTCTGTATTTTTTAACCTGGGCTCTATTTTCTCACGTTTGTGTGTGTTTGACTGATGGAAAGATAGTTTGACCGAGCAGTTGAGCACTGCGTCCACTATAAAATGCTTTATCTCACCACTGACAGGTTCAGATGGTTATTTCAAGTCCTTAGAACAGACAGGCAAGAGTTTCCTTTGTGCCAGTCTGACTTCAACTGAATCTCGTTGATGGACAAGTGTCGCTCTGACGACTTGCGAGATCTGTGTCAACATCCATATGCAACTCAATTTACCATGACTTGAAAGCTGCACAAAGTTAGCCAACATTTTGTTTGCATACACACATAAACCATTGTCATTTTTAAAACACATTACTCGTCTCAAACAAGCTCTCAGACTCTCACTCACTTGCATGTCCTCTACTGTCTTCCTGCAACAAATGAGATCTTGCGAGATTACGACCTCTCCACCAGCAAGATTTGGTAGACATGCCAGGACGTATCCCTATCATAACCTGTGTCGGTCTAGACCAAAGTGGACCACAAGAAAGACTTCGAACTCTCTTTCTACGAGAAGCCTTTGACAAATCTAAAGGTGCGTCCCATGCTTAGTTTCACACCATGATCACTGGAAACCGTCTTATGGTTCTGCTTTTGTCTGGAAAATACAACCAGCATGAAAAGTAGCCTTTGCAAACACCACAGCCATCATTTTGTTAGCCATTTATGTATTTAATTTTTATAACCATAGAAAATTTCTGCAGAAGCTTTTTTTTCCTGACAATTATTTCTTGTCACACCTGTCAAAATCCAGCCTGTTTACAACGTGTGTGAGGAGTTTCCAAGTTTCCAAGCACAGCAGCTGACCCTTTAAGTACACAAGGCTTGTGGAAAAAGAAGGTAATCCCAATACTGATACCTCAGGGGACTTGGCATGACTTTAGTCACCATGCTGGATCCAGTCAAAGAACATAAAAACAGGCGATAAAGCAAAAGTTGTCTTGGTAATTCACCGCCATCAAAACCCTTTCATACGCCGTTCCACCTTCAGTTTCGCTCACCTTACCCCCTTTTTCCTTTCTTAGGTATATATTACTGTTTAGCATTTTCCACCCTCCTCTACTTCTTCTGTCTTTCACATTTTATTTCCAACTTTCTCTCTCATTTTTTCCTTTCTCACACTCCCTTGCTTCCTCTTTTAGCCGCCCAGATGAAAAGAAAAGGTGCATCAAGATTTCCAGGTTTCTTAAGTTGTTTCAATCATGTGGGAGAGCCCTTTCCCATCTGTCCTTTCCCGGCACAGGTGCCTGCTGTAGTGGCTCTGTAGGCCGTCTGTAAATGACATTGGTTCCCCTCCGTTGGTCACATCCTGTGTCCCGGATATGATACTGCTATGAGTCTCTGTGTCTCTAATGGAAACATGTCTGGCTTTGGATTGTATGATGTTAAGTTGTGGGAAGACAAGTGTTGAAACATTTCTTCAGAAAGACTGAGTGTCCTACAAGTTTATTCCCTTAAGTTTAAGTGACAGAATTAGATTTCGTCAGAAATAGCTTCTGTTTTTCTCAGTGTTTTTGTTGGCGGACATGAGAGGCAGACCTTCATTTGAAAAAGATACTGTTTATGAAAGGTTGTCTTCATCTATTACACAAGATGACTGCTGCAATTTATTTCAAATTTAGGATAGTCAGGTATAAATTACCACGTACATTTTTATGTTCACTTGAAGCACTGTGAGAGTATATAAATCTGTCTGGGCAATGTTTTAGGAAATCTGTTATATTTTCCAGTAAGCTCAGGATTAGGTATGAAAAATGATTCCACAATCACACTCACATTTAAATGTATCTGTAGTCAGGGGCAGAAGTAGTCGCTCCTATTCATATTTCGCTTTAACCTATAACATAAAAGTATATAAATTTAAAGTTAAAGCTTTTTTTATGAGTCATGAAACAGACTGAATGAACACTGATGTTTCTCTATGATACACAAACATGAGCAAATATTCATGGTGAAGGATAAATGTCACCTTCAAAAAGACAACAAGGGGACATTTTTTGACAGTAACACCACTACTAAAGATGACATATGAATATAAGAGTTATCACTTTGACCACACGGGGGCGCCAAGGTAAACACAGACAGAAAGTTCCTCACACGAGCTTTAAATTAAAGGTACTTTCATTTGCGTCAACTGGCAACCAAATAAAGCAACAGATTTTGGGATGGCACCTTGGTGTCCAATCAGATCTCAAGTGGGCCCAGGCCACCCCTACGTCCACCTCTGGCTGTGAAGAGGTGTCAAGCACTGCAAGGATGTCCCAGTCCCAAAAGGGGTCTTGGGTCATGTCCTTAAAAAATGGATGTAATCTTAATTTAAGGATGACTATCCGAGACAATGTTTTTTTTGTATTTGATTTCATTATTCAATGTACTGAAAATTAAATTAAAGTTCCTATCGGTAGTTTTGGGTCATTTGTGTGTTTTCCCTGCAGTTCACATAAAACATGCATGCTACCATATCTGCTATATTTGAGATGGGAGATTTGCTGTAATTAATAGACTGACTGCTTCTGTTGTTAGAAAGAATCGAGACTACTGAAAATTCTGTCATGTCATATTCAAGTCTGAGACCACATATTTTACCTTTACCCAGATTACAGAGGGAAATCGTGAGGGAGGTCTTGGCAATTTGCTTTGACTTATTACTCTCTCTCTCTCTCTGAATGTAGTGGACAGACCAATATTTCACCATAGTGTGGGTTTCTTTTAAACCACACATACTGCTCTTCTCTGGTGTTGACTCTCAGTTCTCTCTTTCAGCATGTTCACCACTTGCCACCTGCTGACTCTTGCACTCACAGCCACTAACTTCAGGCAATTGAGAAAATAAACAGAATGTCCTCTGGTCCCAAGGGTCCATTAATCTTACTTTTTTCCTATTACACCATGCTGGAGCTGGCTTGGCAAGGTGCCTGGCCATCAACAATGGGTAACCAGTAGACACCCACAACTATGCAGCCCCCACTTTGCTGAGGAAAATGTAAAGTGTGTCAGCAGTAATTTGGTCATATTTACCACAGCTACATGACATGATGAGATTAAATAGTGATGTGTGGTTATTGGCCTGCCATGGTTACAATAGAGCCCCACGGGGAGAGTCGGGCATGTGTGAAGATGTTATTTAAAGTGTGCAAAAGTCAAGGAAAATAATCTCATACATCATTTTCTGCCTCAAATTAACTACAAAGGCCTTTTTTTCACAGAGTGAGCTGTGGATTGAATGTAGGAGTCATGAGTGGATGTGAAAGCCATATTTTGATACAGTTGTTAAAATAAACTCCGGTGGGTGGTAGTTCTCATACTGCTGACATCGTCTTATGAGTATAGGGGACTGTATCAGAGGAGAATATGGTTGTAGCTGTAATAACAGTTGAGGCAGAAATACTTTTATAGTGAAGAAGGATTAGCTACAAAGGCTGCACTCTCTTTCCCTTTGAGATTTGCATTAGTCCCCTAAGTTGCATTGCTTTGCTTTGAAATTCAGTCTTTGCATTGCTTTGTAGAAACAGCACTGCATGTAAAATTCTCTTTGCAGTTCATATTTCTCTATGCCTGCACAAGGTTCAGTATGCACATATCTTCAATATAGAATGTCAAAATTCACAGTTTCATTCACAGCCTATCTTCCAGGATCTAGCATAAAAGTATCCCTCACTCTGAAGATTACTGACCCTCGGGATTTCTTCACAAGAGAGGTCATGAAAAAGAGGTAAGACTTTTCATACTTACATAGACGTTCAAGAAGACTTCGTTTAATTAAAAGCTATGGCAGTCCAGAGCAGAGTTGGATTACATAGCAGCTTTAGTCAGTTCCCATGTTGTCATCTCTTCCTTTCCCCATCCTGCTCTTCCTGTTGTCTATGACAGGAAAAAGAGGTATGATTTAAATACCATGCATACGATGGCTGTCTCTTTTAAGTTCCATGAAATCATGACTCTATTGAAAGTGATGAAAGGGCTGTACCTGCCAAAGAGCTGTCAATTCATGCAGCCAGCAGGTTACTTGGAACTCTGGAAACAGTCACACACAAACAAAACATCTTGTGGATAGACACATGATTTATACTCACTGTCAGCTATTACCCAAAGTTACAGCCCCATGAGATGCACTATTTACCCAGTGCAGTTTAATGGATTAATTATATTTGTCCAAAATGTTCTCACTCCCAGGCATCATTTCCATTACTGAGGGGGTAACTCTTACTCATATCTGACCATCGGCGTAAACCTGGCTCCAGATGTGACACGAGTTCATGATGCTCATGTCTAAAGAGTCTCTACAAAACACTCACTTATTAATCCAGAGCCTTTTTTTTCACTTCTACTTACCACTTATTACCATAATGCACCATTTAGTAATATAAGAGGTGGTGTTTGTAATTGAATAAACAGCACTAAGGGAGGCAGAAATGGTTGCCAAAGTGGTGCAGAACAAACCAGACTATTCACAATCATTTACTACTCTACTGAACAAGAACATTACATCCTAAAAATGATTTTGCCAAGCTTCCTAAAAGACTAAATTAGCTTCCCTTTCATATTTTAAGTAATATTACATATGCTAAGTTATGCTATCTCCTTTAATCTGGTGCATGACTGTTGTCTTTCAAAGGTAAAAAAGGTTACCTATATTCTTCTCTTATGAATGGAGATGATGCAAAGCTGAAACGACTTGTCAAAAATGTTATATCACTTCGAGCCAGATCAAAGTTTTATTCTTTATTTGACATTAACAAAATACCAGCGCTGTAAAGGCTTAATTTGTCTTTGAAGGTTATTTAAATCTGTTTTCTTATACTCCCTCTTGACTTGCATCAGTAGAGCAGCTCTTGACTCAAAGGTTGTTTGTGCTTAACTCAGAGGTACTTAAAATTAGATTAGACAGACTTTATTGATCCTTTTGGGAAGGTTCCCTCAAGGAAATTAAAACTCCAGCAGCATCAGTATGCACAGAAAAAAAAAAGAATGATCAAATAAAAATGCAGTATATGTTAAGAATAGAGATATAATAAAACTTAATATAAATAAAGTATTTACATATAAAAGTAAGATATAAAGCCATGGGTATTTGCACATTACTATTACTACTACTGTTACCTCTCCACTTCCCCAGAGAGGAGTTGTACAGTCTAATTGCATGAGGGACAAAGGAGTTTTTCAGTCTATTACTTCTGCACTTGGGAAGGAGAAGTCAGTCACTGCACAGGCTCCTCTGGTTGATGATGACGGTGTGCAGAGGGTGACTAGCATCGTCCATAAAGACCAGTAGTCTGTTTATAGTCCTGCCACCGTCACTAGAGCGTCATGCCAACCACAGAGCCACAGTGCTTCTTTATACATTAAATTAAAAAATGTGGTCACTTTACCCCTCCAGATGACTTCTTGAATGATGTAACACTTAATGGGATGCTAATAAAACAACACTAACCAACAGAGAGTCAATACTGCACCATGTCTTCTCCATTAAAGCTCCTGTAAGGAAATTTTGGATTTTGTCAATCTTTGCGTCCCAGTAAAATAATCTTTGCCTACCTTGTCCACTACATGCTTAAGTAGAAATTATTTACCACAAATCTCATCCTGCTGACTTTTAATACTCAATGTGAGTATTTTAAAAGGAAACGGTACAAAATATGGCCTTCTCTTCAGCGGCAAGGCTTGGACCTACCCACTTGCACCAGTTTCAGATGATAAAAATTAGGATATAAAAACTTAAAGGGATATTCCAGCGTGATATTAATTTAGGGTCAAATACACCGTAACACCAAGTTAGACACCCCTTTGAGAGATCAATGTTGCCGACCGCCTGCTTCTCTAGTTTTACCAACTTTAGTAACAACCGCAGGAAAGCAATACACAGCGGTCTGAGGAGCCATCAACAAACCTCAACCAAAACGCCACTCTATTAAGTGTAGCAGCAATGTCAGCACAGGGGCGTGGTGTGTGACGTGCCAGTTTAGCCAATTTGACAGACATAGCAACACTAAGTGCATTGGAATGAATGACATTAGGATGATGGTAGGTTTTAAAAACCAACTATTTATGACCATCTTCTGACCATACAGTGTGTATATATGGGTCAAGTCCAGCAATGTTTGCAGTTTTGTTTGGGTGATGATCTTTTTCTTCATTGTTCAGCTTGTCCCTGCACAGTATGTTGAGTCCAAGTTTTGCTCTCTTCATTCCGTTCTCGGTTACTATGTAGTCAGCTAATAAATAGTTGGTTTTTAAACCTAACGTCATCCTAATTTCGTTCATTCCAATGGGCTTAGTGTTGCTATTTCTGTCAAAATGGCCGCGCTGGCATTTTACACACCATGCCCCCCGTGCTGACGTTGGCGCTGCTACACTTTATAGCTACAAATAATGCTCAGAACAGCACCTAACTTCGTCAACAGTATGTATTGGATGCTAGCCACTGCACTAGCCACCAAACACCTTTTTAGCTTTGCCTAATTTCATTACCAAAGAGACTAAACACAACTTACCCACTCTCCTCCAGCAGCCGCTTATTTGTAGTGAGAACTCAGGCCAGTCCATTACGGACTGCTGCGGGGTGACGCAGCTCAAGAAAGAACATTTATGATAATTTCTTCACGGAAAGACGCATCTGCAGTGCAAAATGATTAATATAGTGATTATTACTTTAAGGAATTGATAATTGTTTGCTTTTGTGTAGCATTAAAAGGCATTAGCATCAAATTCATCTTATTTCATAAACAACAACAACTCCTTACAAGAGCTTCCAATGGAGTTATGCGCATTTCGCTTTCCTGTGAATCCTCCTTTACCTAACAGGCTTCCATACTTGTTGAGACCTGTCACTTTGGATTGACTTGTAAACGCTTGTGGGCTGAAACTGATCTACACATCATCCGTCTAACTTGTGCCTCGTTGAAGTAACTTGACCCATTTGCAAATATCCCATCCACACTTCCCATCCATCCAACCTGGGGCTGTCGGGGGGGCGTGCGCTTTCGGAGTCGGTCTTTTCACACCAGCAGGGACGGTGCTCACCCACTGAGAGAGATTCACCATGGCTTCAGCACTGAATTACACAGCCTCTGTACTGTGTACTATTTATTTTTCGTTACTGTTTGCTGCTGTGTTTTGCGCTGATGTAGAGGACGATGAGCACGCCAAACACTCGTACACGGTGGATATGTTTACCGAGGCGGTTCCGACTGCACCCCACTTTGTCATGTTCTATGCCCCATGGTAAGCTGTAAAGTTTTTTCTCCATGAGACGCTGAATATATGACTTAATTGGCCTGCAAGTGAGCATATTTTCAAAATAAATGTCATTTAAAATGTGGTCAGTGTTAGCCGGCATGTAAGCAAGTGGAGCTGTCGGACTAGCTGGTAAGCCGGGGTGGCTAGCTTAGCTGCTAAGTAGCATAGCCAAACAGCGGATAGTTTCCAGAGCGGCCTTTGTGGAAGTAGTTCGTGGAAATCTTTTCCAGAGAGGCTTTCGACATATCCTCAGCCATTAAAACAGCGTGTTACTCCATCCTGAGCGATATTTTGTGTGGAAAAACTAAATCAAAGTTGTAGATTCAGAAGTTGTGCTTACGTGGCAGGCTCTGATTGACTGAAGTTATGTCAGCGGGTGTAAAAGTTGGGTTCACGGACCCCAAGAGTCCCTCCAAGGGGTTTACAGAAAAAGCAGCACAGAAGAAAAGTTCATTTATTGCTGTCGCCACCAAGTTCATGTTGATTAATTAATGCGAGGAAGAGACTAAAAGATATGAGTAGTTTGTTAGAAGAACCGAGATTCAAGTCAAACACGTCAATGACCTGATTGGCTCCCTTTTTCTGCACACTCATGCTCAACTCCTTTTCCAGATACCATTGTTAGCATCTCTTGTTTGTAGGTTATGCAATTGGAGTTGCATGCACTTCTTCAATAATATCCCATTACTATAACAGGATAGTGCAAGCAGACACAAGTCTTGATTTATGATATCATTTCCAGAAATCTTGTTCATCCTCTTTGATTTGCTTTGTTTATAAATCATTTATAGAAATGCAGTGCTTCGTGTAGACCACGAAAACATGTAAACCCTTGCATCAACTTGACTGCATGGATGATTACTCTGATAATCAACACAATTGCGATTATTTTTGCAATTAATCGGATCACATATTTTAAATTCTTGCATTAACGTTTTTAATCTCAATGGGACAAACCTGGTTAAATAAAGTTTATAGGACATAAGATGCTGGAAGGAAAAGCATACATGGAACGCCATAACCAAGTAGCTGGTAAAGTGTACAGGAACATCTGTGCAGGATATGGACTGGAAACCCCGTGCTCAAAATAGGAAGCACCTCCCAAGGTGATGGAGAATAACCGAGCCAAGATCCTGTGGGACTTCCAGATACAGACTGACAAAATAGTAATGGCCAACCAACTGGACATTGTAATCGTACTATGACTAGCTTACATGACAGTCCTTTTCCGGTGTCCTCTTCATCAGCCAACCCGACGTGTTTTCTTTTAAAATGCCGGTGCATGGTCATCATGCTGCCGCGATAATCAAGCTCTGCCTTGGAGGTCTTGCATTTCACTCTAAATTTTTGGCAAAATGCTCCCAAACACTGGAGCTAAAAAGCGTCTTGCTCGCCAATGTCGCTGAGTTGTAGAGATGTTACACGCCGACCTACAGTGGTGGCCAAAATTATTAGAACACCTGACAGAAATGAAAACATTGAACTTTTTTTTGCCTCCAAAACATGATTTCCTTTCAAAATGTTCATGATGCATGCAGATGGTTGCTCTGAGCACAACAAATATCAGATTAAGTGAGTCCTACTGTTTTTATCCACTTTTAACTTTAATATTTGGTATGTCCACCTTTTGCAGCAATTACAGCAGCACATCTCTCTGGCATAGTGTCAATATATTTCTTGAGAACTTGAACACTAATATTATCCCATGCCTTCTGCAACTCAAGCCAAAGGCTTTCCTTTGAATGTACAATAGATCTGTCCAGTTTATTTTCCAACTCGCCCCAAATTTGCTCAATGGGGTTGAGGTCCGGACTTTGAGGGGGCCAGTCCATCATTTTCAATGTTCCAGCAGATTCCTTCTGTCGCAGGTAGTTCCGGCAATACTTAGAAGAATGTTTAGGGTCGTTGTCCTCTTGGAAAATAAATCCAGGCCCAATAAGACGACTCCCAGATGGTACTCCGTGCCTCACCAGAATGTTGTGGTATACTTTCTTATCCATGATGCCATCAATTTTCACTAAGTCACCTGTTCCTGAGGCTGCAATGGCACCCCACACCATAATACTACCCCCTCCGTGTTTAACTGTTGGCAAGAGACACTCATTTTTATATCTCTCCCCCTCCCTCCGTCGAACATACACTCTTCGCTTGTTGCCAAACTGTTCAAATTTGGACTCATCAGTCCACAACACTTTATACCAATCTCCCTTTGTCCATTTCTTGTGTTCTTTAGCGAATTTCAGGCGTTTCACTCTATTTTTCTCTCTCAGTAATGGTTTCTTTGCTGCTATTCTGCCAACAAGTCCTTCTTCTCCCAGTTTCCGACGCACAGTTCTTGAAGACACTGTTGCACCATTAGTCATTGTGGTGTTGATCTCGTCACGCAGTTCTCGTGAGGTCTTTCTTCGGTCCTTAAGACTGAGAATTTTGAGATGCTTCACTTGTCTGTCAGAAAGTTTCTTTTTTCTACCTCTCCCCTTTCGGTTCTGGTGTGAATTGGTGGCATCATGGCGGTCTAAAGTGTACTTTACAGTGCTTGGACTGCATCTCAAGTCCTTGGCTATGCGGCGGTAACTCCAGCCAGCATCAAAAAGGGCCTTTATTCGAACCCGCTGCTCACTCGTTAATTCCTTCTTCACCTTAGCCATGTTCAAAGAGCAACATGAGCTTCAAGACTACTTCTAGAGGCTTTGAATTTATACCAATTGGTGGTGTGGCCTCAGTGACAAAACCCTCATGTTACCAATCACTTAATGAGCAGGATAGGCCTTGTACGTTCAAAAGAATCACACAGCTGTGTCCTAAGACTTGCATCACCATCAATTTAACCACGATCACACCTGAGAAGGATTACACAAGTAATTTGGCTGCTTCTGTGAAGGAACATGATTGTGTGACACTGACAGGCCTTGCTTGTTTTTTGTATGGAAAATGACCTAAATCTCCTTATGATGGCTCTATTCTAGGGTTTATAGAGCAAAATGATGACTTTGTAGATATTTAATTTGTTTTATGGGTATTTTAATGGCCAACTCAACAAAAACAACTGAAAATTCTTAAATATGCCAAGTGTTCTAATAATTTTGGCCACCACTGTATATCAGTTCTACTGCGCAGGTGCATCCAAGAAAAGGCACACACAGCAGAGGCTATGAGCGGAGGGTACTGCGGCACTTTCGAGCTAAAAAAAAAGCAGGAAAGAAACGATTAGTCAAATAGTTGTTGACCATTTTGATTGTCGAACTTTAATCGAATAGTCGTGGCAGCTCTAATGGGCAGCAGTACCTTTTAAAAAAATATGGCTTGTTAAGATAATTTAAGTGCAAATGAGTTTAAGCATGATTACAATGTTTACAATCATACATGTATATTCAAGCGTTGACTGTCACTTCTGTTGATCTGTGACTGTAAATTCTTTCATCTCTTTATCAAGGTGTGGTCATTGCCAGAGGTTACAGCCCACATGGAATGAGCTGGCAGACAAATACAACAGCATGGATGACCCACCAGTTTATGTGGTAAAAGTCGACTGTGTCCAGGATACAAAGTTCTGCTCTAATGTCCACGGGATTAGGGGCTACCCCACGTAAGTGTCCAGACTGATCAATTTAATTGCAATTCTTCTTAAAATGATAAACTAGCACAAAATTACCCAATGAATGCCATAAGCGAGATTTGTCATTACTGACTGACACATTGACCTGCGTTGAGTTGAATTCTCAGCCAGTGTTTTAAAGTCATCCTCGTAAATCTTTGCTTTTGCTGAGTGCAGATTTTACCCGCAAACTCAGCAGTCACAAGTAAATGAATGACAGAGCTGTGACAAGAGTAGTTTATGGTGTCTTCATGCTTAAAATTTTGATTTAATAGGCAACCTGTGTGGTCATGGAGTATAGACTTAAGTCACAAGTTAAAACTCATTTTAGTCTGAACATGTTTATGTTCTCTTTAGGCTGAAGTTGTTCAAGCCAGACCAGGAGGCGATTAAGTACCAGGGGCCCAGAGATCTTCAGTCTTTGGAGACCTGGATGCTGAAGACCCTCCAGGAGGAGCCTTCAGTGAGTGTCATTATTCTAGCTACACTTCAAGATTATAACATGACCCTTAAAATGCAATGAGACAGAGCTCATAAATGTGTGTTTTTGTGTAATCCTCAGGAACCTGAGAGTGAACAGGAGCCTCCTAAAGCCCCAGAGCCCAAACAGGGCATGTATGAGCTCACTGCTCTCAACTTCAAGTCCCACATAGCAAAAGGTAAAGACGCAGGAGAACATAAACTGCTTTCTGAAAATGCCAGTACCTTGAGCTTAATGTGTCATTTGTTTGCATGCAGCTGCATCCTGCTTCCAACAGATAAATAGTTTCTGTTTGTGTTTCCTTTTTATTTTGAGCAAGTTTCAGTCATGTTAACAGATATTTCTGGACCCCTGACAGAGAATAGAAACACTTTGATGCTTTGAATGACACAACAGACATTTCAACACCCAGCCAAAATCCACAACGCCTGTCTCTTTTATTTTCCTCTTTCTTCCTCGTTTGTATTTTCTCAGTATATTTAATCATGCTCTACTCTTTCTAATCTTACTCCTCCCTTCTCTTCTTGCTCCAGGAGCCCACTTTGTGAAGTTCTTTGCCCCATGGTGCGGTCACTGCAAAGCCATGGCTCCAACCTGGGAGCAGCTAGCCACCACCTTTGAGCACTCCAATGATGTCAAGATAGGAAAGGTAGGTTTTCTTCAGTTCTATTAAACAAGCAATCTGAAATGACAGTATATCTATCTTTATTTGTTATTACCATAGTGGAGCCTTGCCTTCTTTGGTGGATTTTGGATATCCACCAACACCTACACACTTTCTGCACCACAGATTGTTAAGTGTAAACAGTGCTGCTTGAATGACAGTTTTATTGCCTGTTGCTGTGCACTACCAGGATGACCATCCTGTTACTGGTTGACAGAAAAGGGTGTTGGTCACATGAGTAGCATCCTTTTTATCAATGGGTTTATCAAGCAAACCCCCTTAGCAAATTTGCACAGCCAATATTAACACTGCAATGTCATTTTAGATTGTTACTCATTCATGTATTTATATGTTAGGTGGATTGTACACAGCACTATGAGGTGTGCTCTGATAATGGGGTACGAGGGTATCCCACACTGCTCTTTTTCAACAATGGACAGAAGGTAAGGAAGATGTAATATCTCACTTACTGATTCAGCTTTCATTTCATAGACCTAGGGAAAAAGAAACCTACCTGGTGTAAAAATATCTTCCAAAATAGTTTGTGTAAATGTCTCTTATTTTTAGACGGAACAGTACAAAGGAAAGCGGGACCTGGACTCTTTCAAAGACTTTGTGGACAACCAGCTAAAAGCCGCTGCCACCGAGGAGCAGGAGGAGAAACCTGCAGAGGAACAAAAAGCAAATGAGATCCCCACCGAGGAGCCAGCCAAAGAGGAGGTATTCCTCACGACAGAAAAGCGTCTGTTTAGTCAGTACAGTGACTTACATTGTGTGAACTTCTGATTTTAATTTAATTCAAAAACTAAAAAAGTGTAAGAGCGTAAACTTTTATCACCCTTTCACAATGAGGCAAGTCTGTGAAATTTCTTTGAATACTCAAAATGTCTGATAATCGATATTAAAACATGAAGTGGAACTAAAAAGATGCAGAACTTTTCACACAGAAGTGTAATTGTATTTCCAGTTTTAAAAGATACCTGCCTGCTCAGATTAATTGAAGTTTTTCTTTCCTCTCTACAGTCCAGTGTGTTGACTCTGACAGAAGACAACTTTGATGAGACCGTTGCCAAAGGCTTCACATTCATCAAATTTTACGCCCCATGGTAAGGTCATCATTTTTGAACAAGTGACATTTAAAAATCCTACCACTTCCCATGTTTGGCTTTGCCGATTGTGTAAGAATAGAGAGAACATCATGTAATCCAGAACTGAACTTTTTCTGGGGATCTTATTGAGTGTAGAGGGACACTCGGGAGTGTTTTAGTGCAACACTGACAGAGTTGTTTCTTTGTCAGTCTTGGTGATTTAATTTAGTGTTTTCCTGTGAACCGTAGGTGCGGCCACTGTAAGAACCTGGCTCCAGCATGGGAGGACCTCTCTAAGAAAGAGTTCCCGGGCCTCACTGACGTCAAGATAGCCAAAGTGGACTGCACTGTTGAGCGCACACTCTGCAACAAATACTCTGTAGGTATCCCGGTGCCACAATTACACACTTAGTTTTTGGCTGTTTGTCTCACACACTCTTGTAAGCTTTACAGACGATCCTTTTTCCTTCCTCCTCAGGTTCGGGGATATCCAACTTTGATCATCTTCAAAGCAGGAGCGCAGGGTGAAGAGCACCACGGAGGTCGAGACCTGGAGAGTCTGCACGGTTTTGTGATGAGGCAGGCAAGAGATGAGCTGTAGACAGTCAACGCAACACTCGGCCTTCCACCACTCTGCTCTCTCTCACACTGTGTTACCGGCCAGTAGGACACTGCTCTCTCTCTCCTACAGTAGCCAAACCTCTCTCTATTTCTCTCTCCACTCTGGTTCTTCCATAGAAGAGCCAATGGCAGAGTGCAGTGGTCTGATTTTTCTCTAGTGTTTAAGGAAAACATGATTCAGTTGGGTGTATTTGATGGGAATGTATATCTTGTTGCAGTCAGCCAATATGACTTTGGTGAGATCTGCAAATGAAGTGACAACCACTTTGAAAGAACTGCTAAATCAGTCAGAACCAGAGTCCCTCACACTCTTGTTTATCTAAAGTGTGATCGCAGAGGACAGATGTTCCACTTTGATTTGTTTCTGATGAAGTTTTGTTGCCATTTGACTTTTTTTTTTTTTTAAATGCTAAATTTTTATACACGTCACCTGTCGCTCAATCATAAGCCATTCATTTTACGGTACTGCCACACAGAAGATTGTAAAGACCGAGTCACCGAAATGTGAGTGTTAAGTTGAGGGTACTTTTTATCCACGTCAGCGTTTGTCTGTCTGACTTAACTCTCAGGGAAACGCCCTCGCACACTGAAAGTGGTGATGGATCATTGTTGTCACAGGAGTCGGATAATGGCACATGGACATGTATTTTTCTCTTAATGAAGAAGACTCTCAACCTTTTTGAAATAAAAAAATAAAACTACACATCTATATAGTGTCTTACCTGTTATCTGACTCCTGGACTCTGAACTAACCATCCCTCTCCCTTCATCCTACATTCAGGGTCTCTAACGTGGACCATGTGCTCAGTTTTTCAGAGTTATCAGAGTCTGTATCAGAACCCTCATCACATTGTGAACCTCAAACATTTTTTCACATATTAAGTGTAAACGTCAGATGTTTAAAAAGCAAAAGCAGCTCAGTCACTTGAGGGTAAAACACGATGATCTTAAGGTGAAGAAATTGGGTCCATAAAAGCTGATCTGCGAGGGCAAAGAAAGTTCAACCTTTCCAAGTGTTTGGAAAACTTCAGAGGTTCAAACTAATAATGAACTTTTGCTGCAGCTCAGGGTCAGATTTAGCATATCAACTGTGATTGTGATCTCTTCTTACTTTAGAGAATAAACCTGCTGCATTTAAGGTTTGATTTGAAGTCGTCTTAAACCACCTCAAAAGTCACAGTCGAAGGCCAAGAAAATGCATCAAAGTCATGTCAGTCTTGCTAATAATTTCGGTCCAGGCCCACTACATAGCAAACGCCCTGTTATGTGAAAGTCGTGCGCTGCATTACGCGAAGCGCCGTTTCTACTCTAACCCAGGAACACAGAGACACAGCACTTTTGTCAAACTTTTTATGGATAGCACGTGGTTTAAAGAACTCCAGTGACAGAAGTATTATTTTTCCTGTTTTTCCTCGTGAGACATGGATCGTGCACCATCCATGCTTTTTGTACAAAAAAAAAAGAGTGAATAATGGCAAGTTGTAACATGAGATTTCATAATAAAAAATTTTCAAAAATAAGTGTTCATTTTGTTCTCGTCTCTGTTAATAAGGTACGTGGTTTTACTTTTTAATAAAAGGTGCAATAAATAAGCGAAGAATGTACAAGTATTTACATAAAAAAACAAGTCTTTAACATGATCACAAATGTAAACAGCAGCTTACCAGAGGTATATTTTGTAATTTATAATTGGTTAGGCACATAAGGTATTTTGATTCTTGTTGGTATTAGTTTTTCATTAAAATATATTCTCTACAAACACTCCATGTCACTCAAAGCTCACAGTAACGTCTTCAATTGGAAAGATGTTGCCTCTGGACACAAATCTCAACATAATTTTCACCCACCTTAAGAAAGCAGAGAGCTAATTTCAGAGAGCTGGCACGGAAAGCACTCTGCCGGCTGTTTTTGACTCGTTAAATGTTTTTCCACAATCTCTTGATGGGTTGTCAGGGGTGGAAGCGTTTGTTAACTTTTAGAGAGCAACAACATGGAAATGGCCATTAGTGGTATGTTGGAGGGATAAGGCTCTATTCTTCGTTTCTTTGGAGGAAAACATCAGTTTCGCCACAACATGCATCATGTTGAACCATCCCAGTGAATCGCAGCCCAGCGTGAGCCCGGCAAATATTGACATGGAGGGGATATTTGGAGCTCGACTAAAATAACCTGTGGTCTCTTTGGTTCTGTCTGTATTATATTTTGGGAGGGCAAATATGGCTTGAGAAGAAAATATATCAGGAAAAAGGCATGAAATATGAAACTGCAAAGTCTGATGTACGGAATAAAAAGGATACTGGGTTTGTATTTTTCCCGTCCTGCGACAACCACTTTTTCAATCAGACTATCAGTACTGTGCGAGTGTTGAACTCCTCAGAGTGTTTGCATTAGTAAAGACTTGAACCTTTCCAGAGAACTGATCCACCATGTTTGTTTGTCGGAGAGGAGAAGGGGAGGAAAGCAGCGCTCGGACTGGTCCTACAACAGTTCAGTTTTCCCACTCCCTCTCTTGGTGAGGCAGAGGGTGCAGTTCACACACATACGCTTCCATAATCACATAATATACAGGCTAAAACACTCCGTCCTCTCCACACACACACACACACACACAGTCATCCACTCAGTTGCAGACCTCCACTCAAGAGGGAGAAGGATGACCTGGTGACTTATTGCTTATGAACGACACGCGCACGGCGTCATTGCGCTTGCACTGACGACCTCTCAGAGTGGATATTTCTCGCTGGCTTTGATTTTGGGCTGGAAGTTTGTGTCGAGTTGGGTCAACATCTCCCATGAGTCACTGGTGCAGTTGAAGCCCCTTGCCTTTCTCAGCTTTCAGTCAAGCACTATCAGCTCTCCTTGTTCGTGTCAGTGGCAGCCGCACGCCCGTACCACCATGTTCTTGTATTTCTTGAGTATAACGTTGGAGTTGTCATCGAAGTAGAGCACTGAGATCGCGTGGAGTTTGGTGGGAGCGCAGCAGGGCTTCGGTACGTTCTCGGGGTTCATCAGGTGCACCTAAAAAATCAAAGGAAAACCTCTGAGCATCCATGTGATTTTGCACGAGTAATGATCGCAGTCGATTCTTATAGAGAGGTCTTACCAGTGTCTGAACGATGGCGTGGTTGGTGGCGTTCATGTGGGCATTCAGAGGGAAGGAGCACTCGCCATCACAGTAGTTGGCTGCGTAGCCTTCAGGAGCAATGATCCAGTCCTTAAGGGAACGAAATAAAGTGAATGAAACATCTTTACAAAAGAGCAACTCATCCATCAGGTAAGACGAGTCAGTGTAAGAGTCACTTCAGATGAGCACACCTGTCTGTTATTGGTAACTCTGTCTCTGAGGACAAATCCCTCCTGTCTGTGAAATCGCTCAGGGAAGCAATACTCCTCTCCTCCTTCCTTCCTTCCTCTCTCCATGTCACTGTTTTTTATCTGACAAATTAAATCCACGATTTCCTTTTTTCTGACTTGTTTTTGGGTTTTTTGGGTTGTTTTTATCAAGTGGACTTTCCTGTCTGTGTCAATAATCTCTGCCTCTGTCTTTCTCCTCTCACTCATCTGTCTCCCTTTCTCTATCCAGTCCTCTTCCTGTCTGGTGTGTGTTTGTCTTCACAAAGCTGGCAGTTTCCCTCTAGATGTCAGTGCTGTGTTAACAGCTCCAACAGCTTGTGTGAAAAGGATGTACGCGACTCTGCCCTTCAACTTTTTTCCTCGGGCTGTTTTCACAAACACACAAAGGACGGTCTGGCTCTACTGGACTAACTTTGAGAGTTAATAAGTTGGCAAAATAGATTTCATATCAGTGTGCAGCTCAGTAAAAGGGTGAAGAGGTGACAGAAAGAACATGTTCAACACTTTTGCACTTCATATAGAAAGAGAATGGATCCTGCAAGAACTCTGCAGTGTTTTGGGTAAATTTACTGAAGATATTTAAAATCTATGAGATTTGACTCTTGAATATGTTGCTTTGGACTATCTGACGTGAAAACTACACAGCAAAGATGATGTGTTTCTTAAAACATGGGAACCCTTTTTGTTATATGTTGATTTAAATATTTCTACCATTTTTGCGAGACGGTTTGTATCATAGCTATGAATTAACTGCCTCAAAAGTGACGTCCTATTTAATTGATGTTTTTGTCTCTGTGTACCTTTCTTTGACCATATGAATGTATCATGCATGGCAATGTACACTTGATTTATTTTACTTTTATTTTACTTACTTATCTTATTTGTACAGGATGACTCCTGAATCTCCTCGCCTCTATTAATTTGAATTAAAATGTGTGTGTGAGCCAAAGTATGTTTGTTTTTCTAATGTGTTCCTGTTTTATTTCTGGAAAATTTAACAAACATATAAAAAAAATCTATGGATTTAACTGAGTCAAAGTTCAATATCTTTCTATTTTGCAAACTTACAGGGCTAATCCGGCGAAAATTAAGTTAGGGTCAAACACACCATAACACCAAGTTAGACACCCCGTCGAGAGATGAATGTTGCTGAGCGCTTGCTTCTCTATTTATACCAACTTTAGTAACGACCATTGTTTGTAGCAAGACATCAGGCCAGTCCATTACGGACTACAGTGGGGTGATGCAGCTCAAGGAAGAACATTTATGATCATTTCCTCATGGAAATACAATCAGACAGAGACACTAAGGCAGAAGAACTACCGCGTCTGCAGTGCAAAGTGATTAATATGATGATTATTACTTCAAGGAAATGATAAAGTAATGATCATAAATGTTCTTCCTTGAGCTGCGTCACCCCACTGCAGTCGACAGACTACAAACAAGCGGCCGCTGGAAGAGAGTAAGTGCGTGGTGTTTAGTCTCATTGCTAAAGAAATCAGGCAAATTTAACAAGATGTTTGGTGGCTAGTACTATGGCTGGGACCCTATATGTACTGTTGATGAAGTTAGGTGCTGTTCTGAGCATTATTTGTGGCTATAAAGTGGCGTTTTGGTTGAGCGCGTGGCTCTGCGTATTGCTATCCTGAGGTCGTTACTAAAGTTGGTATAACTAGAGAAGCAAGCGGTCGGCACATTCATCTCTAAAGGGGTTGTCTAACTCGATGTTACGGTGTGTTTGACCCTAACCTAATTTTTTGCCAGAACATCCCTTTAAGATATTAAATCATAAGACTTAGGAGCTGTAAACATTGATAAAGACATGAAACTATTCGTATTGGGATATCCTTGGTTAGGGTTAGGGTTAGAAAAAGGCTGTGTGCTCTACCTGCCACCCCAGCTCCTTGAAGCTCACATAGAGCTCATGTCTTCTGCAAGCTGTCTTCTGGTCACTGCTGTTGTAATCTGCAACACAGAAACAGAAAGATACATGCACAGTTAGGCTAAGATATGCACAGGCCAAAAACCTTAAAGCGTTCAACATAATTTGACTGATTGGACAGCCGTAGTAAAACACACTCAGCAAAAGCTTTCCCCGGGAAAATGATTATTGTTTTAAGTATTCCAATTAAACCTCCTGAAGGTGACGTATTACATTTAGAATCTGAAAGCAGAAGAAAAACACAATCCTGCTCATGTAATGCACTGGGTGGAGACACATGCGAGGGTGTAGACCGGAGCACAGACCCAAACGCTCATTACAGCGGTCACTTTGCTGTACGTGCTCTGCAGTCATCTGCCGTCTAACGCAGTTGAACACATGCCTAATTGAATTCATCAGCATCCAAATATTGCTTGGCTCGAGCGCAAGTGGTGACACAGTGACAAGTGTGTTTACGGACTCTCCTGCCCTGCAGTTCCAGCTTAATTATCTCTGTTCCACTATGCAGCAGTGGGGTGGATGTCTGCAGACGGTCCCAGGTAGAGATTCGGTTTTCACAGTCGAAGAGGTCATTGCTGGCAGCCGCCAAGCTGAAGTCAAGACGGTGACACTGACTTTCCACTGACATTTCAAGAGCTCTCTCTCTCTCTGTCTGTCTCATTCACTCTCTCTGTCCCTCCTCGTGATTTTATTGTAGGACGTTATTCTTTTTTCTTTAAAATACTCCCAAAGAAACGCTGTGAGAGAGGAGAGGGTAAACTGTGTTTAATCTGAAAAGAGCCGAGCTTGACTTCCTGGTGGCCCCCGAAGCCTTAAGCAAAACTTTAAACTTAAACCCACAAGCACATTTAATTGTAGGTGTTTGTCGGTCTGCATATTCTCACATTGCAAAGTTAATTATAAAACTGTTAACCAGCTGTTTTGGCTGAGGAGCTCCCCGTGGTTGGCTATTTTGGTTGTACTTTTTGTCACACTTGTCATTAGGGTCACGGTGCCGGTTTCTGATACCATGTTTAGCCTGTTAGACTTAGCGCACACAGGATTTTCAGACTACAACAACTTCACACACTGAGAGAAAAAAAATGACTTTACAGCTTTCAGTCAGTGTGCGACTGGGCCTCAAATCCAAAACTGTCATTTGCTGCAGTCACTGCATCGTCAGCTTATTTGGTGGAGCTAATTATCCCGTCAAGCCATTCGAACCTGGTTGTTTACCTTTCGGAGGCAATAAATACAGAGCATCAGCCTGTCTGCGGGACCGAGTGGAACACTAACAGTCGCTGCAAAGTTAGCATAAAATACACATATTGAGTTATTTTCAATGAATGCAAATTCTGAGTATTAAAAAAAGAGTCCATCTGTATGTATGTGTGTGTGTGAGTGTGTCAGAGGGATAGAAAGTGAGTCATTCAGTCACAGCCACCACCCAGTCACTTTTTCACATTAATTGCCAACAACAGTTTGGATTGGTCAGCGCGAGTAGGAGACCGACACACAAGAACACAGCAACACACACAAACATATTCTCACACAAAAACTGATCTGCTCAACGGCCAAACTCCTTAGACACTCGTTAAAGAAGACAGTTGGGAGTTCACTTCACTATTACCGTCTACATTTAGATTTCATAATGAAATCACTCGACACACTGACCACTCTGCCAGGACGTGTGTGTTTTAGCTGGACTCCGGTCAAATAAAAGACAGACAGAGAGACAGAGAGAGGAAGAACGAGTTGCATTTGCTGCCTGGATTCATCTCAGCAGAGAGTTAATGAGGAGAAACAGACAGAGGAAGTAGACAGTGAGGACTCAAGACTGTGAGAAAGTAAGAGGGAGAACACGGTACACATGAACTGCCTTATTCAGGTAATTCTGGCTTTATTCACCCTTTACTGAGCAGTAAACCAATACAGGGATCACCTTGGCACCAAATAGAAAAAAAATCGAAGGCTGACTCAGAGCCAGCCCAAGGCATAAGCGAACTAAGCGCCTACTTAAGGCCCCGCGGCCAATAGGGGGCCCCCAAGAGCAATCCAAAAAAATAATAATAATCTAAAATATTTTTCTTTTTTTTTTGCATGTATGAGTAATGCTTTCTGTATAATCAAATATATATTATTGTAAAAATAAAATAAAATAAAGTAAAAACATTTTAGTGCTGCTGCTGATTTAGGCCTATGATTCTTACTGACGATATGTCAAAACTCCGCTACCGTTATTTGCCTTCTGCTGTGCGAAGATTTGTGAAGGTGTGTGAATGATTTTGCTCAGGGCCCCATTGAGGCTTGGGCCGGCTCTGGGCTGACTGTATAATACACTGTAATGTCAAATATTTAACCTTAGAGGTTTCCCTCAAAAATGAAAATGTCTCATGGTTTCAAAATTGAGAAAACTTGTTAATCAACAATAGGGATATTCACATGTGTACATATTTAACAATGTTTTAAAAAACAACAACTTAGTCTGCTGTTGAGAGGATTTTTAGACTCTATGGGAGTGTGATAGATTCTGTTTTCATTGACATCAACATGTCTCTGTGCAGAAAGAACCACAGCTGTGAAACTGTTAATAACTGCTTTGTGCAAGTTGTAACGATTTCTTTGTTGAATTAGAGAGAAAATTGTCATGAAACCACAAACAAGACCTCATTCAAATCCACTAAAATCAATTCAGAGATCTTCACAGATGCTTAGATTATAATAAAATATCATTTAAACTCCTTACTGATACTTTTCAGATGCAAATATCACCTCAGTCCACACAGCCAGGAGGGAGTTTTAGATTTGGATTTACAGCGGCTTTAAGACTCCTGTCAAATCAGATAAAAAGTTAACCATTTTTTGGAAAGTTACAAGAATTCATCAGTTGTATATCATCCTAAAACTGTTTGCATTAAATCCAGCTCTGCACATCCTTCCAAGATGACATCAAACTAGACGCAGATTAACTCCTCCCTGGACAAAACCAACAATTGTTTCTTTTGACTGCTGCAGAATAGGAATAGATCCTCTGATTGGGCTGTTTAATGCAGCGAGAGACAGGAAGAGAAAGGTGAGACTGGTCGCGAGAGGCGTTGTGAGGTGAGGTTAAACGGTCATCCGTAACCATCAAGTACAGTCAGGTGTTTCCCCAGTTTAGGGTTCCTTCCTCTCGAATCGGAAAGGCAGTTTTCTGTGCATCTGCTTATGTGGAAATACAGTTAGTACGCTTGTCCTGATGTATTCCAGCACATATGTTTGGCTCCACATATATATCTGTGTGTGCAGATCATGATACACATATATACAGAGTCATGTTCTTGTCCTGTCTCTGTTCTGCTGTGGCCTTCAGAAACACAGAGTACAGGGATTATGTAGATTTACTGTACAGATGCCTTTACAAATGAGAAAACAGGATGGTTTTTGACCAAAGTTGCAGCATTCAGCAGAGTTTTACTCTTTCATATATTAAATTTGTTTTCCCTACATTGTAAAGTGCGTCAAGTGTTGATATATATATACAGGAAAAGCCCCAAGGACAGAGGAAAAGTGCAATTGAAAGACCTGAGCTCACTGGCTAAAACACTTGACTGACCTGATACGACCTAGAGGTGATGTTTACAGGACGAATAACTCACATGTAACAGCTTTAAAGGTCGGTGATGGTGGGGCTTTAAAACAGTTAAGGATTTATTAGTGTGTATTGGAGCACAGACCGCTGAGATTCAGATGACTTCAAGCTTGTTTTATGTATCACAGTGCGTACTGTACTTCATGTTTCTGAACACTGACATACAAACTGCTTTTAAGTCTGCACACACACTCAAAGGGACCCCATTTTACCTTCATCCAGGTCTGGTTTATGATGCGTGACATTCAGCTATGGGTCAAATCACAGCATCACCTACTCACAAGCCAGACCCCGACACCAGCAGCCAGAAAACCAGCGATAACACCACCCTGATATGCTCACATGATCTGTTTTCTCTTACTGTGAGGATCTTCTTAAACACATTTTATTGAGTGAGGTGTTCCAACATAAACTCTACAGAATCAAGCCACATATTTTCTTATTTTCTACATTCCCCTCACACACACTCACTGCTCATTTTTCCTGCACCTCTTGCCCTTTTAAAGCCACCAGCCTTAACAGTCCGCGGGGCTCTTTAAGAGGAATAAAGCTGATATTTACTGTGGGCTTTCATTGAGTGTAAAAGCCCAGATTTGTGGTGCCCATAAACCACATCTCCCCTTCCTGCCTGTAAAAATTTAATGCCACACAGCTACCGCTGAGCTCCGGCTCCCATGAGGCTTCTATTCATTTCTTTTTCCTCTCTTTGACAGAGAGTTAGAGGTGGGAACGGGTGTGAGAAAATTCACCACACATGCTAAACTTATTACACTTGTTTGCTGCCTTCTGCTAATGCTGACACCATTTAAAAACGTTTTGCTGAAGATAAAGATTGTTTAAGGTCAGCTGCTCATCCATCAGGACACTCAGATTTATCAGACTTAGTGGCACAAGTTCATTTGATCCAAGCTGAATACTGATTTGTGGTTGTAGATGTAGTTCCTTCATCACTGCGGCACGGTGAGATACAAGCTGAGACAGTTGTATCATCTGCATAGACAGTGATATGAGAATCCATGAGACTGGATCATTGTTCAAAGTGAGACTGTGTTACAAAGTCATGCAGGTGTTCATGTGACACTCAGTCATTGCAAGGACACTTTGACAAATTGGGAAATATGCTTGTGTATGTAAACACATTTAAACATTTAGCTACAGCTAGCAGGTCGTCAGCGAAGCTTAGCAAAAAGATTATTTATGATTAAGTATCTATATCTTAAAGCATCAGCAGGACTGAGTTCGAGTTTCAGCTGCTTTGGATCAGATATTTGAGCTTTGGATGCAAAATTATCTCGACTTGTATGGCTTTGTGAATGTGACCAGCATCAGTCTGTACTCTAGGTTACCAACAGTATTTATCTCTGTAAGTACAGTGCCCAGCATAAGTCAGTACACACCCTATAAAAGTAATGCATTACTCAATATCTAGATGAGCAAAAGTACAATTTCCAAAGTTTTGACAAAGCTGAGTTTAACACAACATTTTATTTACCATAAAATGAAAATAAGGGTGATATAGTAGCTACAATTTAGCTTTCCTCCCAGAACTTTTGGGTGTACTAATTTTTGCATCCTGATTTTAAATGGAAAAAAATATTTTTTGTATGCAACTTAAAAAAATCTTGTTCGCAATCAATGGACAATTTGGAGGAGTATTTTGTTGTATAGTCTGACATAGAAAATGTTGATTTTGAAAGGAAACTAAAGTTTTTCTGAAAACTCTGAAGGGGTGTACTCATTTATGCTGAGCACTGTAGATAAGCATCTGTTTGACCATATGACACTAAACTCTCCACAAAAAGATGGTTCACATAAACTTCGATGAGGTGTGGCGGTGACTACCGGCTTCCCACCCTGTCTATTCAAAAGCAGGGGAAACCCTGCGCCTCTGTAAGCTCTTTAACACCCAAGACTTTCAATGTACTGTACTCTAGGAGAACTCGGCTGATATTAACTTGTCCCGACACTACCTGCTATTCATTCAGCTCCTGAAAAAAAACCCTTGAGTAACTATATGAGGAGGAAAAGCCAATAAATCATATTTATCACATGCAGTTTAGAAAATACAAGAATTAAATGGTAGCGATTCAGATGTTATAGTCGGGGTGTTTTGTGCAGAATATGTGTGTCTGTGTTAATCTCTAAATCCGTTGTAATTCCAGATATCACAGCTGTTATAGAAGCAATTATAAAATGTCCCGCAGAATGGGTGACAACTAAAAAAACAACAATTTAAGCAACAGCGACCTTAAGTTTAGAGTAAAATCTGAATCCTCAAGTGGAAGAAGGGAGGAGAGAGTCTCAATAGCCGTGACGACTTGAAAGAAGAACGTCACCGCTGTCCCTAACATTTCTCCTCTCTCTTCCCTCCCACCCACCACCACTACTGAAGTTTATCTTTCTTCCTGTCTTTCATCACAGAGGTTATTAAACCCTGCGAGGGAGCTCCGCCATGTCTAATTACTCCAACAGTAAACAAAAGGAGGTCGAATAGGGAGGGAGCAAGGAGAGCAAGGAGGAGAAGAGGGACAGATGAAAAAACACTGCAGGCCCAGAGCTGTGTTATTATAATTCTTTAAGCGATACTGTTAGCGTGGTCAGTCCTTTAGCTGTGCAGCTAATGACTGGCTAGGCCTAATTACAGGCCGCATGTGCTGTGCCGGGACGTGATATTCCTTCCCCGGATGGTTGTTAACTTCCCCCACAGCCAAAACCCAGCCCAAGTCCCATTACCTCCCGTCCCTCTACGCCCACAGAACCCCAAATTACCTTTAAAGGTGTTGTATTGTTCTTTTGGCAGGGTACACGGCAGCATTTCCACTGTGCTCACATCAGGCACACCCAGAGGGGGTGGAATCGTAATGCTGACAAAAATATTCATGCACCAGACTCATAACTCCAAATTTAAGAAAACAGTTATCTATCTGCCAAAAAAATGTGAAAACTTTTCATTAGATTGCTTTTCTCAGCAAAACGTAGCAAACAAAGATGATTAATTGCACATATAATTACACTGTCATCTCAGACTAATGCTGCAGAAATGTTTTTGGCTGAATTTGTCCTTTTTTGTCATCTGGAAGACATTTAATATCACATGTCGTTTTAAATCCAGCTCGCTAAAAATGTGAAAATGAGAAAATAACAAGCCCCCAGGCCTCACAGGGAATAAAAAGGGAGAAATAAAGTTTCACAGTCAGAAAGGTTGTTTTATGTCCTTAGCAGGCGTTGCGCTTATTTATGACAAAGCCAAACAGTAAAAAAAACAATTTGTGGATCAAGATGGAAATTGACAAATTAGGTTTAAAAGGACACAAACTGATACAAAAGATGAAGTAAGAGCAGCGCTGCGGTGCAGCACACAGGTCAGGAGTGTGCGATGGCAGCGGTGGAGGAAAACTATTAATAGAAAACACACAGAGTATAGACGTTGGTGGTGAATGTTTCTTTTAAAAAGCTAAAAAGCCTCTATGTAGAGGCTTGTGCACACTAGAGCAATTAAAAACAAACACGTTGCTGCCTTCCGGCCTTAGATCTCGTGTTATTTTGGAAAAAAAAGTATCAGGGTGAATTATCGGTGAAATGTTCCTTTTAGTTGGAGCTGCTGCGGCCTGAACTGAAGGACTGGAGCTCTGTGCCAGATCCAAACAGGGGGACAACGGCCACATTTTGATTCTCCCCATGAGCGCTCGAAGACGGATGCGCTCCCCATCCATCCCGTCCTCCTCCCTGTCTCTGGAGTGAGTGATGCGGTATTGAAACCATATGCCCTCCTGAATTCCTCACGGATCCTCCCATCCAGTCCACGACTCCAGCAGTCCTCCGCTGGCCGCTGACACTCCGCTGTCGCGAGGGGGGCCTCCCTGCTTCCTGTGTAGGATCTAAATATTTACACTCCCCGTCGTCCCGAGTGGTGAGGCGGAGAGGTCTTGATGTTTTGGGTTATGTAAAGTCCAATCCTCTAGGACACATATTTAACAGATTGTCCTTGTTAGAGCAGATTTGTGAGCAGATTTACCTCAGAGAAAGTTTTCTCATCCTTTTGATAGTTCGGGACACAAAGGAAGATCACAGCAAATCTACCTTGCATGTTCAGGGCTTGATCGTAAAAGCATGTAACATTTAACCTCGCAGAACACATGTTGTGCACTTCAGTCCTCTGATTCATCAGTATTCCTGCATTTTAAGACATCTCAGGCTTAAGACAGCTGGGCAAAAGACAGCACATATCTGCAGCCAAAACTGAACATGTGGTACACTCCAACTCTCCTGTAGCATAACAAATGATGAGTCTTTGTTCTCTGTTATGTCAGCCAAAGCTTTCATCTAATGCAATTACTGAGAAAAAGCCCTGCAGGAATTTAGGTTACAACCTCTTGTGTTAACAGCAGCACTCTGTTACCTACTGAGAAAGTGAGGGAGATGCACTGAACAAACAGGAAATAGAGCAAACAAATCTCAGCAGGGTTTTTTTTGTGAAGCAAACCAAACCTGTCCCAAAAATACCTCTGTAGACGGTGCAGATGGTGGAGTCATTAAACCGGGCAGAGAGAGAAGCACAGAAGAGGTAAATGGCTTCCCAGGTAGCTCGCCAAGTCGTTCGTAGTGTGTGTCAGCGCACTAAGCCGCAGTCTGGCACAGGTTTTGCCGGGGTTTTTGGGTGCAGACTCTGGCCATTTTGGGCTTAGAATCAGCTCCAGTTAGCTGATGAGGACCGGTCTAATACCTGAAATCAGCGGAGGTACACTTACGCCGATTCTTGCGAGTCATTTATCACAATCCTGACTCGCATCCAGGAAGCAGGTGTGCTTTGCTTAGGCTGATGTTGGGCCAAACAACTTTGGCTTGTCTGAAACTCAACAGATGCACAGCCCTGTAAAAATATTAAAACAGAAAGACTTTGTGCTTCTGGAGCAGTTTGGCTTGACCGTCCTCAGTCTTTAACGTTTTTTTTGTGAATGAAATCAAGTACAAACTAAATTTAAACTGATGTCTCTGACTAAATAGAATAGGGATTTACATCTAATGATGTATTTCCACATGGTAAAATGAAGTAACTCTTTCTATTTCCCAAAAAATCCAAGAAACAGGTTTTGAACGCACAACACTGCCCTAAATGAAATACTCAGGACCTCAGCTAAAAAAAGGATCTAGATATTATCCTCGGGCTTTCATCTGATGAGGTTTGATTAGAGAGATCTTGATCTAGTCAGGTCCAATGAATTTAACTTCTCAGAGAGGAGAGCCGCAGTCAGACTTCATACACGTTCATATCCACTGAGCTCAACAGGCTGGACATCAGTTACAGATGTAATGAGGTGAGGTTGAGGTGAATTTTGTGTCTGCTTGTGTTCACCGTCTCATCGTCTGATGAGGTCAGTTACGGTTCAGTTTTTGTGTAGTTGACATAAAAACTGACCTGCTGGGCCTGGGGATCTGGATCCGTCCTGCGGTTGCGTGGATCGGTTGCGGTTCTGCTGGCGGCGTTTTCCCCCGGCGGAGCGCGGGGTGCGGATGTGCATCTCACTAACTTTGAAGAACGCAACCATGAAAGGCTGCCTCTCCAGCGCGCCGTCACGGCCCACAAGCCCCGCCTCCTTGGAGCTGATGCTCTGCCCTGTTTGAGAAGAAACACGTTTAAAGGAAAACTCCACCTGGGGATACCTGGTTAGATGTTTTGGTTTGGACATGTTGTAGTAAATTTATCTCACCGCTGCTCGTCTCCACGCTGACCTGCAGACCCAGGTTGTGCATCGGGCTCATCACCCACAGGTTGCTTGTTGCTGTGATGTCAAACTCCAGCCATCCCTCCTCAGCCGCCCAGAGCCGGCGAGACTCCAAGAGAAACAGATCTGCCTCTCTGAAGGACATGAAAAAAATATACGATAAATAAATAAAATGAAATACAAAATATCATGAGGAACAAATTAGAGATGCACAGATTCATTTTTTTCTGATCCAATCCAATACAGATACCCGGGCTGAGCATATCGGCCGATATCCAGTACTGATCCAACACTACTGTTGAATGAATGAACTATATACCTAGCTCTGTGAGTGAAGGCATCAGGCTTGACATTAGCATTGTTAAAAAAAAAAAGAAAGTTAACATATTAATACAGGTATAAATTTACTGAATATTATTTATTTACAAATAATAAATTTCACATGAGCACACAGCAAAAAGAAGTAAGTCTCCCATGTATTAAAAGGAAAATGTATTAGATTATAAAAAAGACTGGATGTTGACAGTGTTTCAAAGTAGTGTCAGAGACCAAAGAGCTAAATCCAACCAAGGGGCTACAAGCACTGCTGGTGCGTATCAGGGTTATATTATCTTAACAGTATAACTGAATGAATTACATGTTAAGTCAATGCAAAAACGCGATTAGACACTCCTACCACTCTGGCGAATCTAAACATGAGCGGATATTCACATCACGATAACTACTTGGCACAAAGGTTGCCAGGTGACATATGAAAACAGATGGTTGTTCAGTGGTATTTAAAATGGAGGACAAACTGGTTGAGTCGGTGTGTGGGTGCCCCGAATTATACTATACCTTTTCTTTCAATTACCGAAACCGGAATAAAAAAGGAGCTCACTTGGAGGCAAGTGAGTGAGGAGGTCGGATTACCTGGTAAATTGTACAAAACCTTTGTCCATGACTTGATCCTGCCAGTTGAATTGTCAGGGATTACCAATTACTGAAATAACGCCAGAATGAAGCGAGTAAACACTACTAATTCACGCCTCTAGACTTGCGCGAATTAAGCGAGTATTTGATTTTACTCGAACTTGGTGTGATTGCCCAGAAAAGAGAAATGAAGAGCTGCACTTTAGAGTAAATCCTTGGATACACTTAAGAGTATTCCTAATACTTCTTAGGTGTAACCATTTGACTTGTATATTATTTAAAACATTCAGTTTAAATGTGTTTTAGCTTCAAAAGAGGAGAACGTGTCAAAGAGGTAAAGACAGACCCACAAAGTACAATCGATGAAAAGAGAGCAGAGGAGCTTAAAGAAAAGACAGACTGTGAGCGATAAGAGGGCCTGTCCTCCCACTGTCCCATTACACAAGTAATAACACAGCGTCGGGCCTGTCGGACCCTCCTCCACAGCTGACATCAAAGCCGCGCAATCATCCAGGTGTTCAGAGAATGCCCCTGCAGTCATGCATCAGCAGCCCCTCTTTATTGGTCATTAATGGGAGTGTTTCTGACAGCGTCTGTATGAGCCTCTGTGTCTTGTTTCCCCTCACACACTCACACACAACGACCCGTTTGCTGAGTTCACACGTTTGTCACAGCGTGGGCCAGTGTGCCTGGGTCCCCGCCGCAGAGTCACAGCCGCGGTTCGGCTGATAAATGACAGCAGGGGGGGGGATTCAGAGAGTCGCCTGCAGGGCGTAGGCTACCGACAGCCTACTGTAAAACATGTTATTGAGTGACTGCTTAAATGAACTGGAATAATAGGGTCAAAGGGGAAAGTTGTGTTTTTTTGCTACAATAAATCTCCTTTATAAGTCTTGTCAGTGAGCGCTGTTAAAAATGAAACGCAGGGAGGGGAAAGTGAGGCTCACTGTTCTACCTGGTTCTTCCAAAAGCTGTCATCTTTGAAACTGCTGAAACGGCATGTTTGAAATATCGGAAAAGAAACGTACGAGACAGGAAGAGAGAGATTGATGCGCAAAAAACACAAGATAGGGACTATTTCTGTCTGCTCTAAATGCATGTAAAAGCAACAGAGGAATTAAATCACTGCTTTACCATAACATCTGGAAAAATGCTGCTGTGTGTGTGTGTTTGCAGCAACCTGCCCTTTCACAAACAACGTCAGGCCCGTCGCATTTTTGGCATTGTAATCTCACGCATTCCTCGCCCGCTGTTAGAAAAACCGCCCCAATCAAATGAGGAGCACAAAGGGTGTCGGGCTAATTAAGCGCTCTATCATTACAGCTTAGAGTCCAAACAGGAGTCGGGTTTTTACGGGAAGGAGGGGCACGAGAAAGTTAATAGGCTCCCTGCTGATTGGGCGATTACAAAGAGGAGTTTTGCAAAAGGGCGGAAAATGGGGGGGAAACAACAACCAAAGACTTGACAGGTTTTTTTCATATAAAACGACAAGCTTAAAGACCCACTCTGATGAACATCATGTTTTTCTTGCTGTCTACATGTTCATATGGCATTTTTCTGATGCTACAGGACATATCATGAGAAAAAGAAGTGTGAGATTGCATTTCTGAGTATTTCTGCATTCAAATAGCCGTGGATCTCTTGCAGACTCAAACGGCAGGTTCAGATACAGTGAGACTTTCTACGTAACCAATCCAAGCCCACTATGCTGGCCAGGCTCGGAGAAATAAAGAGAACGATTGCGGAACAAGTGTCTGCATTAGCGGATTAAAGTGCTTGTAAGAAAGCTAATAATGATATTAGCTTTCATCATGCACCTTGAGACAATGTCCGAGAGCTGAATAGCTCCTATGTAACCTGCTACTTCTACCACACTGGCAATGTTATCCCCAATTTCCACTGCTGGACTGGATCGCCAGACTCCACAGCTGATCGCAAGAGTTCTATTTTTCCGGACGCCGAACATGCCGGATAAATTCCGCACAGATTAACCTGTGCTGGAAAGGAAGTCAGGCACAGACACAAAATAAAATATCCGGCTTCTTTTCAAAATAAAACACTCGTTGTTTCCGGTGGCTCGTATTGCACACCATGCAAATGAGCGGGGACGAACAAGTGAAAGGTTATTAGACAACATTTCATCCCGATGACCCCATGGATAAGGAGATGCTGATTTTAAAGGCTAGAAGTGGATTTCCTCCTCTGGAAGGACACAACCTACTGCTTATTTGGTCATGTGGCTATAGAGACGACTTGTTATCGCACGATTGCATGTGAATCCGCGGGTTCTTGTGAGTTCTCGCGATTCCCGCTGTCCATAGTCCACCATGAAATCCACTTCACAAACTAATCTGATAGGAATTGGTGGACGGCGGAAATCGCGGCCGTTCCGCTGCAAGCTAACATGAGGAGAAGTGTGCAGAGCAGCGCAGTCTCTGCTTACGACTCAGAGGCAAATTGCAAATAAGCTACTGGAGCTCTGCAGAAGAAAAGCCCTTAAAAATGACTGATTTTGGGTGATTTTGTGTGGTTTTGAGTGATTTTGGCTCAAGAATTGGAGTGGGACTTTAAGATGTTACCATTTTGGCTGAGGAGAATTTTAAGGCTAAGAAAGTGCACCTCAACAGATACACCTTGAATCCAAACAGGACAACAGCATGTTCGTTTCAGCTGAGAGCACTCTGTGATTTTCTACAAGGTACAAGACAAAAAAACAGCTTTACAATAACACAGAAATTGGAGATATATGGGCCCTTTAATCTCCAAATATCTCCAAAAATAAAAGGCCTTACCACTAGTCTGGAAAGCACAAACCACCCATTGTAGGGATAAAGGAATGCAGCAAATAAGTAGCTCTTGATACCTTAAGGAACCTTTGACAGACAGAATAATATACTCTGCCAACATCTATAGCTGAGGGTCTTAGACTTTTTCAATCCGTGGACCTCAAAGTGGATCAGCTTTAGATTAGGACTGTGGTCTGGGAACATCTGCTGTTAGAGACCCCACCTTGAGGTGCTTTGTTACTTGTCGATATTCAAGACAAAAATATACCGATGAAAGCTACCGTGGTGCATGTGTAATAATAAACAAAATACACCCGCTAACATAAGAGTAATAACAGAAACTCTTTAATGTATGAGGTGGCTCACAGAGGGCGGGCTTGGTAAAACACAAATATCATTCAGAAATCTTACTGGATGTTTATCTGCCCCTGCAGACGTAATGTAAATGTTTGACATGTATTAGCTGTGCTCATTTGTGGGACTGGAGAATTTTGAAGCTGGGCTATTTCTGTAGGACCTGGTTATGCTTGATTTTGGACATAAACAAAGCGAGGGCCCTGAGTCTGTAACGCAGAGTGAGAATGATAGAAAGATATCCGCACGCCTTCTCATAATCCTCATCTTTCTAGAAAAGAAGAGAAAAGAAGTCAACTCAGCTTTCTCTGTGTTTGTAGCAACACCTTATCTGGAGTAGACTGAGTGATTTCCAGTAGGACAGCCCTGCAACCCCTTTGCAGATAGACCAGTTCACTGCTTGGTCACGCACATGCAAAGTTTGTGACTATTCACACATAATAAGCCAGACAGAAATATGCATTCCTCCGCAAAGTATGATGATGATAAGTATGATTGTGGTGCAGAGTGGTGCAGTCAACACACAATTTGTCTCAAAGTGAACAGTAAATGCAATCAATACAACCCCTTCCCTTGTTCCAGTAAACACATCCACCATCACATGACACTCAAAATCAAATTCTGCAACCACTTCTCCGTGAAAAAGCTCTACGGTGTCGGTGCCGTATACATGCCTACCTGTCAGGGTGCTCCTTGACCACCTGGTAGACTTTGAGCAGGAAGGTGTCGTTGCGGAACGCGGTGCTCACGCACTCCTTGTAGATGCGAAACTCCGCAGCTGTGATGGCCTCGCCCTCCGGGATTTGCGAGAGGTTGAACTTAAACTCCTTGTGGTGCCGTCGATGCGGGGAGAGCTCCCTGTCGTACTCCACTGTGGAAACGGAAACACATGATGATTACAACATCCAAGAAAAGGGGGTCAAATGCTAAATCATTATATTGTCTATATTACTAAAGAGAGATTTGCCTTTTTTAACCTTGACAATACCCTTTCAGGCCCTTGCAACTACACTGAAATTGCACATTTACAAATGTGGTTTTGGTGCAAATTACAGTAGTGAGTGATGAGTGAATTTCCTTCTAACAGACACTGTATGGAGGTCTATCATTGAAGCCCGAATGTCTAATAGGTTTTGTGGCTTCCGGTTTCCTTAAATAAATCCCTGTTATCATCAGTCCGCGGCGAAAGCCCATGATTTTTTCAGCGGTAGCGAGCTTAAAGACATTTGGTGACCACTTCTGACAGCATGAAATGACTAAAACCAACAAATGCGCTCCCTCCTACGCTTTTATGCACAATATGGGCTGTAATGATCATGTGCTCTCCAGGGATTCAGTTCCTGTCTACGCTGGAGGATTTTCTCCCACAGCAAAGAGATTGAAGTCTCAAACAGTATACAGTAAATGCAGAGTCTGAAGTGCACACTGCAATCTGCAAAAATAAAGGAATATGAAAATATAAACATTAGAAATTCAAATTTAAACACAGGGTTAAAAGTGGGGTAGGCAGGAATCCATTAAAGAGGCATCTTTTTTGTGTATGTACAAAAAAACTTTTAATATCAGTCAAGAGCTGTTAGTTATTGATGACATTTGGGGATATAACGATATCGCTGTGTTTTGTTATGTCTGTGTAGTCCACATTTTAACATTCTTGAATGGTCCGCTCACACTGACTGCAAACAAAGCCGTTCTGATTGGTTGTGAGGCAGTCGCTGCTCCCTCGTGTTGTGAGACACGCTCCACGTCCTCAAATAACATGCACAAGCCCAAAAAAAGTTAGCGTGCTACAATATCAGACAGTAGCAACAAACAAGAAAGTACGGAAAATTGTCTGACTCCTCCTTTTGCAACGACTGCCGACACAAGCAAGAAAAGGAAGTAAATACTGGAGACTCTGGTGGAATAACGGGCGCTTTAAAAGGAGGTACACTAGATAAGAGCTAAAAAGCCGGGTCAACATCACACAATGGGATCTTACGTACCCTGTAACCTTTCTGCTGGACCGGTAAACCGCTATAACACAGTAGGCTAAGTGTCTGTAACAGAAGTGTTTCTTGTCAAACGGGACCTGCTGCGTGTTGTAGCGCCGCTAAACTGTTTACCTCAGGTCCTGGACTATGTCACTTTATCCAAGTTGTAGAAGTCCTGCAAACATTGTGTTTGCTGGTAGTCTGTTGGAATCTACAGTAGCACCAGTGCTGTTTACTTTCAAATTGACTGGTCTCCATTTGTAATAATCTGAAGTATTTATCTGCATTATATCTGAATTTAATTAAAACGATACGAGCGAGCAGGAGCGTCTGTTTGTGGGCGGTGCTTGCTGGAGCAAAGAGGGAGGGGAGGAGCTGAGGGGAAAACTGGTTGGGGGGTAGTGTTTACATTCAAGATTTCTCCAAAAAACTGGCACTTCCTCAGATCCTGCCTACCCCACCTTTAAATACAATCTACCATCATCCATATTCTGCACAGTTCTTACAGTTTCATATTCGCAGACTGAGATGTTTTGGTGAAAGGAATCAAGTTTTGTACTTGTTCAAGATCTCTGTGACTCTGTGATGTTGGGAGCGGGACCCACCCAAAATAGACCAATGACACATTTTGTTCCCAGAGTCACAACTGAGGAGAAAAATTGTGTTGATGTAAAAACCCTGGAACCAATCAGACTCTCCCAAAAGGAGCAGCCCCACCTTGTTACGGCATCAAGGAAGGTCCGAGCTTCCCTTTCTCCCCAGACACTTTGAAGTCATATAGACGCTAAACTTAAGTGACAAATGGAGCCAGAAAAGGCAGGAGGGAAGAATCAGAAATGATTTCACTTTCCAGTAAAGCGGAGGAAACCACCAAAGGAGAATGACATGTTATTCACATCAAGTGTCACTGTGACTTCCATCAGATGTGACAGTCACCATTTCATCATCCTCTTCCACAGGCTGCCCACACATACAGATGTTGCAGTAAGCGTGTGTGATAACGGGTCTGGTCTTTGGTTCAGGAGTAGATAGATCAGCTCAGCTCGTGTGACGGAGTGTGGAGGACTTAAGCAGAGGTCATGGTACTCCAAATGACTTTACAACGCTCCCCTCAGGGCTGAAAGACCAACAGCCTGAAATTTTATATTCCCTATTTAAGAATCAACTGGCTTTTTGGCACGAAAGCTCTTTGATAAACTGCCTGTAGGTGGTGCGAAGGTCAGCAACAGTTTCATATGTATCAAATATTTGGAACATCTGCTGAAATGCGCTCTCGACAAATGATCAAAAATCAGGCACCTGACTGTACAGAAAGGCTAAACGTGTTTGGCAGATTTTACTGGCAATCAAAGCCTTGAGTTGGACCAAAGTAAATCTTTATCCCATTTTTCACTGTGTGGGTTATTGGAAAAAGGGTGTTTTTAAACTGTGACTAGCATCCATAAAATTTGAGCTGAAAGGGATAGACGGGAAAACCATCCATTCCTCTGATTTTTAACAACGATCAGTAGGTCGCTTATCTTGAAACTAGCAAGGCAGCATTTTTCTATCCTATGCAAAGTACTCAAAGTACTTGAGTACTCCAAAGTAGGAGTTAGGGGATGTGTCCTGCAGGACCTATTTTCTAGGGGTGGGAATCACCACTGGCCCCACGCTACGATATTATCACAATACTTACGATACGATATCGTTGCGATTTTTAACATTCTGCAATACAGTGAGTATTGCGATACAATATATTGTGATTTATACAATTTTTTCAACTGTTTAGCTAATTTCGCATTACCCTTTCCTTTATGTTCATCTTATTTACACTGTATTTTATTTTCATGTAGCACATCTTACAAACCTTATATTTATATTTGTTGTACGAACTTTCTCCTGCTCTATGAAGTCACCTCTGCCATCCTCACTGGAAAAACAGTTGATTTTATTTTTCCATTATCATAGATTTGACTTCATATTGGCAACAAATTTGAAAAATTGATACTTGGTAAATAAGGCGATACGATATATCACCAGAAAAAATATCGCGATACTATGCTGTATCGATTTTTTTTCTCCCATTCCTACTATTTTCTATTAAAATCAAGCATTCCCAGCATCTAATTAGCATTCAGCAACAAAGCACCAAAGGCTTCAGCTGATTTTGGTCAATGCACGTCTCCAACCATCTACCAGTCCACTCCTCTATGTCTGATCTTTTGCCATTAACTTTAACTGCAGTAATGACAGTAATGACAGAGTGTTTTGCATAGAGATGAACGATCCATTTTTTTTCCGATACGATACCTGGGCTGAGCATATCAGACAATATCCCATAACAATCCAAGACTACTGTCATCGACGCCGATATCCGATCCAAATATCGATTGGTTCATCCCTAGTTTTGCATCAAAGAAGTGGTATGAGACTGTTTGTTTATTGTAATATTCGATGATTGCAGGTTCAGCATAGCAGAAATCACAGGGTCCTGTTTAAGGACAGGAGAGAGTTGAACCAGCATAGATAACATGACCCACGTGATATCCACAATTCAATCAGTCTGCAGTCTTTCTTTGTAATCAACCTTTTCCTGCTTCACTCACACGTCTTCCTATAACACAAAAAAGTCAGTAACAAATAAAAGCCCAGTCTCCTAATTCATCTGTAAAACCTTTTATTGCTTTAAAAATGCACAATAACAGCAACCAAAGAGAAAGATTGTTTTCTGTGCGGTGAAAATGCGTCCACTGAATCCAGTCTCAACGCACATCTACGCTCACTAACAACTCACCAGTTTGTTCAAGTGCAAATCAATCACAGTTGTGAGTGTCGTGAGGGGGATTGCTTCAAAGAACTCCCAGAAAAGACAAACAAACTATAAAAATATGGAGTCGACCACAGCCTCATATTTCACACTATCAAACACCCGATCGCTGCACTTCTCTGCATTCGCGGCCTGGGAGCCACAGGGTTAGCAGCTGAGTAGCATTCCAGCTGCTTCTCCACCTTTGTCCCAGCCTGAAATTCAGCTGAAATCCACTGAGGTTTTGCACTACAATCAAAGGAAAGTGTTCGCACAACGTGTAGAGGGAGCGCAAACTCTGTGCTAATCTACCATGACGAGAACTAGACTGGAACACACAAAAGGGAAAAGGGATTTGGAGTCGGATGATTCAGAGAGGTATTTGCTCAGAGTGATTCTAAAGATGGGAAACGTGGTTACATTCGTGTTTTGGTACAAATAGTGCTCAAAAGGATCTGCAGGAAAACATGTCCCCGTCACAAGTTTTCAGTTCATAACAAAAATAATCATTAATTTAGATAATCATTTCCCTTTTTTTAATTCTATTTCTCAGTAAACACAGGCTTAAGCATGATTAACAAAGTGAACAACAGGGGGATTTCACAGATGATTCACTTTAACACGGAGGAGGATTTCATCTGCTTCAAGAGAAAACAAGAGAGAGACACACATTAGAGCAAAAGAAAAACATAATGGTCTGCCAAAGTGGTAAATAAAAAAGAGAAATCACAACTCTGATGGATTAAAGCTGTACATAATTCCTGACATCGTCCAAAAAAGGCCCAAATTTTCACACTAACTTCATGTGAAATTTTTACACCCAGCGCTCTCGTAAAATTTTCGTGTAAATTACGAAAAATTACGTAAAATAGAGGGACACTTCACATTAGGGATGGTGATTGTTAGTTTTTATCCAAACTCATGCTATCATCGAGACTCCTCAGTGATCCAACTCCTTATGGACATCGCTATCAAGTCTTTTCTGTTATTTTTTTTCCCTCAAACGATCGTATTTATACTTAATTTTCACCCCAAACTATTTTTTTTTCTTTTTTCTGGACGTGAAATTGAAACACATCATGATAACAAGGATTTATTTTCCCCTACTTTACATGTTGAATAAAACATGCCATGTGAGGAGGAGGAAACACAAGAAAGACGAGAAAAACAAGAGTTTCTGTATCAATGAAAAAGTCAAACAGGAGAATAAAATTAATGTGGGAGGAGGGAATAAGATGATCCCACCAGATAACGTCAGTCATCAGCGAGCGCGGGATGGAGAGACCAAAAGGGACCAGAAAAAAGGAGGGAGACAAGAGAAAAAAGATGGAGACAGTTGGTGACAGAGAGAGAGGGTGAGGTGGACGGTTTGCAGATCCACTTGGCTGCTTCGATAGGAGCTGTTCTCTCGTTTCCACCTGCGCAACATCTGCTGCTGCTGTCCTGTCCCTGCTGTTGTAGGTATTACAGCAACCCACACTTACACACACATGCACACACACAAGGAGGCTGACCATTAAAAATCTTTTGCAGGTTTGCATTTACTAGGACACAAGTTGAACTTCGTAAAATAATGTTAATTCCAAACAATATATGTGATTCTCCTGTAAGGATAAATTAAAAAAAAAATCTTGTGACAGTTTTAGACTCGAAATCTGCAGTTTAGTTTGACCTGCTACTTTATTTTTGGACAAAATATATCCATCACTCCTCTGCAAACCAGCGTTAGCAGACCTAAAATAACAAACAGGAAGTACATTGTAGGACTTCATTGCAAAAGTTTGGCTTTTTAAAGGCAAAGGAGGAAAAAAAGGGGAAAGTTTTGAAAGAATGACGAGTGAGTGAAAGACTGTCTGCAGGAGGAGCAGACGAAGAGGTAAAACAAGAGAAAAGACAAAACTGACTCGAGAAACCGCAATGGGACTAATGGTGCAATCACCAATTTAGTAACTAGAAAAAGACGAGAGAGCAAAGAGAAGGATGAATTTATAAGCAGAAGAAGGAAGGAAGACAGACAAATGGAATAAACTAAAAAAAGAAGAGTGTGGAGGAGCAGAATAGAAGTCTTCTTTGGTGCAAAGCAGAAAAAGCAGGACTGTGCAGGAAAGGGCCCGGGGTGGCAGACCGGCCGACTTGTCTGTGGTCAGTGGTCAGCGCTTCGCTCACACTCCTTGCCCTGTCCAGTAAATCCCTGGGAGAGACAGCTGGCCAGAGACCGCCTGCATCAAATCCCTCCAGCTTTCTCTCACACATCCCACAACCGCAGAGCAAAACAACTAACAACCACCTTCTCCGGCCAAAATACTTTTTCTTTCTCCCCTTAGCAACACTCAGCTGGTAAAATTAACCAAAGGGACTGTCGTGGATAATTACGCTTTTAGGTATTTATCGAGTCTTACTCACCTGTACAACCAAACTGATTAAAAAATAGTACAAAAAGTTAAAGAAAAGCAGTCCGTCTCATCACACACCCCTGATATCCAAACTGAATCCTCTGACTGCATCAAAATAACAAACTACTTCCCCAGCTGTGACTCAACAAAAGAGAAAAGAGCACCTGCACCCTTTTATAACAGAGCTCTGATTAGATTTGTCAGTGAGACTTCACTAAACACCACTCTGATGACAGACAGAGGTTTGGGTCTTGCAGCCTGTTTTTTTCCAACCTTGTGTAGTTGCAGTTCACACAAAAATCCTTCTTCCACCGCAGACGGCAGTACACGGAGCCAGCTGCACGGTGCCTTGTGCCACCAGACTCTCGGGGCAGGACTGTTAAAGTATTTCTGTACAGCAGCCACTGTAACCTTCAGCGACTTTTACAAGACAGATCCGTCTAAATCAATCCGTCTGAATTTCTCAACATCTGGACTTGGACTGCAGGAGTCGAGTGAACCCATTTATACCGTGTTGATTCTCGCCAACTCTTCATAGGGTGTATTTTGGGAAACACAACAATAGATCAAGTAGGGCTGGGCGATAAACCGAAAATTTACCAATACTGAAATTTACAACAATAACCAATGCCATTTTGCCCATGTCAATATATTCAGTGTCAAAAAAATAAATAAAAGTTGGTCTTGGATGTGTGTAGGTAGGGTATGGTCTCATGTCCCTTTAAAGGGATATTCCGGCATAAAATTAATTTAGGGTCAAACACACCGTAACACCAAGTTAGACACACCGGTTCCAGACACACTCATTTCTCGAGCTGCATCCCCGTACGTAATGGACTGGCCCAAGGTCTCACTACAAACAAGCGGCTGCTGGAAGAGAGTGGGTGAGTTGTGTTTAGTCTCTTGTGCTATGGCTAAGACCCTATATGTACTGTTGATGAAGTTAGGTGCTGTTCTGATCATTATTTGTGGCTGTAGAGTGGCGTTTTGGTTGAGGTTTGTCTATGGCTCCTCAGACCGCTGTGTTTTGTTATCGTGCGGTCGTTACTAAAGTTGGTAAAAGTAGGGAAGCAAGCGGTCAGCAACAACCATCTCTCGAGGGGGTGTCTAATCCGATGTTACGGTGTATTTAACTCTAAATTTATTTTACACCGGAATATCCCTTTAAGACGCTGTCCTACGTCCGAGATGTGACTCCACCCCATCCAGTCCGTAACAAAGAGGGAAAGACAGGTGAGGAGCTGGAGGACGGTTCAAAAGTTGGAGTGGCTAGAGTGGAGGCTGAAGTAGACGAAGATGAAGTAGGGGGTGAGCAGCTCGTGGAGTAGTTATCGTCCATTTATCGGCAAACTGCTCAATATATCGGGATATTGATTTGAGGCCATATCTCCAAGCCCTAAGTTTGACCAACCTGAATGCTAAATTTGGGTTAAACAGATGGCGAATGACGCCTCAGAATAACACTGATCACTAACACATCAATCAAAAGATAAATATAAAAAATATCAAGCAGCTGTTTTCGCAGTAACATGTAAAGACACGAAGCAGGAAAATGCAGGAACTGATGGAGCTTCATTAATTTGCAAAAAGATTAAAACACACAAGAACTCTCTTATTTGTTAGAAAATTACACTACATGAAAAACATGTTCCTGCTCTGGCTAACAGTCCTTAAAGTAGGCAGTCTTTGCTCTAACTCTACCTCAGAGTCTCCTAAAAGTAATAAAATGACTGCAGTTGGAACGTGTGACCTTCCTGAACTCACACGGGAACAAGAAGCCAGTGTAGCTGCAAAACAAGCTCAACGTTCCTATGGTGTACGGCGAGGATTCCTCTATCTCCTCAATAACCGAGCTTTGTGAGAGATTCATGTTTGCGAGAACGCCAAAACTGGATCCCAAAGACTCTCATAAAAATCTTTGCTTTCTAATTAAATCCATAATTTACTATTTCCTCTGACCCACGGTGCAGCGCTCTGACAGAAAGGCTGTTAAGAGGGAGATAAAAATGAAAGTGAATGAGGGAACGGGAAGAATTAAAAAGAAGACATTTCCATCCTTCAATTAATTTTGTGCTTACCAAGAACCTGTCAACATTGTTAAAGACTTTGCGGATGGCTAAACCAACGAAGAATGTTCTGGATGTCTGAGGCATGAGAAGAATCCATCTGTGTTTATATAATTACAGCCCATAATCTGTCTGGTTTTTCTCTCAGACTTAATGGTTTCTGAGGATAAGCCACAAATGTCCGTGTTTTCTGTTTATTGATAATTCAATCAAAATCCCACCTAATGAAAGGTTATGATCCTTACAGGAGAGCTGTTGTCAGTTTTATCTTTTTTTTGTGAAGAGGAGAAGAAAACGGCTGAATTTTATAAAGCGAACGAATGCTGTTGGCTTACTCACAAAAGCAAACAAAGCAGTGGTGTAAGGGGTGACCATTCTGCCTCCAAAAAAAGAGTGTTTGGCTCTTTGTAGACAAGCAGCTGGCGGGTAGCTCCTGTGGTCAAGGTATGGACGAAGGAGCTCAAGGTCTGCTGGGAGTCATCATTAACTTTGAACAAGGATACGTGTGTGTGTGTGTGTGTGTGTGTGTGTGTGTCTTTGGAAAATCATCCCGCGCTCTGATCTTCTCCCCTGAACAAGCTTCAAAGCCGACACACTGAGCGCCACAGGACCAGCCAAGGGCCATTGGCAAAAGTGAGGAAGGTTTATGTCCGAAGAAGACACACACACACACACATGCACACCCCTTCTGGACATCTTAGGAAAGGGCCAACACATGTGCACTCAGGGTAATTGCATGCATATGAGACATGCAGAGTTACAGATGTAAAAGTCAAAGTAAATAATTATTAGATACAATTGTGTAACAGGACACGAAGGGAAAAAAGAGACCAAAGGGGCTGAACAGACCCAGACATGCAGACCCTTTTCAAAAAATTTGATTAGAATTAGACTTCTGGTTTGTGCTCAAGTCCTCTTTTTCTGTACAGCTCCATTTTTAAAAGTTATTAGGGGGTTCATGTTTTTTATGATTGACACTTGATACAGCCTATCACGCCTACAGGGCGTATGAAGATTACGTAGCTTACCCGGGGGATATGCTGTTAAAGCCGAGCTTCATCACAGCAACCCTCGGCAACAATGCTACTGCGCAGTGTTGGTTTCAGGAAGTGGAGAAAAAAGCGGAATTACCAAGAGCTTTTCAGCTTCAAATCCGTATACAGGCGGAAGGCAGAACCAAGTTGTCCATAGTATATACAGTCTATGGCTTGAACACAGCACTCTGTGAACAGCCAGCCTCCTTAGCTATGAACTTTCGTGGCTTACCTATCCTATGGAGGGTATCAGTGATGGTCCTTTGGTCAGTTCTTAAGTCTGCAGTCTTCCCATCATTGAACCAAACTGAAGTTAATTAATGACACCTGGAGAAACCTGCACAGGTGTTTTGAGTTGAGTAGATGATTAGTGTGTGATCATCTACACTCAGTTTTAAACATTCATGCTCTGCAAAATTTAGGCTGGTTTCTTCACAGTATTCTAACTATTCAAATTCCTGTTTTCGTGGGCTTTATGAGCTGGAAGCCCAAATTATGTAAAAATAAACAAATACATACTTGAAATCGTTTAAATTGTGGGACCCGAATCTATTATCTATGAAAGTTTAACTTTTTGAATGGAATTATGGAAATAAATGAATTTCTCCATGATATTCAATTTTTTTGAAGGGTCTGTTTACTGCAGGGTCAGTGGTGTGAGAATTTAGAGCAAGACCGGTGCATCAGTCCACATCAAGCCATGTCAGGCTTCATTAGTAAACACAGATCAGCAGCTCTACAACAGTGTACATCAGAAATCAAGCACTTCACTAATTCCTGCTATGTTTTCATCACAGCCAAGAAATGTGTCTCCTCCTCCTCCGAGACACAAGAAGTGATGAGTTTCATGTTTTGGTTTCATTGTTATTGTCTTTTTCTTGGGTGGAGTGGATCTCGAAATCTGGGGTATGTTGGGTACTGTGTGATATAACGTCTAATTAAGTGAAAACTCACAGTCTGTTTCTGCAGGCACATGCCCCCGACGTTAAAGGTCACCGAAACGAATAGGACAATTATGAAATGCATTATGGTAACAGCTTAGAGGTACTCAGCAGTATTTGTATTTTGCTAAAATAACAAGAAATTTTAATACCGAAGCAAGGAGGGCTAATACTGAAATGGCCGATAAACTCAAAACACAAACTAATACAGCATGACAGTCCCAGCTTCGTTCTCTCCACCTCCTCCACATATGCACACACAGATTCATCAATGACCTGGATATTCAGCCTGCTGCTCTTCCATTACCTCCCACAGGTTACACTACATCATGACCTCACTGGACTGACATCCCCATGAACAAAGGCCCCATTTGGACCATATAATCACATTTTTCTACAGCCATCAACCTCCATATAATCCTTGAAAAACCATTTGGGTTTTTTTATCCAAAAACCATGACACAAAATGTCAGGCTCACTGTTCCAGCACACGCAAACGCACAACTTCGCACATATCCATGAAGGAAGATTATCTGACTTTTGGTTCCACCAACGCCAAACTCCATCACCACAGTGCTGCATTCCTCCCAAGATGACACACTGAAGTCTGGACACACATCTGTCTATTTGCAGTTTGGAGATTTCAGCTAGTGTGCAATGTGTGGGTTTGTGTGTCCAACTCTGAAGAAGGTGGATAATTTGCTGTAATTGCTCCTCTGCTAACAGATAGATATCCAAGGTATGACTGTTGGACTGTGCAGTATCTGTATTTCCATCCATGGACTGACAGCTGAGTGGTAGCAGTCATCGGCTTTCTGCCGAGTCTCCTGTTGGCCTCCAGGTAGATGGATGTGTCATACCTGTGTGTCAATAAGAGATTTTATTCCATCTCATGTGGAGCCATTACTCGGGATTAAGATGTGGACAGTCTAACTCAGCTGCACGACGCCACAGATAGTGTTTTCTGTCATGACTATGTCTCTTTTTTTTATCACAATTTGTTCAGCTAAATAGTCTGATAATGATGAAAAAGGTTTAGGAGATGCATAACATAGCAAAGTGAGCTATCAAAATATATGATCCATGATATTTTAGGGTGACCATATTCTGACTAGTGGGCACGACTACAGGGGGTGGAGTCGTGTCGTGAGTTTTTCAGGTCGGATCAAGTGTATTTTACGTGCTTTAACTCAGTGAGTCCACGTGACACAAACTCAAAACTTACCGCAGACATTTGAAGGATTTTAAAAACTTCCCTGGACAAAGCTGAACAAGCCCGGACAGCCCCCCAAAAAGAGGACACATCCGGGTAAAAGAGGACATATGGTCACCCTCTGATATCTACCATCAATTGGAGCTAGGCCTAACACAACAAAGCCACATCTGAAACAGAATCTAGCCTTGAACAAACGAGAAACTCGCTAATGAGGATCAGAGATGACACTTGTTAGGAGTTTCTGTAAAAGCTGGTGTTTTCCAGAACCAGCTCCCAGCACTGTTGGCGTTTCGGAATAACAATTGGCATAAGCTTCACCTGATGATTGGAATACAATTTCTTTCCGATTGAGCCAAAGTAGATCAGAATCTTCCGATCGACATGTTTACATGATGCATTTTATTCCAATCAGACCATTTATTCAGATTATTTGTGCTCACGTAAACACAGCTAGTGTCAGGTTACTGAAGATGGGATCCAGGATGTTCCTGCAGCGCTGCACGGTTTGCATGCTTTTGCTCCCCATATGGATTGTTGTTTTTCTGTTAATACAAAATCCTGCTGAGCCATGATTAGTCAATACTACTCAGACAACAAACATGCTTACCATGTAGAAAATCAAATTTGGTGAGATTGACATTTAGAGATAAGAATGAGGGACTCCAAGAAGACAAATGTGTCTGCAAAGGAGTCTTACGAGTGCAAGTACAAATTTGACCTTTACACCCATCTCTGTAATCAATCTTCACACAGCGTCTGTGTCTGTTTGAACACTTAGAGGTCTAAATGGACACAGAAAAAACACTCATTGACATTAATGGCCAGTTGTGATTTCCCCAAAAGCCCCTGCAAAAACAACCGTTCTTTCATTGGACATCAATTCCAGCCAATGAGCTGTCAACAAAAGATGGTGCAACAACTTTTTTACTTTTTGAAGGAAATTCCATGAAATCAGGAAAGAAACGAGCTGGAAAATAAACAACACAGAAGATCCCCTTTCCACTTTATGGCGAGTTAATAAAAATGTAATTCTACGAAGAGCAGCTGTCACAACAGCCTCTAGTCAGAGGAACGGTGCCCTACACTTCCACTAAGATCACACGCAACACAAAAGTCAGAGAGCTTCTCAAACCCTCAGAATTAGAAGGAGGATTGTTGAAAAAGATGAAGATCCAGCTTCACCAGTTTCATCTGAGAGAAGAAAATGTGCTAGAAACGGGCTTTTCAAAAATTAGACAATCGAATGGACGAGTGCTGCTTGTTGGGATCTTTGATTTCTACCAGAGTTTGGTGCACGGGTCGACTTTGTTCCCTCTCCAACATCTTGTTGCATTTGGAGGCTGAATTGGCAGGAATACCCTGAGCTGTTTGATTTACACACGAACAAGAAAATAAACGCAACCAAACGCCACAGCCATAAACAAAAGGAGATATACCAAACACTTCACTGTGTAATATATGTGACTAACAACAACAATCATAACCAGGATCATTAATCTTACCGTGAACCGCACGCTCAAAATTACACTGTTTAGAGTTCGTCAGATTGTCAGGGTTTGCTGTCCCTTGGTTGCCATAAGCGACATGGTAAAAACATTTGGGTGGCCAGCGGAGGAGGGTTCATCTGGAACGACGATTCCCTGCAATAAAATAGAAGCTGCTGCAAATCTATCAGCAATTTTTGACAATAAATGGGTTTTTTGACCGTTTCTTGGCCCTGAAATGAAATCCCACAATGTTGGATAGCAGGTGGACCCATTTATGAAATGTTTCTGAGATGCCGTTAAAGTCAGTATTTATTGGGGAAATCAATGACCATGGCATACGAAATCTCTGATCCTCCTCCGTCTTCGTGGGACTCTCCGTCCTTGATGTTCGGCTACATTTCCTCCGTGATTTATGTGACAGATAATGACAACTTACTACTTTCCTCCTGGGCTGGACAACGAACCCTCTCAGAAACAGCCCCGCTTGCTGCTTCAGAGATTCCCCAAATCCGGGCTAATGAAATGCTCCATAAACAGAGATTTACTCTAATGATGTTGGATAGGTTGCTGTGTTTGTTGCTTTTTTTCCTCAAGTTGCCATCAGAGAGCCTCTTTCTTGGGAGGGCAAGTATTTCTCTATGTTTTATGTGTCCATGTGCCTCTATCAAGGTGCAGCAGTACAGGCAGTAAAGAGGCCTGCTATAGCAATCTGTGGTTGTCTGCTGGGCAGCAGGTGTGTGTTTGTGTGTATGAGAGAGTGAGCGAGCGCAAGGCAAGTCTGGTCCCAGATTTAGAGGAGGAAGCCGGTGTCAGGGCCAGGAGATGGATCTCTCCTGAGGGATCCGATAAATAAGGAAAAAATATCTTTGAAAAAGGGAAACGCAGCTGTTTCCAAAGGAGAAGTCAAAATATTGGTGGCTTTACATTCCATAGACACAAGGTAGAAGGCCGAATCGCCCCGTGATACTGTGTGATTCCCCGTTTCCCTGCCGTTCACCTCCTTTTTTTCTCCTATTCCTTTCTGCACATCTATTCTTCCTTCTGCACCGCTGCTGCATCTCCCTGTATTGGCTCGAAGCCTGTCTGTCTCCTCCACCCTCTTTGTCATGTAGTCAGTCAAGCCCCAATGTGAGTCCCTTTGGAGAGTCTGTGGTGACCACAATACATTTCAGCGGCTTAGAGGCCCAGCATATGACCCACTGATAAATCAGTCTGGGCCGGCTTCTATCTTCCCCCTGGGCTGACTTACATGTAAAACCTACTGCTTGTTTTACATACAGGCGCAGCTCCAACAACAGCGGTGGTAACCAGATACCTGGATATTTAAAAAGCAGGTGGGCTTTGGGGAAAATCAGGAGGAAAACAAACAATGTTTCTAATAATACATCTGTCCACAATGTCAACACTATATTGGTGAGATGAAAGTGCTGAGAACTTTGGCTTCATTAAAGTTATTTGAGTTTTTTGCTGAAAGTAAGAAATGCATGTTCAGGTTACCTTTTTCAGATGACTTGTTATTTTAGTTCAGGGGTAGCCCCTATGGAAACTATTCCCAAACAATGTTTTCTTTTTCCTGTTACCATGCAGTAGGATACAGATACTAAGGCCTGGGTTTTAAGCAGGATAAAAACATCCATTGAGGCTGGGAGTTGGTTTCTCTATCTTGTTTTGCAATCATCTATTGAAATCACAGATCAGTAATCGAGAAATAGCAAATAAACTGAACCGGTCTCTCTAGTCTTCTGGACAACCTGCAGCTGCAACAGTTGCCATCGAAGGCATGGTACCAATGTGCCAAATATGATCTCGATCACGTTGAACCAAAACACTCTTGACCAAACAAGCATGAGATACAGACTGGAAGAGCCAGGCATTTACGAGGTCCAATCCTGATATCAGCCAGATACTGAACCAAAAAGCCAGACTGGGCTGAACCTACTAAGGGGTGCTGTGCGTCCTATATCATTAGGAGTGGCAGATCTGTGCACCACCTGCGGTTCATCAAAACAAGGAATTACATTGGACACTTAGAACCCCGGTCCAGTTGAGACCTGAGTTACACAGCCTATGGTGCAGCCTACATGCTAAAAAACTAGCACAGATCACACACACCAGTGGCTCAATTAAGACCGTCGAGGTTAAGTGTCCATATTTGAGGATCATCATGTGGTTCACACAACTTTCTTTAACATAATGTTTAGGAAAGACATCCAAATAACAGATTATTTGGTTGTGAAAGTAAGAACCGCCATATGGTAATAAGTGCTTCAACCATCGGTGGCATTAATCTGACACAAACCCCTTAGCAAAGGAAAAGGGATTAAGAGAATAACCAGCTTATCATGAATGTGAAACCCACTGAAATATACCCACTCAAACTATTCTGAGCACACTAACCTTATTGTACAGAGTGGCAAACAGACGTATATCTCCAAATGTGACACTTTCACCGGCAGGGGAATTGTACTTTGCTCTGTCGGAAGCGGTATCTAGGAGACGTGCAGCTAAGAGGTGTGGAAAGTGTCTAAGCAGGAGGAAAGACTGGGCAGAGTTTCCCCCTGCACATCCTTAGTGATAAGATCCTTTTATCCAGAGAGCCTCGCAGCACAGGGAGAGGATACATTTCTCATATAAGTGGCCTCAATGGGAGCCAAACCCATGGACCCAGTTGTGTTGCAATTGTACCCTCTCGCTTTAAAACATTCCTTTGTTTGAGTCTTCTTCTTTCTCACCTCATTATCTTCTCTTCCCTGTATTAAGAGTTTCATTTTCCCCTGACGCTCTAATAAAAAACATGCGATAAAGAGGACATACACATCTTGCTTCTCCTCCCTCTGTACTCTTTTCCTCATCCCTGTCTTTCCCCCTTGCCTCCCTCCATCTCTACTGTCTCCGACTGTTTTCCTGTCAGTATCATGTTTGGAAAGTCAGCCCGTGGGTCAGCCTAGGGCTCGTAAATTTGTCAGCAGCAGCGCGGTTGAAAGGGAGGCTACTTGCTCGGGAGGGTCAGCGGCATCCAAGCTCACATGGGGCCTTTTTCTCACCGCAGACCCTCGCTTGTTGTTTCAGGCACGTCCTCTTTAGAGAGACGACCAGCCTGAGAACATGCATGGGGGCCGAGGGGTTGAAGCTCTCTATGTGACACAAGTATTTCATGAAGCCTCCTTGTAAAATGAGGGAGGGGTGCGTGATGTCTGACAAGTGTGTTCAAACACAAGTCGAGTCTCATTTGTTGGTATTTACATACCTGTTAGGACTTTCTGCTAGTGAGTGACTGCATTCATGCCCTAACCCTTGACCCTGACCTGTAAGGAACTTCACCTTAACACATCTATAACTGTCAAACATACAGCTATTCTCAACTCTATCATACCATGTCTACAGTATGCAAATATTGGTTTATAGGGATCATAAATTTGCTGATCAAGTTCTGCACAATGTCTTGCATGATGGTTTCCTGAAGATTTAACTAGCATTGACATTCAAAGGTATTTCAGGTATTTGAACTCAATGCAGTAGCGGCAGATGACTGCCTTACATGAGTCTGGTTCTGTTTGAGATTTCTGCCTGTTAAAAGGAAGTCTTTCCTTGCAACTGTTGCTTGCTAATGCCGGGATTCCACCACATGCAGATCCGCTCCGGAACGGCAGGCAGAACAAAAACTCAAGGATACAGCGCCCGCCGGATCCAATCCGCTGCCGCAAGCGGAGGAAAAGCACTTGCGCTATTTCCGATATTTCTCATGCAACTGAAACACCCATATCCCACAACCTTGGCCCCTCCCATTAACATGTGAAGAACAGTTTAACATATTGACTTTATTTTGTTTTGAAAATTACACGAATGTTTTACTCTGTAGCCACATACAACTTCTGCTGCCGCTTGTGCTGCTCTGCACTGAATTGATGTGTTGTGCTGCAGCATCCAGCAAAATAAGAAGCCTTGCATATCTGATACGACTGCGCAGCAGAGCCGGACAGCGGATGGATTGTGTGGAATTACGCACATTGATTATAATGCTTGCGTATTTGATCAGGCTGCCATTCCAGTGTGGAGCGAAGCCGTTCCTTATCCTGTGGAATTTAGTCACAAGTGTAACACTCGTGACGATGAGAATGGGATGGGATGGGTCTGATCTTAGAAGACAGGGCTCAATTTTATCCCATCTTGTAAATAGAGTATTGTCTGGACCAGCTTTTTGATCAGCGTCTTAGTATGACGCTTGTACTGAATTGGTGGCGTATAAATAATAATAGATTTTATGTTCAGGACAAGCAAAAAAAAAGAAAAGGTCAGATTATCAACAGAGTCTGCAGGAATTCTTCAGAAGGAACCACAAATCCCAATGACGAAAAATTCAGAAGCTAAAAATCGCCCTGTGACCTCAGCCTCGACAGAAACATTCAAAAAACAGATTTAGACAAAGTTACTACAACTATCCCAAAGTTATGCTGGTATAAGTACAGAAATGTGTTCCCATACCAAACACGCTCATACTTTCCTCATTCGCCTCTCCAAGGTCACCAGAGGTTTTAAATCACCCTTTAAGACTCCTCCATGTGTGCCCCCTCTTTTCTTTTTTCTCTTTATTGTTTTTTATTGACCAGCAATGAATCTCTGCAGGTTTCCTGGTGGCTTCACAGAAGAATGTGACACAGAAGGAATGTTTACCATGACATTTACCCCATTCCTGTTGGCAGCGGCCGACTCTCTAATGGAACGAGGCTCTTCAACGGAGAAAACGACGGATCATTATGATAATGAATGGAGTTTACTGGGCACACAGGGACACGATTTGGAGTTCAGCGGTTCACAGGTTCACAACCTCTTTTGAGACCTGGGTGGACCAGAAATTCCAAAGACATACCAACCATTGTTAGACGTGAAGCGCCTGTGACTTGAAATATTTAATGAGATATCACATGTGTCATCATACTGGTAAGAGTACGGACCACAAATAAATTGTTCCTGAGAAATCAAAGTTTTCTTGTTAAGTGCTGGTAGATTTTTTCATTTATGCATAAAGAGTCCTAAAAGTCCTAACATTATATGAGTTGATCATCCGGTTATTCAGTGATGGTGAAACTCCATAGCTCAGTTTAGAGTATTTTCCTGAGCCGTGTTTTCACTGTCGAATGTTTCCCCTGCCTGCACTAACAAGTTAAGCTGTAAAGAGCAATTTTAGACTGCAGTTATTTCTAAGTGCGTCCAACCTTGAGAGCTTGAGAGCAGTGCAGCGTGTTCAAGTGTTTCTGCTGCAAGTGGCAACCATGTCTTAAAAAAAACAATCTTTAAATACAGTTCAGGAAAGTCTCCGGCATTTCTGAACCATGTCTAAATACGATTTCCTCTTTGCATTTTTAGCTGCAGTAAAAAAACAGCAGTTTTAGATGCAATTTTGAGCCCATGTGGTGATTTCTACTGCAGAGTCATGTCTTGTGATGTCGCTTGAAGGCTCCAAAACATGGCCAGTAAACAGTTATGTCTTTTTGTGCAGAGATTTCTCCAATATTTTCAAAGATATAGTGAGGATTTAAATCATTTTCAAACCATTAAATCGTGTTTTTCTCAAACATTATCACGTACTTAAACCGCAGCTGGCAGGTGCTTCAACCTTTCAGGATGAATTTTGCAGCTTGGTTTTTATTTGTCAAGAGATATGCATGCACAAAACTAAGAAAACACATTCGTTTGCATCATAGCACGAACACAAACTCGAAATATACACACAGCCTTGCAAAAGCAGATGCTAATTCCAGGTTAATGATCTCCTCTGTATGGCCTCCCTATGGTTGGTTAAACAAAAGACAAAGGCTGACAGCTTTACGAGGCTTCTAGCCGGAGAGAGCAATGCAGATAACAAACACACACATTGTCTCTGTCTTGCTATACACGCAAGACTGCAACTTTAGGCTTTCTGACCACGCTGCAATTAAAAAACTGATTATTGGAGCACGATCGGAGCAAGATGAAGTAGAAAAATAAATGAAAATATAAGACAAGGAGGAAAGGAGACGTGCAAGAAGAGAGAAAACACTATTGTGTGATAGGTCTGTGAGAGTCTGCCCATCTTTTTTGAGACACAGCAGAAAAAAACAGCAAATTCCTTCATGCCTGCACCCAGAGGTGATAAATGGGAGCAGCAGGCCCTAATCAGTTGTTCCGCCAGCGTTATCAGCTCCGTTCTATAGCTCGTTACCAGCCGCGAGTGTGCCTCACTTCACCTCCTTATCTGGTCACACTCCTCCGTTCCACCGCACATCACTCTGAGGTGGAATGTCGGACGAAGACAGAGGACTGGACGAGAGGGGCGGGGGGGGGAGGAAATGAAGACGGAGAGCAAAAACAAGGCAGATGTGTTATCTCTGTACTTAGCCCCGATCTCAGCTGCCATCTCGTCAAGTCTTTGAGTTATGGCGTGAGAGGGAGAGATAGGATCAGAGTGGGTGGGCGCAGGGATGTGTATGCGTCTGCGTTAGTGGGGTGTTGGAGGAGAGTGTGTGACAGAGATGACATCAAGTGTAAATGGAATTTTCTCTTATAAATGGCCATCGACTGACCTGCAGGTCGACTGACTGTGTGTACATCTCCATTTATGCATCAATCCCTCCACCTGTGGTCAAAAACTCTCTGCACTCTCTGAGATCCGTAACAAAAAACTCTGACAGACAATAGCGGTGTCCTGTAACACCTTGTCTAATAAGATGGACAAAGCCGGGCTGGAAAAGACATAATCTGGACAGGCGGACATGTTTCCCTCATCAAATCTGTTTGTTTCTTCAGGCAGTTGTCTATTTTGCCAAAGAGTTCGACAACCAATACAATCCAAACATGAGAAAAAGGAAGCACTCTAAAACACTGTAACTCAATATTAAGTGGAATTATTTGTATATCGACTTGAACATCAGGCCAAGTCCCAGTGAACTTGTAGCAGCAGTGAAATATCTGATACTGTAAACAGATGAAAACAAACACGGAGGTTTGTAGTTTGTCGATGTAATTTTTCTCACCATCGTAAGAAAGCTTCCACTGCCAAGTTTATGTCTGAGTTAATATCCTTTATTCGCCTGCAGCATATCTTGAATTCTTCGCTCCACTTCTCGGTAATAATGTTTAGGGTTAGCTCAAAGCTAAGGAGGAGTGACGGGTGGTCTCCATTTTGTTCTCCGTCCCTGAGGATTTGCAGGAAGTGTTTCATGACGGTTTAGTGAAAATTTTCCAAAGCTGCCTTCTGCATCAAACAATTGACTCTTTGATAGAAGCCAACTAATTATTTGATCATGCTGGGGCTTTGGGACACGTTTCGCTGCAAAGGAAGTGGCTTACCTGGGCTTAGGCGCTGAGAAATGCAGCCAGGCATCATAAGACAAGGAAAACAGCCGTTTAATAAGCGCACTACGTTTCAGAATAAGCCCAGGGTTGTCTGGACCCAGTTAATCTCCTGAAAACCCACTTCTTAAAACTTCTGGCTTATTTTCCTTTAATGTGTGGGAGGTAGGCTGGGCTGTTGACTTAGAGGAGAGGTCTGGTGACAGCTAAACTATAGCCATGTAATGAGGTGTGCAGGGGTGGAGAGGGGAAAGCAAAGAGGGGAGAAGACGGCAGTCATGATGCGATCCGAGTTGGATATCTGACTGACTTGGTTTTCAGACTCAAAGAGTCTGCAGCTGGAGATAAACAGTGAACAGAGGTCATGGCTGCACCTGCTAGTGCACAATGCATCCTGATACGTTCTCAGTCAGAGGCGTGAACTCAGATGATGATGATGCTTTCACTGACCAATTCTGATCCTGATTGGCAGTAGGATTGTACGCATTCTGCGGGAGAGTCGCCGAGAGTCGCTGTGATGACGCTCGGCTCAAACAGTGCATCCCCCGGAAGAGCTACGCAATCTTCGTAAGCCCATGGGCTGTATCAGGTGTCAATCATAGAAAACATGAACCCCCTAATAACTTTTAAAAATGGAGCTGTACAGAAAAAAGAGGACTTGAGCACAAACCAGTTTACAGTAACTACATGTCAACATCACAACCAGGGGGGAGAAAAATTTATGTTCTGTGTAATAAATTTCTAAAGTTTGTCCACAGCTCCATAGGGATTGCTGGAGGAGGCGGGATTTATGACCTATAATGCAACCCGTCACCAGAGGGTGCTGTTCTCAGGGTGGCTTCACCAAGCAAGGGAGTAGACGGCAAGCACATATGCGTGCACATAATTCAGGGTTCCTATGGAAAGTATGGAAGCACACGTGTGTACACGAAGCACACAATTTCCAGGTTTTAAAAAGTATGGAAAAAAATATATATTTCCGGACTATTACCACAGTTCTAAAATACTGTTTTCTAAAATAGAAAAGTAGGTATTTACAAAAATAATTCTAAAACATATGGAAAAGTGTGGAAATTCCAACTGTGTAGGAACCCTGATATTTCTCTGCATGTCATCTTGGTTTTACCGAGCAATCTGAACTTTGAAATTTGATGACCAGGAGGGCAATCAAGCTCACCTGTTTCTCTAAAGCTTGAACAGACCTCCTCACCTGTCGGTCTCACTGACATGACGGCGCAACAGCAAAAGCAAACTCGTCAAAGTTAAACGCAGACGACACTGAGACAACATTTGTACTTCCCTGCTCCGAGACCCATGAAACTAAAGAAATTAAACGCATCCCTGACTCACCGACCAGCTCTGAAGCTCTATTACAAGTGTGTAAACCTCCACAAGGACGTGTTCAGAGCTGCAGAGTGTCACACAGCATGAGTCATTCGGCACACAGTGTCACTTCACAAGACCTCAGTGGAAAAGCGGGACGTCCGCAAGGCAAACAGTGATGAACGTGCTATTCTAGGAATGAAGATGAAAAAGAGGTTGGAAAATATGCTCCTGGTCACTCATTTTGGAGTTTTCCACTTCTTTTTTTTTTTCAATGGGTCATTCTGAACAAGTGATGAAAGCTAAAGAGAATGGATGACTGAACAAGAGGTCTACATGAATCACCAAGGGGGGTGGTGGGGGCATATGGTTCGCAGAGAGTGCACTTGAGAGTGGATGTAACACAGGGGCTCTTAAATCTATCCCAGCCCCATGAGGATACCTTCAGAATGAGCTCTCTATCTGTACCCCCGCTGCAGCTGGCTGTGAAGGACATTCGTTGGAATCCCTGTGATTGTTTCATTCATAAAAGTCTGAGATAGCAGGAAAAGTCGCTGTACGCCTGTTTTTGAGTCACACCATCAGTGTAAACACGGCCACTGAACTCTTGTTGCTCCATGAACACATTATACAAGAAGGTGCCTTTCAATCCACACATCTGCTTCATGCTCTGTCTGTTAATTCTGCGCCGTGTTATTCAAATGAGTTCAGACAGACTGTTTGGCTCTCTGTTTCTCTTCCTTTCATTTATCTTGATCTCAATTTGTAGTTTCGCTTTGGCCACACATGATAGCCAGATTTTTAAGGCCGGATTCGAAACAAGAAAAAAGACCACCCAGAAGAGTTATTCAGACCTCTTTCTACAACAGACTTCGAAAGTCGCTCAACACAAACCGCTCCAATCGAGCGAGAGACACATTAAAATCTAATCGGATGGTGATGACACACGGTAGTCGTGCAAGGTCTTATTCGCAAAGCAGATGGAAAGCCTTGGCCTGTCCAACATTAATTACAATCACATCCAAAGAGGAAGCCGTCCCTCCTCCAGGGCGGTTAGGACTCTGTGTACGGCTGGAGGAGATGGCAACCTAATCCCCCGGCCACCGCAGAAATCTGAGGGAATCGTGAAAAGATGCACAGGACATGATTAATCAAAGTAGAGAGCCAGATGTGCACCAACAGTGGAGAATAGACCCGTACTGACCCAAACCACAGACATACAAACACCAAGCAGCCACCACCACACACCTACACAGGAGCCAACTGAGCAGCTTCAATATTTGAGACTAAAAAGACAGCCTCCTTCTGTCTGAATATCTGGTTTTCATCACTATATGTTGCAACACCATCCTCAGAGGACCAATAAGTAGAGAAACATTTGCTTTTTTTACTCTCTAGACCCGATTCTCCTCTTTGTGTGTGGTAGAGTGGTTATTTAACTATTTCTGAAGCTCAAGGAGAAAAAAGAGGGGCTTCATTGTCCCTGTTATCGTGGACTGATCAAGATTTCCCAGAAGAGAATAGCAATCAATCTGGATTTGAGCCTCCCTGTCCACTAGCGTTTGACTCTGGCAGCATCTCTGTTTATCTTCAGGCGCTCTGTTTGGAGTCTCTCAGTAAACACAGAGGCTGCTAATGGAGGGAAGGCTTTTGTGCTTTTATGTCTGAAACTCATTATGATTAAAGTCCCCCTCCTCTTTATCGTCACTGCAGCTAATTACAGACAAATCTTCTTGGGTAACACAAACAATGCGACGCAATTTACGCACAGAAACCGCAACTCGCTGCGCTGGAGGTCAATGGCAGGAATAGCCTTTTATATACAAATACCAGTGGTGGTGGTTGATGGCTTGCTTGGGATACTAAGGTCTGTTTTTTTTCCGCGGAGGCATAAATCATGGAGCAGAATGCACGACAAGACTGACCACAGAATCTCCGTCCTATAAATGAGCCGAGTAGGGCCAATTTACGCTTGTGAGAAGATGTAACAATAAATTACTGCGAAACAATAAGAGCCTCGAGAGTTTATAAGCCTTGGAAAGTAGCCTAACTTGCCCTGAGAGACTCACACATTTCATGCGTAAAACATGCGCAAAGCCAAGTCGAGTGTCCATTATTCACTGATCTGGTGGTTAATTACAAAAAAAATATGATCAACAGGTGTTTAACAAGGCCAGATGCAATGTGAAATGAACAAACAGTAACAGATTAACAAGGACCTTATTCATATTCACGATATAAATCATACCAATTTCATATGTGTCCTTTGTGAGACCCCTCACCTCAGTTTTGCATGTGCCAAACACCTGTTAACCCTCATTCCAATCTGGCACAGACTTTCTATGACGCCCAAACAGCTAAAACCAAGACAAAAACAACTCACAGCAGCGACTAAATCAATCGAAATGATCTGTAACTTACCCAGATTTACGAAACTCATCACCATATCCGCATCATTAAGAAAGGCAGTCTCTTGAAACGTGGCTAAAGGGGGACTCTGGGTCGTACGCATGGACTGATATCGGTCCAGTATGCCCTCCACTTGGCTTTTCTCCTCTGTCGAAATGGTGTTGTATAGGTCCAACATAAAAAGTGGAGCGGAATTGTACTTTCCATGTGACAGATGCGGTCTCGGTCTGTGTGGCAGCCCGAGGATGGACAGGATCTCCTTCTGCATCTCCCTCTTCTCGTGCGTCCGCAGCCGCCGGTGGATGAAACCCGGGTGCACTTCGTTGTTTCCATCCAGTGAATAATTACTCCCCGCGACTTGGAACATGCAGTAATAAGCGCTCCACCACAATCCGAATATGGCAAGCCAGCAGCTGGTCATGGTGTTGTCCCGCTGTTGCTCCCCGAAGTCCCGGAGCTTCAGTCACAACTGTCCAATTGTAAAAAAAAAAAAAAAAAAAAAAAAAAAAATGTGCGTAATGGTAACCAAAGTCCGTCCCGTGCGCGCTGTTATCAGTCGAAGCCGGAGATCAGAAGCGACAGAAGACTCGTGATTCAAGCCATGTGGAAAACTCTAAGAAGAGGAATGCGCCGAAAAATAAAGGTTCTGCTTTCATTTCTGACCCTCGTAGCGCGCTGTGCTGCCTCCGGATAAAACGCACCATGAGAAACTTTATTCCGGGCGCTCCGGTGAGTCGGTCAAAATTCAATGTTTGTTTCGAAGTTCACCAACACAAGAAGAACCAGTCCTCTAAAAGAAGCCATCCCCGGTGAATCTGCTGGTTAAAATATAAGATCTCCAAACGTTACGCACTGTTAGAAGACGCCCTTTGATAGCTGAAGTTGCCTTATGTGACGGTGACCTACTCCTACTGGCTCTGCGCGAGTCTAACTGCAATCTGCAGGTTGCAGTCCATAATATGCACGAGCGTGTACGTGTGCGTCTGGATGTGCGCTCAGAAACCGCCCACTCCGTGCACACTGAGCCAGAGGAGGAGCTCTACGAGTTTCAATAACAACCAAGACAACATATTTCCATAATTTATTCTCTGAAGAATCTTTGTCCAACTTTGGTAAAGTTGAGTTCACGGGTTTCTACTACAATCTTGAAAAGTTTTACTCCAGAATTCACGCAAATCTGAAACTTTTTTTTTCCTTTTTGTGGTATTACAAGCAGGTTTACGAGGAAATAAGTTGAGATGACCAGCTGCAACTTCAGTTCTGCCTTCAGGGAGGCTTTGAGATGTTTCACTAAAATCTAGGTTTCTACTTTTTCTTCAAATTGGTGTGAACTACAATGAAAATCAAAACGCTGACACTTCTGTAACTTCTCAAGCTTCACAGATGAGATGAAGCTTCGACTCAGTCTCACAGGTCCAAAATAAAAGTGCGTGTGAAGAGAGTAAATGTTGACCAGTTGAGGCACGACCCCTGACGATGGAGCGTAAAACAGCAAGCAGTGACGCACCAAAAGAGGAGCTCTCTAACTTCTGTTAAATCCATTCAAATAAACGGAAATATCTCAAATGCGTGAGCTGACATGTAAAATTAAACAGCTGTATCCCCTAGTCATCTTTTTCTGAGACATTTAGCAAATTACACCCTTCAGTAAAAAAAAGCCTGCTGTAAAACTTAATCTAGCTCTGAAACACTCAATCCAAACCCCAGGAGAAGAACACAGCTGAACTCCTCACTGAAAAGATAAGACATTTCTCTCTCTCTCTCCTCTACATCCCTTCACCCATACCTGTGTTATGTCTTCATGGCCTCTTCAGACTGCGATGGTCCTGGTGATAAGACCCAAAGGTGTCCGTATCTCTGTGTCTCTGCTACTGCTGCTACTGCCAAGCCTATCTTATCTGCATGTGAAGAGTGAGAAGCAGCATCAAAGCTACATACCAGCACCAAACAGAAACACTGCTTTTAAGACATCTACACTCAAAGTATTTTATAAAGTGACCTCAAACAGAAAAAAAAGAGATTCAGCACCAACATTTGTGTGCAGTTGTATTTAAAGACAGAAAATCTGGCATATCAAACTAAAATATGAGGTTCAGAGTGAAGACAGTGCTGAGTTTTTAAGTTTTCCTCAAGTCAAATTCCCCCTTGACTATAACAAAACCCGACTCCCGATTCTCCTGATTCATTTTACACATTTAGCGGTTTAGCAGAGCTCGAGCAACAACCTAAAAAATCTAACTTCTTATACAATTTCTTGCTTTCTCCTTTGTTTAGTGAAGAGTAAATCTCCCGAGGATGCTTTTTTGTTCCCAGCACTAATTACCATGAGAGGGAAGGAGTCATTTTGCAGATAAAACTGTGGAGGAAATGGATCATTTTTATCCTCTCGTAGGAATCAGCTCGAGGAATTCATGCTTTGAACACTTCATGAGCAATAACCCGAGGCATTTGTCAAATAAATCCACGCCAGAGAGATAACACGTACGTCAACTCTCACTGAAAGAAAAAAAAAAAAAAAACATTTAAATATTTCTACATGTTCTTTACATTTTGCTTGACGTTGAGCGACTGTGTGTGTGTCTGTGTGTGTGTGCGGATCAGGTGATGTGTGTCAACGCTGGATGAAGTGGAAGCAGGAGGAGGAGGAAACATTAAACAGAGGTTCTGTGTCCTGTCATCACACTGTCTAGACAGGACACCTCCTAGACCTAATGAGGTCTTTGTATCTCTCTCTATCACACATACACACACAAAGTGAAAGACAGACACACACTCACTCACACACACACACCATCCTAGATCATGGTTTTACTTCTCTTTCAGGCATTTTTATTAAAGAGCACTTAAAGGGCGACTGAGAGTGAGACACACACATCTCTCCAGCTCGCTAAATGACGGGGGGACGTCTGCTCCGAAACCAGAGGAATGCTTACACCTGGCACGGATCAGACGAGAAGTGCTGAATCTCCTGCAATAATGACAGTAGATTACTCGCTCACACACAAACACAGGGCCCCGCAAAACAGACATTTAATCCCCGGTAATCAAGTGTTTTCAACTCTTACTCAAATGAACAATGGTGAGTCACTGCGAGATCTGAGCCTTTTCGCAGCGTTTCAGTCTTTTGTTTTGTGTTTGTTCTGCGGTTTCTGCCTTCCCATGCAATGGATTTTTTATTTTTCCTCATGAAAACATAGTCAATAAAATCAGTTGACTCAGTTTAGTGAGTCCGTGCTTGTTGTGAAAACAGATGATCCAAAAGTAAAGGTACCAAACTGGACGCAGAAATGGGTCGATTGCGTCAATTCACAGTCCCGTTGGAGAACTTTCATCCTCTTCCCGCTCCAGTGGTGAACCTGGTTGCTCCGGCGACAGATTCTGCTTGGATAACTGGAGCTCCGTGGTCTATCTCATACTGCATGGCCTGGACATGACAACACAAGAGGCCAAATAAAACACTACTTTATCTTTGAGAACAAAGACACTCATGATTTGAGTTTGGATTTCATTATGAGGTGTACCTGTTTGAAGGATGGAGCCTCATAGCAGCTGTACATGGCTGAGGAGCGGTCGGCCCGCAGACACTGCTGAGGAAAGGAACTGATCTCCTCTGCTAACTGCACAGCCGCCTGTAAAGCTGTGAAGAGACATACACGGCACATTCAGAACATAATCCACATGACATGCAGCATTAATATTCGGGCTGGACGATAAACCGAAAATTTACTGGTACCAAAATTTACAACAATAACCAACATCATTTTGCCCATATTGGTATATTCTTTTTAAAAAAAAACAAATAAATAAAAGTTGGTTTTGGATGTGTGTAGGTAGGTTATAATCTCATGTCCCTGTAAGACACTGTCCTATGTTATCCTAAGTTAATGTGGAAGGGGGGTGAGCTGCTTGAGGAGTAGTTATCGTCCATTTATCGTTATCAAGGTGAACTGCTCAATATATCGTGATACTGATTTGAGGCCATATCGCCCAGCCCTAATTAGTACCATAGGAAAGCTAAATGTTGATGTGTTTGTAATCTCTAAATTTAATTCTACCAACACAGTATTAGATTTCCATTTTAGTAAGTAGTCTAGCTTTAGTTCCCATTAAAGGGATATTCCGCGTAAAATTAATTTAGGGTCAAACACACCGTAACACCGAGTTAGACACCCCCTTGAGAGATGAATGCTGCCGACTGCTTGCTTCTCTAGTTATACCAACTTTAGTAATGACTGTAAGATAGCAATACAGAGAGCCACATGCTCAACCAAATCGCCACTAATAATGTTTAGAACAGCACCTAACTTCATCAACAGAACACCAAACATCTTTTTAACTTTGCCTAATTTTTTTAGCAAAGAGACTAAACACAACTCACCTACTCACTTCCAGCAGCCGCTTGTTTGTAGTGAGACCTCAGGACAGTCCATTACAGACTGCTGCGGGGTGACGCAGCTCAAGGAAGAACATTTGGTTTGTGTGTGGCTCCATAGACCGCCGTGTATTGCTATCATGCGGGCGTTACTCAAGTTGGTTTAACTAGAGGAGCAAGCAGTCGGCAACATTCATCTCTCGAGGGGGTGTCTAACTTAGTGCTACGGTGTGTTTGACCCTAAATTAATTTTACACCATAATATCAGAGGAGCAGCCGTCCAAAGAATGAGAATAAATAAACAAATACTCAATACAGCATCTCCTCTCAGCTCCAAGTTGGTACTTCATCTTCATCAGACAGTAGCTGAAAGGTGCAGTGATTGTATCTTTAGTGCTTTTAATGTTTATATTAAACCTCTTTCTGTTATTAAATAAACCACAATCACCCGCTCCTCCCTGCTGAGTCCCTGTTAGTGTTTCTCATGCCTCGGTGCCTGGCCATGCACATAAAAGCCCTGAACCACATCAAGATCAGCCCTATGGGAAAATGAACCCCGTCCCATGATGCCACATTTTACGTATGTGCTTGTGAGCTGCTTCGTCACTCCGCTCTGAAGTTAAACCGTCGGGCTGCAGAGAGGCCAATTAGGCCGGGGCTTGACTGTGGGGAGAGGGACTTCCTAATAGAATTAAGCTAATCTTCTAGCATTAAAGGGGTGTGGGGATTCACACGTTCAGGGATTTAACCATAAAGGAGTGTTCATGCGTTAACATAATTCAGAAATGACACGTAATCCTCAGTCTTATACATTATGAGTGAAGCAAACACTGAGTTAAAGCCTCAGAGTGATGCTGAGGCCAAATAAAGAAAACAGACTCACTGGAATTCGTCTGATATAACCTACGAGGCAGTCCCTTAAAGATTTCCTGAGTGAAAATGGGTCACAGTGGTGTTTGCCTGTGGGAGATACATGACCGGTTTTCAGTGAGTAACAAATTTTACTTCCCCCAACAGACCAAGGACTGCCGGCCTCCCCCATATCTGCTCTTCTAATCTCTACCAGTTGCTGTCTTAAAGCACAAACAGCAACACTCTGTACCAAAAACTGTCAACATCTCTGTACGCAGCTGTGTACTGACCTGAAAGTTTCCCGATTCCCCTTTACACTAACTTAAACTTGTTTTTTGGACTGATAGAATCCTGATACCTTGGCCATCAGGGACGATTCTGTTCGCCAGGCCGTAGGCGAGAGCCTCCTGCGCTCCTACCGGCCGCCCGGTCAGAATCAGGTCAAGGGCTCGCGAAAGTCCGATGAGACGCGGTAGTCGGACCGTGCCTCCATCAATCAGAGGGACACCTGACGGAAGAATAGAATCGAGATTTTAGATATCTGATATCTGACTAGGGAGATACATACAAAATGAATTTACAACACATGTATATTTTGCAATAGAGAGCAATAAGGATTCTTAACAAGGTAGGATTCTTCCATCATACTAATGAACTGTTTCTGAAATTAGGAGTATCAAAATTTGCCAATATAGTTGAATTTAGAACTGCACAGACAATGTACAAAGGCAGTAACAATCTACTCCCAGGTATGTATTGAGAGGAGAAAGAAATTTAAAACAACCAGGCGCTCGTACCACACTAAAAAACATGTGAATTTCTGTTGTGGGGGTGAAGCTGTGGAACAGTATGCCCAATGATCTTAAACAAAGCAAAAAACTAGCACACGTTAAAAGCAAATTAAAGCGAAAATCAGTTAAAAAAGTGATTTTTGTTTTGCCATACTTATTATATTGTATACGGGTATGGTACAAATAAGAGATCTGAAGTATTTTAAGTGTATATTTTTAAAGTGCATATTTGTGTGTATATATGTATATATAGGTATGGGTGTATATATATAAGGTCTTTGTTTTAGTATTAATTATTAGTTACATATTCATGTTAGACCTTGGAGCTTTGGTTACTTTTTGCCGACTTCAGAAATTCTAAATTCTAGAGACATGTAAAGGTTCAACGAATAGGAAGGAATGAGAGTAGGTACAAATAAGCTAAATAGCTTCAACCTACTCCTTTTCGATCTCCAAAAATAGTGAATTTCTTGTCTAAAATTGTACTGTATGTACATTTGATCAAATAAACAATCTCAATCTCAAAATCTGGTTGTGGCTCTGTCACACCTAAAGATACCTGTGGGAAATAAATCTGAAACATGGTGTAAGACGACCCGCTGCTGCGCCTGAATGTTCAGCGGAGTGAAAACAGCCCAAGATAAACTCAAAAATACCCAATTCACTGCTGGCATTAATCTAGGTTACTGCTGTCAAGGGCATAAAGTTTCGACAAATTTGACCCCTTAAGTGTAATTCTGCTGTCTTTCCCTCTGTATGTTAAAGCTTTCAGTCCCACTGGACACATTTACATTATTGCTGCTTCTAACAAGGAGAAAAGGGAAAAAAAGGAGGATGACAGAGAGAGAGCGAGACGGAGGAGAGAGAGCACATTCAAGGTATAGTAAGCCGCTGGCATCTGTCCTAATTTCTAAAGAGCACCAGCTGGAATTGGCATATTTTCTCCTGTTCAGTGCGTCCAAGTTCCTCGCCACAATCCCAACTCCCCAGTTCCTCCAAGCCTCTGATTCTATTTGACCACCCTTTATTGAGAGCACATGTATCGGACATGTTTTTATAACCCCGGACCATCATGCAAGCTTTTAGAGTTTCTGCGGGGAGTCGTGGAAAAACTGTGATTCTATTCATACCCTGCGAGCTGCTCTCTTTCTCCATCTAGTTTAAATAAATCAGATTGAAATACCAGTGTTAATACACATGTGGCCAATCCAGGAGCCTGATCTGATGTTCAGCGCTTATGGTGGTCTGACAGAAGACCATGATTAGGTGGGGGAGTGTGTTACTCTATCACCAAATACTGGATTAACTCAGTTTTTCAAATCCTGACTCCAAGGATAGATAAAGAGCCAGGCTGACCTCCAAGCTGTCTGTCTTTAGTGCTGCTGTTGGCACCGTCGCTATCAGAGACCGGAAGGATCTAGTGTCTTATCCACAACACTCGTCTCCAGCACCTTCAACCCTCACCCGCTCTGACTGATAGTCTCGTCTCTGACGTGTCTGTTTGCAGGAATTTACCCAGATCTGCGCTTTGTCCTACATAAACGGAAGCTGAGGCGCTGGAAGTACCTCGGACTTTGAAGGCATCCTCTTGAAGGGAGACTCCTGCCTCCTTTTAGATCAAAAGTCAGGAGTTTAAGAACAAGATATATTTCTGTTTTTTAGGACCTTCATCTCCTAGTGTCGCCTTTACTTCAAACCTAAACATGGTGGATATTCTGCGAAGTGGGACCACTCTTCATGAGATATTAAATCTGGCAGCTACAACTGCCAAAGCTTGAAAACTCAATCTGACACATGACACTCGGAGGTGTTCTGGTTTGCCACTGGTGCTGCTGGAATCCTCCCCACATCAAAGCGAAACCCACTACAATGGCCTCCCATGAGGGTAATGCGATTAAGTTTGATGTGGATTAACGATTTCCGGACAACTCCAGACTAAATGGAGCAGACCTTGAACCCGAATCTCCCTTTGAACAGGCGACGGGGATTGAGTGTAATCGCTCTCACAAAGAACCTTTATGTTATATATTCAGTATAGTAAGATAATACCATGGCTGTAGCTGCGTAGCACAAGACCACCAAGGTTTCAAACAGGGCTCAAGACCACAACAGTGACAACTAGATCACATCTGAATCTAGTGCTTTATCTAAATGTCAGCGCACAACTGCTGAGTCCATCCAATCGTTACTGAGAAAGAACCCAAGAGTTTAATTTGAGCGTCGGTCCGAAGGCAAAATGATGTAACCTCTCGGCTATGTCACTCAGTTTCAAACTCACTAAGCGGGTGTTTGAATTGGCTGATGTTATGTCAGCTTTGGACTGAGGTTTCACTTTTTGATTCAACATGTGGCTTCTTCTTCTCCTTTGGCGCTCGTCCTCCATCCTTCGTCCAGGTATGAGAGAGGAGGGAAGGCAAAGCCACCGACATGACTTATTGTTGAGCTGAGAGACTCTATTTGAAGGTGTGCTCTGATTATCTTGAACCAACGCCATGCTTTCCATATTTAGCCACGCCGTTCAAAGATATATTTCTTTATAAATTATCGCTGAACTAATCTGAGTTTCCTCTTCTTCTGATACTTTCCTGGTTCGAATATCCAAAATCACATGAGGGAATCAGGTTAGCACAGCGTCTTTTTTAGGCTCACGTCTCTCACAATTCAATGACTATTAGACGCTAATACCAGACTTCTGTGACGCAACTCTCTCCTCCTTCTCATTTCCTCCTAGATGAGGTATAGGGGCCCCAGACAGGAAGCCACAGGTTTGGTAGCCAATCACGTGCCAGAAAGCTGTCAGATCCTTATGGTTGCCATTGGCCCACATCAGAACAGCGCTGAGGGCCTCTGAGGGTTTACTTTTTTTTGACTCCAAAACCACAAGGGATTCCCTCGGGCTGCTTCCATCTGCGCCCAGCCCCAAAACGGTTACAGAATTCGACCATTAAAAGGAAATATTCTGTAAGAAACACAGGATCTTTAAATAAACGGTGCGTCCCACGGAGCAGCAGCACTTTGATGTATATGCGGAGGGAAGTTTGGTTTTCAATTGTTTAATGTTGGGAAATAAAGTTTTAATGTACGCTGCTGTGTCTTTTTCCACTGTAGCATCTGTCTTTCCTTCGCTCGGGTCCAAATTGAAAATCCTCGTTTTGCGAGGCAGCCGTGATAAATCTTAACTGACACAAACCAGGATTTCACCTTAACGATGTTTATGAACACGTGTGGCGTTTAAGAACCCCACTTCCCGAGAAGTTGGCGGATAGTTTTGAAAGAAATGTCTCAGGATTTCAGCTTCTCAGCACTCTTTATAAGACTTTTTTGTCTAATAGCATCCCTGATGAAGATCCATGAGAACAGCCTAACAACGGGGTCTGGTATGTCCCTCATTGTTACATGTAGGAAGAAAGAAAACCAAAGAAAAGTGGCGTTTGAGTAATAAAAATAAAAATACATTTTATATATAAGCGCCTTTCTAAATGCTCAAGGTCACTTTACAAGGTAAGAAGAGCAGCATAAAACAACAAGATAAGAGCAATAGAGTTAAAAACAAGATGAAAAATATATATATATATATATATATTTACATATATATATAAAATAAACATAAAAATAGAACAAGGTAAATAACAAGGAGTGGGCTAATCTGAACAGGTGAGTGCTCGGTATCATTTCAGGATGCGTCCCTGAATTATTCACTTTAAACCACCGTTTCCAACACAAAACACTCATCCATTCTCACACACTCCTGTTGTGTGTCGCCATGTCCAGCGCCATGACATCAAAACAATGTCACAGATGGATCGTGGATGCAAGCACCTCTTACCTTTTCCCAGAACTAACTGCTGTATTTGTCACAATTAAAAGTGGACAAGATGCCGCAAGAAGAAAATCAACTCCCTCTGCAGCAGTCTGTTGTGACACAGCTCGCCTCAAAACCTTTATGGAAAACAGGATTACTCTCAGACCAGACAGCTACAAACGTCAGTACAATAGGGATGTGTCAGAACAGCCGACAATCCTCCAGATCGAGCCTCGAGAGGCATGAAAGCTGACAGACTTTTCAGAGAAGGAAAACAACATGGATAAAGGGAGCAGAGTTTCTGCTACAGCCAGCATGAATGGCCACCGAGACCAGATAGTGTGACATCAAATCTGCTGCAAACTGCTGAGACAGACTGAAAGGAAAGTCACGTGCATCTTTTTACATCCACATTTTGTTTGAATAATGAATGCTTTCACCTAATATGAAGTTTTCCTATCTTCTGAACTGAAAGTAGCACCGGAAACGCTGGATTGCGGCCTGGCACTGAAGAGTCGCGACCAGACAGACACACAGACAGACAGACAGACAGACAAGGACACTGCCAGGATGCTCTCCTGGTAAATTACAGGCCTGAGATGATAAGCCTGCATGTTTACAATCTATATCTAGTACTACCAGTAAATTATAGTACAACCGTTGTATTTATAAACACCATGCTTGTATTTTAAAACCCTCCAGTTAAAAAATGACAACTATATGAAGGATGCCGTGATGGTCTAACAACACGAGACATTTTTACTCAAGCCAAGGAAAACTCTCTGGGATGAGGATAAGCTCAGCTGAAGATCCAAAGTAACCACGTTTAAACTATAGCTGAGTCAAAGGGCGAACCGTGCCAATAAGCCGAGAGACGCCAAAAAAGGAAAATGTTGTTTATGAGGAAATTGTGTGACATAAATAATATGTAAGCCCTGTTTGGCTCTGCAGTGGAAACCTGGCAGTCAGTTGTTTCCTTTCCTACTTATCAAGACTGCCCAGCAGACTCTGGCTGTGATGCCAAAAGGTCACAGTCGCTGCTGTTATCACACTATGACTGTGTCCTAGCGCACAAACAAGAGGAGGCTGTGGTGATAACAGAGGACAGAGAAACAAAGTTGAAAAATAGAAACACCGTCCACTTCCTGGCATTAGGAGGCAGATGATGAATGCTCGGATTCAAAGAAAAACAAAAGGATACTTTCATGGACGGACGGACAGAAGTGGCAGCAAAACAAAGACAGAGAGGAAACAGAGGCAGTCTGCTCAGAAGGGACTACAGGGACTCGTAGAACAGCAGATCCACTCACTGCTGCAGGTGGGGATATGATTACATAATATTACAGGACATGGGTTTAAATATAACCGAGGTAGCAGTGAGGACGTCTATAAAGTGAGGTGTAGGACCTACCAAACCTGCGGCAGAACACCCCCATCACAGCGCTCTCCTCTACTACTCTCAGATCTGCCAGCACAGCCAGCTCCAGCCCTCCTGCCACGGCAAAGCCACTGACTGCTGCTATCAGGGGCTTTGAGAGCTCCAAACGAGAGGGACCCTAAAGGAAACGACCAGTGAGTGACTCAGGAACTACTAGAATATTCCTTCTGACTAAATCCTCTAATTTCTGACATGTTTTAAACACATCCATCGACTTGAATCAAAAGGAGATATAGAAATTCATCTCACCAGCACACACACACACACACTCATGCAGACATCTCATACAGCACTCACCAGCGGACCAGGACCCTTGGTGACATCTTGCTCCAATTTGAGGGAAGCTGTGTGATTGGCCAGCTCTTTCAGATCATAACCAGCGCAGAAATTCCCTCCTGGAAGAGACCACAAAATTACAAACTATGGCAGCTGGCAAGTCGGAGAGGAAGGGAAAATGATGAGGATGAAAAAAAAGAAACAAGTTGAGCTGGAGTCCAAGGTCTGCAATTTGGATAGCAGCTTGCTTTGGCCTGGCTGGCATACAAATGCTTCTCTTCCCCTTAAGAGCCCAATTCCAATACACAGTCACAGTTCACACATGTGCTCGCTTGCACACACGTATGCACATACATAATACCCTCATTAATGGAAGACTGGTATACTCCAACCACAGCCCCTTCTGTTGGAGTCATGTGGGAATTACAACATCACCCAAGAGGCTAACAAACACTATATCACAGACTCAGGCAGGGTCTCATAAAATTCTCCTCTCTACTTTATGTAACGGTAATGAAAATGATTATAACAAACACATATGCAAGCAACACCCGTTAACTCGGAGCTGTGATTACAGATGTGGGTCAGCACAGGGCAATTACAGAGGAACTGTGTCATGTTGTTTATCGCAGCTGGGATGTGACAGAGGTCCCTAAAGCTTTATGTCTTTGTGAGAAGAAAGAAAAAAAGTCAATTTATGCAAAATTTTAGATCATTAAGTTTGATGACAGAGCAATTAGATGTCAAGTATGTGGCAGATTTTTATCTGGAGTGCTGCTGTGAGAGGAACTCAAATTTGAGATGCAAGGTTGTCAGCCTCAGATGGATTTCCACCCAAATTTGGAATAAATGCAGGAGGAGGTAGAAACACATCCCTTAAAATATACGGGTGTCACAGGTGTCACAGTCTGTGCTGCAAATGTTCAGTGTTAGAGGAATGAATAGGACCCCAGGTGTACAAGCGCGAGGACAGGTGATGGCACAGCTGAGGAGTGAGTCTGATGGTAACGTCTGAGGGCATCTGGTGGACGGCCACAGGATGGCAGCTCTAGGAGGTCGAGCGTCACGCCTCCTACAACGATAAGTCTTAATGGCATCATCACATTTCAGCTGATCACATTTGTACCCAAATCACAGAGTCGAGAAAAATCTATCCCCGGATGCTTCAAATCTGCAGAAAGCAATTACTCTCAGCTTGTTAGATAAAAGTAAAACTTTGACACTGAAAAATGAGAGGAGGAAAGTTATTGTGTTGGCTCTAATTTGAAGTAAATGGATTCCTTATGTTTCAGATAGAAGTCCAAACTAGAACTTTTCTGCTTGTCATTGGATAACGCAGACAAACTGCTGATCACCTCGACTTCACAGGACAGCCACAACAGGAATGAAATCACAGACGAGTCATTTTAGCTCGACGGATTCATTACTCAGCCGTTTAACACCGACGTACTGCTCCTCCTCACTCACAATTTTCTACTCACAGCTACTCTCCTGCCGTCATCTGGAGAGGATCCAACTTCTAAAGCCCCAAACAAAGTACATACTTGTGTCTCGAGATCCCAGCGCACCTTCTACAGCAGACAGGTTGATCCAGGTTGAAGACATTATTTCCACTGAGGAACAGAGTTCATTCAGTGTGTGTGGTGATTATTTTTAGAGCTATTAAAATCATAGCACGACTCTGGCTTTGAGGGATTGACACAGTGCAGGCCTCACAGGTGTTTGAGTGTGGGGTTTTTTTTTCAGTGCACAGCAGCTCATTTCAGGCTCGAATGAAGGAGTCTGAGAAGCAACAGCTGGTGAAATATGAGGATATATGAGGAGAAGGTGATGGAGAGAGCACAAAGGTAAGAGAAGACCAGACTTATCTACAACACCTCTTTTTTTCCTTACCATTGTCCCCTGATATGCCAGAAATGTGAAAATAAGTTACTATACACTGTACTCTGAATTAAAGGGATATTCCGGCGTGAAATTAATTTAGGGTCAAACACACCGTAACACTGAGTTAGACACCCCGTCGAGAAATTAATGTTGCTGACAGCTTGCTTCTCTAGTTATACTAACTTTTGTAACAACTGCAGGTAGCAATACAGAGTCACGCGCTCAACCAAAACGCCACTCTATAGCCACAAATAATGCTCAGAACAGCACCTAACTTCATCAACTGTACATATAGGGTCCCAGCCATAGTACTAACCACCAAACATCTTTTTAACTTTGCCTAAATTCTTTAACAAAGAGACTAAAAACAACTCACCTACTCTCTTTCAGCAGCCGCTTGTTTGTACAAAGACCTCCGGGCAAGTCCATCGACTACAGCGGGGTGACGCAGCTCAAGGAAGAACATTTATGATGATTTCTTTATCATTTCCTTTAAGTAATAATCACCATATTAATCATTGACGTGGTAGTTCTTCTACCTTAGGGTCTCGGTCTGATTGCATTTCCATGAGGAAATGATCGTAAATGTTCTTCCTTGAGCTGCGTCACCCCGCTACAGTCCGTATTGGACTGCCCTGAGGTCTCGCTACAAACAAGCGGCTGCTCGAAGAGAGTAGGTGAGTTGAGTTTAGTCTCTTTGCTAAAGAAATCAGGCAAAGTTAAGAAGATGTTTGGTGAGTAGTGCTGTGGCTGGGACCCTATATGTACTGTTGATGAAGTTAGGTGCTGTTCTGAGCATTATTTGTGGCTATAGAGTGGCGTTTTGGTTGAGGTTTGTTGATGGCTCCTCAGGCCGCTGTGTATTGCTATCGTGCGGTCGTTACTAAAGTTGGTATAACTAGAGAAGCAAGCGGTCTGCAACATCCATCTCTCGAGGGGGTGTCAAACTCGATGTTACGATGTGTTTGACCCTTACTTAATTTTACACCAGAATATCCCTTTTAGAGTCAAATGTTCATCCCTTCTTTCTTCCTTCTCTTACCTTCTCCATGCAGAACAGCCACATTCAAGTCTGGATCCCTGTCGAAGGCCTCCAGCTCTTCCAGCAGACGCCTTGCCGTCTCCTGGTTCACCGCATTGCGCACCTCAGGGCGGTTTATCCCCACAGTTACCACGCGCCCCCTGCGCTCTGTGACCACGGTCTGTCCCGCAGCTAATGAGAGAGAATGACAGAGATGCTCTGAAAGAAACCACCATCAACCCCTGAAACACTGAGAGGGACGCCACCTCACACCCTGCAGTCAGATGGCTGAGGATGGAATGATAATTGTTTAATGTGGATATAGACTTGACAACAGAATCAGAGAGACAATAAAAAGACAACAGTCAGGCTTTTCTGCTTTGTCTTAGTGTGTGTTTCAAAGTGTGTGATTGTGGTTTGAGGCTGCAGCAGGCAGTTGACCTGACATTGTTTGGGTCATCCTGGGGAATTCAGCTGACAACCACAGACTGAGGCCGCTGCATCCCAGATGACAAAGTGGAGAAAACAAAACTACCGGTTACATTAACCTTTCCTCACACACGGGCTATTTTAAGAGATGGACTGCTTTACAAAAACTAAAGGTGAAGATCCAAGTACACTGCCCTCTGCTGCCCCCTATGGCCAACAATAGGTAACTGCATTTTCAAACACACTTTACCTGTTCCTGCGTTTGCACGGGAGAGTTTTATCTGCTGCAAACTCGAAGTCAAAGACCGTCCGAATATTTCACATCTGTGGTTAAACCCTACTAACACTGGTGACAACTTCCGGAAGTGTTTTAGCGCCATTTCTCACTTATTTCAAATTCACAAGTTCTGACAAACACAAGCAGCAAAATCCTCTTTTTCTAAGTGATATTAAAACGTGTTAAATCGTGATTCAAACAGCCCAACAAAAGTCCTTCCGAAGTTGTGCTCAATCAAACTTTAACACTGCTCTATCAAGGTGGCGCAACCTTAAAATGATCCCCCATAGAAACGAATCCAGCGACCACCGTTCTGGGACTCATATTGGTGCATTGCAGAGGTGCGAACTACATCCGTACAGCAGAGGGCGACATTGTGCTTCTTTATAAGTCCTCTTTTTTTCACCCGTTGACATGTACAGTGTTATAAAAAGTCTACACACCCCTGTGTTCAGCTGCCAGGTTTTTGTCATGTAAAAAAATTAAATCAAGATAAATAATTTCACAACTTCTTCCACCTATAATGTGATTTGACCAATAAACTGTACAACACAATTAAAAAACAAACAGAAATCTTTCAGGGAGGTGAAGTAAAAAGAATTGAGATAATGTGGTTGCATAAGTGTGCACACCCTTTAATAACTGGGGATGTGGCTGTGTTCAGATTTAACCAATAACATTCACACTCAGGTTAGATTGGAGTCAGCACACACCTGTCATCAATTAAAGTGCCTCTGATTAACTCCAAATAAAGTTCAGCTGTTCTAGTAGGTTTTTCCTGATATTTTTGTAGCCACATCTTCCAGCACAAGCCATGGTCTGCAGAGAGCTTCCAAAGCATCAGAGAGATCTCATTATTCAAAGATATCAGTCAGGTGAGGGCTACAAAAGAATTTCCAAGGAATTTAATATATCATGGGAAACAGTGAAGATTGTCATCAAGTGGAGAAAATAAGGCACAATGGTGACATTACCAAGAACAGGACGTCCGTCCAAAATTGATGATAAGACAAGAAGAAAACTGGTCATGTAGGTTACCAAGAGGCCAACAGCAACACTGAAGGAGCTGCAGGAATTTCTGGCTAGTACTGGCTGTGTAGAACATGTGACAACAATCTCCTGCTGTCTTCATATGTCTGGGCTATGGGGTAGGGTGGCAGGACGGAAACCTTATCTTACAAAGAAAAACATCAGAGCCCGGCTTAATATTGAAAAAAGACATCTGAAATCTCCCAAACACGTGGTAAAATGTGTTATGGTCTGATGAAACCAAAGTTGAACTTTTTGGGCATCATTGCAAAAGGTATATTTGGCACAAAATCAACACTGCTCATCATCAAAAGAACAGCATACCTACAGTGAAGCATGGTGGTGGCAGCATCATGCTTTGGGGCTGTTTTTCTTCAGCTGGAACTGGTGCCTTAGTCAGGGTGGAGGGAATTATGAACAGTTACAAAGACCAGTCAGTTTTATTTTTCCCCTTAAAGGTTTCAGTTTGTTTTTCAATTGCATTGTACAGGTTATAGGTCACATTAAAGGTGGAAAAAGTTGTGAAAATATTTTTCTTGCTGTCATTTCCTTACATCACAAAAACCTGGCAGTTCAACAGGGGTCTGTAGACTTTTTATATCCACTGTAAATAATAAAAACAAACTCCACTTCAGGTTTTCATTTTTTTTTTAATAAAAGATTTTTCTTTTGTTGTGTTGTTTTCACACTTTTTAAGGCATCATGCACAAAAATAAGCCATACTAAAGGCATTATGCTTACCCTCTACCAAAAATTATATGTTTAAACATTTGAAGATTTTCTTTTTAAAAATAAGTTTGTACAAATATGGCATGTAAGCTGGCATGTCAGTGAATCTCAAAGCAGGGGTTTATCTGCTTTCACTGTTTTTGTAAACATGGCTTTGAGCAAAACAGAGCTGAGGAAAAGACGAGAGAAAAGGGAAAGCATGCTTCAATGTAGGGTTTGATGTCCCTGAAAAGCATGCAATCTTAAATCATATTTACAACGCACCACTTTCACTCTCAACGGAGCGTCTCTTTTTAATTCTATCGATTCAAGTTAAGACATTAAAAAGTTTGTTGACAATAACAGACAGACTGACTGACAAAAAGACAGGATGTGATATTACTCCCCACCCACACGCAGATATAGCTCCGTTTGGTCATCCAAAAACACACTACAAGATTTTTTCTCTTTTTTTGTCTTTTCTTTTTGGTGCAGCAAGCATTTTTTTTAAACTCTGACCAAAACTTCCAGCCTCCAAAACTGGAGGTTCTTCAATTTTTCTTTGTTATTTTCTATGTATTCACGTGAAACAGCCCGTCTGAGGCTACAAATAGGAGTATTAAAAAAAATCTTGTAGTGTCCACCATGGCAGACATCCAGGAGGTGCCCATAGCTTTGGCACAGGTGTGTCCAGTTGTGCTCTTCTGTTGTGATTGTGTGCGTGTTATACTATATTGAAGACCATGGATAGATATTGTTCATATGAGACCTGTATCCAACCATCTTGGTCCGTGTCGTACCGCCTGAAGACATCAGTCAACCTCTGTGGAAACAGGGAGAGAAAAAAAACATACATTCAATCACTGATGTGTGGAAAAATGTAAATACAGTACAAGTATAAATTCTTGGATTAGACCAAGTGAAGTTTGAGTTACGGGTGCCTTAAAGCTGTTTTATTATTCCTATAGCTCACCTGATTAGCTGCTTCCATCATGTAATGGAGATGGACAATTCAACACGAATTGTATTTAAATTAAATTAGACTTTGTACAACTTTTCTAAGAGTGGCATAAAGCCAGATAACTCAAACACAGAAAACTTCATTTCATACTCGGTGTAATTAGATTACCTGTAGTACAATACAGCACTGGATGAAGTCGTCAAAGGCGACCTGTCCCTTCCTTTGTCGATCGAACTTCTCTATCAGTGTGCCGTAGAACTGGTCTGAAAGGCGATACCCTGCAGACAACAACAACCAATTTAATGTGATCGAAACACACAAACGTCCCTTCTGTTTAAAGTTACAATGTGGAAAAATTAGCTTTACAGTGTCATTATCAAAGATATTATCAGTCAGCTGACTGACTGAATCAATGGACTTTGAGTTAAACTGCCAGAGGTGGCGGGGATTTGAAAGTAATTATTAATGATTTATTGATTTCGTGAGATGTGACAGTGAAATAAGCGCTGCTGAGTAGTCCTTTAAGCTGAGTTAGTGGAGAGAGTCTGCAGAGGAGGGAGAAGCTGTGGCAGTAGATGAGGCCTGTGAAGGTCAAATGAAAGGTGTTTTTCACAAGACACCATCAACTGACACATGGATTTTTATTACCTTAACTTTCTAGAAAAAAACTGTGATTACTACTATCATTTTTCTCCTGTTTTTTTGTGTGAAATACTTTTCTAAAGTTCAAATAGTGGACAAAGACAAAGAAACCAGAAAGAGAAGAAAAGGAGAATCTGACAGAAAAATCTCAAAACCAAAGCATGCACCTTTTCTCCTGAAATTAACAGTTTCTGGAGACAATAGAGGAAGAAAGCAAAACAACTGTTGAAAAAAGACACTTCAGCCAAAAGTGAGGCAGAATAATTTGTACACTTTCACCGTCCATGCTGTCCATATATCTGTGATATCTGTGCATGCATGTGTGTAGTATAACTATGTGGATTTTCCTCTAATGCAGCCACTTTCCAATATAGAAGCATATAAATAAATAAATATAATATAATTTAAATATATAAATTATATATATTAAATATAATTATATTAAATTATAATTAATACAATTAAATAATATAAATATATAATAAATAGAAGATAATTATAAATTAATTCCACCAGCATGCAGGTCAATCCAGACAAACACAGAGGTGACGGTAAGAAAAGAGCCGACCTTAGAGACTCAGAGAAAAGACAGTCTTTGAAGCAGCTACTGAGCCCTCCACCAGATTTGCCAAATTATACATAAATAACCATACTTTGCTGCTCACCGAATCCAGTCAGCGCCTGTCTGAGCTCATTCTTATCAATGAAACCAGAGTTGTCCCTGTCGTAGGTTCTGAAGATGTTCTGCCAGTCTGTGATGTATTTCCACACGCCGGCAAACTCGTTGAAGTTCACGCCGCCTTTATTTTCCCTGTCAAACATGGCTGGAGCAGAAAGAGAGGAAGTAAAAGATGTTATTAATTTATATTCATATATACACACACACACACACTTCATAAAGTCAAAATGGAACAACATGAAATTGATGGAGCTGCCAGAGAACAGAGAGGACGGAGAAGAGAAGACTGTGCCTCTCATGTTCGACTTACTCCTGCCTCGTCAGACTGTATTATATAAATAAAACTAGCTGATCACGTCCCCATAAAAAGTCCACTCCTCACCCCCATGTGCTGCAATCCAATTACCTCCAAACAAAGGGAGTGTTATCACAGGATATGCTTCTTGCTGGGGGAGTATTAAACAATGGATTTACTGAGCGTGGTGCAGGGGAGAAGGAAAAGGGAATGGACTTATCGGGATTTATTCTGCAAGTCACACAACAAAAAGGGAACACAGCGAATTTGAGAACCTTGTGGAGAATATTTGACATGTTTTTGCCCAGATTGGAGGAAAAAACTGAAATATTAATAGTAAATTTGCTGCAAATTTTGTCAGATCCCAGAGGAAGAGTTAAAAATTGTGGTACAAGATCATAAAAGACCGTTCTAGTCTTTAACTGCCTTTAAGTGATCAAAGTTTTTAACCTCCGCTGCTTTTTACAGCTGGGAGTGTAAACAGATCAATATTTAGAGTCCGAATCACCTCGTAGCCGCCCTTTGAGGCGAACTCTCCTGTTTCCTCCTGCTTTTATTGATGGCTGCAGGTTTTCACTCAAGCTGCAGTTACAGCACCAAAGACAAGTCTGTTCCTGCCCTCTGGCTACTGAAAATGTAATCTAGTTACCCTGTCGTCATGGGGAGGAGGGTAAATAAACAACATGCATAGTCTGTGGACAAACAATGAGTGTGGGACATTGCTGTCTGCAGATACTTACATATGATGGAGCGTACTGTCACTGGGTTAAAGGGGGTCCATGTGCCTGTAAGACAGAAGGATACAGGTAAACATAAGGCAGTGTAAGGTTCACTGTAGGGAGATCTAGGGCTGGGCGATATGGCTTTCAATCAATATCACTATATATTGAGCAGTTCACCTCGATAACGATAAATGGACGATAACTACTCCACAAGCTGCTCACCCCCTCCCACATTAACTTCGTCTACTTCAGCCGCTACAACTTTTGAACCGTCCTCCATCTCCCATCCTCCTGTCTTTCCATCTTTGTTACAAACGGGGTGGGGTGGAGTCACGTCTCTGACGTAGGACAGTAGGGCTGGAACAATATGCTTTTCTCCCAATAAGATTCTTCTGATGCCGATTTGATTTTAATCGCAATTTGACGATATTGTCAATTTTCCCGATTTTCAGTCTGCATTTTTAACACCAGTGAAACAGTTGAATGATTTTGATTGTCCACTGACTATTCCAGGAACCATATTTCCCCAAAAAAATACATATCAAGACAGTCTTAAAGATTTATTCTTGAATTTGAAAAACAAAAAAATCGAATTAAAAATTGTAAAACAAAAAATTGCGATACTTATATAAATCTAAATTTTCTCCCACCCCTATAGGACAGCGTCTTAATGGGACATAAAACCATAGCTTACCTACACATAGTTATTTATTTATTCATATATATATATATATTTTTGACATTGAATATACGGATATCGGCAAAATGACATTGGTTATTGTCGTAAATTTCTGTATTGGTAAATATTTGGTATATCGCCCTGCCCTAGGGAAATCTAACTAAAAATGCAGTGACCATCAGTTTACAGGTGACTGACAGACATTGGAATAAAAATTGTAACAGATATTAAAAAGTTATTTCCAAAGACTCAAAGGGAGGTGATTTGAGCAAACAAAACTGATATCCTTCAGCTGCAGGACAAAGTCTTTAATCATAAGAGGATATAAATTTCAGTCATCTAGTCGGGAAAAGACAGATAAGGCTTTAGTTCAGCGGCGTGTTTCACTTTACAGCCGTCTTCACACTCTAAACTCTCCAGACACTGAGATTTATCAGCACATCTAAATCCTTGCTGACACACCATCTCACTTCATTACACGAAGGGACGACAGTTCAAAACCAGAAATAAAGACAAGTGGGTGTAGGAGGTGGTAGCACAGAGGTAAGATGGAAGACGAGATAGGAGAAAGAGAAAAAAGGAGCTTTAAAGCAGAGAGGTATTAAAACAGAAGAAAAGAAAAGAAGTCTAATATATATGTGCAGTTTGAAGTTTTCGTTGAACTCGATCTCACTTTTGCTGACCTCAGATCACTCCCCGCGACTTTATCTGCAGTTTCAAAAACAGCATCTGCAGAATTTTAACAACCCCCTGATACAGAGTCGAACCTTTTTCACGCTGCCCGGTTCCTAAGTGGGTTTGCAGATACGAGTTAAGACAAGTCGCTCTTTGAAATGGAGCACCGCATTTAAATGAAAGCAACGCAAGCAAAAACAGAAACAGAAATGGTGTGTTGCTGTTCGTTGAAGTTTAAGTTGAAGTTTCTGCTTTCGGATTCGCCCTGAAGTGTCCAAATAAATGAAAAATGGGGCGGAACGGAGACGGCACTCAGTATTTTACATTTTTCACAACTTTGGTTTGCTTTATTGATGGGTGAGGCTATCTTGGGCCTTTGGGTACATCTGCTCTGCGACCAGGGAGGGTTGAAGCGCTGTAGACTGACTCCATGTAGTCATAGCAATCAGACACAGAAACCAAACATCAATCACATCATCTGATAAAAGCTTCTCCAGCATTAGAGCCACCAGGAAAATGACCAAAGGCAGAAAAAGGAGAATAAACCATGACCTTTCCGCTCACATAGAAGCAAACTCTCTTCACACCAGTAGCAAGCTGTGAGGTCAGCAGTGAATACCAGACAGACTGCGGCTGCATGGTGTGAGATGGTCAGTATGGCTGGGCTGTTTGTGTGCGTCCCGTGTGCACGTCTGATGGCCAACTGGGACAATACATCCTCTGTCCAGTCCTCACACTGGGCTCTCTCACTGGAGAGCTCAACCGCCAGGGGGTGAGGAGGAGGAGGAGGAGGAGGAGGGGAGAGGGTGAGTATACGGGGCGAAGAGAGAGGCAGGCTGGTGGAAAAACAGAGTGAGCTAACCGCAGAGTAAACAAATACATTTAACGGTTGTGATGGAGCTCTGAGAAACTCTTGTACACGTACCCGGCATATCCAAGGATTTGATTTTGGGTCATAAAGGGAAAAATTAAATCATATTAAACTCTTTAATGATTAATACCGCCATCTATCACTCTCAAATAAACAAATCTCTTACAATAAAAAGTGCCTGTTGGGAAATCTCTTACAATAATAATGCTGTTTACATAAATCATAAATACTGCAGCAGTAGGGCTGGGTGATATGGCCTTAAATCAATATCACAACATATTTAGCAGTTGAGATAACTACTCCACAAGCTGCTCACTCCCTCCCACATTAACTTCGTCTACTTCCGCCGCTACAACTTTTGAACCGTCCTCCATCTCCTCACCTGTCTTTCCCTCTTTTGTTCCGGACTGGACGGGGTAGAGTCACCTCTCTGACATGAGACCATAGCCTACCTACACGCATCCAAAAACAACTTTTATGCATTTATTTTTTTGACACCGAATATTGAAATGGGAAAAATGTTGTTGGTTATTTTCATAAATTTTGGTATCTGTAAATTTTTGGTTTATCGTCCAGCCCTAGGGAGAGCTCACTCAAAATGTAGTGACCATCAGTTTACAGACGACTGACAGAGTTTGGAATAAATATTGGACCAAATATTAAAAAGTTATTTCCAAAGACTCAAAGGGAGGTGATTTCTGCAAACCGAATATCCGATATGGGCAAAATGACATCGATTATCGTCATAAATTTCATTGTTGGTAAATTTAGGTTTATCGTCCAGCCCTAAGCAGCAGGTTTGAAAAAATGTTCAAAAACTCATACCATCTAAACAAATCAGTGCAGGATACTTGGCAGCTCAACATGTGTAACCAACTTTTAACAATCGATTCATCTGTACCCGAGTCGAGGTAAGAGTTGTTGAGCGAGCTGTTTGAGTCCTGCCATTCAGCCCACTCTGCAATCTGCACAGCGAGCCTGCGCTCTCTCATTCGAATCAGCAGTTTTAGTGTCTATAAGTGCTCCTACACACTTAAATAAATAACTGGAGAAGGAGTATAAATCAGCAGCGGAGTGGGGGAGTATGCTGGTAAGATGTCTATTCACCGCTGAAATAGAGGGAGGCCTGAAGTGTCATATTTTTAACAAATGGTGCAGCTGAAAGACGTCCACAAAACACAGACACGGACTTTCACTCTGTCAGCTCAGAGCCAATCTGTGAGTCTCATCAGGGAGGGTTTTATTGTCACACCCTAGACTGGTGTGAGAGGGAGAGGGGGAGGAGGGGAGGGAGGGGAGGGAGGATGGAGAGGAAAAAAGAGCAGAAGAAGTGAGGAAGCATATGGGAGACAAAGAGGGGACAGAAAGACAGAGGACACAGCAGGCGCTGAGTCTGTGCCATAATCTCCTGAGGAATGTGGGCAGCAGAATAGAGAGGAGAGGAGAGGAGAGAAAACAGGAGGAGAGAAGAGGAGAGGAAACAGGAGAAGAGAAGAGGAGAGAAGAGGAGAGGAGACAGGAGGAGAGAAGAGAAGAGGACAGGGGAGAAGAGAGAAGGAGAGGAGAGGAAACAGGAGGAGAGGAGAGAAGAGAAGAGAAGAGAAGAGAAGAGAAGAGAAGAGAAGAGAAGAGAAGAGAAGAGGAAACAGGAGGAGAAAATAGGAGAGGATTGAAGACAGGAGGAGAGGAGAGATAAGGAGAGAGAGTAATGGAAACAGGAGGAGAGGAGAGGAGAGGAGAGGAGAGGAATTGGGGGAGAGGAGAGAGAGGAGAGGAGAGGAAACAGGAGGGGAAGAGAGAGGAGAAGAGGAGAGGAAACAGGAGGAGAGGAGAGATGAAGAGAGGAGAGGAGAGGAGAGGAAACAGGAGTAGAGGAGACAGGAGGAGAGGAGAGGAGAGAAAACATGAGGAGAGGAGAGCAGAGGAGACAGGAGGAGAGGAGAGCAGAACAGAGAACAGGACAGGAGAGGAGGGGAAAGGAGAGGAGAGGAAACAGGAGGGAAGAGAAGACATGAAAAAAATAAAGCATAGAGGACAGAAAGGAAGTGATGCAAAGAAAATCATCCAGTCTCATGCTGACATGTAATTGTGTTCTTTCTAGAATAATGTGAGTAAAACAATAATCTGCTGTAAGAAGTAAGACATGAAGTCTCTTTGTATGATCCAGTTTATAGAACTAAAATAGCAGCATCACTCCACCCCACAAAGCCTGCCATCACTTGACAAAAGACAGGCTGCAAAATGACATCCTCAGAAGGAAACAAAAAAAAAAAAACAACTGGGACCAAACAAAGGAAGGGCGGAAGATTTTAGAGGTATTAAAAGGCAGATGCTATAGATAGAGGAGATAAAAAAGAGAAAAAGCATCATGTGTGGAGACATCAGAGGATGACTGCAACAGCAAAGCTCCAAAAACCCCTGCTTTACTCTCCAGCCTCCTGAGCCCTGGTCCTTTCTGCACTTTACCGCCCTTAGGGAGGAGGACTAAAGGAAGAAAGAGGTAGGAAGGAGAAAATAAGAGGTAGAGGTCAAGGGGGCCAGCAGGAGCATGGCTGACAAAGCTTGTTTGATGGCGTGAAACCAAATTATAGAATCATTGGTGTGCTCAGTCGAGACGCGGCAGACATACAGGAGCAGTGGTTGGTGGCTTTTGCAGGCTGACAGGATGTGCTGCAGTATGTGTTCAGCCTTGCTGGCCCTGTTTCATATCACAGAGCGCCCAGTGAGCTGGCGAAGACTGGACCGGGAAACCTGCCGCTCACTACAAGCACAAACACAGCGAGGTGCAAATCAACACAACTCGGACAAAAACAGACACATACGGTCTGAATCGACGACAATCAAGCGGCTTCTCACGGACCCTTAAGATGAATGTGGACAAAATGAGCAACCCTTCTATAGACTGACGATAAACACGCATTTTCATGCATGCATGCACAAATACACACTAACACACTCATCAGTATGCTGAGCCAGAGCTGCTGCGCAGCCTGATAACAGCTTCTTTCTCTGCTGCTGGCTTCGACACTTTTTTTTTCCCCCTCTCTCTCTCTGAAGTGCCCGGAAAAAAATGGGTTTCTGAGAGTAATCTGTTTCAGAAGTCTTTGAAAAGCTGCCGGAGCAACTCAGCCATAAAGTCGATGGGGAACGCATTATATTTTAATGAGAGGACAAACATCAACCTGTGCTCGAGTTTCTGAGCAGCCCTCCTCTCTAAAAACACGTCACATTAATCATTACTGGATCAAACCCCTACTGTCTCACCGTGAGCAAGGTCAAAAAGGATGCCGGTGCCCATGTGTGTACGGACACGGCTGTTTCAACGGCGCTCGGTCCAAACAGGAGTAAAACTGACTTCACTTGCGAGAATGAGCAGAGGAGAAGATGACCTGTATCATTTATTCAGCAGCGTTCCTCACACTGCCTCGCTGAATCACAACTGGATTTTTTTTGGTCTGATGGGAACGGAGGCGGCCTGAATCTTCCATCTCCTACTGAGCTCCAAAAGTGATGATCATGCTTCTTTGACATGCAGCTGTGACGCCCTTGTTCTCTCTTTTTCTGATGGAGTCCAACTTCGCAGCACAGAATTGAAATCCAAATATTTCCTGTCTGCTTCTCTACTGCTGCCACACCTGTCACACATCCAAATTTCACCTCATTTTGATCATTTAATCAAATGATTTAAGCTTCTCTTCCCCTTTTTTCAAACTGCGTTTTTCACTTTCACTTTTTGTTTTTCAGTTAAGGACCACAGACACACCCTCAGTCTGTTATGTGATGTCTCCTCACTCACTCCTGACTTGAACTACAGACCATTTTAGTATCCGTCCACCCCCTCACATATTATCCAAGCTGTTAAGCATTCCTCTGAAGGAAGATAGGATTAAGGAGAGAGGAGGGATTTTTTTTTAGGAGCTTTAAAGAAGACACCCATAATTGGTTCCCACAGAATCTCCTACTGACAGACACCAACCCTTGTTGGCTATCAGTTATTGATTACATTATATTTACCTTTACTTTAAATTACCAGAGTTTTAAGTGGGGATGACAATGCAGTGGCTTGGACATTGGATATTTGTCATTCACAGAATAAGCACTGATACAGGTTTTCACTGCAGAGAGAGAAAACACTCTGACAGTGTTAGCTCTGAGCCTGTTTTCCCCACCAGTAAATTAACAGTAAGCCTTTATCTTACAAAGCTATTAAAGCTGACTGACAACAGATCCAGCCATGATCCTCCGCTGCTGTCACTTTAAATGGATGTTGCTTTAGTGCTGCAGAGAAAAGGAAATCTCATTTCTTATAAAACACATTTGCTCTCTTAGCTTTATTTGCATTATTTCCATGCATTCCCACTGGGATGCATGAAAAACAGCAACATGAGATGTGCTTAATTCTCTGTGTAAATGTAACACTTGGAATACAGATTTGGTTGTTCGAGCACTCCAATAAAGCAGCATCCAGTCTTAAACAGAGGGAGGAAACACCGGAGGGTAAGAGCGCTTTGCAGATGTTTCAGTATCAGTGTTAATCTTCAGAGACGTGCGAGAGTTAAAACTTTGATTTAGAGAAGATATAATGCAGAAAACAACACTTGGAGTGGTTTAGAGATGATGTCACTGCAAACTTTGACTAACAAATTATCCAATTTCCACTGCAGCCGATATGAAAACTGTAAGACAGCGTGATGTTTCATTCTCTTTAACAGTTCAAACAAGTCTCTGTTGTGAATATAAAGTTCCTCCCATGTTAGTATACAGATATGCAGAGGACTATGATGCAACTCCATGCACACACAAACAAATTTTCAATCATGAGCTGCAGCAGTTTTGAGTCTGCTGTCACCACGATGAAGACAAAGCATTCTGAAACGTTTTTTCTGAAGCTACACGCTGATGAACTTTTCACCTACAACTAGGGGGTAAAAATAAAATCACAATCCATTCTCCGCTTCGGCTTGGCAGTTTTTTTAAATCAAACCGTGGCTGAGAGCAATGGGGTGTAACAGCTTGATGGGAGAGGGATGGAGGGAAGTAAAAAAAGGGAAAGAGAGGGAGTGATAAAAAAGAGGGAGAGGGAAGAAATGGGAGAAAGGGACGAAAGGTGCTGTTTGAAAAAAAAGGAATTGTTAAAGGGAGTGGCAGAGCAGTCAAGACTCTGATTCATACCATTCGATAAGGCCTGCTGAAGCTCTGAGTCCGATATCACTCCACTTCGGTCCTTGTCCACCCTGGGGAAGGAAAACATAGATTAGATACCGCTTGTATTATCAACTTCACACACCCACACACTCCGACACACAATAAGAGCGAGCACCACCGCCTGCCAGCTGAAACTCTATCCCGTTGAGCACGTGTGTGTTTTTCAACAGTTGAGGGAGGATGAATGGAGTCCTGTGATCAGGATACACACACCAGTCTGTATGCTCAGAGCTCCCCTGAGACTGGTCAGACAAGCTCCGAGTGTGTGTTTGTGTTGACGTAAGGACGGTAAAGTGAAACTGAATGTGAGCTACTAATAGCTTGTCATGTTACCAGCATGGTATTAGCCTGCAAGAATTTAGGTTGAATCAGAACCTAAAATCTATTTTAACGGGATCTAAAAGAGAACCTGTTGGATTAGTGGTCAAGACAAAACAAACCCCCTCTCACTGCAGGTTTCATTGAATAAGTTCAAAATTATTTGAAATAATCTAATTTGAAGAAATGCTTTATAACAATAAAAAATCCCTACTTGTCCAATTTTACTCAACAAGGTGCTGTTGTGCTTCATTCTTATATTAAAACAAATGTTGAGTTTAAATATTGGACATTAGTAAACATGAGCCAAGTTTTAAATTATGAGTTTATAATGTGTTGACGTAATACCCACATGGGACTACATGGTGCTCTGAATATCTTGTTCACAAAGTCTCATGAGAATTCAGCGAGATCAAGATGAGATTTGCTCAAATTGTGACATCACTAAACATGAATCTCCTTAAAGGAGCATATTTGTCATTTTAGCACAACTTTGTCGCATGGCAACAGCGAAGGAGGCTCCAAGAATGCAGGGCTCTGGAATGCTGGGGGGTGGGGGGTTAGAGGGACAGTGGCTTGAGTCGTCTTTTGGTTTATCTCTTTGCACAATTTATCTCCTAAAGGTGGGAGAAAAAATCGATTCACATAAGTATCATGATTTTTTTGTTCTACGAATTTTAAATCAAACTTTATGTTCAAAAAGCGATTGAAGAATAAATCTTAAAAACTGAATTACTTGTGATCTGTATTTTTGGGGGAAATATGGTTGAAAATATGGAATAATCAGGAGACAATCATAAGCATTCAACTGTTTTACTGGTGTTAATATGTTGACTAAAAATCGAGAAAATGGTCCATATAGTAGAATCGGAATTTAATTTTAAATCGTCATCCAAAAAATCCTAGACGAATCGAATTGGGAGGAAAGCATATTGTCCAAGCCCTTCCTGACATCCTGTAATAGATCAGGAGAAACCCTTCAAAAAAACCACGACAAGAAGTTCACGGTAACACCATCACATTGTTTTTTCTGTCGGTTGAAATAACACATTTTCTTTTACAAGGATAGAAAACAAAGAAGTACAGACAACCTTCACACTCAGAGCCTTGAGTCAGGTGTCTCAGTGAAATTGAGTAATCCTTTCCCACAGTAATGAATAACTGCAGTGCTTCCAGGTTATTGATGTGATAATCACTTGGCTCCCCCCCTTTTAAGTAAACGGTTGATGTGTTGGTGTTAAAAGCTAAATCTGTTAAAGCTTAAGTGCACACCTATCGGGGGAGGTGATGGCTTTGCAGGTTGATGAATGAAAGGATCAGAAAGTCACACTTCATTGACTAAAGGTGGGAGGATACTGATAGGCTTTGGAGTTAAAGAGGAAAATATTGAGCATCTGGCAGGTCACGAGTGCGCTGGTGTGTCATCACTTACGAACAGATTGAATAGATGCCACTTAACCTGTGAAGATGAGTGGATCATGATGCTTTTCAGTAACCTACGGGAGTTGTTTTTCTTACTTGTGTTTGGTCAGAATGAGAGGAGAGTTCAGCTGAGACATACTTTACGAATGTGTCATCAGCTCCTGACCAACATCAAGCTGTTTATTGGAAAAACTTAGAACCATGAAGGAAAACCCGCCAAATGAAAAAGGCGTTTGTTACAAAAAACTGGTAGAGTGTTTGTTAAACCGTCATTTGGACAAGATAGAGAGTTCTGACACCGATTTAGAAACGTGAAAACACCAACAGGCTGGACTGTGACACAAAAACTGAGTTCACAGTGTGAAAACAGCCTAGTCAAACATCCAGTGACTCAGTTGTTCCTTAGCAACCTGCCTGGCCCAACCTGCCAATACAGATCACGCTCAACAAACACACTCTGAATACCAGCAGGGAAATAAGACAGAGGGGAGGAGACAGGGAACCCCCTTTGAGAGAGAGAGAGAGAGAAAAAAAACACACACAGAGCCGGCCCAGTGCTGACTTTATGGGCTGTGTTTCCACTCACAGCTGTGACGCTTCGTGTGCACTCATGTTTTCACGTCTGGAGCCATCTTGGCTGTTTTACCCTTCCCCAACTAAATAAAGAAAAACAAACAGAGAGAGGCTTGCTTGGCCTGCTCAGAGAGAAACAGCTCGTAGCATGCATGCATAAATGAGCGCTTTGTCAAGGTGAAACCGAGGTGTAGCTGGACTGGTGCTGGTTGAAGGGGGTCGAACCCAACCTTTACCAAACACTGATTGATTAACTCAAAGAAGAGAGTGTGTTAAAATGACCCCACCTCATCCCCCTCCTTCCCATCATCCATTTACTCCTGCGTCACTTGAAGTTGCCTCACTTAGACCCTTTCAGAAAGTGAGTTGAACAATTAAAACACCAGGATACTTTCTTGCCTGCAGCACAGCAAGTCAAACATCTGCTATTCTCATCTCCACACTCTGAGATACAGGTTTCGTACGAAAAAGACAGACAACATAAAACCTTGCTCAGTTTTCCCATGTTTCAATGTTTCCTATGGCGCAATTAGGATGGAGTATGGCCTACTTTCCACACAGAGGGTCCAAAACGAAGGCAGCGTAACCGTGGCTCCCGAGTGGAAAACCAAAACTTCTAAATTTACAGAGCGAAGTCCGACTGCAGCGTACCTTTTCCATTCACAGCGCCAAACACAGCGAGAATGAATAGCTCCATCCCCGCCCCTGAGATAATCGAACAAAGACGACTTAAAATCACACTTAAAATGAATGGATTAACAAAGACTGCTGTGGTGGTGAGTCATGTTGTAAAAGTGTGTGTGTCACAGAGATTAAGAGGCCTCCTGCGTCAAGTATGCTCTACTGACTCTGATCACATGACTGAGGGAATTCCAGTACAGCTCTGCCAGATTTTCACCAAGAGGCAGCAGATGTTGCAGCATAATGCTCATGTGAGGGTCTTTCTTTCGTATGACATAATTGATAACAACTACATATGTACAAATATGACGATACATGGCTTTGAATGGAAATTTGCAATAGGGCGAATACATGACGGGTACTTTCAACTTGACATCTGAGGGGTTTCGCACCACACATAAATAATTTCTTAAGAGTGTTTCAAGCCTTGTATGCGTGCAGCATCTCAATGTTGTGAGAAAGCAAAGCAGCAGGGGAGAATTCTCTGCAGTATTACATAACTCTATAGCTTACTACAACCAGGGGGCCAGAGCCTATCAACTGTTTCCCCCCTCTCTCTGTCTTCTCTGGTGACCTTCTTAGCCGCTGACACACTTTTGATCCAGGCGATGCTTAAATTGATGACTATCACTGGTTGAACGCCGCCGCTGACACTGTAACGAGTCTGGAAAACATCATGCATACTATTGTTGATCAAGCCTCTTTCAGTATATTCATGCTGGAATCCCACACACTGCGTCATGTCAACTCACAACTGTCAAACTGAAACAGGAAACACAAACCCAGGACTTGGTTTCATTCATACAACAAGTTATGTTTTTACATAGATGTAATTTTGATGAAACTGTCCCTCATGAACCCAGGAAGAAGCCTTCAAGGACTCCTGGAGGTCCTTAAACCCTAGTTTGGCAACTCTTAACGCCATAGGAGCCATAGGAGCGTTTCCTGGTTGAGACATATGTTTGCTTCTGACTTCAATACAATGTATTCAGCGACTGTAATAATGCTCAATGACACTCCTAGGTAATTGCTGCTCAAACACTGTATTGTGACAAGCGGTCAAAGTGGTGTGTAATAGCTGATAGATTAGTATGTACACACTATGCAGTTGAATTACCAGGAAGCGCCAAAGCTAGAGGGGAAACCCGAGGAGTAATATATCACTTTCTTCACTGCGAAGCACTGCTTTCGGCCAAAAATAGTCCAGCGAATCTAAGAATAATGACGGGCTGTGAGTGAAATAGTGTCAGCACAACCCAGCCCAACCTTTCCATTGCACTCCGCACAGTTTTCACTGCGGAGAGAGTGACAGAGACAGCGAAAACACACCGCCTTTCCCCCACTCACTCACTCACTCACCTCTGGAAGATATTCCACAGAAAACCCTGGTCCGGAGGGGCGTTGATGTGCGGTGGAGCTTTGTACGGACTGTGATACGCCATTTTAAAAGGAAATGTCCTGTCTGAAGAGTCAAAGTAACACCGCTGGACTGCTCTTCTTCCTCTCGCTCTCGCTGTAGTTTCTTCACCGAGCAGCTCCTTCAATCAGACTCTCCACCACCACCACCACCAGACGCTCTCACGTTGCTGCCTGCCTCCTCGCGCTCAGAGGCGTGGCCAATCATTCACCACTTCCCATAAGCAGGGTGACGTCAGGTTTCCTCACATTTTCCTTCCCTTTCATTTGGACAAATATATATATATGAGTCACCAGAGCGTAAAATTATTAACTAAACATTAGGTTCAAGAGACTTTTTTAAAAATCATTAATACTTAAAATAAAATAGTAAATAAAAGAACAAAATAAAAAACAAAGACCAGTAGCCAACCAAGACTTTAACTTAAATGTGACATGAGAAGGAATGTTTTATCTATTTATTTCATTTTATTTTTAATTTATTCATTTTACATTTTATTCATTATAGGGAAAATATGTTCTTTATGTTCATGTTTATGAAAGTTAAAGCTGTTCGATAGTCATCACTCAAAGTTTCAAAATTAAAAGTAAAGGTAAATTTAAAAAAGAAACTATTGATCATTAAAGATAATTTAATCACTTCTGCTACTACTATAAACTGTTTATTAATCGTAGAATCTCAAAGTGTGCCAGTTTTAATCAGTAAAACTTGCTTAAACTATAGTTTTTTTCTTATTATTATTATTTTTTTAATGTAAAGAAAACCAAACAACCATAACAACAACAATTAAATTAAATAAATAAATAGATAATAATAATAATAGTAATAATAATAATAAAAAGAGAAAAAAGAAAAAGAAAAAAAAACTATATCAGTAGGGAGTGATCTTTCTCTTACATAATGAATACTGGTTTGTGAAAATAAAGTTTCTCCAGTTATTGATTAACAAATGCTGATATCTTTTCCATTGTATAAATGTCCTTGATAATGTCCACCCAAATATTTATATATATTGGGTTTCCCTGTAATCGCCATTTCCTGGACTTAAACTATTGTTTATAAAATAGTATATTGTTTAAATCTCTGACGAAAATAAAATCCAACGTTTTGTTGTAATATTAAACATCCGAGTAAATAAACAAACATCGGAAGTAAAATTTTCTTCTGTACTTGAACGCATCATAAATGTTTATATTTAAATTGCAGAAACTTGAAACCTGATTGGACAAGAGAGGACAGACGCGGGAAAACCACGGTGGGGCGCTGTTACCGTGAAAAAAAACCTATTATTCCCGATCTTTGTTTTCTTAAAAGTATCTGATATAGAAAGTTTAAGTAAACATGTTTTACTACCCAAATGTCCTTCAGCGCCACACTGGATGTTTTTCAACAATTTGGTGAGTTTGTAAACAATTTCTTCTCGGTTATTGTACTTTTGCAGCGCATTGTTTGCTGCTAACTCTATTGCTAAAAGTCTAAAACATGGTGGCTGGTTAAATTTAAGTTTAATTTTAATTATTTTTGTTTTATCATTTAGGTTAGCAGCCACAAGAGGTATTAGGGTCACCCGGAGAGAGCTTCTCAGGGTCAATGTCAAGCGAACATGGTAAGAATATCCATCATAGTTTAATCTCAGCATGTAAAACTATTTTAAATTTTGATAAATATGTGCGTCAGTGACTCTTGTTTTGAATTTTGTTTAATAATACACTAAATCATTGTGTTAAATGTTTACAGCGGGGACATCCTGGACTATGTGACAGCCCAGGTACCCCCACCACAACCCAACCTGCCAAGGCCCAGGTTCTCCCTCTACCTGTCGTCCCAGCTGCAGTATGGAGTGGTGGTTGTGTACCACAGGCAGTGTGGCCTCCTCCTTGGTGGGTGGAAATGAACAAAGAACCTGGAGACGAGCAAAGAGTCTCAGTAATTCTGTTTCAGTGTTAAGCCAATGCTTTGCTCCGTCTACTACACAATGCATGTTTTCCAAATCATCCCTGGTTTAAAAGCCTACGGAGCCGATGAATGCATTTCCATCGAATAGCAGTCTCTATTCATCATGGCGTACATTACACCCTGAGACTAACATTGCATCCGACAGAATCACAATCACACTGTCGACATGGTTGATCAAAACTGTGAAAAACACTGCGGGTCAGGATAATAAGCAGGAGGAGAAGCCAAGAAAGCAATCTCTGTTTGTCTGTCTGTCGTCTGCAGTGGCTCTTGCTGCAGAGATGGTATTTCACTTAATCTGTCTGTGGAATAAGACGGAGCCTGTAAAAGCTGCCACATACAATCTAGAGTGGATAATAGGGCTGGTGGGAATATGTCCTCTGTTTCATGATCATCCTGTAAACATGGTAAAACAATTCAGTGGTGATTCTTACATTGACAATACTAATTATTACCCTCTGGACAAAGATAAAGTTTGCAGAGATATTTCCTTGGTCCACTGAAGATATCTTGTTTATAGCCTTTCTTTTCTTGCCTGCTTTTTTGATCCAATAGTATTTTTATAAGTTGTGCAAGTGAACATTTGAACTTCTCTATTTTCAGAGGAGGCTCAACAGACCATGGACCGCCTGCTGCGCTCTAAAATATGCACACGTATTGACATGTCTGAATCTGACAGGTGGGCGCACAAGGAAACACACAAACTATTTGATTCTTGTAGAGAAAAGAGTTGAAAAACCTGGAGCGTTACTATTTGAAGCAGGACCTTGTAGAGGTTTTGCATATTCGGGGTCAAGGGTTGAGGTATTCTTGTGTTATTCCCGCAGGCTGGCCTTGGATGTGCCTGACAGTCTGTACATGATGGAGGAGGCAGAGGGGGCTCAGGACCCTTTCTTTGGTCTCATGGAGTCAAACCAGCTGCCAAGCCCCTACAAGATATACCAGGTACATTTACCAGTCGTTTCACAGCCGCACACTCACTCTCAGATTGTAGGTCACTCCCATTCTGACAGAAATCCAGAGATAGAGTAGATTACAGTGACGGCTCTTACTCATACTGAGTGCTGTAAAAAAGGTCTGACAAGGCTGAACTTTGTCCTTTTTGTGGACTTTCCCTACGGAAATATCATGACTGCCTTCAGTCATCAACAGTGCCACTGAGTGAGACTAAATGGGGACATGAGATGTAAAGGATTGTGGACTAGTGTGAAAATTAGAAATAGCTGTACATCCAGACCTGACTGCGTATTCCAATTTTTTCCCACACATGTAATTTGTCAATTTGTCAGAGTTGTTACATAAGACTTCATGTGCACTTTTAGCCGATGGTGCTGGTTGGAGAGGCCGGTTCACAGCACTCCCTGGTGCCCGTTCCCCAGACGACACCTGACAAAGAGGGTGAGACCGACATTTTAACTTGTGAAAGACTAACTGTGTCCTCATCCAGGGATAGCTGCCATATAAAATCTCATTTCAACATCAAACGGGTCCTAAAGGTTGCCTGATTTAAAAAAGCTTTGACAAACTTTGAAGTATTTTGGTCTATTTGTGTCCACTGAACTGAGGAATAGTTGTGGTATCATATGTGATTAAGCTCATAATGGATTCAAAACTGCCAATCAAAAGCCCAGATATAACTGTATTAAATATCTCTTCTTGAGTTTTCATTAATGTGTCAAAAAATAGTTCCATGTTCTTTTTGAAAAGCTTGTTTTCTAATTCCCGCTGCTGTGTGAAATCAGGTTTTAGGTCACCTCCAGCTGCCATCACCCTGACGGAGAAGGAGCAATTGCACATCCATACTGCTGAGGTAAACCCTCTGTCACAGTGCGGGGACAGAAAACATCCAAGTCATCATTTTTAGACACAGCATCCACTCTGGTGATTCATTGAGCTGGAACGTGGGACGTGTGCTCACAGCAGCTTTAGTTAGGGTCTTTGTCACAGGAAGAGGTGGACAAATATAAAAAAATAAAGACATTCCTCTATTGTTAATATAATACCAAATAGTTATTTTTGTAGAACAATACCAGATGCTTTACAGACTGTCCTGAATTCACCGCTAAAGTCCAAACAAATCATGTTAGAGTTCGAAAATGCTGCTTCGCTATTAGCTTCGTCATAATGTCACTTAAGGACTGATAATGCTCCTCTTAAAGCATCGTGACCTGATGAATTTCATTTGGGTTTAATTGAATGTGACTTGATTACATCAGCATGCTCTCAGTTTGTTTACAGAGACGTGTGGCTCACATAGATCCGTGTCCTCTGCCCCAGATTGTTTGTCCCTTGGGGTGGATTTTGCTGCTCATGCAAAAATTTTATAACATCTTTTATTATCGCTCTGTTCCTTACTCACTAAATAGACTGATCGTCGCACCTCTTTTACCTCCACTCTTCCGTCTCCACTTAAGTTTCCTCTTTCTGTTTCAGTACTTTGTTGGGGATGATCTACCTGAAGTCACAGCAAGGGAGATTGACTTATTGTTGGATCAGCCAGACCAGTTTCGGGGAGGTGGGTGATCCTGTCCTCGAAGCTTTCAACGTGGAAACTGTGTAGTCTGATGTGGATGTCACCCTGGGAGAGAGGAAAAGTTATAAAAGTCTGATTGTTGAGATTGTTTTTGCTAGTTGGAAAAAAAACAGTTCATTGAGCATTGTTTTCATTGAATTTCATTGTTATTACCTACATGTATGACAGAAACAGAGGAACAGCAGAGGATCAGGGATCTCGAAGGAGGCCTGACCTCTATTGACCAGTGAGTCCAGCAGAAAAAACAGTTTTGAATCTTTCTTTTAACTGTTTTAACACTGAGAAGAATGCCTGAAATACAACATAACTGTCATAGTTATGATACCAGTGTGTGTGTGTGTGTGTGTGTGTGTGTGTGTGTGTGTGTGTGTGTGTGTGTGTGTGTGTGTGTGTGTGTGTGTGTGTTTTATTGTTTCAAGGCTAAAGGAGACCATGCTTGGAGCAGAGCAGCACAGTATGTGGCTGCTGGATGAGGAGTCAGGTCACCCTGTCGAGGTTCCTCTGGCAGCTGTTCCCCCAGAGATGACCCCACCGCAGGTCGCTATGCCAACCTCACCCTCTGGGGCATCTGGGAGAGAGAGAGGGACAGATAGTCCCCATGAGGAGGTGAGACTGGGTGATACCGACTGCTCTCTCATTTGTTCCTTTGTTATCACCTGCTGTTTGAGTTATGTCACATAGGAAACAACAAACAGTGACGAAGTGTTTTCTATTGTGACAGTTGTCATTAACTTCAATCTTCATTCCATAGAGTGAGTCACGAGCAGCTGGTTTCGTTTTGGAAACTAGTAATGGAAAGCAGATGTGGGTGTGGCACCACATCCATTCATAGTTTCCAGTTTGTGTGCTGGAGTGCGGCTTCTTTAAATAGATTCACAGATTAAATCTGTGCGTTTCTCACGCTGCCATCAGGTCGTCCCCCCTCTTAAGAAGACGCGCGGAGGTCGCAGGCGCCAACTGATCTTCGCAGATCCTGAGACCCAGATATCTGACCTAGAATTGAAAGAACAGATCGAAAACCCGCAGGCAGAGACACAAGATCTGGTACTGAATCTGACTTGTCTCACTCAACCTTAAAACAGCTCTTTCCTCTTATCCCTCAGTAGCAAATCATAACTTATCAAAGGTTGATCATACACATACATCACTCAATTTCCTGTCATTTCTCTGATCTAAAACTATTAACTTTGAAAAAAACTAACTTTGAAACTTCATCATCACACTTACTTATTATTCTCCCTGTCTTTCAGCCTGGGGTGTTGCTGGACCTGCTTTCCTTGACCAAGCGTCCTGCTCCTGCTCAGCTCTTCACTGCCCCCTGTGGATGTCAGTACCAAGTGTCAGAGATAATAATATATCAGTGATCACTCATGAATATCAGCCCCCAGCTGAAGACCCCCAAAGATAATAAATAGGAGTCTTGAGAAAACCAATTCTGTCCTTTGAATTAATCTAGAAACTAATAGCGAGTGTGCTCTTGTATTGAGTTAGCGGCTGCAGAAAGACGTAAGCTTGGACAACTTTTTGATAGTAAAAACATGACAAATGAAGGATCAGTCATGTCAGATTCTAGATGAGGTTTCTTACCTACCTTGCACCTCTCGAAGAAGCAGTTTACAGCACTTATAGTGGATTGGTTGTCACCTTTAGAGATGCTTGGAAACACTCTGACTTTTCCCTTACAGCCCTCCTCAACACTGACCTCCAGACTGTGTGGAAGAAGTGTGCTTCACTCGCCGTTTTCATGGAAGAAGAGGAGGTGCGAGGAGAGTCGGAGCTGGATAGAGAAGTTCTGAGGACAGAGAGGAAGAGGAGGTATTCAAGCATGAAGGAGGTGAGTATGTTAGACACAAATCTTTTTTTTTTTTGGATTTTGATTTTTCATCATACTTCATCATGTGTCCTGCTATTTGTGGGGAAGAGAATAAAGGTTATCCACTGGGCAGCTGGCCTGCAGTGGTATTCTGCCAACTGTGTTCAGTTCAGTGGTGGGACAAATTAGATTATGAACCTCGTTTCTATTTCATGAGACTCTGTGACTCTCTTACTCGCAGATCTCCAGTGAGTCAGGACTGCAACCTGCTGAGGGCTCATGTAAGATCTCCCCCCTTTTCTCTCGCACATTAGCTTTTCAGATTCATCATTCACAGCCATTCATTGTGTGTTTTTGTGATAAACAGCTGCATTAGACATGTCAAAAGAGGACAAATCTGTGAGCGACGCGATCACTCCAGTCGGCAGATGGTAAGTCTCAGATGGGCAGACAGACACACGGCTAGAAGTATAAAGAAACAGATCAACTGTGTGTTTGTGTGTTTGTGTGTGTGTGTAGGTCTCCACAACAGGAGGCTCAGCTCCAAATGGCGCCTATAGCAGAGGAGAACATTGAGATGCCAGAGGCTCAGACTGATGCAGAGTGTGGGGATATGCTGAGGTATTTTATTTAATACTCACAGCACAACCACACACACACATATGCAAGCTTGAAAAACACACGCACTGACATCTGCTTTGAAATTGAAAATAGAAAACAGTCATTCAGCAGAGGGATGAACCTGAACCACACACACATATGCCTCATAAACTCCTCTGCATCAAATCTGGTTTGTTAAAACTGTTACAGGCTTCGATTTATTGATTGATCGGCGAATTATAAACCCTGGTGTTGGCTTTATTTAGTCATGCCCTCAGTGTAGCAGGACTGAAAGCATGATCTGAAATATTTCTGTCTCAGGCCTTACATTGTGATACCATCAATTGCTCATTCTGCATGTTTTTGTTTTTTTTTAGCTTTATTTCTAGCATTTTCCAGAGGTGTGGAGAAGTCACCTTTGACTCTCTGGTGCCCCCTGAGGCAGATTGCGCCACTGCAGCTCACACTCTCCTCAAACTGCTGGGTGAGGAATTCAAACACTGACGCGTATTTACTCCCTGACTTCTGTTTGTTATTGATTAGTTAAGCTAACGCAGCTGTGTGTGACTAATAACGTTCAGTGAATCTGATGTGTCTCTTTTTCAGAGCTGCTGTCTGCTGGACATGTGACCGTACAACAGGCGGAGCCCTACAGTACCATCCAAATAAACCCCAGGATTGTTGTCTGAACACACAAATGCTCACTCCACTCTGGTTCACTTTTCATAGATAAATACAGATCCTGTTACAGTAACACAGAGTTGTCGGTTTTAACACTCAAATCAAAAGTTTTTTAAAAGTTTGCTCTGCTTTTAACTTGTTCGTGCTCTTGAATTTTTAGATATTTTTACCACTCGAGTTTTTAAGTGTTTTATCTTCATATTAACACACAGTTGCAGAGAGCCTTGTGGTTTTAATCATACAGTTAAGTATGAGTTTTTAATCCCTTGTAATGTTTAAACGCAGTTTGTATTTGTAGTACAAGTTTTTATTGTATTAAAACAATCGAATAAAAGGTTTTTTATCAGTGACGCTGTGTTTGACATGGAACTGTTTGTGAACAACTTCCTGTTACTGTTCAGGAACACACTCAGACACTTGTTTGAGTCTAACTTCATCCTGAATGTCAATGTCAATGTCAGCTTTATTTATACAGCACATTTAAAAACAGCCAGTGGCCTACCAAAGTGCTTTACAGTAAAATAGCCAGAGACAGTAAAAACTATAAAAATATAAAAACATAAAACAACAATATAGATAAACATAGCACATAAATAAAATACCCAATAAAAGTAGCTGTACTTCCCTAAAAGCTAAAGTGAACAGGTGCATCTTCAGAAGTGTCTTAAAAGTGGAAAGGCTGTTAGTGCGCACTGAAAGGGGTAAAGCGTTCCACAAAGTGGGCGCCACGACAGAAAATGCTCTATCTCCTCTAGATTTTAAAAAGGATCGAGGAACGTCTAAAACCACCTGATTAGCTGACCTCAGGGCTCTGGAGGGCTGGAGCAATTTAACAAGGTCAGGGAGATATTCCAGGGCCAGCCCATTCAGAGACTTAAAAACAAATAAAAGAATCTTAAAATCGATCCTGTACTTAACAGGGAGCCAGTGAAGAGAGGCAAGGACTGGAATGAGCGGATGATTTTGGATTTATCACAGAGCATTATGACTTTTTTTAAGAATCCTAAAATGAAAAAGTCTAGCTGCTTGAATCTCAAAGTGTATTTCCAACAGTCAACAGTTTAGAAAAAGGTCGCCTGTGTTATAATATGTGACCCGCAGAGCTTCAGTATTTACACCATAATGTGCTTTGCAGACAGAAACCTCCAGTCTGACCTCACGCCTCAATAACTCTGCACAATTAAAGAGTTGCGCATTAAATGCGCCGGGGCGCTGCTGTGTTTACATAAGGGTAAGACCATATCCATGTGGCACCTCTTTGTGAGTGAGAGGCCAGAGCTGAGGTCAGTGGTGCAGTCACACAACAAATCCTCATTTACATCCACACAGCAGAATGGCTGATTTGTTGATACTACTTGTGATACACTCGAGTGGCGGTGCAATGCCAGGGAATGTCTTTTCCACTGGCACGTCATGTTTTCCTTCAAAAGTAGGGTCAGTTTTGACTTTTTAAGGTCATTTGGTGGCGTGGGAATAATATAGTGGGTATTCTTGAGAGTGAGAGTGTTGGGAGTGAAAAGACAGCCAAAATTTTATAGAATGATTTTAAAGTTGCAGTAAAGTTGAGGGGTAGTGCCACCTCTTTAAAAACTTTACTATAAATAAAAGGATTTGGACACTCCCTTCAGCTCTGCACAGCACAACACCAGGCCTTTACATCATCTGTATCCCTCTCTAGTGCTGACGTAAAGCTGCAGTTTCTGTGGGTGAGATTCTTTGTGGCCGCTCATGGAATGTGACATGCAGGGTCCAGAGTGCTGGTTTGGAAAGATCCCGGCTGTAAAGGTCAAAACACACGGGCTCCACGGCATGCAGGGACACGTGTGCCGTGTTTTTGTTCCCTTGTATATCTGAATATGTGGCAATGAACTGCAAATGGGCCGTATATCATGATCCGGAGGGCGAATGATGAGAGGAGGTGCAGTGGATCACGTCATCACACAGACATGAATCTGAGCTGTTGGTATTTTACTATGTGATTAAATGTATATCTATGAATGATAAGTCATGAAGCAATACTTTCTTCTTTTACAGCAATAATATATTAAACTACAACCTGAATTTACACCAGTCTACATAGACACCAAGCAGTATAAACACAATCATCCGTCCATCAGCCCCTGACAGGCTTATAAACCTCACATCTGAGTGACACATTACACACATTTGCACAGACTGTTTAAATCTGCCAGGAGGGCAGTGCATGAGTCCGCATGCAGCCAGACACTCACACTTTTCAGAGACCTTTATCGTCAGAAGACGCAGAGCTCTGAATCATCAGCCCCCGAGGAGTGAACAGCAGACCAGTCAGAATCTGCAACAGGACAGCTGGAGACACGAGGGAGTCCATACAGGGAGCATCAGAGAGAAAGTGAGAAAGAGAAAGAGGGAGACGCTGTTTTCTTTTTAGTTTGATCTCTCTCTGAGATACTGATCAAAAAGCCAAACTGGCAGCAGACGAAACCAAAAGCTTGCTGGAGGAAGGAGAGGCCAATGCGGAGCAGGCCAACAGGGGACCGGATGGGCCGGCAGAAAGGGAGTCACCAGGGCCAATGGTGCGAGTTGAGCTGGAGCTGGAGATCCCGATGTCTGTGACACTGCCTATCGAGGTGCAGCCTGACCTGGCGCACCAGCCGTTCCCCTTCTTGGACACCACGCTGGCTGACCTGGGCATCCAAGAGTGAGTTTGCTTTCCAGTGTGACAGAATTTAAAGCAAATTTGTGTCGATTTACTAACAGAGGTGGCTGCTTCCAGGTCAGAGGTGAAGGAGAGGATAGTGTGGGTTGACAACAAGAAGACCAAAGTCAAGAACAAAGAGGGGAAGATGAAGGAGAAAGAGATCACCATCCTGGAGGTGAGACAACTCCACTCTGATTTACTGTGTTTTTTTTATTGTTCAAATATGGAGCTCGAGGCTCCAGGTGAAGCAGTGTGTCCGTTTTGATTTGTAGGTGAGAGTGAAAGCCCAGAAACCAGGAGACAAACAGCTCCAGGAGGTTCTGTACAGCACCGAGGCCCACACTGACCGCTCCTTCTGCCGCACAGGAGTGGACATCTTACCCTGGAAACACACATCCACAGGTCTGGAAGCAAATGAAATCCATCAGTCAAATATTCAGCACTTTAACATCCGTCTGTCACTGTCAGCTCACACTTCTTTCAGTTTAGATGTTTTATCTCAGCCCATATTCTATTTTTATACATATTGTGTCACTCTGCCCTGCAGGAGCCTGAAGTGACCTCTCGAATAACAGATTTACCAGACTGATGTAGATCACAGTCATGTGCCAGAACCTCAGGGCGCTGAAATGAGATCATTGTAAACATTACATCATAGTCCACGGTTAAACATGTGACTTTAGCCTGTTCCGTTTTCCGCTTTCGTCTCTATCATTATGAAACGCACACAAATTCAAAAAAGACCTCTCTGTCTTTACTTTCAGGGGAAGGTGAACTGGCACCGGTGCAGATGACTATGGCATTGGAGAACCAGCAGCCAGACTCTACCGACACTGAGAGCCAACGAGAGATATGAGGAAATGAGGCACAGCTCTTTACTGGATTGTGATTCCAGGATGAAACTTTGATTAAGAGTGTTGTCATTTTCTTTTTCCACACTGTGGTGAGTTTGAATGGCCTGACCTTAACTGCACAGTGGAACATGCATATTTTATAGCATTTGTTTTAAACCTTGCACTTGATGAATAACGTGCTGTATGGATCTGTTATAGAGTTTAAAGAGGAAATATCAGCAGCAAAAATGCACTCTCCCAAGACACTTGTAGGCTTAGTTGCTGGCAGCACTTGCACAGTGTGCTGAGGGTGAATAAGTGCCGGTTTTTGAGTGTTGCCTATTAGCTCAGTCTGTTCAGTTAGTCAGAGAGCCCTGGGGTTTTCTGCTGCAGTATTTCTGCCAGAGTTCATACAACAGACAGCTGCAGAGCCGGCCCATTAGAGAACCCCCTCTGAAGCAGAATATCAATCTCTTTTAGGCCACGGCGTGAGTGTTTATGTGGTGATCAGACATTCCAAGTCCACAGACTTAACACTCAAGGATGAGAGGAAAAATCACATTTTTATGGAGATCAAATTCAACATCAGCACATAACAAGAACAGGAAACCAAAATACAGTGGCAACAACACAGGATGGTAAACCGTAACCCTGACAGTCATAAAACTTTAACATTGCATGCATATGAGCAAATAAATTAAATGTTAACACTAAGAAATAGAACTTCCAAATGGGAAAGTAGCTACACCAGAATGCTTGAAGTGCTGTTTTTAGATCAATTTGGGGGAACGACTCCAAAAACTGTCCAAACTTTCTACCTAAGGTATAAAAATCTTTCTTTGCTTCATTCTGGCTTTCACGAGAGAGTGCGAGGATGTGCAAAAGGCTACGAGCCAGAAATGGCCTCGCTTAATTTGGCCTGCTGCTCTCCTGGAAGTGAAACCGCAGCTGCTTGGAAGTCTTCAGAGTGGTCCTGAGCAAAGTTTTTTATTAGCATGGCCAAAGTCTTCTGTGTTTCTGTGGGCGAGAGACAAAAGAGGAGAGATTGTTATTGTCATGTTCTCGATAACTGAAGGTAAGCTGTTGAAAAAGTCTGAGCTCAGATCAGTCCAAGTTGGTTCCAGAGATCACAGGTCGTTAAGAATTATGGGTGTTACCAAAGAAATCCTCACCCTCATCAACTTTGTTGTTGCCGAGGACGTGAGTGGATGCAGCGATGATGGGCTTCATAAGTTTTACAACCTAAAAGGAGAGAGATGTTGAAACGATACAGAATAAATGCTTAAGCTATAAACGCCCACGCCGACTGACTGAATGAGGACAACGGTGAAGGATTCAAAACACAGAGGATCATCACTACAGCATTTCATATCTGTCAAAACCAATTACTCTTCATTAAACACTGAAGCTCTTGTTTTGCTTTTTGTTGGACATGATGTGTTGAAGCTATTCAGTCATAATAATAATAAAAACCTTTAAAGAAAATGACAGAGTAAGACACACTTTTTTCATGTTTTCCATCACTTGTATAACAGCTGTATTTGAGTTTTATATTCTACTACACAGGGATGATAAAACCACGTGTCAATGTTAGTACTGTACCAGATCGTGGCTGTGTTTGTAGAGCATCGCCAGGCAGCTGAACACCGTCTTGTTCTCCTCCATGTCCTCTTTGAGAGGGAGACGACCCACCAGAGCAGGCAGAACCTGGTGTTGGATACGAGTGAGTTGAGTTTGTAAATGTGTTATCTGCAGTAAAAGATATTTCTATGTGTGAAACCACCTTGAACTAGAGGTAAGAGCTGTGAATGTACCTGCTCCAGAGGGACAGCGTCCACATTACTCATGATCATCCTGCAGAGGGCGGCACACAGGTTGTCAATCACCCTGAGGTCTGGCTCTTTAGCCAGCATGTTCGAAAACACAGAGAGCATCATGGGGTAGTCTCTGGTGAGTGCTTAAGTAAGGATCAACTATATGTGACGGATTAAATCACAACACACCCTCACACACGGAAACACACACGAGTCAAAAGGATACGACACAACGATGGGTCCAGCTGCCTGAGCCAGACATCCCAGTCCAAACACGCTGTTGTTTCGGACTTCAGGATCGCTGTCCCTCACTCCCGCTACGAGAACAGGAAGCAAACGATTGGACAGCCTGCCCGCCACTCCGCGACCCCCAGACACGCTCACCAGGGCCTGCAGGATCTCTCCAATTGTACCCACGGAGAAAGAGCGGTCCGCCACAGTGCAGGAGGATTTCTTTTGAGAGAGACAGAAAACTGAAAAGTGTGTTTTTGCACAGAGATAAAAAAAATCTTTAAACTTGAAATTTACACAAAACAAATCAACTGTGGAAGAGCTCCCCCTATGGGCCCACATATTTGTAAGAGGCAATTTCCTTTTTAAAAGTGTTAGAGTAAGAAGAACTCCTCTTCCTTACAGACAGCTCAAACTCACCGCTTTGCTCATGATGAGAGGAAGCAGGTCATTGAGGTAAGGGGCAAAACTGTCAGCAGGTACAGAGGACGCCAGCAGGGGGATCCCCTCCCCTGCATACTCTTGGAGCATGGCGTCGTACTCTGCCTGAAAATCAAAAAAGAATGAACTGAGAAGTTATTTGGATTTAAAAAACAAAAACCTTTTATTTTGATCGGTGTTGACTGAGACAGTAATGTGTTGAGGGACGGCGACGAACCTGCTGATCTTCATCCTCGGCTTCATCACCACCGCCGTCCTGACAACGAGTCTGCGCAGAGAGGAACACAAGCGGCAAACGGAGATGTAACATGTAACAAACAAAGGTAACCCTGTATTCCCGTCCGTCTCTTTTGTTCTCACCTTTTCCTTCAGCACATCACGGATGACGTGGCTGATCTCTTTGAGCCGGGAAGGATTCTTGAAAACCTCGCCTTTGCAAGTTTTGATGACATTGTTCATGGTTTCAAGGACGCCCATTACAACTTGGCGCTCGTGTTCTGTGCGCACCGTTTCCACGAAGCAAGGGACCACAACATCCAGCAGCTTCAGTAAGGCTGAAGGAGCAATACAAGGTGTTAAGAAACTGGACAGTATAGACGAGAGATCGATTAAATGTTACGGTATGAATTAATAACCGATCAGCTGAACTGATCATCCCCACTCTAGAGCAGAACCATCCTTTTCTGTGTTGGCAATAACAGCTCCTTACCTTGCTGGTTAGCCTCAGTTGGATTGTCCTTCCAAACTTGGTACTGAGCTCGGCAAAACTGACCCATGGCTCCAAATGCTGCTCTTCGGACATCCTCGTGGGGAAACTACATCAGGAAGAAATAAAGACGCACAATGTTTGAGAGGTCTCTTTGAACAGATGCAATCCATCTCCAGAGATGAGAGCTAGGATATAAAGACTGTGAACCTGCAGCCTTCAGGAGAATTTCTCTCAAATTGACTGTGGCGTTCTTGTTGTGGTGGGTAATGCTCATTAGATGGCGATAAACACTTCTTGCTTCATCAGCTAAATTTATAATAAAAGCAGTTCCCTGGAGCCAACTCAAGCTCTGAGGCAGCTCACGTGTACAAGTGGCATGAGTATTCATCGCTCAAGCATGTCTTTGTGCTATCATGGTTTACTACTTACTACAATCTCTACACACTATTTTAGTCTCATTCAGGCCTAAAATGTTCCTCCCCTTGCTGCTTACAACCCCTACTCTTTTAGAACGGTTATTAGGACATCTGCGATTTTTGTGGGTCACCTCTTCTGCTGGAAAACTCTGGATAAATCTAAAAGAACCACATCCCTGATCAATCCACCTCCTGACGTAAACCTGCAGGGACTAAATGTATGTGCACATACGGACAGCAGAGTGCCCTTCACAGAACATTAGACAGCGAAGGACGGCCGGGCCGAGCAGCCAGACAGAATTACTCACATCTCTCATCTCGTAAACCTGCTGAAAGCTGGACTCCAGGAAGGGCTGGAAGGCAGAGCTGTCGGGGAAGACACAGCAGTAGCAGTTGAAAACGTGACCGCAAACACTCACTCACAAGGCATGTCTGACATAAAAGTACAATTTTAGTATGTTTACGATGTGTAAGACGCTAATTTACAGTGCCTGCAATACTACAATTTGTACACGTGTATATTAATGTTACCCTGTGCTGAAGGCAATGTCTCCCAGGGCCTCACAGGCATCCTCCTTCTCGTCGATGTAGGCGTTTTCTACAGTGAACCTGACAGACAGAATCAGACAGAGTGAGAGCCGTCCTCCACCAGGGTAAGCAAATACACATTTATGTTTCCCGTGTGTATGCACACCCTGCAATGTCTTGGATATCTGTCTCAGGTTCATCTTCCAGAATGTGATCGTCGTCTTTTTCCTCTTGGTCGTCATCGTCCTCTTCATCCAGCAGAACAAACGCTTTATCCTCCTCAACGTGTGCCTCGAAAGATGACAGAGGATGTTCACAGTAAAAACACGAGTTTTAGGAATATTTCGTTAAGAATGGAGATTTCTGCGCGGTGGTTTGTGTCTAATACCGTTATCCCTTCGTTGGACTTGAGGGCGAGCAGCATGACCGTTGTGATGGCAGTGAGGTGAGGAGTCAGGCTCTCCGGGCTGATTGTGGACACAGCTGAGTACAGGCTGTACCTGATGAAGGGAAATATCAAAAGAATATCATTTATTATCAGTGTTTGTTTTCTAATAATAAAATGCTGACTCAGATCTGACTATAACATTAATATTTGTGCAGTACTGTTTGAAAGGAGCACAGCAAACTGAGTGACCTACGTGCAACGCCTCAGATCAGGGTCATCAATAGTGTCAGTGAGATTAATGCCCAGCTGAACACACTCTGCAGCGAGAGGACTGAATACATCTTTGCCAACGGTACGGGCCAGAACTGAGAGAGTGTCTAGGGACAACAAGATAAGATGATGATCAGCATCATGATCATTCAGGCTGTTCGTCTGAAATTACGTAAAACTCACCTACTGTAAATAAAAAATATCAGGATTACTTACCCAGGGACTGGGTCTGCAGGGACCTCATCTCCTCAGTGGTAGTGGTCAAGAAGCCTTTCAAGCTTTCAATAACTGGAGGAAAGTAGGGAACCAGCAGTTCCTTGGCAGCATTGGCTGATAAGAAAGTGATTGACAGGCGGATTATACGATGATAACACCTCCTTCCTCACTTGGATTAAATATTATCTGGCAAATTATACAGGACTCTTCCAGTCTACGATCTTAAGCTTTACTTTGTGGAAAAAACAACAATTTTTGCCTTTGAAAATAATAAAGGAAGCAACATACCAATGGCACCTATGGCGGACACAGCCAGCTCTTTAATTTTGAGGCTGTCCGTGTTGTTGAGAGCAGAGAACATGGTTTCCATCAGGGTGGGCAGGTAAGGCTCAATATCTTCTCCTGTTTGTAAAGACAAAGAGTTTAGACAATGTTCAAAAAACAACATGTGGAAACGACAATGACAACACACCCTGTATGTGAATGAGCACAACAACCCAAAGAAGAGCTCAACTTAATTCAAAGCCTAATTTCCCTCTTGCAGTATGACGAGCTGATACTTTTGTGTCAGGTGTGGCGTTGAAAGGTCTTAGGCTTACCCAGGTTCTCCATGAAGTTCTCCAGGGCGTAAAAGGCCTTGGTAACATGGCCGAGCTTGGCCTGGTTCAAGGATGAAAGGTAGCCCAGCAGCAAAGGCATCAACTCTGCGCAGTACTTACTCACTTCAGGCTGAGAGGAGAAGGTGGAAAACGGTGTTAGCTCATAAAATTATCTTTCCCATTGTTGTTTTGTTTGTTTGTTAAATAGATCTCGGGGTAAACCTTTAATTGATAAAAAATTGTACGTATTGTTGTGAGGTGCAGACTGCCTCACCTGTAAATGCTCTGACAGTTGTCCTAGAGCAAAAAGGCCGGCACTGCGTACCACCTGATCACTGTCAGAAAGACTCTGGCACACTGTCTGCAGCACCGTTGACAGCATCCTTAAACAGACGGTGGAAACATTAAAAACTCAAATCCCTGTGCTTGTTGTTTTTCAGTACATTAACCTGTACGTGGAAAGGAAATTTCTTATATACTTGGTACGTATGTGGTCAGCACATCCTTCAGCCAGAACAGCGAGACAAAGGAGACCGCCCTTCCTTTGGTACGGGTCTTGGCTGGCAAGGCAGGCGTGAGTGAGGGGCATCTAAAACACAAGACAGTGAACTTCATTCACAAGAGGCTGGCAACTGAGCAAAAGTTCATATTTAAAAATCTAAGTCAGCATTGAGTGACATCTTCTTAAACACATAACATGTCAAAGAGGCTCCTTGAGATGCATCACTGAACTTCTGTCCCTGTAACAAAGCCAAACACCAATGGACCGATCTTTGGGGATCATAGATTCACAAAGACCACAAGCAGAAAAAGACTGTTCATCTTAAAATTATGACCAATATGTTATGTCAATAGGTGACTTACCAAATGCTGAAACAGCTTCTCAGGGGGCATATGGAGTGCCATGGTGTCAATTATCTGGAAATAACAAAAATATAATCCGTCAGCGATCAAATGTGTCCTCCCCAGGGTTGATCTAAAGGGCAGAATCTTAAACACGACATTTGAACTCTGTGTAGTGACACTTATACTTCCGCACCTGCGCAGCGCAGTGTTTGGGATTGTCATTGTCTATGCCGTCTCCGCTGTCATCCTCCTCATCATCTGGGTCCTGCTCACCGGGTGGGGGAGCAGCGACCAGCACAGGGAAAATGGACTGCAGAATGGGGTTCAGCAGCTTGTGCTTCAGCACCGTCTAAGTGAGAGGAAAAAGTTTCAGTCTTTGCTTTTAGTCAGATATACATTAACTAGATTGACTGACTGTGCATAGAGCTGTGCAGATATAGAGCAGTAGGATTTCTGAGTCTTTGTTGGCAAACAATCAGTCAAAATATTACATGACCTAAAAATCTAGTTTCCAGTTGACATCACACTTGGGTCAAAGATTTCAGCTAGGATGAGTTAGTACTGTTATCATACAAACACAGAAAGCAACAGAAGTACAGCCACTCAATAGTCCTTCTGATTACAAACAGAAAGACGGTTTATTTGTGTTTTTTCAGGGGGGCCTTACCTTGCTCTTCAGCTTGATGAGGAAGATGATACAAGATAGTGCTTTCACTCGCAAAGAGTGGCTCAGAGTGGTGTTACCGCCGACCTGAAGAAACATTTTAATTCAGAGGATCTGTTAGACTTTAAGGTATGTTGCAGCTCAGGACGTGAACTCAAATCCAGAACACATCACTCAAATTTAGAGACAAAATGAAGACACTTAGCTTGTACCTCCAAACAGAAGCGAACCATTTCAGAAATATGGGGGACAAGAATGGACACCTCGCTCTCCATGAGCTCATTGAACACCTCCATGGCCTCACTGGCTTTTTCCTGTACAGACAGAGAAAATTGAACGATTACACGGGCTCTCTGTTTAAGCACTTACCCCAAAATAGATACAGAAATGCGTTTTGACCGTAAGTCTGTCTACCTGATCTGCTTTGATCAGATGCTGCAAAGCGACAATCAGATTTGGGATGATGGAACGCATCTTGTTCTGAAGGGCAAAAGAATGTCACAATCTTTAATACATTTTTACAGGATGGCACATTTAAACTCAATCTAGAATAAATTGTTCTGTCAAGCCGCTAAAAGTTTAAACTTTCATGTATTATTTGAACCTTTTATCTTGTCGGATGTCCAAGTTATAAAAATCACTTACGATCTCTTCTGTGCTGGTGTACGGAGTGATCGATGTGAGAGTGAGGATGCAATAGTACAAGGCTGTCGGGTTGTCGTGGTCCTGCAGCACAGTGCTGAGCAGCTCTAGCAGCTGGCTGTAGTGAGGCCTGAAAGGCTCAGGGTTCGATTCAATGACCTTGTTAAGCAGCAGAAGACCAACCTGTTGGTATGGAAGATGATCAGTTTCAAACAGAAAGTAGTGTGTATTCAATACAAAACCTCAACTTTTCATTCGTTACAATAAAAAAGAAAAAAGTTTCATCTTTGAAATTAATGTTGAAGAAAACAAATATTCAGCTGCTATAAATGGTGGATGTATTAATGAATTCTTAGTTGTGAAATGGGTCCCGTGCCTGTCTGTCATTAGCGTTGCTGCTTTTGGTGGATTGATTGAGAAGCTGGAGTAGAGCGGGCCACCTGTCCGGAGTCTCATGTTTAACCATCACTGCACACAGCTGGGAGAGTGAGTGTTGGACTGTGTGCCTGCAGAAAAGTGATTTATTGACATGTATATTAAAGAAATTTAAAGTGTCATTCACAAAAACATGATAAGAAATGGAGATAAGGTTGATAGATAAAGTAACTCATCACTGTAGAGGAGGAAGCTTACTCTGATTCCTGCATGAAGGCCTGCAACACCACTGCCTTGAGGCTAAAAGAGGATAAAAGCAGACATAAGTATAAGTCTTTTTCAAATGAATGGGAACAGTGACAACTGGGTGAAAACTATTAAAAGAAAGCAACGGTCGAACCTCTCCCTGTCATTTGGGCTGATTTTCTTCCAGTGTTTCTTAACTCTCAACCTCAGCATCACTGCAGCTGACTGACGAATCTGGGAGGCGACATTTAGGATTAAAAGAAAAGAAAAACACCAAAGCTGACAAGTATTACTCTTCAAAAACATACCTGAGGATTCTGGGAGCCACTCATGACGGCACACAAGGCTGGTATAATGGCAGGGTCTTTGAAAGCATGTTTAAGCTGGGCTGTGGCCTAAAGGGGGAGAACACATACCTTTCAAAGGAGATAGCATCTATATATTAAATGTCAACATGCCAACTCATAACCTTAAACCGTGATCATATGACAGAGGTTAGCTAACAAACTGGCAAGTCAACATTTTAGAGACTTGACAGTCAGATGACCGACCGTTAAAAGCCGTTACACTGGCTGGATTAGCTAGGCTGGATTTATAACGTTTACCGTTAGTATTAATATTAATGTAGAAAAGTGAACACCGTTATTAGTGACAGTACCTGCTGGATGACTGCATTGTCAGGCTGTGTCAGCTGAGAGAGGATTTGCTCAAGTTCCTCAGTCATTTCCACAAGTTTAACTTTCAGCCGAGCAGTAAAGACCGTCGATGTTGACCGGATTTCGGATATACGGTTCAGACAAACGGGCTGTCCTTCCGCGGCGTCGGAACAAACGGTGTCCAAAGTTGGCTACACCTGTGAAATACGTAAACAAAGCCTACGTGGACGGCTCGAAGTGTGTAGTGCGGAAAAAAAAACACCCGAAATCGCGATTTGTAGAGTTGTCCGAGTCGATGAGGCGGGTCAGATGGTACTCGAGCCACCAGCTCCGGTTGTCATTTCTCAACCGCCAGCACGCGGGACAGAACCGGCCCAGAGTTCCATGTGAGTTCTGTTAAAGGGACCTGCAACTGTCAGCCTGGTGACAAAAGACAAGCAGCGCCCTCTACCGGACAGGAGGACATGATAATTAGCTAAAGAACGGGCTACTTTATGATGTTATTTCTTAAATCTAGAAAATACTGGAGAATACTTTCTAACCCTTAGAAATAATTGTTTAATAATATCAATTCAAGTGCATATTTTTGATTAATTAACCCTAGAACGCTATCGGTAAAATTAGTTACACCATCACTATTGCCAGGTGATTTTTACTCGAAATAATATACCCAAGAAAAAGTACTTGTCATCAAAATTTATCAAAATAGGACAATACATGACAAATTAAAGTAGTTTTCTTGTATTTTTAACTGCGCAATGTCCAAAGGGGAGAGGAAAAAACAGTTAAAAAAAAAAAAAAAAAAAAAAAAGTTTAAAACAAAATATAAAGAATATGTTTTCACGGGATACAGGGATGTACAATCACAGTAACTATTATCATTATCAGCATTGTTTTGTTTTTGTTGTTTTGTCATTTTCACTGTGGTGATCTTTTTTTATTGCTATTATTACTATGATGATTAATATTATTATATAATGATATACAGTATATGATGTAGGCAGATTTAGTAAGTGAGTGAGTAAAAGTGACCAGCTGACTAAAATATTTCTTATCACCATATGAATTCTTTTGAAAATCACCTCTTTGTAATAGTTATTCATAACCACTGCACTAAATAAAGATAGCATGCAAATTCCAGGACCACTCTTCCTGACCTTATTCCCTACATGCAGCTATCAAATCCACACAAACCTACTTTCCCTCTATCAGTGGACAGCCCACTTTTTTCATATCTCACTTTTTTCTCTTAGGATGTTTAGTTTATTTAGTCTGTATTTATTGTATATATCTAGTATATTTAGTCTGTATTATACATATTTCTTCTTATATTTAATTTAATTTTGTTTTTTTATTGCTGCTGTAACATGGGAATTTCCCAGTTGGGGATCAATAAAGTCTATCTTTTATCTATCACAAATATTTAGAACAAGAACAAGATTATTTTTTTTACTGTTTATACCTTAAACAGCTCAATTTCTCTGTCACCGTTGAGAAGTGTTTTAATAGAACAATAAAAAGGTGGTCATGAAGAAAAACATCATAAAGACTGTAAATATTTAAACCAATTTTGCTAAAATTTGACTCCAGGATAATCTTCATAGTGGTTTACGAAGACAGTTACAAAACTCAGGGGATTATCATCAAAGGCAAAAGCATGACCCCCAGCAAATACCAATGCAAATGAACTGCACACCTGTCCACCACTCCCCTAACACACCTATAACATCATCGTTCTCAAGCACGTCTCTGCCCCTTCAAGATCAGGCAAACACACCCAGGCCAGGCACAGATCAGTAGAAATGCTAATATGCCCATTAGGCTTAGCTTTTTTTGACATCACTGCACCACTAACAGACTCATTACCACGTCAATACAGCCAAGGTGCGGGAACACAAACAACCACCTGGATGGTAACGTTCAGGCAAATCACTTCATCTTTCTGAAAAGGATTGCAAATGAAGGTTTAGGCAGAGTATGCACTGACATGTTCAACCAAGGTTAGGGGACCCAGGTTATGTCACCATGTCTCTATATCACAAACACGCACTGATGTCTGTAACAGTGCCATCTTTTAGCCAAACACACTGAGTGAGATACCTATTGGTAGCTGTCTCCTTGGATGCTTATGTTGTGATCTTGAACTCAGACATTACCCTGATTTTGTGAATTTACTGATGCAAATCAGAAGCCTATGAAATTACTCATTTCACCTTGGGAAGAAAAGACCCCGTGTTCAAAGAAGTTGAATAGGTTTGGGTAATATGATGTTTTGTGTAACACAGCTACTTGCTTCTTAACAGCCATTCTCAGTAAGTTGCAAAACATCATAGCTCTCACAGTAGGGGGTGTGTTATTTAAACACAACAAGAAGACTCCTTAGAGCAGAGTTCTGATTCTCATTGCTGATATCTTGAATCTTAGGATTGTATCCCTTTAATGCCTGACACAACAAATTTGGGCCAGAAAACACTTTTTTTGTAGCTGAAATGTTTATTTCACTTACTACTGAAAACCAAACAACTCTAAATGTCCTCAAAGTTTAACAAATATGTTTATTTATCTCGTTTGATACATTAGATGTTTTTGGAAACTGATAAACTACAAGAGGACATTTTTACTATTTATTGGACTGTATTCAGGCAGGGTTTTTTTTGTAATTTGTTGATCATATTGATTTGATAGAAGTATATAAAAGTCTGTGTTAAATATGATATATATGAGTGTTAAATATGATAATATGATATATACAAAAGACATTAAAGGGATAAATTTAGTTAACTGTTTTGGTTTTGTCTAAATATAAAAACCCTTAATTCTTTTTTCAAAGTGCTAGACCCTTACGTTTTTTAGCAGGCAACATTTACAGAGAAGACTGGTGTCACTCAACATGAAACCCACAAATTGCCATGAAGCAGAACAGCATGACTGTATAAAGCTGAATCATGTATTTTTGCAAAAGTGTCATTAACCTCTTGACATGATATTGTCATGGAGTAAAAGGTACTATCTACTAATCACCCTGAAAGTGAACAAATCTTATTTAAAACTGGTTTAATTCTCTCAGCAATATAGTTTTGGAATTACAGTTCACAGAGGATTTCAAATTAGGATTCAAGGTTGTCAGGTGGCCAATCAAATGTCCTGAATACTTCACACTGAGAGCAAATCAAAGAGATTGGCTCAAATGTCCAACACCCACCTGCATCACTGCACACACCCACAAACGTCTTTATATACAGCCACTGCAGGCTTGGTGCAGCAGGTATGCAGGCCGTATTTTCGGGTTAGCGACACCAGTAGATTAGGTAACTTTGTAGATAGATATAGGCAAGTCCGGCGTGAATACTTTTACCGCTTCTCAGTTTTTATTACTTCGGTTGCTAGAAGTTCGGGATTATGGCCGACTGGAAGCCCCAGATAAGTTACAACTACAACCCCTCATATCATGCCTACGCCTACGGCCTCATGTACCAACCCGGGCCTGAGCAACACCGCGGAACTTTGTCCAGCTGGAGCGAAGCCGGGGATTTGAGCAACTACAGCCCGGGAGTTACCCCGGTGGTCAACTACGCCTCAACCGTCAGGACTAAGGAGGAGTCCCCGCCGTGCAGCCCGGAGAACCACCACCATGTGAACGGCCAACTTCACTATCAGGGCTCTGGGGTTGTCTACCTCGCCGACACACAGGCACGACGGCTCATTTTTAACGGACAATACCGGGGCGCCTACGATACGGCGGGACACGAGGCACGGCAGGTCGGCTGCGACTCCACCAGTGACTCGGAGGCGCACACATCACCAGGTGAATGACATTTACATTAATATGAGCACCAACTGGCACTAAACTATACATTTAAAGTTTTAATCCGTTAAAACAAATCCCCAAAGGTCTTACGTGAGGCTGAGAGCCCAGAGTCCAGCTTTCTTGAAGCAGAGTAAGCCATAAAGTTTGATTTAGTTCCATCTTGTTGTTTAAAGTTAAGTCAAAAATCCCGCCAAAACGACGAAGAGTTACTGCGTCGGCCAAGTGGCGACATCTCGCGACAGAGAGTGAGAACAACAAACATGTCCAAACTCGTGCTCATTCTGTCTGTGCTCGTGTTTATATGATTAAAATGGACGTTAAATTTTGACAAACACATAGAAATGGTGGAAATCAATACTAACCAGTATGTAACGCTGGTATTTAAACGTTTGTACGACATATTACATGTTTTCTTGCAAGAGTTCAACACTTTATTATGACTTTACGCTGAAATCGCAACGTAACCGTAAAATCTGCATTTTTGAAAGACGAAAACAAATTGGAAGTGCATATTACCAGGTAGTTGAACGTTTTCTTACCGTCAGTTTCACATAGTTTCCTCCAAGAGTTCAAAATTATTAAGTTACGTTAAAAAACACAACCGTAAATCTGCACTTTAAGGCTAAAGAGCTTCGTTTTAATTAAGCGATATGACCCTCATTGCAATATTGTATATTTAATTTGTTCTGTCAATGATGTGCTTTATTTTACAATTTCAATAAATGTCCTGTTCTTATAAGATTTGCATTTCCCTTTGACAACTATGTGTAAAACATTTGGTAAGTTGATTTGAGTATGGGATTTCTCAACATGTTGATATTAGTGTGACCAGTTCAACATAGGTTGTGCATTGTACTGAACATCACTATATTGCTGTTTGTCTAAACATACATTCTCACACTGAGCAGCTTTGATCTAATCCCTTTGACTAACTTTGATCATCACATGTTCCCTCATTTAGATTCATGGAGTTCAGGCAGCAGCAGAGAAGAGAGTCTCCCCAGAGAAGACCCTATCACTTGGGCTAAGAATGCTCTGGATGAAGAGACCAGCAGTAGGAGCCCCGATGCAAGCGAACATGTCTCAAGCTCTCTCATAGAGGAGGCCAAATCTTTTGTAATCAAAGCAAATGATTGCACTGACAACTCTGCTCTTCAACCTGCACCCACCACTGCCCCAAACAATCAGAGCATTAGTGCTGAAAGTAAACCTAAAGGGAAGGTCCGGGCAGCTTTCTCAGAGAGCCAGATGAATACTCTTAGACAGCGCTTCAGTGTGCAGAGATACCTCACCCCAGCTGAGATGAAGAATGTAGCAGAACTGACTGGCCTGACTTACAAACAGGTAAAGGATTATCCTAAATTTCAGGATTGTGAGTTAGGGGAACTCTTTTCTGTTTGTGACCCTCACACATTTTCTTTAACATTTAAGGTGAAGACGTGGTTTCAGAACCGAAGAATGAAGCTGAGAAGGCACCAAAAAGACAACGCCTGGGCTCCTGAACGCTGTGCCGCAAACAAAGAAAGTCCGGTCCGAGGACCAATCTACCACAACGTGAATCAGCATATCCCACCAGTAAGTGGTCTCCATGCAGTATGTGACACTGGAATACTAGCAACAAGGAGGGTTGAAGTTGTAAGAGATGTCTGACCATTGTCCTGCCCAAGTTTCATGTTTAATCGTAACAAAGAATCAGTGGCTTGGACATAGAGTAACACGTCCACAATGGAGGCCCAACCAAAGTCTGCTTGAAGTCTTAAAGGCGAGACGTAACACGCCCTACAATGTTGTATACTATAAAATTATGCAATTTAGTCAAATCTTTAATGTTTTTTTGTTTGTTTTTGCTGTCTAGTATCAGGGAGAGAGCCAACCCCAACTGAAGGAGCACTACAACCAGCACATGATGGAGGCAGCCATGAAGAATACTAGTCCCCAGAACCTGGCCTTCTATTTAGCTGCCATGCGCTCTGCAGCTGGATCTGCAGGCTACCCATCCTGGCCCACAAGCTCACAGCAACTTGGATTGCAGTCCAGACCTCAGGCAGCTGGCTGGTCCATGCCGCCTGGTGTCCCCACTCACGAATACAACCACAATGCATTTAGCTCAGTCTCCGTAAATAACACTGGGCGAAACTTCAGCTATGAGGACAAGGATGGAGAAGTCGGCATCCAGAGCACAATGTCACCTGCCATGGTACATGATATCAGCCAGTAGTGTTGAGTGTGTACGACTCTTTAAACAGCCAGAGCTGTGTTGTTTTTCTTTGATTCAAGTCTCCTGACTCAAGTTTGTGATTAGCTGATATCTTGCGTGTCAGGCCACTGTATATAGGCCTTGTTCATACTACTGTTTGACTTTTTTATACTGAAGTTCTATTTTTTATACTTGACTATTTAATGTCTGTTGGTGTGCTCTTTGCGCTTACACAATCTGTGTCCAACTTGGATGCAGTCTTATGACATCCTTTTTTAAATGGTTAAGTGCAGAAACACAGCTTGTACGCACACTGTTCGATGAAATTTTTGCTGTAACACAGGTTCACTATCAACTTGAGGTTCTATTTTGAGTGTCTGATGAATCATTGATGTATCAACTTTCATTCTTTTGTGAGTAATTAATTGCATGTGATCACACTGGATTGTAAACACCAGTGGGTTCATCACAAATGCAGCTGTATTCAAGTAAGGAAACCATTGCATTTCAAGTGTTTGACACAGTTGTCCAACTTGCAATAAACGAAACCTAAAGCTCAAAAAAAGTGTCATAATTTCAGAAAACATGAAATTTTACTTGTGTGTAAAGAAATAGCACAATATTTTCTTAAAAAGCTTTTACTGAAAAGACCATATGTACATCAGAACCAAAATCACAGTCAGTGGTGACTATAGAATTTAATGACATTGCTCCCATCACCCATGTTTTTCAATGGCTGTTCAATCTGAGAGCCACAATTCTTCTGAAGAACTTCAGGGCCATGCGGTGCAGACTGGTCCAAACAAACCTCTTTCCCGTCATTCAAGAATACGCTGCCAAAATTAAGTGTTTGGTAATAAAAATGCGAGTTATACCCTTTCACTGCTGCTTTATTACTGAGATCCACTTAGTAAACTACTTGTATTGTAAAGGATAAACAGTGATGTGGGTAGGACTGAGTGTCAAATCTTAGCATTAAACAGCACACTGCATCATACAGCTATAAATTCTCTGACTCACAATTTCATACATTTAACCCTTTCATTTTCTAAGGACATCATAATCCCTTTTTAATGAAACATCCCATTTATTCCTCACACATGATCCACCATCCTGAGTCGTTGATCCCCTTGTTCAACAGTCATCCCTTATTCAACAATAACATCTATACTTCAATTGGCTACTCAAGTATAAGGCCCCCGTTTTTGCTCCCATTAACCCAAGAGAAGGTACATGTCTGTTTTTAAGTTGCATTGTGAATGACTGAAAGAGCAAAGGGACAGTATGGAGATTGTCCATGTGTGCTACAAGGATAATTTTGTTTACAGCTGTGTATCCATGCCTTCAATATTCCGTCTAGTCCATCTTGAGGCTACGGTAGATGTAGCGTATGAACGCCAGTGAGGCCCAGAAAGACACGCTGCCCAGCATCAGTGAGAAAACCATTGCTGTGAGGAGCGAGTATCCAAAGAACTCGGTGCTCTGGACCAAGCCACTCATAGAGGATCGGTTCCGATAGTAGAAAACGGAGTAGACGAAGATAAAAAGGCCAGTCGAGCCGGTGCTTAGCACGCTCCGCCACCACCACCTGTAGTCTTCACCTGACAGGAGGAAGTAAGTGAGAGCGACAGAGATGCAGGCACCGACTGACAGGAGGATGGCAAAGACACACAGCAGGATGCCATAGAGGGTGTAGTGCTCTCTACCCCACACGGTGGCAAAAATGTAGTACAGCTCCACTGAGATGGCACTGAAAGAGGAAATAATATAAAAAGGAAGAAGTGTAAATACAGGAGTGACATTTGTAATTTAATCAGTGTGGTTTGATCCTCCTAACAAAAACAGAGAAAACTTTGTACCAACGTCTAACGTTACCACTTTAATTGTCTTGGGTGTAAGACAAGAAGTGACCTTACAACATGAGTTCTCTCCTTTGGTAAACACACTCTCTGACAACAGCTCACCTGAAAGGCAGGAAGCCACCGATGGCCATATGAACAGCTGTGTGTTTGTACCAAGGCTGGGTGGGGATCTGTCGAGCAATGTTGCGTGTGCGGCAAGGGGCCTGGAAGCTGCCAGCGCGGTTCTTTCCCACAATGCCTCCGATGACTGTTAGTGGGAAGCCCACTAGCACCCATGCACCCAGCAGGAGGAGCACAGTGGTGGCTGGCAGAGCCTGAGTGGACCCGCTCCACCAATGGACGGAGTTCACGACACTCCATGTCAGGAACAGAGGAGCTGTGGGCATCAGACACAAACAAATAAATAAGTAACAGCCGAACTTGAATTCAAAACTGTGCATGGAAATTTAGAAGCAAAGAAGAGGGTTAATGAAGAAAAATGGGTTTAAAACATCTAGTTAACAACTGGTTTTGAGACCCCCAGCTGACAAACTGACAGACTCACCGGAGAAAAGTGTTGAGGTAAGGATGATGTTCCACACCCAGCGTTGGCCGTTGATCTGTGTGTAGAAGCTGCATGACACATAACCTGACACACAGCTGGTCAGAGCGTACAGGACGATAGCAGCAGAGTTGATGGCGCCGTGTCTGTGCACGTTAAACATCCCGAGCAACGCCATGATGATGATTCCTGTGGAAGTGCAACAAAAGGGGGATCAGACGTCTGCACATTTTACCTGCAGCTACTATCAGGTTTCATTTCGTGCTGACATTATGCTGTTAAGAGGACTGCTGTGGATCAGCACGTCACTGAAAACAAGGCTACTCAGTTTTCAAACTGCACAATGATGGTCCCCGACACTGCTGTGGAATTCGACCCACATCTATGTTTCAAATGTGTTTGAGTTTCCAATGTATACTGTATGCTTTTTGATTGTATTTTTACATATCGAATGTATTGTGTCAATCAAATATATATTTCATGAAACTACATTATTCTAAAATGGATTGCATTACACTGCATTGACCTGAATTGAGTTTCGAGCCTCGTGTCCAGTGTTTAAGATAAATGCTTACCTGTGGCAAGTGTAAGAAACTGAGCCCCCACTCCCAGCACGGCGCACAGCAGGCTTTTGTAAGGAGGAAACCTGAAGACGTCAGTGTGGATGATCTTCCAGCCATTGTCACCCTGGTCAAGATCATCACAGCCCCCATCCTCCTCCACATTGTACCTGCGGGTGCGAGAAAGATGCTTTTAACCAGGATGTTGTATACCTGAGAAATTCAGAGCTTGAGGTTTTATCAACCTTTAAGTTTGACTTTTTCTAAAGGAGTCCTGGAATTGAAGATTCACATTCACTGACTCAAATCAAACAGCTAACTTCTTATTTTACTATTTTGTGTTGTATACAGTGTTCACACCTGTATATTTTCTCTTCATTTTTACATATTTTACTTATTTTATCTATTATTTATCTCCTCTTTCCACTTTATTTGCATTGGAGTTACTGTAACAAAAAGTAATTTCCCCCTGGGGATTATTAAAGTATTTCTGATTCTGATTCTCTCTTGACCAACCTTGCAAAGTCATTCTTCAGGACCCTCATGAGGATGATGATGACGAAGCCCAGCAGCAACACCACCAGTACCAGAGAGTTAATGATGGACAGCCAGTGGATCTCCAGTGTTTTGGGGAAGAACGAATAATCTCTGAGGCGTTCAGCTCTCCGGGCATGAATAAGGGGGGACTCGAACCAGCGTACACTGTAGGTGTGGGTAACTGTGAGGCTGCCTCCACCCACACCAACTCCACCCACCGCTGTGCCTGCTCCCGGCTCCAGAGGAACGGGTTTCACATCTTTCACTGAGACGTTTGCAAAAATCACTGAGTCCCCGTTGTACTCGATATTGAAGTCTAGATGAGTCCACAAACCCACCTGTTTAAAATGAGATAACAGGACAGGGAGTGAGAAAGTGGATATTAAAAAAGGGAGAGAACTACATAAAAATGAGGGGAGAATGACAATGAGTATGGCTTTAACAGATTGACACACTCCTCATATCCAGCAAAACCAAGAGACAGAAATGGTTTACCTTGTGACTGTGAGGTAAGAAGCCGCTCTCCTCTATATAGCCCACAAACCCCCAGATCGGAATGTCATCCAGGACGAATTCAAAGTAAAACAGCTCCTCAATGGCCTCCCGAAGCTGGTCCACCTGAAATACAATCCATGTGCATCTTAATTATCACCACTTGTCGTTCAGCTTGTATTTCAGGTTTGAATTTGAAGGAACAAACACAACATAGGGGCATTTTTACTGTGATTTAGATTGCTGTTGGTGAAGCAGAGTTTAACTGTGATGAACTCTGCTACACTAGAAAATTCCCCAGAAGCTAAACAACACAGCACAGACTAAAGATTATGATCTGTGCAAGACACAACCAATTACAACAGATTCTGGTAGATTCAAGGAAGGCAATCGGGCCGTTTATGAAGTCAGCAACCAAAAGCTAAAATCAAACACCAACCCAGAACATTAAAACCCAACCCATGAGGCCGGTGCGGTGTTCAAACTAAGTGTGTGTTGAGCAAACAAACTTGGTGAATTACCTGTCTCTCTGAGAGAGTGAGCTGGCAGACAGTTTTTTTCTCCACGTTCTCTCTGAAGCGAATGAGATACAATGACTCTGCCATCCTGTCACCATCCAATACTTCTCCCAAACTCAGGGACTTGTGATGCACCTGAGGAGCATGTGGTACAACATAAGTAACACTGTTTAAAGAAAGCCTCACACAGCATTCTTTAGTCCATAGTCCTCAAATGAGTGTTTAGAGGGAGCCTGCATAATAAGACATGTTGACTGTAGTGGATTTACATGATTTTCATTTACAAGTTTTTCTTACACATGTGAAAATGTCAAAATAAAAACACTTGTGGGCCAGCACTTACTCAGAGAAAGAGTTGGAATTAAATGGAGCAGCTCTAGGAGAGCATATTTTATATTATAGGTGGCCCATGAGTGAATTAGATTTTCTTTTTTTTTCAAAATATAAACATCTGCTGTGGGATTACAAATGGATGGAGACATATCACATGGTTGAATTTGCCAACTTCTAAGAGTTTGATAGTATTAAATTTAAGTAACTATGTTAAGACTGTGTAAAGTAACATTTTAATATTTAAATCTAACATACAACATCATATATCTTTTCAACCTCTGCAAACTCAATCCCATGAACACACAGAAAAATGCCGCTTTTTTATAGCATGATAATATTCCAGGTCCAAATATGTGATGTTTTGTTTTTTTCTTTATGTGTCTCAGATATGTGAGGCAGCAAACACAAACTGCTCTTCTGCCATGCAGGCTTGTGCTAAGACCCATTGGAAGAAATGAGCGTAACTATGTTCATTAACCTTTATTTATCTATTCACCACTTTAAACTGATAGTTGGGATGACCTTAAAGGAACAGTTCACCCAAAAACAAAAGTTATCAACTCTCCTTTTATCACTTGATATCTCTGCAAAACAACATCTTTCCTCATTTATATAATTATAAATATATATAACATGTAAAATGACTATTTACTTCAACTGTGGATGGATAGCAACAACAGTCCATTAATACACAGGCAAAAAGAACAAAGACTGACCTTCTCCGGCCTGCAAACAGGCAGGGTGTAGTAGTGATATGTCTCATGGGGGTTATGATAAGGGCCCACTTTGTTCACATAGAGGGTCACGTTGTCCCCTTGCTTGTAACTCACTGCCAAGCTGGAGAAAAAGCAGAGGAGCAAGACGCAGTGCAGGCTCATCGTCCTCTGGCAACCACCTGGCAGGTGTCCTATTCCACACCGCATAACCCCTGTTACAAAACGGACAGTCCATCAGGAAATGATCAACAAGATGATCAAAAACAGATTATCTGTCCTGACACCTTTAGTATCCCTCTTAGCCGATGTTTAAGAATGAGCTTACGTCCATGACATCTACACCTGATTTGTTGTGATTTATCAACCAGGTGAGCTGTTTCCATTTGGATCTGTTATGAGTTTGTGAGTAGGGGAGAGTGGGGTAAGATGAGCCATTTTTCATATTTCATATAAGAACACAATTTGTAATAAAACTTATGACAGACTAAATTCACTTTCAAGAGTGAAAAATGTTTTTTTCTGGTAAATAAATGTCTAACCCCTTTATCCATGTGCTTCTAACCTTGAATTGACGCCCATCTCCTAAATATTTGGTCACATGATCAATTTCTTTGACCATTTCCAAGCAACAGGGGTTGGCTTAATTCACCTATGGCTCAACTTACCCCACTCTCCCCTACATATTGAGTAAATTTCTGACAGGAACTACTGGCAGTGAGGTGTTTTTTTTCTTCACTTAAAGGTTATTTAGCAACGACTTTACAAACTTAATCTAAATCCAATAAATTACCATATGGTGAATTCAAAAGCAATAAACTTTGTCTAATCCTAGTTCAAAGAAAAGCACGCAGCATCACATTGACAGAGGGATGTAGAGTTAGTTGTCAAAAGTCACAGTCATACTGAGTTTGTGTGTTAGGCCCAACATATGTTCAAGTGTCTGTGTTGACTTTAAATATAGGATTGAAGGCTCTGATGACAGCAGGTTTCCACAGACACAGAAACACCTCCAATCTGATCATCACTGGTGCAAATAAATCCGGATTAAATGAGATGACGGCAAACAATAAAGAAGTATGAAAAAGCCACAATACCGGTTCAAGTTGATCACTTGAGTCCTGATGCTGCAGATCCGCCGAAACCTGTCTGGCTGCCTGATTCCTCGGACTCCAGGCCGCTTCTCGGTCTCCTCTGTGCCCGGATACGCGTCTAAACTGAGCCTCAGTGTAACATTTCAGACTCACAGCTCAACATCTTTCAATCCCCGCCGCTTTAGGACCTGACTGCCTTCATATTCGGGTACATGCTGTACTTTTAATGACCCATGAGCCAGTGTGGAAGAAGGGGTCCGACTCCACGTCACCTTAAAAAATAACAATAATGACGACTAGGTTGACTTTTCCGGAGGGGGCGGGGAAACTAAAAGGAACAGCCGACGTTACCGTGCAGCCGTAATGGCAACTGTTTTGCTGTCATACGGCTTACCAAAACGCCCTGGTTTGTTGTCGTTTATCCTAAAGCTAATATTTACACCGCCAAAGCCCCGACCCGAGAAACTCTAACATTTTTCTCTTACACCGGATTTCCTTCCGCTAGTGCTGTGTCGTTCGCGAACGATTCGTTCAAAAGAACCAAATTACTTCCTCAAGTGATTCGCTCGTTTCTCACTCAAGTTGAGCTAAAAGCATTCCGAGGCCAGCAACTAGTCGAGGGGCCACATGGGGCCCGACACCTGAATCATTTGGTGAATGAACTGTGCATGTTCAGTGTGAAACCTTCTAAACGTTCAGTGAACGAATCACCCACTGACCCCAATTTACTGAGTAGACCTGATAAATAGCATACCATCAGACAGTACTCTTAAAACATCATGACTTTTAAAAAAGTTCATTTTTACAAACCTGTTTGCCAAAGCAACACAGCCAGACACTCTTGTCTCCCGGTCCCAGATGCTATGATTTGAACCGAATCCTGAACTGTTCAGCTGTGTTTCAGTTCAGGAGGTCGGAGTCGCAGGCTTCTCCCGCTAAATTATTCGGTGATTTGGTGAACGAATCCTTTTGAACGAATCTTTTTAGTGAACTGATTCAAGTGATTCAGTTCATCTCAAAGAACTGCCATGCCCATCACTACCTTCCGCCTCAACGGACCAATCAAACGTCTTCGCAGTACGTCCTGGTTCGGGGCCAGGCCTTCCAATCGTACACCGCAATACTGATGAGCCGCTCTCAAGCATTTTATCGTTGGCATAATCGATAGATTGATAGTTAATGCCTGAAGTTTGATTTCCCGCGAACGAGCTGCAACTCCCCGCGCTTGAGTTACTGGAATTAGTGCACGGAGTTAGCGTAACAGACGACCGGTGAGTGAAAATGTTTGAGTTGTTGTATGTAAAAATATGTGTGATAAAGGGTAACAACGATTGTTAATTGCTCTCATCATGAAAACGGTGATTAAATGTGAAATAACCGTGGTTTGTGGTCTTGCATATGCCAGGGCATGCTGTGTCGCCGATCCAACAACAATAATCCAGACCGGCCATGACACCATCCTTTAATAAAATCATTTTTTTGTGCTTTTTGTGCTGTTTCCTCTGCCTGGTATTTGCTCTGGTGTGCATCACAGTGTTATTGCGTGATTTGTGACTTATGGATGCTGAATCATGTTCTGGTTTAACTCATTTATCAATACATCAGTGATCACCCCCAATAATTAACAAGAATATTTGTGTTATAGACTTTTTATCGTTTACAGAAATTGCTGTAACGCGATGGGAATACACGGACTTGCCAAGCTGATCGCGGACCAGGCCCCTGGAGCCATTAGAGAGCAGGACATCAAGAATTACTTTGGTAACTGTGACAGGACTCTTCCTATACATATTGATTATTGATCTGCTAATCCACACCATGTTAGGTTAGATGATGCTCCTTTATTAGGTCTGTCAGATGGCGTGGGGAGTAGGGGAGAGTGGGGTAAGATGCGCCATTTTTCATATTTTGGATCACTACATCAAGACAATCATAGTTTTGTCTCTAACTCGTGTATTTGCATATATTTCAAGATGCTGTGCATCCCTGCAAACCAATAGAATGAGTGTAAACATAACTGTCTTTATAATATAATCTAATTTATAAAGTTTGCAAAACAAAACACATTCTCGACCACAAATCACTACATATTCTCTACTGTTCACTGATTTTACCATATTTACACTACTGTGCAGAGGTTTGGGGCAAAACTTACAATAAGATCACAATCTGTACTGCAGCAAAGAGCCATCAGAATAGTTCACAATACGAGTTACACAAATTCACTATTCTTCAAATCAAAAATATTAAAATTCACTAACCTGGTTCACTTTCAAACAGCAAAAATCATGTACGAAATATCCAAAAATGTTTTTTTAACAGGGCTGGGGGTTATCATCTGAGGGGGACTTTAACCTGAAGTATCAGCGGGCATGTTCAACATTAAAAAGTTTTTGTGTTTCTGTTTGCGGAGTAAGGTTATGGAACAGATTAGGTGTGGAGCTCAAGCGTTGTCCAAGCATGACCCAGTTTGAAAAGCAGTACAAAAACATGGTTCTCACCAGGTACAGGGAGGAAGAAGGGCTTTAACGATCGGGTTCATATCATTTCATGAATGATTAATGTAGTTATTTACTCTCTTTATGTTCTATTTTTTGTTAGTATCATGTAAAAATGCTGGAGACTGACTGTTTATTGAGTAAAGGAGAAGGGGTAGGTTTAAAAAAAGCATAATGCTTCATCCTACTCCTTTTTGGACATGTTGAGTTCACATCATTATTATTATTTGTATTTTTAATTTTAATTTTTCCTTTTTTGCTTCGATTATTGTTTGAAAAAAATATATAAATGAAATTAAGTTACCGAAAAATTAGTCATCCATTAATAGTTGTTGCACTGAAAGGGGGCTCTTTCTATTTCAGGAAACCAGGTTAGGGGTGTCTGAAAAAAATTAGCATGAAACATCATTGTTATTGTAACAGTAGAAAACAAAACCATCTGCTTATCTGTACTTGTGCAGGCAGGAAGATCGCCATCGATGCCTCTATGTGTATCTATCAGTTCCTGATCGCCGTGCGACAGGATGGGAATGTCCTACAGAACGAGGATGGAGAGACAACCAGGTAATAAAGGCGCCTCAAAACTGTGCGGCAGCCACTGTACTTGGATTGATCCTACAACTTGAAACACCTTTTGCCAACCTGTTGTTCTCCTTTCTCAGTCACTTGATGGGAATGTTCTACCGTACTATCCGTATGCTGGAACATGGCATCAAGCCTGTGTATGTGTTTGACGGCAAGCCCCCACAGCTCAAGTCAGCAGAGGTAAATATGAGCTCTGAGGTCTTCTGGTGTGTTTCTACCTTCTTTCTTTTCTCCTAGCTGTGACAGTTAGTCTGGTCTCCCTTTTAATTGTTTTTCTAGCTCAACGGTCCTGTTTCATTTCATTTAATGGGTCTTTAATCTTCTCTAACCCCCCAGCTGGAGAAGAGGGGAGAAAGGAGGGCAGAGGCTGAGAAGCAGCTTGCTCAAGCTCAGGAAATGGGTAAATTTATTTATTTTTTTATGTCTGCAAAGATTTAATTCAGTGTATGATTGATAAGGTCATGAAAGATATAGTTAGATTACCCTTAACATGCAGGTTTTGTGATTTGAATGTCTGCTAAAATGCATTCTCTCTTTCCAGGAGAACAAGAGAACATCGACAAATTCACCAAGCGTCTGGTAAAAGTCACCAAGCAGCATAATGATGAGTGCAAGAAGCTGCTGACTCTGATGGGAGTGCCTTACATTGAGGTTTGCTATGACTCAGTATTTCCATGTCACTGCCTCTGAGTGTTTTCTGTCTGGTTGTTTTTTTTTTGTCTGTTTTTTTTAGTGCTGCGTCTCACATCATACATTCATCGGTCTTGATCCAGTTCAGGGTTTGTTGTTGTCACCAAAAATTATTATATTTCCTCACTCTCTTTTATTGTACGTGTTCTTAACTCTAGGCTCCATGTGAGGCTGAGGCCAGCTGTGCAGCCCTTGTCAAAGCAGGGAAGGTCTTTGCCACAGCGACGGAGGATATGGACGGGCTTACCTTTGGGACAAATGTTCTGCTCAGACACCTCACAGCCAGTGAAGCAAAGTAATGTCACACCTAAATCACATCCATACCGTGTCTTTTTGCCTTTTGGCACAGTATCAACATCCTGTCTTCCTTTTTATTTCCTGACAGAGGAGACAATTTGCTTTATGACATGTAGATAAAAGTTGTTTCATTAAAATGCAATGTGTTTCTTTTGTGCTTTGTCTTAGGAAACTTCCAATCCAAGAGTTTCACTTCAGTCGCATGCTGCAGGACATGAGTCTGACTAATGAACAGGTAAAGCTGAATCCACATTTAAAGATTGTCCAGTCCATCTTCATCATGGGTAACACTGAGTAACCACTTCATCTTTTTTTCCATCCTAGTTCATAGACCTGTGTATTCTGCTGGGCTGCGACTACTGCGCCACCATCAAAGGAATTGGCCCAAAGAGAGCGATCGACCTCATCAAACAACATGGCAGCATTGAGGAGATCCTTGAAAACATTGATTCCAACGTAAGTTGATGAGCGCTTTAATTTAGAAGTTTGGACAGTGAAGTACTCAGAGTTTGGTTCTGACTTTGTGTGCGTGTCTCGCTCCCCCCTGCGCAGAAGCACCCTGCGCCAGAGGACTGGCTGTACAAAGAGGCCAGGGGTTTGTTTTTAAAGCCAGATGTGGTCGATTGTTCCTCACTGGAGCTGAAGTGGAGTGAGCCAGATGAGGAGGGACTCATACAGTTCATGTGTAATGAGAAACAGTTCAGGTACTGCTGCTTCATGGATTATTGTCTTCTTTCCTCTATGATGCTGATTTTTAGGAATTTATCACCAGACCTGCTTGTTATACAATGTTTGTACACTAGGCTGCACCACTGACTAAGCAGAAAAGGACTGACTTTTCTTGCTTCACATCATCTGAGACTTTTCACTAACCCTAATTCTGAAGATCCTTATAAACAGATGTGTCCTGCAGTTATCCTTAGGTTGCATTTCATCATTATATAAAGGCCAATGGATTCTAAAGAACCGTCACTGCTGCAAATAAAAAAAGAAACGGTGCAGATAGAAAAAAAAATCCACAACCGAAGTTAACGATGCAGAAAAAAAGCGGCGATGCAACAAAAAAAAAAAAAGATACTTACTGCGAAAATAAAAGGATGCAAATTAAAAAAGCCACAACTGAAGTGGCTTCTTTTTTTTTTTTTTGCATTCTTTTCTATTTGCAGCAGTGGCAGCTCTCGGCCTCTGTACTAAAGAAATCTATGCAGAGGAAAGCACTGACCTACTCATGAAATAATAAACTGTTCTTTCATTATGTGCCTGCGGACAGTGAGGACAGGATCCGTAACGGCTGTAAAAAGATTGTGAAGAGCCGACAAGGCAGCACACAGGGACGCCTTGACTCTTTCTTCACCGTCACTGGATCTCTGTCCTCCAAACGGAAGGTAAATTAAGACACTGCACAATTCATGTTACGGCCGGTTTACACGCTCCTTTATTGCAAAAAGGCGATGAAATCTGCTTTTGAGGTGTTGTTTACTGTAAATAATACAGAGCAAACTGAATACTGGATTCATTGAAACAATTTCCTCATTTGAACAGGAACCTGAGGTTAAAGGATCTGCAAAAAAGAAGCAGAAGACTGGTGCCACTCCAGGCAAATTTAAGAAGGGAAAGTAGATCAATGGCAGGATCAACTTTAGTTCCTTAAGAGGGTGATGTTGGTAAAAATGACCGCTGAAGAGAACATGAAGCACCCGCCACGATAGGAGGAAGCTGCTACGCAAATGTGCAAAAGGAAGTTTGTGTTGAAAGACTAGTTCACCTTGACAACTCTGTACATAACCAAACATGGTGCTGTTTAGGAAGTGATTGAGAGTTAACCCAATGTGTCATTTCTGTCATTGAATAAAGATTGAGAAAACTTTTTTTAGAATGATTTGACTTTGGCCTTTTAAACTGGGTATATGCCCGTCACCATGGTTACAGGGAAGAAACAGCCATCATTACTTTTTCCGTAGTGAATTTTCACAGTGAGTGATGAATTTCTCTGCTAAAAAGTATTTTGTTGACTCACAACACTTGCATAACAAGCGAGAGCTGAGGGTTACCATGTTCACCACAGGGGAGGCGCCAAAATCAGCAGAGAAACACTTTGTCACAGGAGCCAGCAACAACTATCATCTTGTGGAGCAGCAGTAATGAGTGCAAGATGCAAAAACAGTCCATCTTCAGCTCAGCGTCTTACTTTAAAATTTAAAAAGGAGTATAAACAAATTACTTGGTCGACCTTGGAGGCTTTTATTAGAGAACTTAAAAAGTTAGGATGTGCATCAGGAGTTTTTTTTTAAACACAGGAAGTTCAAACATGAGTGACATCCCTCTTTTTAGGGATTAGAAACCAAATCATGTCAAACTGGGAATTGTGATTTTTTCCAACAACCTGCATGCAAACCTCATTTGAGCCACATTAAGGACAATAAAATACAAAATTAAAGGAGCATGCTGTAAAATATTTACAGAGAAAAATCACAGAATGTGGTGATTGGTTGAATAAAAAAACAATAATTTAGCTGTAATGTTGAATAAACAAATTTAATAAATAACAGTGCAATTTAAAAAATCTAACTGATTCAAAAACACTCCTGCGTTCCGTTGTGTATTTGTTAGTGAGTGTAATGCTGTATGAATTAGTAACTGGCAGACTTACAGATAGGCTTAGTCTTGCAACAGAGGAAGCCAACGTGCTTTAAAATAAGAATTTTGCATAAGATACAAAAAGGAAGTTAGATGCCATATCTTCTGCTTTAGAAGAAATTACTGCATTTTTAGTATTTTCCCCCATTATCTGTAGAAAGCTGAAAGGACTCTCTCTGGCCTCTGCTAATCTGGTGAGTCCTTTTCTTCTTTTGCTTTGCTTGTTGCCCGAAATTGTTATACTCTGATATATATATATATATATATATATATATATATATATATATATATATATATACACTCACCGGCCACTTTATTAGGTACACCATGCTAGTAACGGGTTGGACCCCCTTTTGCCTTCAGAACTGCCTCAATTCTTCGTGGCATAGATTCAACAAGGTGCTGGAAGCATTCCTCAGAGAGCTTGGTCCATATTGACATGATGGCATCACACAGTTGCCGCAGATTTGTCGGCTGCACATCCATGATGCGAATCTCCCGTTCCACCACATCCCAAAGATGCTCTATTGGATTGAGATCTGGTGACTGTGGAGGCCATTTGAGTACAGTGAACTCATTGTCATGTTCAAGAAACCAGTCTCAGATGATTCCAGCTTTATGACATGGCGCATTATCCTGCTGAAAGTAGCCATCAGAAGTTGGGTACATTGTGGTCATAAAGGGATGGACATGGTCAGCAACAATACTCAGGTAGGCTGTGGCGTTGCAACGATGCTCAATTGGTACCAAGGGGCCCAAAGAGTGCCAAGAAAATATTCCCCACACCATGACACCACCACCACCAGCCTGAACCGTTGATACAAGGCAGGATGGATCCATGCTTTCATGTTGTTGACGCCAAATTCTGACCCTACCATCCGAATGTCGCAGCAGAAATCGAGACTCATCAGACCAGGCAACGTTTTTCCAATCTTCTATTGTCCAATTTCGATGAGCTTGTGCAAATTGTAGCCTCAGTTTCCTGTTCTTAGCTGAAAGGAGTGGCACCCGGCGTGGTCTTCTGCTGCTGTAGCCCATCTGCCTCAAAGTTCGACGTACTGTGCGTTCAGAGATGCTCTTCTGCCTACCTTGGTTGTAACGGGTGGTTATTTGAGTCACTGTTGCCTTTCTATCAGCTCGAACCAGTCTGGCCATTCTCCTCTGATCTCTGGCATCAACAAGGCATTTCCGCCCACAGAACTGCCGCTCACTGGATATTTTTCTTTTTCGGACCATTCTCTGTAAACCCTAGAGATGGTTGTGCGTGAAAATCCCAGTAGATCAGCAGTTTCTGAAATACTCAGACCAGCCCTTCTGGCACCAACAACCATGCCACGTTCAAAGTCACTCAAATCACCTTTCTTCCCCATACTGATGCTCGGTTTGAACTGCAGGAGATTGTCTTGACCATGTCTACATGCCTAAATGCACTAAGTTGCCGCCATGTGATTGGCTGATTAGAAATTAAGTGTTAACGAGCAGTTGGACAGGTGTACCTAATAAAGTGGCCGGTGAGTGTATATATGAACAAGAACTTGATCTAAGCTTTGAGGGGAATACTGATCAGCAAAACTCATAAAGAGGTTGCCTTAGCTGTATTTTTCTCTGAAAACTGCAGGAACTTATGGGTTATAACAGAAGGGGGCAGAGACTTCTAGAATGATGTGTGTTATTGTTCTGATTACACCAAATATATCCTCAATCTTGAATTCTTATTATTCTAATAAAACACTGAACATAATCTAGACCACTTCCTTTTGATTGGTGTCTTGAGAAAACTATTTTCATGAATTGCAATAAGCAAATACAAATTGATTTACAACCAGTTTTCAAAAGTAAAGTAGGCGACTGTAAACTGCCCTGTGTGTGGATGGGGATTTAGGAGATACATGATACATGTTGCTGGTGTAAATACAAAACCCAATTCCACTGAAATTGGGAAATTGTGATAAATGTAAATAAAAACAATACAATGATTTGCAAATTCTTTTCAACCTATGTTCAATTGAATACACTACAAAGACAAGATATTTAATGTTCAAACTCATAAACTTTATTTTATTTTTGCAAATAAAAATTGACTCAGAATTTCATGGCTGCAACATGTGCCAAAGTAGTTGGGACAGAGACATGTTTACCACTGTGTTACTTCACCTTTGATTTTAACAACACTCAATGAACGTTTGGGAACGCGCACTCTTTTACTATGAAGCTAAGCTGTTGTAACACCTGCAGAATGTGGCTTGGCATTGTCTTGCTGAAATAAGCAGGGACGTTCATGAAAAAGACGTTCGCCTTTGAACTTTGTGTCGATAACAGTCCAGATGGTTCTGTTACTCTTTGCAGTTATTTGCAAAAAAAAAAACAATAAAGTTCATCAGTTTGAACATTTAATATCTTGTCTTTGTAGTATATTCAATAAAATATGGGTTGAAAAGAATTTGCAAATCATTGTATTCCGTTTTTATTTACGATTTACTTATCTTCCCAACTTCATTGAAATTGGGTTTTGTATGTAATATGAGCTATTGATGCCGATTTATATACCTGCATTATGATGTGTACAATTCAGGTGATTCAGGTCCAATCTCTGAGGATGTTGACCACCAACTTGATACTGAGTATCTTCTTTCTTACAGGTGAGCTCTAAGTTCACTGTCTTACAAATCACTCTACAGTCAATGACTCTTTGGACTAATCATGGTTCTGGTTTTTCAGGTGCTGTGACTGGTTGTGAATTTTATTCAGACCTCTTCATAACTACACCAAAGAAGATGGAAGCGCTGAGTGGATCTTGTTTGCAAATCCCGTGTAACTTTAGTGCTAGACGAGAGCATGACTTTGACAGGGGAGAAAACTTTGGGGTGTGGATTAAAATGTACCCCTATTTCGGCAAAAGACCAGAAAATGTGGTTTTCAACAGTAGCGGGTCAGTTCTAATATATCCGATGAACATCACGGGAAACCTCAGCCAGAAGCAGTGCACCACTTTATTCTCTCATATGAACTCAACACATACAGACAGATACTTCTTCAGAATCGACGGCAGCTCATTCAGGACAACAGCTGTTTGCGATCCTCTTCAAATCACAGTTATAGGTATAAATTTTAAATTCACTCTATCTTGTTTTTGTTTTTCTTTTTGCCCTATTTTCACAATGACTGTCACTTTGATTCAAAACTGATCTTGACTTTGTTTTGATTCACAGATTCTCCCCCGAACCCCACAATAGAAATCTCAGAAAATCAGACGGAGGCGGAGTCTGTCACTGTAACCTGCTCAGCTTTCACCCCCTGTCCACACCTCCCTCCTAAACTCACCTGGAATCTCCTGAAAGACTCTCACAACAGCATGGTGAAGAACGCTGACGGCACCTTTACAACTCACATCCAGGAGAACATCACTCTGATGGACAAACATGATGGATTCAACATCACCTGTTCAGCCACATATCCTGTAAATGGAGGAACAGATTTCAAGACAGCAGAGGAGACGAGGACTCTCAGAGTTTCATGTAAGACCCACTTCCATTTGGTTGATATGAGGAAAAAACTCCCATAGTTTTCCACACTCAAAGATCTCTCCATCTGTCAAATCTTCTAGACTCCCCCAGGAACACCTCAGTCATCGTCTCTCCCTCTGATCCAGTGTCAGATGGCAGCATGGTCAACCTGACTTGCTCTTGCAGAACAAACCCTCTATCTGTCCACTTTCTTTGGTTCATGATCAGCAATGGCAGACTGGAACCACTCCAAGTGGATGCACATGTTTATGTCCTCAAGGTGACCGACAGAGATCGGGGAAGGTTGTTCTTCTGTGGATGTAGAAATGATCTCGGCATTCAGATGTCAACAGGAGTCCAGCTGACATTTGAAGGTGAGCGAAAATGACAGTTTCTGATGTTTCAAAGTCTGAATATCTCAGTCTGAATACCGTGCTGCCGTGTTACAGGTGATCAGCTGTCTGAACCTGTCAGTGCTGCAGCTGTTTTGAAGATTGTGGGAATCGTGTTGCTCGTCAGTGCCCTGATCATCTTTGAGTGGTGAGAGGAGTGCTGGTCTAATTAAAATGTGGTTGAGTGAGAAAAATGTTTGAGACTTTTATTATCATGCAGCATGACAACAACAAAGCTCTCATCTATTTTCTCTCAGTTGGTTTCGCTCAAGAGGCTCGATCAAACCCGGAGGAGAGATAAAGGTACTGTATGTGATTTCTGCCTGGTTTAAAGTCAGCCTCTTTACTGACCCCACTTTCTTTTGATTCATTTCTACAGAACTCAGTGGAAGCAGTCTATGTCAACACGGTGGCTGAGGGAGCATTGTCACGGGCACAAGCTGCATCAGCAAAACCAGTCTGACAAATGTAGATAAAAATAACATCTCTTAGATATAATGTACTGTAAATGTGAATAAAAAAGGCAGGTCATGTGTCCCTGAATAGCTCTTTATAGCCAACATGGCATCCACTTCCTATTACAGCTACTTTAATGACCCCGGATTAGACCCTCCTCAGAGTCAGTAGCTGAGCCAGTCTACTAATTTTTTTGTCTGTGATGTTTTTTATCTTTAAATATTTCTTCTAGTTTGTTTGTGTGTGTGCTACATTTTTATTTTTGTGTTTTTTCTTACAAGCTGATAAAAAAATGAACAATTTTCTTGCTGTTGTGAAAACCACAAATATAATGTTACAAAGTAAAGTGTGCAAAGATAAAGCCTGGATCAGCTTCTGAGATGTTTCTTCATAGTTTCCATAAGTTTACACTTCAGTGCTGATGCTGCTGTCAGTTTTGCTAATGCTTCTCTAATGAATAAAGTGATTAAAGTCTGGCCTTCTTCTCATCTAGAGAGTTCATATTATCACATTATTATCACATTTTTATAGCATATTGCTTTTCATAATTCAATGTCAAACTTTAAATGCCACTGTGAAGGTCCCCTCAGTGTTTCAGTGTCAGTAGAAACAATCAGAAAACTTTCTGATACGACTAAAGTTTGGCGCCCAGTCACTCATCTATTACACAGTGGGCTGGGTTTAATTTTGATCTGAGCCTTTTACTGGTTTCACCTCCCTCTCTCTCTGCTCATCTAAACTGCTTATAAAAACTGTCACTTCCCCGTAAAATTGCCAAATGTTTATCAAAAGGCAGGATAAAACAAAGGTGACTTCCTCATTCGTGGGATGCCTGACTGAAGACTTTGTGTAATTCAGTGGCACCACAGGAAGATAACCGGTCAGTCTTGGTTCTGCTTTAGTTTACTTACAGGCTGATTTAAAAGTATTTTTTCTTGGATCAAGCGTCCTGCAGCTTGTTTGGTAAGTTCAACAGTTTATGAAGAATACCAGAAAAAAAAACAACTAGAGACAGCCTGTTTTTTAAATCCAGGTGATGAGTCTGATTGCAGTTTGGTCAGTGAAAGTGGCGACAGCCAACATGTTGATGCTTCTTCTCTTTGTGTCAGGTGAGCTGTTCTTTCAGTCACTTCACTCTGAAGCTTTTCATTTATTTTATTGTGCTGTGCTTTTATTTTGAAACACTTAATGTCACTCATGAGTGTGGTTTGCAGGTGTTTTGACCGACTGTCCGTACCGACATGCACACCTCTTCATCAACTCACCGCAGAGGATGGAAGGACTGGTTGGATCTTGTTTGCAAATCCCATGTGACTTTACAACAAGTGGATATTTAAAGTTTGACAACAAAAAAGAAGTATTTGGTTTGTGGTACAAAGAAGAACAAGAGACCACTAGACCAAGAAATGTTGTTTTTAGCAGTAAAAACACAGTTCAGAGATATCTGATCAGTATAATTGGAGACCTGTCAGAGAAAAACTGCACCACTCTGTTCTCCAGTTTAACCAATTTAACGGCATTATTTCCTGGAGTGTACTACTTCAGAGTAGAGAACTGGCAGTACAAGGCAATAGCCTTTTGTGATCCTCTTCATATAACAGTAACAGGTAAGATAACTTTGTTTTCTTTCACTCAGGCTCTAATATTATCACTGTGAAGAAAAATAGTCAAAGCTTTCGTCTGAGCAGCACCTCATTATATTTAACTGTAAGGGCTGAATGCTTGTTATTCACTGATTCTCATATATTCATACTAAAAATACTGAACAGTACAACCTTGACAGTAGATGAACAAAGAGGTGTTGTGTTGTGTTGTGTTGTGTTGTGTTGTGTTGTGTTGTGTTGTGTTGTGTTGTGTTGTGTCAGCTTTTGAGTTCCTCAAATTTCTGGGTGTGAAATCTGTTCAAAAAAAAATCTTGATCCATAGATTCTCCTCAGAGTCCCACAATAAACATCCCAGGCAATCTGACAGAGGCGGAGTCTGTCACTGTAACCTGCTCAGCTCTTACTCCATGTCCACACCTCCCTCCTAAACTCACCTGGAATCTCCTGAAAGACTCTCACAACAGCATGGTGAAGAACGCTGACGGCACCTTTACAACTCACATCCAGGAGATCATCACTTTGACGGACAAACATGATGGATTCAACATCACCTGTTCAGCCACATATCCTGTAAATGGAGGAACAGATTTCAAGACAGCAGAGGAGACCAGGACCCTCAGTGTTTCATGTAAGACCCACTTCCATTTGGTTGATATGAGGAAAAAACTCCCATAGTTTTCCACACTCAAAGATCTCTCCATCTGTCAAATCTTCCAGACTCCCCCAGGAACACCTCAGTCATCGTCTCTCCCTCTGATCCAGTGTCAGATGGCAGCACGGTCAACCTGACTTGCTCTTGCAGAAGAAACCCTCCAGTTGTCCACTTTCTTTGGTTCATGATCAGCAATGGCAGACTGGAACTACTCCAAGTGGATGCACATGTTTATGTCCTCAAGGTGACCGACAGAGATCGGGGAAGGTTGTTCTTCTGTGGATGTAGAAATGATCTCGGCATTCAGATGTCAACAGGAGTCCAGCTGGTATTTGAAGGTGAGAAAATGACAGTTTCTGATGTTTCAAAGTCTGAATATCTAAGTCTGAATACCGTGCTGCCGTGTTACAGGTGATCAGCTGTCTGAACCTGTCAGTGCTGCAGCTGTTTTGAAGATTGTGGGAATCGTGTTGCTCGTCAGTGCCCTGATCATCTTTGAGTGGTGAGAGGAGCGCTGGTCTAATTAAAATGTGGTTGAGTGAGAAAAATGTTTGAGACTTTTATTATCATGCAGCATGACAACAACAAAGCTCTCATCTATTTTCTTTCAGTTGGTTTCGCTCAAGAGGCTCGATCAAACCCAGAGGAGAGATAAAGGTACTGTATGTGATTTCTGCCTGGTTTAAAGTCAGCCTCTTTACTGACCCCACTTTCTTTTGATTCATTTCTACAGAACTCAGTGGAAGCAGTCTATGTCAACACGGTGGCTGAGAGAGCATTGTCACGGGCACAAGCTGCATCAGCAAAACCAGTCTGACAAATGTAGATAAAAATAACATCTCTTAGATATAATGTACTGTAAATGTGAATAAAAAAGGCAGGTCATGTGTCCCTGAACAGCTTTTTATAGCCAACATGGCATCCACTTCCTATTACAGCTACTTTAATGACCCCGGATTAGACCCTCCTCAGAGTCAGTAGCTGAGCCAGTCTACTTATATTTTTGTCTGTGATGTTTTTTATCTTTAAATATTTCTTCTAGTTTGTTTGTGTGTGTGCTACATTTTTATTTTTGTGTTTTTTCTTACAAGCTGATAAAAAATGAACAATGTTCTTGCTGTTGTGAAAACCACAAATATAATGTTACAAAGTAAAGTGTGCAAAGATCAAGCCTGGATCAGCTTCTGAGATGTTTCTTCATAGATACCATAAGTTTACACTTCAGTGCTGATGCTGCTGTGAGTTTTGCTAATGCTTCTCTAATGAATAAAGTGATTAAAGTCTGGCCTTCTTCTCATCTAGAGAGTTCATATTATCACATTATTATCACATTTTTATAGCATATCGCTTTTCATAATTCAATGTCACACTTTAAATGCCACTGTGAAGGTCCCCTCGGTGTTTCAGTGTCAGTAGAAACAATCAGAAAACTTTCTGATACGACTAAAGTTTGGAGCCCAGTCACTCATCTATTACACAGTGGACTGGGTTTAATTTTGATCTGAGCCTTTTACTGGTTTCACCTCCCTCTCTCTCTGCTCGTCTAAACTGCTTATAAAAACTGTCACTTCCCCAAAAAATCGCCAAATGTTAATCAAAAGGCAGGATAAAACAAAGGTGACTTCCTTGTTCGCAGGTTACAAGCACACAGGCTGGAGACTTTGTGTAATTCAGTAGCACCACAGGAAGATAACCGGTCAGTCTTGGTTCTGCTTTAGTTTACTTACAGGCTGATTTAAAAGTATTTTTTCTTGGATCAAGCGTCCTGCAGTTTGTTTGGAAAGTTCAACAGTTTATGAGGAATACCAGAAAAAAACACAACTAGAGACAGCCTGTTTTTTAAATCCAGGTGATGAGTCTGATTGCAGTTTGGTCAGTGAAAGTGGCGACAGCCAACATGTTGATGCTTCTTCTCTTTGTGTCAGGTGAGCTTTTCTTTCAGTCACTTCATTCTGAAGCTTTTCATTTATTTTATTGTGCTGTGCTTTTATTTTGAAACACTTAATGTCACTCATGAGTGTGGTTTGCAGGTGTTTTGACTGACTGTCAGTACCAAGATACACACCTCTTCATCAACTCACCGCAGAGGATGGAAGGACTGGTTGGATCTTGTTTGCAAATCCCATGTGACTTTACAACAAGTGGAACTGCTAAGTTTGACAACAGAAACGTAGTATTTGGTTTGTGGTACAAAGAAGCACGAGAGACCACTATAACAAGTAATGTTGTTTTTAGTAGTAAAAACAAAGTTCAGAAATATCCGATCAGTATAATTGGAGACCTGTCAGAGAAAAACTGCACCACTCTGTTCTCCAATTTAACCAATTTAACCAATTTAACAGCATTATTTCCTGGAGTGTACTACTTCAGAATCGAGAACTGGCCGTACAGGGCAACAGCCATATGTGATCCTCTTCATATAACAGTAACAGGTAAGATAACTTTGTTTTCTTTCACTCAGGCTCTAATATTATCACTGTGAAGAAAAACAGTTAAAGCTTTGGTCTGAGCAGCACCTCATTATGTTTAACTGTAAGGGCTGAATGCTTGTTATTCACTGATTCTCATATATTCATACAACAAATACTGAACAGTACAACCTTAACAGTAGATGAACAAAGAGGTGTTGTGTTGTGTCAGCTTTTGAGTTCCTCAAATTTCTGGGTGTGAAATCTGTTAAAAAAAAAATCTTGATCCACAGATTCTCCTCCGAGTCCCACAATAAACATCCCAGGCAATCTGACAGAGGCGGAGTCTGTCACTGTAACCTGCTCAGCTCTTACGCCATGTCCAGACCTCCCTCCTAAACTCACCTGGAATCTCCTGAAAGACTCTCGCAACAGCATGGTGAAGAACGCTGACGGCACCTTTACAACTCACATCCAGGAGATCATCACTCTGACGGACAAACATGATGGATTCAACATCACCTGTTCAGCCACATATCCTGTAAATGGAGGAACAGATTTCAAGACAGCAGATGAGACGAGGACCCTCAGTGTTTCATGTAAGACCCACTTCCATTTGGTTGATATAAGAGGAAAAAACTCTCATTGTTTTCCACACTCAAAGATCTCTCCATCTGTCAAATCTTCCAGACTCTCCCTCTGTCATCGTCTCTCCCTCTGATCCAGTGTCAGATGGCAGCACAGTCAACCTGACTTGCTCTTGCAGAAGAAACCCTCCAGCGGTCCACTTTCTTTGGTTCATGATCAGCAATGGCAGACTGGAACCACTCCAAGTGGATGCACATGTTTATGTCCTCAAGGTGACCGACAGAGATCGGGGAAGGTTGTTCTTCTGTGGATGTAGAAATGATCTCAGCATTCAGATGTCAACAGGAGTCCAGCTGACATTTGAAGGTGAGAGAAAATGACAGTTTCTGATGTTTCAAAGTCTGAATATCTAAGTCTGAATACCGTGCTGCCGTGTTACAGGTGATCAGCTGTCTGAACCTGTCAGTGCTGCAGCTGTTTTGAAGATTGTGGGAATCGTGTTGCTCGTCAGTGCCCTGATCATCTTTGAGTGGTGAGAGGAGTGCTGGTCTAATTAAAATGTGGTTGAGTGAGAAAAATGTTTGAGACTTTTATTATCATGCAGCATGACAACAACAAAGCTCTCATCTATTTTCTTTCAGTTGGTTTCGCTCAAGAGGCTCGATCAAACCCAGAGGAGAGATAAAGGTACTGTATGTGATTTCTGCCTGGTTTAAAGTCAGCCTCTTTACTGACCCCACTTTCTTTTGATTCATTTCTACAGAACTCAGTGGAAGCAGTCTATGTCAACACGGTGGCTGAGGGAGCATTGTCACGGGCACAAGCTGCATCAGCAAAACCAGTCTGACAAATGCAGATAAAAATAACATCTCTAAGATATAATGTACTGTAAATGTGAATAAAAAAGGCAGGTCATGTGTCCCTTAACAGCTTTTTATAGCCAACATGGCATCCACTTCTTATTACAGCTACTTTAATGACCCCGGATTAGACCCTCCTCAGAGTCAGTAGCTGAGCCAGTCTACTTATATTTTTGTCTGTGATGTTTTTTATCTTTAAATATTTCTTCTAGTTTGTTTGTGTGTGTGCTACATTTTTATTTTTGTGTTTTTTCTTACAAGCTGATAAAAAAATGAAAATTTTTCTTGCTGTTGTGAAAACCACAAATATAATGTTACAAAGTAAAGTGTGCAAAGATAAAGCCTGGATCAGCTTCTGAGATGTTTCTTCATAGTTTCCATAAGTTTACACTTCAGTGCTGATGCTGATGTCAGTTTTGCTAATGCTTCTCTAATGAATAAAGTGATTAAAGTCTGGCCTTCTTCTCATCTAGAGAGTTCATATTATCACATTATTATCACATTTTTATAGCATATTGCTTTTCATAATTCAATGTCAAACTTTAAATGCCACTGTGAAGGTCCCCTCAGTGTTTCAGTGTCAGTAGAAACAATCAGAAAACTTTCTGATACGACTAAAGTTTGGAGCCCAGTCACTCATCTATTACACAGTGGACTGGGTTTAATTTTGATCTGAGCCTTTTACTGGTTTCACCTCCCTCTCTCTCTGCTCGTCTAAACTGCTTATAAAAACTGTCACTTCCCCAAAAAATTGGCCAAATGTTCATCAAAAGGCAGGATATAACAAAGGTGACTTCCTTTTTCGCAGGGTACAAGCACACAGGCTGGAGACTTTGTGTAATTCAGTGGCACCACAGGAAGATAACCGGTCAGTCTTGGTTCTGCTTTAGTTTACTTACAGGCTGATTTAAAAGTCTTTTTTTTCTTGGATCAAGCGTCCTGCGGCTTGTTTGGTAAGTTCAACAGTTTATGAGGAATACCAGAAAAAAACACAACTAGAGACAGCCTGTTTTTTAAATCCAGGTGATGAGTCTGATTGCAGTTTGGTCAGTGAAAGTGGCGACAGCCAACATGTTGATGCTTCTTCTCTTTGTGTCAGGTGAGCTGTTTGTTCAGTCACTTCACTCTGAAGCTTTTCATTTATTTTATTGTGCTGTGCTTTTATTTTGAAACACTTAATGTCACTCATGAGTGTGGTTTGCAGGTGTTTTGACCGACTGTCAGTACCAAGATACACACCTCTTCACCAACTCACCGCAGAGGATGGAAGGACTGGTTGGATCTTGTTTGCAAATCCCATGTGACTTTACAACAAGTGGAACTGCTGAGTTTGACAACAGAAAAGAAGTTTTTGGTTTGTGGTTCAAAGAAGAACGAGAGACCACTAGACCAAGAAATGTTGTTTTTAGCAGTAAAAACACAGTTCAGAGATATCCGATCAGTATAATTGGAGACCTGTCAGAGAAAAACTGCACCACTCTGTTCTCCAGTTTAACCAATTTAACAGCATTATTTCCTGGAGTGTACTACTTCAGAATCGAGAACTGGCCGTACAGGGCAACAGCCTTTTGTGATCCTCTTCATATGACAGTAACAGGTAAGATAACTTTGTTTTCTTTCACTCAGGCTCTAAAATTATCACTGTGAAGAAAAACAGTTAAAGCTTTGGTCTGAGCAGCACCTCATTATATTCATACAACAAATACTGAACAGTACAACCTTAACAGTAGATGAACAAAGAGGTGTTGTGTTGTGTCAGCTTTTGAGTTCCTCAAATTTCTGGGTGTGAAATCTGTTGAAAAAAAAAATCTTGATCCACAGATTCTCCTCAGAGTCCCACAATAAACATCCAAGGCAATCTGACAGAGGCGGAGTCTGTCACTGTAACCTGCTCAGCTCTTACTCCATGTCCGCAACTCCCTCCTAAACTCACCTGGAATCTCCTGAAAGACTCTCACAACAGCATGGTGAAGAACGCTGACGGCACCTTTACAACTCACATCCAGGAAAACATCACTCTGACGGACAAACATGATGGATTCAACATCACCTGTTCAGTCGCATATCCTGTAAATGGAGGAACAGATTTCAAGACAGCAGAGGAGACCAGGACCCTCAGTGTTTCATGTAAGACCCACTTCCATTTGGTTGATGTTAGAGGAAAAAACTCTCATTGTTTTCCACACTCAAAGATCTCTCCATCTGTCAAATCTTCCAGACTCCCCCAGGAACACCTCAGTCATCGTCTCTCCCTCTGATCCAGTGTCAGATGGCAGCACAGTCAACCTGACTTGCTCTTGCAGAAGAAACCCTCCAGCTGTCCACTTTCTTTGGTTCATGATCAGCAATGGCAGACTGGAACCACTCCAAGTGGATGCACAGGTTTATGTCCTCAAGGTGACCGACAGAGATCGGGGAAGGTTGTTCTTCTGTGGATGTAGAAATGATCTCGGCATTCAGATGTCAACAGGAGTCCAGCTGGTATTTGAAGGTGAGAGAAAATGACAGTTTCTGATGTTTCAAAGTCTGAATATCTAAGTCTGAATACCGTGCTGCCGTGTTACAGGTGATCAGCTGTCTGAACCTGTCAGTGCTGCAGCTGTTTTGAAGATTGTGGGAATCGTGTTGCTCATCAGTGCCCTGATCATCTTTGAGTGGTGAGAGGAGCGCTGGTCTAATTAAAATGTGGTTGAGTTAGAAAAATGTTTGAGACTTTTATTATCATGCAGCATGACAACAACAAAGCTCTCATCTATTTTCTTTCAGTTGGTTTCGCTCAAGAGGCTCGATCAAACCCAGAGGAGAGATAAAGGTACTGCATGTGATTTCTGCCTGGTTTAAAGTCAGCCTCTTTACTGACCCCACTTTCTTTTGATTCATTTCTACAGAACTCAGTGGAAGCAGTCTATGTCAACACGGTGGCTGAGAGAGCATTGTCACGGGCACAAGCTGCATCAGCAAAACCAGTCTGACAAATGCAGATTAAAATAACATCTCTTAGATATAATGTACTGTAAATGTGAATAAAAAAGGCAGGTCATGTGTCCCTGAACAGCTCTTTATAGCCAACATGGCATCCACTTCCTATTACAGCTACTTTAATGACCCCGGATTAGACCCTCCTCAGAGTCAGTAGCTGAGCCAGTCTACTTATATTTTTGTCTGTGATGTTTTTTATCTTTAAATATTTCTTCTAGTTTGTTTGTGTGTGTGCTACATTTTTATTTTTGTGTTTTTTCTTACAAGCTGATAAAAAAATGAACATTTTTCTTGCTGTTGTGAAAACCACAAATATAATGTTACAAAGTAAAGTGTTCAAAGATAAAGCCTGGATCAGCTTCTGAGATGTTTCTTCATAGTTTCCATAAGTTTACACTTCAGTGCTGATGCTGCTGTCAGTTTTGCTAATGCTTGTCTAGTGAATAAAGTGATTAAAGTCTGGCCTTCTTCTCATCTAGAGAGTTCATATTATCACATTATTATCACATTTTTATAGCATATTGCTTTTCATAATTCAATGTCACACTTTAAATGCCACTGTGAAGGTCCCCTCGGTGTTTCAGTGTCAGTAGAAACAATCAGAAAACTTTCTGATACGACTAAAGTTTGGAGCCCAGTCACTCATTTATTACACAGTGGGCTGGGTTTAATTTTGATCTGAGCCTTTTACTGGTTTCACCTCCCTCTCTCTCTGCTCGTCTAAACTGCCTTTAAAAACTGTCACTTCCCCAAAAAACTGTCCGTACAGGGCAACAGCCATATGTGATCTTCTTCATATAACAGTAACAGGTAAGATAACTTTGTTTTTTTTTCACTCAGGCTCTAATATTATCACTGTGAAGAAAAACAGTTAAAGCTTTGGTCTGAGCAGCACCTCATTATATTTAACTGTTAGGGCTGAATGCTTGTTATTCACTGATTCTCATATATTCATACTAAAAATACTGAACAGTACAACCTTAACAGTAGATGAACAAAGAGGTGTTGTGTTGTGTTGTGTTGTGTTGTGTTGTGTTGTGTTGTGTTGTGTTGTGTTGTGTTGTGTTGTGTTGTGTCAGCTTTTGCACTGACCTCTTAATTTCAGTCCAGTTGTTACTTGAAGGTGAGAAAAAAATGACAGTTTCTGATGTTGGCGAGAGCTGAGGGTTACCATGTTCACCACAGGGGGGCGCCAAAATCAGCAGAGAAAAACTTTGTCACAGGAGCCAGCAACAACTATCATCTTGTAGAGCAGCCTAAATGAGTGCAAGATGCAAAAACAGTCCATCTTCAGCTCAACGTCTCACTTTAAATTTAAAAAGGAGTATAAACAAATTACTTGGTCGACCTGGGAGGCTTTTATTGGAGAACTTAAAAAGTTAAGATGTGCATCAGGAGGTTTTTTTTATACACATGAAGTTCAAACATAAGTGACATCCCTCTTTTTAGAGATTAGAAACCAAATCATGTCAAGCTAGGTATTGTGATTTTTTCCAACAACCTGCATGCAAACCTCATTTGATAGCCACATTAAGGACAATAAAAAACAAAATTAAAGAAGCATGCTGTAAAATATTTACAGAGAAAACTCACTGAATGTGGTGATCGGTTAGATTTTAAAAAAGCATTATAATTTAGATCTTATGTTGAACAAACAAATTTAATAAATAACAGTGCAATGTAAAAAATCTAACTGATTCAAAAACACTCCTGCGTTCTGTTGTGTATTTGTTAGTGAGTGTAATGCTGTATGAATTAGTAACTGGCAGACTTACAGATAGGCTTAGTCTTGCAACAGAGGAAGCCAGCGTGCCTTGAAATGAGAATTTTGCATAAGATACAAAAAGGAAGTCAAATGCCATGTCTTCTGCTTTAGAAGTAATTACTGCCTTTTTTAGTATTTCCCCCATCATCTGTATAAAGCTGAAAGGACTCTCTCTGGCCTCTGCTAATCTGGTGAGTCTTTTTCTTCTTTTGCTTTGCTTGTTGCCCGAAATTGTTTTACTCTGATATATATATATATATATATATATATATATATATATATATATATATATATATATATATGAACAAGAACTTGATCTAAACTTTGAAGGGGGACATTGTTCAGCAACTTCCTACAGCTCAACCAGGACAAACCTGAGGTCATAATTAGGCTAAGTCTTGCAACAGAGGAAGCCAGCATGCTTTAAAATTTTAATTTTGCAAAGATACAAAAAGGAAGTCAGATGCCATATCTTCTGCTTTAGAAGTAATTACTGCCTTTTTTAGTATTTCCCCCCATCATCTGTAGAAAGCTGAAAGGACTCTTTCTGGCCTCTGCTAATCTGGTGAGGCTTTTACTTATTTTGCTTTGCTTGTTGCCCAAAATTGTTTTACTCTGATATATATATATATATATATATATATATATATATATATATATATATATATATATATATATATGAACAAGAACTTGATCTAAACTTTGAAGGGGAATACTGATCAGCAAAACTCATAAAGAGGTAGCCGTAGCTGTATTTTGCTCTAGAAACTGCAGGAACTTATGGGTTATAACAGAAGGGGGCAGAGACTTCTAGAATGATGTGTGTTATTGTTCTGATTACACCAAATATATCCTTAATATTGAATTCTTATTCTTCTAATATAACACTGAACATAATCTAGACCAGTTCCTTTTGATTGGTGTCTTGAGAAAACTATTTTCATGAATTGCAATAAGCAAATACAAATTGGTTTACAACCAGTTTTGGGCTACTGTAAGCTGCCCTGTGTAGATTTAGGAGATACATGATACGTGTTGCTGGTGTAAATAAGTTATATGAGCTATTAATGCCTAAAGATTCATAGCATTAAATGTGGTGTACCCCAAGGCTCAATTTTAGGCCCCATACTATTTAATATATGTATGCTCCCACTGGGAGATGTCATCAGGAGGCATGGTATCACTTTTCACAGCTATGCTGATGATACACAGCTCTACATATCCATGTCTCCCGATGACACAGGGCCAATTGATGCCCTTTTTAGCTGTATCCAAGACATTAAATCCTGGATGGCAGAAAACCTCCTACAGCTCAACCAGGAAAAAACTTCTTAATTATCGATCCTAAGGCTAAGGGAGAGAAACTTTTATCAAAACTGAAAACCCTGTCATTAATTCCATCAAATCAAGTAAAGAATCTGGGCGTCATCTTTGACTCTGAGCTGACTTTTATTCCTCATATTAAAAATATAACAAAAACAGGGTTTTATCATTTAAAGAATATAGCCAGAGTCCGCCCCTTTCTCTCCCGGGCTAACACAGAGACGCTAATGCATGCTTTTATCTCCAGTCGTCTTGACTATTGTAACGCCCTGCTTTCTGGTCTTCCAAAAAGAAACATTTAAAGTCTCCAACTGTTACAAAACTCAGCAGCAGGTGTGCTGACAAGGACCAGAAGGCGGGCACACATTACACCGGTTTTAAAATCACTGCATTAGCTCCCTGTGTGCTTTAGGATTGATTTTAAGGTCCTTTTAATGGTTTTTAAATTTCTTTGGGGTCTTGGACCTTCCTATCTTTCAGAATTGCTTTTACAATATGAACCCTCATGGACCCTGAGATCCTCTGGCACTGGCCTTTTAATAGTCCCCAAAGTGAGAACACGAACTTACGGTGAGGAATCTTTTCAGCACTATGGCCCCTGTCTTTGGAATAGTCTGCCGGAGGACCTTAGGGCCGCAGAGAATGTTCCTATTTTTAAAAGCAGGCTCAAGACCCACCTATTTAATTTGGCTTTTAACTAATGTCTTACTTTTTATCAATATTTTTATCCTATTTTTATCTTATCTTAGTTCATTTATATATTTTAGTCCTCATTTTACATTATGTTTATTCTATTTATTTACTTATTTTTAAACAGTATTTTAGCTATTTATCAGTATTTTTTAACTTTATCTAGTTTGATGTTTTTAGATGATTTAGTTCATGTTTCTGTTGCCTCTCTCCAGTGTTTACTCAGTAGGGGGGCCACCTGCACTCGAGGCTGTGACTGGCTCTGTCTAGGGTTTCTCTGCCTCGTGGTGTGCGCTCAGCTCGGCCAGGTGGTGGTCTGCAGCAGTGCTTGCTGCTGTGGGCCCCTTACTGGCCTGTCATGAGGTGCGAACCCGGGTGGAGGTGTCCCAGCAGCAGCCTCCAGCGTAGTCGGCCTCCTAACGTTTCCTGACCTGGCTCCTCTGTACTCACACGCTTTTAAGATTGCGTTATGTGTATGTGTGTGTGTGTGTGTGTGTGTGTGTGTGTGTGTGTGTGTGTGTGTGTGTGTGTGTGTGTGTGTGTGAATGTGTGTGTGTGTGTGTGTGTGTGTGTGTGTGTGTGCACTGAAAAGTCCTGAAAAGTGCTTTATAAATAAAGTTTGATTTGATTTGATTTATATACCTGCATTATGATGTGTACAATTCAGGTGATTCAGGTCCAATCTCTGAGGATGTTGACCACCAACTTGATACTGAGTATCTTCTTTCTTACAGGTGAGTTCTGAGTTCAGTCTATGACACATCACTCTATGATCAATGACACTTTGAACTAATCATGGTTCTGGTTTTTCAGGTGCTGTGACTGGTTGTGGTTTAAAATCAGACCTCTTCATAACTACACCAAAGAATATGGAAGCGCTGAGTGGATCTTGTTTGCAAATCCCGTGTAACTTTCGTGCTAAACAAGAGCATGACTTTGACAGGGGAAAAAACTTTGGGGTGTGGATCAAAACCGACCCCTTTTTTGGCGAAAGACCAGAAAATGTGGTTTTCAACAGTAGTGGGACAGTCCAAACCTATCCGATGAACATCACCGGAAACCTCAGCCAGAAACAGTGCACCACTTTATTCTCTCGTATGAACTCAATACATACAGACAGATACTACTTCAGAATCCACAGCAGCTCATTGTTGGCAACGGCTTTTTGTGATCCTCTTCAAATAAGAGTTATAGGTAAGAGACTTCATCTTAAACATGTATTGACAGAGCTGTTTAAAAAACTTATGTTCATCAAATGATGACTGTCTGTACTTTAAATGACAGACACCCCTCCACCACCGAGCATGGAGATCCAAGGTAATTTACAGGAAGAGGAATCTGTCACTGTAATCTGCTCAGCTTTCACCCCCTGTCCACAATCCCCTCCCAAACTCACCCTGAGTCTCCTCCAAGACTCTTACAATACCGGGAGAAACACGGTGAAAAACGCTGATGGAACCTTTACAGCTCAAATCTGGACGAGCGTCACTCTGACGGAGAAACATGATGGATACAGCATCACCTGTTCAGCAGCCTATCCTGTGAACGAAGGAAAAGATGTCAAGACAGTGAATAAGACGAGGACGCTCAGAGTTTCACGTAAGACCAACTTTCATTTGGTTGATATGAGGAAAAAACTCCCATAGTTTTCCACACTCAAAGATCTCTCCATCTGTCAAATCTTCCAGACTCTCCCTCAGTCATCGTCTTTCCCTCTGATCCAGTGTCAGATGGCAGCATGGTCAACCTGACTTGCTCTTGCAGAACAAACCCTCCAGTTGTCCACTTTCTTTGGTTCATGTTCAGCAATGGCAGACTGGAACTACTCCAAGTGGATGCACAGGTTTATGTCCTCGAGGTGACCGACAGAGATCGGGGAAGGTTGTTCTTCTGTGGATGTAGAAATGATCTCGGCATTCAGATGTCAACAGGAGTCCAGCTGACATTTGAAGGTGAGAGAAAATGACAGTTTCTGATGTTTCAAAGTCTGAATATCTAAGTCTGAATACCGTGCTGCTGTGTTACAGGTGATCAGCTGTCTGAACCTGTCAGTGCTGCAGCTGTTTTGAAGATTGTGGGAATCGTGTTGCTCGTCAGTGCCCTGATCATCTTTGAGTGGTGAGAGGAGTGCTGGTCTAATTAAAATGTGGTTGAGTGAGAAAAATGTTTGAGACTTTTATTATCATGCAGCATGACAACAACAAAGCTCTCATCTATTTTCTTTCAGTTGGTTTCGCTCAAGAGGCTCGATCAAACCCAGAGGAGAGATAAAGGTACTGCATGTGATTTCTGCCTGGTTGAGTGTTTGGAGTATGTCAGTATATATCCAGTGTGTTCATGTTAAAGGACCAGTGCATGGAAGTGTGGAAACAGCAGACTGTAATGCAAAGCAGCACAATACAGCTGTCTTTTTTCATGTATAGTAACATATCACATTACAGACAGGCAAAGACACAGTAAACATTAATAAGCATTTACAACTGTTAACAGATGAGAGAAGAGTAAATATTATACTCACACACAGTGAGCTCAGACCTGATAGAGCTGTGAGAGGTTGAAGTTTGTCATTGGTGCAACTATAGATGCATATTATCCCTTATAGTTTAAAATAGAGGACAAAAGAAAAAGTACTCCCTGTGTAATACAACTTTTGCCCACCTGGGGGCAGCTCTCAGCAAATGTTCAAAATAATTTATAAATGTCACTGTGAAAAACAACGACAAAAGTAGACCTCTTTACTGACCCCATTTTCTTTTTTGATTCATGTCTACAGAACTCAGTGGAAGCAGATTACGTCAACATGGTGGCTGAGGAGGCATTGTCACGGACACAAGCTGCATCAGCAAAACCAGTCTGACAAGTTAAACATCTCTTAGATGTACTGTACTCTATTACTGCTACTTTAATGACTCTGATTCTTCTAACTTTAGGTGATGAATTATAACAATGATGAGTGTCTTGAGGGGTATCTTTATGTTTTAGAGCAATGATTAGACCCTCCTCAGAGTTAGTAGCTGAGCAAGTCCACTTATATTTTTGCCTTTTTTTTTTTCTTTTAATCTTAAATATTTCTTCTGTTTTTGTTTTTTTTTTGTGTGTGTGCTACATTTTTAATTTTGTATTTTGTCCTTACAAACGTGTAATGAATGAAAGATTTTCTAGCATAAGTGAGGAACGCTCAGGATCCTGGTCACCTCTGGACCGGCTGTTATCATGTTTGCCTTGTCTTTTCCCCTAAAATCAGCATTAAACTTCAACATTTTCAAAATTGTTGCACCTGCCTCTTTGTTTTGTTGACAAATGTAAATGCCTATAGCATGTATTATATTCTCCAAGCTCAAAGTAGAGGGGATGAGTAAGAAAAAATCATCAAAATCAAATTTTTGGGAGATGAAAATGTTAAACTTGTGGAGAAATATGGAAGTCTTTTTTAACATTTAATGCAAAAGCGTGTGAAAATGGGAATACTCAGCGACATCTAGCTGCTAGATTCTTAATTGAAACACTTGCAGCAGCGGTGGCCTACAAGGACAATAAGCTCCTCTGATGCATGATAAGTATGATCCTCCATTTTTAAGGATTTTACCTGCATAAATGCCAGTCTCTTGTCATTTGATGGCTCCATTTTGGCCTTCTTCCTTTAATTCTTTCTCACGTACTTGTACTCCTGTAATGCTCCACCTAACCTTATAACAGCTGTGTTTGATGTAGCTCCAGAGGGGGTGTTCCTATCAAGCTCTCGGTCAAAACTCCCCATAGTTTACCTCCCATCTGTCCGACCAGCTTATTCTTTAAGGTGGGAGGTCTGCACTCAGAGATGTAAAGCACAGGGTGTAAAACACTGTCATCAGGGTTCTATTGCAAAACACTGCAAGACATGGCAGCCCTTAATTTTATTGTTTTTAGTATTGATTTTTTTTTATTAAATTAGTCTTTCATTTTTTTAATTTTACTATAATTACTTAATAATTTTTTCCAATTTTTTAAAATTGTATTACCCCTTTGTTATTATATTTTTACTTACTTTTATCTTACTATTGTTATTTATTAATTTTATTATTTATTTTATTTTTCTTTTACTTTACTTTTTATGTATTGTTTTTTTATTTTTATGTTTTATGTATTATATATTGTTTTTTATTTTTTATGTGTTATTTATTTTGTATATTGTCCTCATTATTATTTTTCATCAATATATTTATTGAATTTTATACATTTTTATTGCAAAACAGTGACAAACAAGAGTGCCTTCAGATACAGACGCTACAAAAAACTCAACAAACTGCCTCTCAGACAAAGTGCCATATTCAGGACGAATGAATGTTAAAGACTGACAGAAAACAAACAAATAACTACAAACATTTCAAAGTTCCCACAGAGGTAATTTTAAAGAATCTGTGTCTCTCCCCTTCTTCAATATCTGACACATCTACATTTTTAACAAAACCAACAAATGGTCCCCATATTTTTGTCAAACAGTTCCTGTTTCCTCTTTGTTATAAAGGTCACTCTTTCTGAAGTAAGTGTTGCAATCATTGGTCAAACCTAGTGTTTGATAATTGGTCAATTCATATTTACCCAGAAAATAGCAATCGATCTTCTTGCAAGTAAGAGACACGTGTCTATTATCAACCAGTCCATTTTTATAAAAACATGATGTTTCAGGTATAAACCCAAAATAAAAAGCCCTGGATCCATAGCAACAGGTTTCAGAATCAACCTCTTCCCAAAACCTTTTAATTTGACAGTGTTGCCGAACACAGTGTCCCTTTTTCATCCAGGTATATATCATATTAATTTACTTTAACTGATGTGAAATATGTTCTCATTGTCCACTGAATTGTCTGCTGAAGTAGGGGAGAGTGGGGTAAGTTGAGCCACCCCCTGTTGCTTGAAAATGGTAAAAGAAATTGATCATGTGACCAAATATTTAGGAGATGGGCATCAATTCATGGAGTCTGTGAAGGTTAGAAGCACATGGGTGAAGAGGTTAGACATTTATTTACAAAAAAAAAAAAAAAAACTTTTTCACGCTTGAAAGTGAATTTAGTCCCTCTATGAGCTACAACATGAGGTCAAAAACCTAACATCAAACTCCACCATTTTAACTTAGAGAACTAACAAAGTCAAAATAGTAGCTCTGGGGTAAGTTGAGCCAGTGAGAAGTCTGATAAGAGGATCAGAGTTTCAGTTCAGTTTGTTGAAATGTTTTACTTTTTCTTTTCAAAAATACAGCTGTGAATGTTCTGAATCACTTAAAGACATTCTCATGTTAAAATGACTTTTTACTAAACAGCTTTTTAGCAGTTATATGCAATAATAATTAAAAGAATTATTGTACCAGTTGGATAGTGTATAATAGATAAAAATGCACATGAATGTGAAGAAGTGACTGTTACTTAGGGAGAGAGAAGGTTAGGGAGGGCTGGGTAAGAGGGATACAGCTCAACTTACCCCACTGGTCAACTTACGAAATATGAAAAAAAGACCCATCTTACCCCACTCTCTCTTAATCTTTGTCGGGTGTTAATTGATAGAGTATGAACTTTTTCATAGATTGTTTTCCAGTCCTCTGCTATATATGTTTCATCATTATCATTATTTTTTAAATGACTTTGTCAATTTCTATTTATTTTGTTTATGATTCTACATTATCATTATTAGCATTTATTTCTTCATTCCTATCTATTTATGTGATTCAAACATTTTGTCACATCGGGCGCCCCTTCCCACAGGAAGTGGTTCTAGCCAGGGTGATATTTTAGGACTGAGGAACATGTGATTTGCAGCAGCCTTGTGAACAAAAGTCAAAATGCCCGTTGTAACGCAATGACTCTTTTTTTTCAGCGAGGTAAGACGGGTTTGTTCTCGTTCTGCTAAAATTTATTAACCACTTTACAGGAATCAGCTCTTAATCTGACTCCTCTTCTAGACTTTTATTTTTAGTCAAGATTTTTTGTTTATTTTTAGTCTTGCATCTCAATGTTGTTATGAATGGTTTTCTGTGGCAGGAACTTGATTTATTTTATGTTGTTTTACAGACACTTCAACTTTAGGAAGCTAACAAAACAAAACAAGAGCTAGCATGACTGAAGCACAAATCTGTAGACATGAACCACTTATTTCTCACAAACTGTGGTGAGCTTTGGTTGTTGAAAGTGCAAGTCAATGTTTTCTTGTATTTTCAGTTTGTTGCCTGTGAAAATGATGATAGCCAAGCTGCTTCTGAGTGTCCTCTTTTTTCCCTCTTCAGGTGAATTATTTTTATCTGTCTCTCCATGACAATCTATCTTCACGGTCATAATCTGATATTTTCCTAACCGTGTTATTCATATGATATTACAGGCGCTTCTGCTTCTTGTTCTAAGCAAGCTGACCTTGGAGTCACAGCACCAAAGACGGTGCAAGCACTGAATGGATCTTGTTTGCAGATCCCGTGTAACTTCACCGAAAAAACATCTCAAAAGTTTGACGGCATAGGGAAAATCTCCGGAGTGTGGATTAAAAATGATTCAAGATTTGCCATCAATGCAGAGAATGTGGTTTTCAACAGCAGCAGGAAAGTTAACAGCTACACCATGAATATCACTGGAAACCTGCGTCAGAAAAACTGCAATACTCTATTTTCAAATGTACTTACAATTTATACAAACACATACTACTTTAGGATTGAGAGCGTCTCACTCACTGCAACAGCGTCTTGTGATCCTCTAAGAATTGAAGTGAAAGGTAAGAGAATCTTTAAGTCATTTCATTTGCTTTTTTTTTTTAAGCTGAATTTTAACAGTTTTAGCTGCAAATACAAACACTAGTGGGGGATAAATTTCACCGCCAGTAGACAGCAAGATAAGACTCTTCTCAGAAAGCACTACCCGCACATTCACAGGAAACGATCAGCAAAGATAAAGGAGATAAGACGCTAAATTTATCGACATTTTGAGAGTCAGTGCTGTTCCAGTCACTCCTTTTAAGGACTCAATACTTATGTGTGCAGGTGCAAATTTACTGAGTCAAATGTGATAGAGGCGCTGTTTTCACTTTTAAGTTGTCTTATGAAACCAATTCTGTGTCTGTCTCCAAAACACAGATTCTCCTCCACACCCTGAAATAAAAATCTCAGGAGAGCAAAAGGAGGGGGAGTCTGTCACTGTAACCTGCTCAGCTGTCATCCCCTGTCCACAACACCCTCCTAAACTCACCTGGAGTCTTACAAAAGACTCTCAAAGCAACATGGTGAAAAACACAGATGGAACCTTTACAGCTCAAATCAAGGGGAGCATCATTCTGACGGACAAACATGACGGATACAACATCACCTGTTCGGCCACATATCCTGTAAATGGAAGAACAGATTTCAAGACAGCAGAGGAGACGAGGACTCTCAGTGTTTCATGTAAGGCATCAAGAGTTTAGTATTCATTTTGGCATTATGTAAGCTGGTCGAAAATGATTAAGATAATCTCAAATGTCCCTCAGATGCTCCGAAGAATACCTTAGTATCCATCAGCCCATCAGGTTCGGTGTCTGCAGGCACCATGGTTAACCTGACCTGCTCCAGCCGAGCCAAACCTCCTGTCAGCAGCTTCATCTGGTTCAACATCAGCAACCGTTCACCCATCAAAGTTTTTAAAGGAAAGATTTACAGCTTTAATGCAACAGTTGGAGGAACGTTTTACTGTGAGGCCACAAATGACGTCGCCAAACAAAAGTCACCTGAAGTTCAACTCAACATTGGAGGTAAATAAAGAACTGTAGAAGAGAAATAAACTGAAATTACTTACAGATGCTGATTGATTAAGTATCTTATGCTTGTATTTTTTGAAGACTAGGTGGTAATGCTTAAATTAAAAAAAGAGAAACTGGTGGGAAGTTAAAAATAATTCAGAGGAAGTGAAATGTGCTAAAGCTGTGAACTTTGCAAAATGTGAAGCCTTGTGAGAAAAAGCAGGACTGAAGGTTTTCTACTGAACTGTGTAGAGTTGAGAAGACGTTGGATAAGAGGCGAAACGTCTTCTCAACTCTGCACAGTCCAGTTGCCTGTTTTTGGAGTCTTCAAGAAAACCACGACCTAGATGAATGAGAATCTACATGGACGTTTTCTGCTGAAGTTATTGTTGGTCACTGTGTCAAATTAAAGCACATTACAACATAATTACACACAGTTTCATCATCTTTTCTTTTTGTTGTAGGACAGCTATTGGACAGCTCTTCACCATGGGGGTCAATAGTTGGGGCGATGATTGGGATCATCATTCTCATTGGTTTGGCAGTCGTGGTTTGGTAAGTATATTAGAGAATTTTCATTTTACAGTAGCGAGCTTTGACATATCGGCAGTAAGAATCATGTTTTTACTTTATTTTATTGTTACAATAATATATATTCAATCATATAAAAAGCATCACTCATACATGCAAAAAAAATAAAAAAAAAAAAAAATAAAATAAAATAAAAATAATAATAATAATAAAGTAATTATTATTATTATTATTATTATTATTATTTTATTTATTTATTTATTTTAATTGCTTTTGGGGCCCCCCTACTGGCCGCAGGGCCCTAAGCAGGCACTTAGTTCGCTTATGCCTCGGGCCGGCTCTGGTTATTACCATTTTCTGTTGTGCTTATATAAAGTATCTGATAGTATTTGTGTGTCTTCCAGGTGGTTTAAGTCAAAACAATCAACTTTCCAACAAACACAGGTGGGAAACAATCAAAAATTTTACATGTTTTATTCAGTATGAGTTTATTTCTGACTGTTCACAATGACAGCACTTCTTAGATCTCATCAGGACAGAACAACAAGTTTGACATTGTAAATGGAGAAATAACAGATAACAGAATAGCTTGTTAACCAACAACCGACTGTTTTCATTCTAGATTTTTAGTTTTTTCTCTTTAGTTTTTGGATAATTACTTTGTCAAATGTGAGTGTGAGTCAGAGTAGCACATCTCTCAGTTTGTTGGTCTTTTTTTTTTTAAATGCAGAGCCTTACAGCTGGAGAGCCGGCCGTAGAGGAACAAGCCAGAGCTGCAGACAAAGAGGACATACACTATGGCGAGATTGACTTTTCAAAGCTGAGACCTGGATCATCTTTTAACTCAGGGAACAACAGCGGACCGCCGCAGAATACTGTGTACGCGCAAGTCAAAGTATCCAAACCAGTGATGAGCTTCCAGCAGGCTGGTGGAGGTACAGAGGATCTGTACGCTCAAGTGAAGAGAAAGTGAACACACAGATGTCTCCTTGTGAAGAATATTTCAGTTGTATGTACGACTTATTTTTGGCACTCTCATGAGGAGCATTTTACCACATGGCCGGACATAAGCGTAACATTTCAACACTATGCAAAGAAGACCGGAGACCATAGTTCCTGAGTTAGCTAAGCTCACTCTGGCACAACGCATCAAGCGGGAAAGTTCATGTTTGAAATACGCGCTTATTACCACATGGTCCCTTTAATAAGAAAATGATATATAGAGGGGAAAAAAACACACTCAATTTTCATCTTTTTGTCAAGATTTTTGGTTTCAGTCTCAGGATTTCCACTCTTATTGAGTGCCATAAGTCAAATCCAATTCTCGTCATACAGAGGTGGGAAAAAATTTTGAAATTTTCTGCATGGACCTTTTCTTTTGTAAAGCCCTTCTCAGATCTCTCAGGGCAGAACAAGTTCCCCGTTACTAAGTGTAAATAGAGAAGTGCAGGAAATGTGAGGAAATATCCTGTTGACGCTGACAAACTACTGTTTTAGCTCTGTGTGATACTGCAGATTTTTTTTCTCTTTCTAGTGGTACAGTCAAATGGAGAAAATTTGCAGTGCATATCTCAGAACAAGTCTTTAAAAATAGTAGGAAATATGGAAAATGTCTAGTGTGCATGTACGAAAAGTAATTCACTTTGGATAAAATATTTCATGTATGATAGCAGAGCTTCTGTTATATAGTTCGGGGATAAAAAGTGGATCATATTTTACAATCATAATTTGTTCCTGCATTTATCCATTCGGGTATAAACTAAGAGGAAAATGTCAAAATTTCAATGACTTTGTGAAAATGTGTTTGTGTTTGAACATTGTTCGAGTTTTCTTGTCTTATGACGCAATGATTCACTTTAAAGCTCCTGTGAGGAACTCTCTGTCTGTGTTGATTTTGTCTTTTGTTTAGATTTTGTTCATAAGGTGGTCACCCTTCTATTGCTGCTGATTTCATCCCCTTTCATTCCCCTCCTATCGTCTGTTTACAGTGAAATTTACGAACCACTTTGAATGTTTTTTTGTGAAAACAGTAAATAAAAAATGACAATTATGACAATGTCCGTCTTGTCCAAAATAGGCTTATTTACTTTTTTTTTATCACATAATCACATCACTGCTCATTTTAACCTGTTTCATAAACCTCAAAAACTCCTTATAGTAGCTTTAATTACACACTATTCTTCTACATGTCTGCAGCCATGAGTACTTCTGAACAAAATGGAATAACAGCTGTATGTTTGCTGTAAACTGATTAGGGGAGAGTGGGGTAAGATGAGCCATTTTTCATATTTCAGATCACTACAACAAGACAATCATAGTTTTGTCTCTAACTAGTGTATCTGCATGTATTTCAAGATGTTGTGCATCCCTGTAAACAAACAGAATGAGTGTAAACATTACTGTCGTGACAATATAGCATGACAAAAAAAAAAGTGGTCTCCTATGGTCAACTTACCCCATATGCGGGGTAAGTTGAGCCATATCCCTCCTACCTACCCCCCACCCCCCAGCCCTCCCTCACCTTCTCTCTCCATAAATAACCGTCACTTCTTCACAATAATGTGTATTTTTATCTATTATACGCTATGCAACTGGTACAATAACTCTTTTTATTATTATTATTGCATATAACTGCTAAAAAGCTGTTTTGTAAAAAGTCATTTTAACATGAGAATGTCTTTAAGTGATTGAGAACATTCACAGCTGTATTTTTGAAAAGAAAAAGTAAAAACATTTCAACAAACTGAACTGAAACTCTGATCCTCTCATCAGACTCCTTTACTTTCTCATTTGAGCCAGTGGCTCAACTTACCCCAGAACTACTATTATGACTTTATTAGTCCTCTAAGCTAAAATGGTGGACTTTTATGTTAGGTTTTTGACCTCCTTTTGTAGTTCATAGCAACCACAATTGATGTATAAAACAAATTTAAAATGATCTTTTTTTGGTCTGAACACAATTCTAATTAAACTTATGACAGACTAAATTCACTTTTAAATGTAAATAAATGTCTAACCCCTTCACTCATGTGCTTCTAACCTCCACAGACTCCATGAATTGATGCCCATCTCCTAAATATTTGGTCACATGATCAATTTCTTTTACCATTTTCAAGCAACGGGGGTATATCAACTTACCCTTTGGTACTTACCCACTTCCCCTACATTTTCCCTTCAACCAATGTTGACTTGCTGCTGACAGAAGTTATCTTCAAAACACACAAACTTTGACTGCTTGCTTCACTTCAACTAACAAAATGAAACAACAACACCTTTAAGTTGACAGTTTAAGATTGAGAGAAAGTTTTAATGGGCCCGTAAAATCACTAAGAGTTAGCATCTTGCTCGCACAAACTGCGCATGTGCCCAGGGCTCTCCAGCAGGATCACAGCAGCCATAGTGTCCACTGCTGGGATTAATGGTATAATCATTTAAAAGATGTGAATATAGAGTAAGAACAGGCCATTTAAATACAATAAGTAAATAAATAAAGGGTGTCTGTTTGGGTACAAAACTAGTCATGAGGCGTTTCAAGCTACCGTGCGGTTGTGTCTTAATTTTAGGGATTAAAAATAAAAAATGATAATTATTTCTCCTTTCTGAATTCAACTTACGTAAGATACAGTACACTGTCTGGATGTCTTTACACAGAGGATGTCAGCGGTACAAAGTGTGAACTTCTGTTTCCCCAAATATAAACTGTCAGTCTCTCAAGTGGTGTTTAACCAAATTTACACCAATACAATGTTGATTTAGTTCGAGCCCTGAAAACACAGGAAGTCGACTGCATGTTAAATTACTTAGCTTGAAAAAAAGGGGAAGTCGGCTGTTATGTCAGTAAATTCAAAAAACTGAAGTATTTCCACTCGTCACCTGTCAAGATCAACACGCTGCTGTGCTCTCTTGTCAATGTGGATCTATCTGGTAAGAATTTCCTGACTATTTACTCATCAAATAAAACACAAAAAGGAAATTTGAAAGAAAAGGCTTCAGTAGGCCTGCTGTTCATATGCAGCTGGAATAGCTCAAATTCACGGGGGTGATGTTTTCTTCTCTTTAAATGAGGCTCATTTCTGATTGTGTTAAACCGTCTCTATTAAATTGTAGAAGTGTGATGCAGTTTTCTAAAGTTTTATAAGGAACAGCATTTTTGTGAAGGCTACGAGGGTCAAAGCAGGACTGTCTGTGAAGATGCTGGCGGCCAACTTGCTCCTCACCATCTTGTTTCTTCCAGGTGAGCTTTTTTTTTTTTTTTTGCGCTTGGAGATGTCCCTCTAAAAAATCATGTAAGCGCTCGCTGTGTGCACATTGTGGTGATACACAATCTTTTGTTAATCGTGTTTCTGGTTTTTCAGGTGCTGTGACTGGTTGTGGTTTACATTCAGACCTCTTCATAACTACACCGAAGAATATGAAAGCACTGAGTGGATCTTGTTTGCAAATCCCGTGTAACTTTAGTGCTAGTCAAGAGCATGACTTTGGCCTGGGAAAAATCTTTGGGGTGTGGATCAAAAACAACCCCTATTTTGGCGAAAATCCAAAAAATGTGGTTTTCAACAGTAGTGGGACAGTCCTAACCTATCCGATGAACATCACCGGAAACCTCAGCCAGAAACAGTGCGCCACTTTATTCTCTAATATGAGCTCAATACATACAGACAAATACTTCTTCAGAATCCACAGCAGCTCATTGAGGGCAACGGATATTTGCAATGCTCTTCAAATAAGAGTTATAGGTAAGAGACGTCATCTAAAACATGTATTGACAGAGCTTTTTAAGAACTAATGTTTATCAAGTGATGATTTTCTGTACTTTAAATGACAGACACCCCTCCACCACCGAGCATGGAGATCCAAGGTGATTTAAAGGAAGCAAAATCTGTCAATATAAGCTGCTCCGCTTTCATCCCCTGTCCACAATCCCCTCCCAAACTCACCCTGAGTCTCCTCCAAGACTCCTACAATACCAAGAGAAACACGGTGAAAAACGCTGATGGAACCTTTACAGCTCAAATCTGGATGAGCGTCACTCTGACGGAGAAACATGATGGATACAGCATCACCTGTTCAGCAGCCTATCCTGTGGACAAAGGAAAAGATGTCAAGAGAGTGAATGAGACGAGGACTCTCAGTGTTTCATGTAAGGAAACAAGAGTTTGTCTCTAGATTCAATCGCATGTTTAAGCTTTTTTATTAAAACTCCTGATTTCTCTCAGATTCTCCCAAAAACATCACAGCCTCCATGAGTCCATCAAGTTTGGTGTCTGTGGGTACCACAGTGACCCTGACCTGCTCTAGCACAGCTAATCCTCCTGTCAAAAACTTCACCTGGTTCAAGATCAGCAACCCTTCACCCATGAATGTGTTTGGTGGAAAGATTTACAGCTTTAATGCAACAGAAGGAGGAGTTTATTACTGTGAGGCCACAAATGATCTTGGAAGTGGAAGATCACCGCAGATTAATCTCTATATTGAAGGTAAATATCACAGCTGACTTGTTTTCTATCTGGATGGTTCCAGTTTAGATATTTCACACCTCTCTCTCTGTGGTTTCTGATTTGGCTGATTTTTCTGAGCAGGAGGAACTGGTAGATCTATGAGCGTAGCACTTCTGGGGGGGATCATTGCGATCGTCTTGCTCATCTGCCTAGTCGTCAGCATAATTATGTAAGTTTCACCGATGGAAGGAGATCAAGTTGAGTTTGAGCGATGGTCCATATTTCTCACTGGTGGTTTATTTTTGCAGCGCCGTCATGTTGTGGAGGAAGTTGAAATCTGCTGAGTCATCTCAACAGAGTCTGGTAGGAAACTATGAGAAACTCTGCAAACCAGAAAACCAGAAATCCACATTTCTGTCCTCTCACATTCTGGCGTGTTTTTTTTTTTTTGCAGTACCAAACGGGCGAAGAGATGGCTGCTGCAGAGCCGAGAAGGCGGACAGATGAGGAAGAAGATGGCATTCACTACGGAGTGATTGACTTCTCAAAGCGAAGACCTAACCCGTCCTACAACCAGGACAGTGGACAGCAGCAGGAGACGCTGTATGCGCAGGTCAAAGGTTCAGGTTCTAGACAAGCTTCTGTTAGCCCAGATGATCTGTACGCTCAAGTCAGGAGACACTGAACCGTGGAAAAGAAAGCTGTAGGAAAGAAAAGCTTGAACAGAATTTTCTCTTATTTTATCTTTAAGTTATGTTGTGACTGAAATGTTCCTGCATCGTGGAAATAAAAATGCTGTTTCTGCTACAGTGCAGTGAAGGGAAGTTAAAAATGATGTCTCCTTTAGCCTTTTTATAGAAGTATGTGTGCCACTGTTGTAATGTTAAGAGTGTTTTCTTGTCAAATTAACACAAAAGTGGAAGTCAGGATGAAATCCATACTTTGACCTTGTGTCACGCAGCTGTGAAACACACAGATGGATCAGAATGGGTTTTAAATTAGAGACTGGAGACTTTTAGATGCTGGGACTTGTTCTACAACTGCGCCACCTAGGGGAGGACGTCTATTCCTGAGAGACCTGTAACCCCTGTGACCCATCTTGACTCCATCCAGTGTATCAAACACATGCATCTTGAAGACAAGGTTATCCTGAGTTTGTTTCCCCTTTTTTCAAACTCACTGACTAGATGACTGTAATGCTTTGGTGATTCTTGCTGCATGCATGAATAACTGGGTAAAACACACAGGCCTGTAATAGGTCACATGATGAAAAAAGTATTTGCATGAGGCTGTAAACTTAACTGAGTAGGATGCAGGCAGGTCATAAACTTGTGAAGCAGCTAAAGCTGAGTCGATCTACACTGAGGGTCTTGCTGTTCTGCTGAAACTGAGGTATTGTAATTTTATGTCAAATTTCTTTTTCAGCTGAAACTTTTTTATTATTTTTTCCTAATTTGGTGAGTTCTTCTTTTAATCGTGAAAGTATATTTGTTTTTATTCTGTTTGAATAAACTGTCTGAACTGCTTTATTGTGATTTTGTACTTGAGTGAATGTTAAAAATTGATACAGCTGAAGAAAATGAGGCCTGCTTGGATGAAGACACTGAAAAGTAATTTTCCTTTTCATAAACCCAGATGACGAGTGCTATTTCAGTCCTGTCTGTGGATATGATGCTAGCCTACATTTTGCTGAGCGCCTTCTCGCTCTCAGGTGAGCTCTGTTATTTTTAGTCACTTTTAATCATTCACAGTTCGACTTAATTTGACATCCCACAAGGAAGAAAGGCCAGTGATGATAAGATAAGGTGTACTTTTTGCGGTTTCACACTTCTATAACTAAACAAAGTAGAATACTCTGCGCCGGTGCCACTTTTTGGGCATTTTTTCAATCAGGAGTCGTGATTATGTTGTTATTGCTAGGCACAGGTCAATGAAAAGACGGTGGGAGGTATTTGGATAATCCATCTGTTGACACTCATATTAGTAAAAAGTCAAAAGTGTGCTGTTCTGTCATCAACAGTTTTCACTTTGATCGGAGAGTCCTAACGCAGACTGATAGTTTGGGAAGTTGCTAAAATACGACTGGCATCGTTTCATGCCGTGTTTATAAATGAATCTTGCAGCGACAGAGATGACTCACCAGTCTGAAAACTTCATCCAAAAAATACAGATCACAGATTCACAGATCAGACCGTCTTTGGCAGACGGTTTCGCTTCTTTCATTTCAATAATAAAGCCAGAACAAACACACATTGTGGCTTCTCCAGTTGAAATGATGCGGTATCGAGTTTTATTTTGCATGCCACACTCTGTGTTTATGTCTAATGTATGATATGTAAATCAATTGTGTTTCACAGGAACTTCAGCCAGCTGTGGTCTGAATTCAGCTCTCTTCATTACCACACCTCAGAAGATTGAAGCTCTGAGTGGATCTTGTTTACTTATCCCGTGTAACTTCAGTGCAGAAAGGAACTACGACAACAACCTAGAGACCTTTGCTATGTGGATTAAAGACAACACTAATCTTAGAAATATAGTTTTTAACAGTGATGGGACAGTCAACCGATATAACATGAATCTAACCGGAAATATGAAGGAGAGAAATTGCACCACTCAGTTTCTCAACTTCGAAACAGAATATCCAAAAAAATATCATTTCAGAATCCAGAACAGGGAGTTTAGGGCGACAGCTGTGTGTGATCCTGTTGTGATAACAGTTAAAGGTAGGAGGGATTTCATTTTCATTAAACGGGTTTAAACTTTTACTGTGTTATGATTTGGTTAAAAAAAAACATCTTTATTTCGTTTGATCCCACAGATTCTCCTCCCAGTCCTGTGATCAATGTTTTAGGGACGTTAAAGGAGAAAGAGGATCTCACTGTAACCTGCTCAGCTTTTACTCCCTGTCCAAACTCCCCTCCTAAACTCATCTGGAATCTCCTGAAAGACTCTCATAACAACTTGGAGGGAAACACAGATGGGACCTATACAGCTCAAATCCAAGAGAACATCACTCTGACGGACAAACATGACGGATACAACATCACCTGTTCAGCCACATATCCTTTGAATGGAGGAAAAGATAATAAGACAGCAGAGGAGACGAGGACCCTCAGTGTTTTGTGTGAGATGACCAGAGTTGTTCTTGCTTCCAGTCAGAATATAATGAGCTGTTTTGAATTAATTTGCTGTATCTTATATTATTTCCCAGATTCTCCCAAAAACACCACAGCGTCCATGAGTCCACTAGGTTTGGTGTCTGCAGACGCCACGGTCAACCTGACCTGCTCCAGCAGAGCCAAACCTCCTGTCAGAAACTTCACCTGGTTCAAGATCAGCACAGGTGGACCTTTAAAAGTATCTGAAGGAGACTTTTACAGCTTTAACGTTGCAGAAGGAGGAGTTTATTACTGTGAGGCCACAAATGATCTTGGTAATGAAGCTTCATCAAAGGTGAAGGTGACTATGAAGGACGAAGGTAATCTCCATTATGACTTCTACAAACTAATGCAGCTTTTTTCAGTTTTGATTTGCAGTTCTGTTGCTCTATGTTCATCCTTAAAGGGATATTCTGGTGTAAAATTAAGTTTGGGTCAAACACACCGTAACAGCTAGTTAGACACCCCGTCGAGAGATGAATGTTGCCGACTGCTTGCTTCTCTAGTTAAACCAACTTTAGTAACGACCGCACGATAGCAATACAGAGAGCCACACACCCAACCAAAAAGCCTCTCTATAACCTCAAATAATGCTCAATGTTCTTCCTTGAGCTGCGTCACCCCGCAGCAGTCTGTAATGGACTGAACAGTTTTCACTTTGATCGGAGAGTCCTAACGCAGACTGATAGTTTGGGAAGTTGCTTAAATACGACAGGCATCGTTTCATGCCGTGTTTATAAATGAATCTTGCAGCGACAGAGATGACTCACCAGTCTGAAAACGTCATCCTAAAAATACAGATCACAGATTCACAGATCAGACCGTATATCTGTGGCAAACAGTTTCAGTTCTTTCATTTCAATAATAAAGCCAGAACAAACACACATTGTGGCTTCTCTATTTGAGATGATGCGGTATCGAGTTTTATTTTGCATGCCACACTCTGTGTTTATGTCTAATGTATGATATGTAAATCAATTGTGTTTCACAGGAACTTCAGCCAGCTGTGGTCTGAATTCAGCTCTCTTCATTTCCACACCTCAGAAGATTGAAGCTCTGAGTGGATCTTGTTTACTTATCCCGTGTAACTTCAGTGCAAAGAGGGACTACGACAACAACCTAGAGACCTTTGCTATATGGATTAAAGACAACACTAATCTTAGAAATATAGTTTTTAACAGTGATGGGACAGTCAAACGATATAACATGAATCTAACCGGAAATATGAAGGAGAGAAATTGCACCACTCAGTTTCTCAACTTCGAAACAGAATATCCGAAAAAATATTATTTCAGAATCCAGAACAGGGAGTTTAGGGCGACAGCTGTGTGTGATCCTGTTGTGATAACAGTTAAAGGTAGGAGGGATTTCATTTTCATTAAAAGGTTTAAACTTTTACTGTGTTATGATTTGGTTAAAAAAAAACATCTTTATTTCATTTGATCCCAGATTCTCCTCCCAGTCCTGTGATCAATGTTTTAGGGAATTTAAAGGAGAAAGAGTCTCTCACTGTAACCTGCTCAGCTTTTACTCCCTGTCCAAACTCCCCCCCTAAACTCATCTGGAATCTCCTGAAAGACTCTAACAACAACTTGGAGGGAAACACAGATGGGACCTTTACAGCTCAAATCCAAGAGATCATCACTCTGACGGACAAACATGACGGATACAACATCACCTGTTCAGCCACATATCCTTTGAATGGAGGAAAAGATAATAAGACAGCAGAGGAGACGAGGACCCTCAGTGTTTTGTGTGAGATGACCAGAGATTGTTCTTGTTTCCAGTCAGAATATAATGAGCTGTTTTGAATTAATTTGCTGTATCTTATATTGTTTCCCAGATTCTCCCAAAAACACCACAGCATCCATGAGTCCACTAGGTTTGGTGTCTGCAGACGCCACGGTCAACCTGACCTGCTCCAGCAGAGCCAAACCTCCTGTCAGAAACTTCACCTGGTTCAAGATCAGCACAGGTGGACCTTTAAAAGTATTTGAAGGAGACTTTTACAGCTTTAACGTCGCAGAAGGAGGAGTTTATTACTGTGAGGCCACAAATGATGTTGGCAATGAAGCTTCATCAAAGGTGAAGGTGACTATGAGAGACAGAGGTAATCACCGTTATTACTTCTACAAACTAATGCAGCTTTTTTCAGTTTTGATTTGCAGTTCTGTTGCTCTATGTTCATCCTTAAAGGGATATTCTGGTGCAAAATTAAGTTAGAGTCAAACACACCGTAACACCGAGTTAGACACCCCGTCGCAAGATGAATGTTGCCGACTGCTTGCTTCTTTAGTTATACCAACTTTAGTTACAACCGTACGATAGCAATACAGAGAGCCACACACCCAACCAAAAAGCCTCTCTATAGCCTCAAATAATGCTCAATGTTCTTCCTTGAGCTGTGTCACCCCGCAGCAGTCTGTAATGGACTAACCCGGAGGTCTGCGTACAAACAAGCACCTGCTGGAAGAGAGTAGGTGAGTTGTGTTAAGTCTCTTTGCTAAAGAAATCAGGCAAAGTTAAAAAGATGTTTGGTGGCTAGTACTATGACCGGGACACTGTATGTACTGTTGATGAAGTTAGATGCTGTTCTGAGCATTATTTGTCTCTCAGGGAGGTGTCTAATTCAGCCAACTCCTGGCTGGCTCGCCACTTGTATGGTAGATTCCATAGATGCAAAAGGTGCAAAAATGAACCACCAGACGACAGATCCAGTTGGCAGCCTCTCGCAGGATTTGTCACAGTTAAAGCATCAACCACAATGTCATGACAATTCAGACGGACAACAGAAGCTGAATAATCCCCCAACAATTCTCCCTAGAACTCTTTCTTATAAGAGCTCCAATGACGTCAGTAGTAGTTATCTTCCCGTAAGTGTATTTTAAATTGGTGTCTGACAGCCAACAACGTGAATTCTATAAACATGTTTTGCTCGCTGGCCGGCTCTGCCAAATTTCCCGTCGAAATCTGGCAGAGTCATGTGTGACAAGTTCAGGTCGACATGATCTCTCCTGCATCCTGTATTGCAACACTTTTTGCTCCAACATGTTACGATGTGTTTGACTCTAACTTAATTTTACGCCGGAATATCCCTTTAACATCAGCAGTGTTGCAGGCCTTATTTACCTTTTACTGTTTTTCTCCATCAGGTTTTGCTTCTACCTCATTTAAATGGGGGGCAATCCTCGGAGGTATATTCGGGATCATTGTTATCATCTGTCTGGTCATCCTTGTTTGGTAAGTATCACAAAGCTCATGACTCTGTTTTTGGCTCTGTGAGCGATCATTTTATCTTATGTGAAAGTGACTAACTTAACAATCTCTCATGGCTCACAGGCGTCTCAAATCTGAAGGTCAGACTCCACCGGAGCCTCAGGTAGGGAAAAACGACAGCTTGACAGGACTGTGTTTGACATTTGTTCTCATCAGCCTTCTTTTTACTACCATCTCATTTCATCCACTTACAATCATCAGCCATAACATTTAAACCAGTGGTTCTCAACTGGTGGGTCCCGACCCAAAAGTGGGCCGCGGACACCTTCTGGATGGGTCACAAACAGCTGGTCAAAAAAGTAAATATTTGATGCGATATTTATTAGATATTTGATTTTTTTCAGTAGTTGTCCTCATGTTGTCCCCTTCATGTGCTTTGAAATGCACTTTACTCAATAAAACAAGTGGATTTATGTTAAAGATTAGAGTCTTTAAAGTTTGGTTTTAGCAAAAATACATTTTCTTGGTTTAAATTCTATAAAAGTGGGTCACGACTTAAGGACCATTGGAAAATGTGGGTCCCAGAGTGAGACCAGTTGAGAACCACTGATTTAGACCACCTGTCTAGAGATGTTCAGGTCCTTCTCCCCTCAGACTAGCCCCAAGGATCAACACTGGCAGCTCTGTCAAAGTTGCTCAGATCCTACCTCCAGAGATAACAGATATCTGCTTCGCCTGTCAGTGGTCATATGTGATCACTGATTGGTTTGAATTAAGTCTTAAGTGATATATATTCACCTCTGAATTCTTCTTATGTGATTTTATTCAGGTCCAAACAGGTGCAAGGGTGTCCACTGAAGAACCTGTGATAAAAACAGACCCAGAAGAAAGTATTCATTACTCAGAGATAAATTTCTACAAAATGAGACAAGGACCATCTTCTGAAAGAGGACCTCAGGAGAACACAGTGTACGCAGAGGTCAGAGCGTCTCACACACAAAACCAAGAACAGACTGCTGACAGCTCAACAGACCTCTATGCTCAAGTCAGGAAACCCAAAACCGGACAACTGACATGAAGGGAACATTTTGAGAAGTTACCAGAGACATAAATATATCATAACAGAGGAACTTCCTCTTGCTTTACCATAGATAAAATAAGGAACTCATGGCCACTTTCTTACAATGCATGAGTTCTCATATTCTTTCATTGCCAGATCATTTAAAAACCAAATTTCAGGGGGGGTAATTCAGTTTTTGGTAGAGACTAAAGTAAATCCACAGATCCCCCTGAAAGCCTCTAGGAGCTGCTGGTTCTCTCACTGCATTTTCAGTCTTGTCCTTGTGCAGCTTTTTGTCATCACGGCCTGCGTCTGTGGAGAAGACCTGACAGCAAACTAAATACCAACCTTTTAGTCTGTAGTCATACTGCTTTTTATCTAATTCTTATATTGTCTTGACTTCTTAGAGTTTTATAATGCTATCTAGTATTTTTTATGGTATTTTATTCATTTTTATGTTGTATTTATTATACTTTCTTCTAAATCTGCTATCTTGAATTTAAACATTTTAATCAATCATATCATAAACTCTTCAAGACTGAAGAGTTTTGATTTATTTGAATGATTGTTTTTGTATTTAAAGCCATTTTGTTGAATGAAAAGTGCAATGCAAATAAAGTCTGATTGATCAACTGATTGATTGATTGATTTAACGTGTTTATCGTGCCATGATCAAACCTGGATCAACTTCTGAGATGTTTGTTTATAAAAACCACAAGTCTACACTTCAGTGCTGATGCTCCTGTGTGCTTGTCTGGTGAATAAGTGATTGAAGTCTGGTTTCCTTCTTATCTGAAGCGTTCAAATCATCACATGAAGATAGTGGTGGTAGAACTGGGACAGCCTGGTTTGATATGAGTCTGATGTTGTGTAACTGCAACACTGTGGTGCATTCAGCTCTTAAGTATTTGCATACCTGGTCATGTCGTCAGGTACTTGCTGTGTGATAATGCAAAATTGTTTCCTTGTCTTTCTAGCAAAGTAATTTTCATAATTCGATGGCGCTGTTTATGCCACAGTGAAGTTCCCCTCTGTGTTTCAGTGTCAGTAAAAAATCAGATAACTTTCTGATTCAACTAAAGCTTGGTGCGACTCATCTGTTACACAGTGGGCTGGGTTTCATTTTGATCTGAGCCCTTTACTGGTTTCACCTCCCTCTCTCTCTGCTCGTCTGAACTGTTAAAAAAAACCTTTCACTTCCCCAAAAAATAGACCAAAGAATTAATTGAAAGGAAGGATATAACAAAGGTGACTTCCTCATTTGTGGGGTACAAGCACACAGGCTGGAGACTTTGTGTAATTCAGTAGCACCACAGGAAGATAACCGGTCAGTCTTGGTTCTGCTTTAGTTTACTTACAGGCTGATTTAAAAGTATTTTTTTTCTTGGATCAAGCGTCCTGCGGCTTGTTTGGTAAGTTCAACAGTTTATGAGGAATACCAGAAAAAAACACAACTAGAGACAGCCTGTTTTTTAAATCCAGGTGATGAGTCTGATTGCAGTTTGGTCGGTTAAAGTGGCGACAGCCAACATGTTGATGCTTCTTCTCTTTATGTCAGGTGAGCTGTTCTTTCAGTCACTTCACTCTGAAGCTTTTAATTTATTTTATTGTGCTGTGCTTTTATTTTGAAACACTTAATGTCACTCATGAGTGTGGTTTGCAGGTGTTTTGACTGACTGTCCTTCACGTACACACCTCTTCATGAACTCACCGCAGAGGATGGAAGGACTGGTTGGATCTTGTTTGCAAATCCCATGTGACTTTACAACAAGTGGAACTGCTGAGTTTGACAACAAAAAAGAAGTGTTTGGTTTGTGGTTCAAAGAAAAACGAGAGACCACTAGACCAAGAAATGCTGTTTTTAGCAGTAAAAACACAGTTCAGGAATATCCGATTAGTATAATTGGAGACCTGCCAGAGAAAAACTGCACCACTCTGTTCTCCAGATTAACCGATTTAACGGCATTATTTCCTGGAGTGTACTACTTAAGAATCGAGAACTTGCCGTACAGGGCAACAGCCATATGTGATCCTCTTCATATAACAGTAACAGGTAAGATAACTTTGTTTTCTTTCACTCAGGCTCTAATATTATCACTGTGAAGAAAAACAGTTAAAGCTTTGGTCTGAGCAGCATCTCATTATATTTAACAGTTTGGTCTAAATGCTTGTTATTCACTGATTCTCATATATTCATACAACAAATACTGAACAGTACAACCTTAACAGCAGATGAGCAAAGAGGTGTTGTGTTGTGTTGTGTTGTGTCAGCTTTTGGGTTCCTCAAATTTGTGTGAAATCTGTTCAAAAAAATCTTGATCCACAGACTCTCCTCCGAGTCCCACAATAAACATCCCAGGCAATCTGATGGAGGCGGAGTCTGTCACTGTAACCTGCTCAGCTCTTACACCATGTCCGCAACTCCCTCCTAAACTCACCTGGAATCTCCTGAATAACTCTCGCAACAACATGGTGAAAAACAATGATGGCACCTTTACAACTCAAATCCAGGAGATCATCACTTTGACAGACAATCACGATGGATTCAACATCACCTGTTCAGTCGCATATCCTGTAAATGGAGGAACAGATTTCAAGACAGCAGAGGAGACGAGGACCCTCAGTGTTTTTTGTGAGACAACCAGAGTTCAATATTGATTTCTGATCATTTATAATCGTTCACCTTTTTATTTAATCTCAGTTTTTCTCTCTTTTTTCTCAGATTCTCCTAAAAACACCTCCCTGTCCATCAGCCCATCATCTTCTGTGTCAGCAGAAACCACCGTTAACCTGACCTGCTTCAGCAGAGCCAAACCTCCTGTCAGAAACTTCACCTGGTTCAAGATCAGCACAGACGGACCTTTAAAAGTATTTGAAGGAGACTTTTACAGCTTTAACGTCACAGAAGGAGGAGTTTATTACTGTGTGGCAACAAATGATGTTGGCAATGGAACATCAGCAACAATCAAACTGACTGTAAATGAAGGTGATCACTGGTTACTTCCCCAAATGTCACACACTTTTCTATTTCCTGTTCAGCTGCTTTACTGTTGCATGTGTTTTGTGTGTCTGTTTATTGAGGCATGCTGAAGAGCACTTCTCTGTCTTTATATCAGTCATATTGATCATGCCTTCATTACTCTGACTCTTCTGTTTTATTCTGGCTGTTTTTTTCTACTAGAATTCTCTGGTATCCCTCTGAAATTGGAGGCAATCCTCGGAGGTATCCTTGGCATCCTTGTGGTCCTCTGTCTAGTTGTCTGTTGTTGGTAAGTATCACAAAGTGTATTACTTGTTAAATCCTGAAATCCTGAAAAAATTATTATTAATCAGATTCTGTTTTATGGGTCAAAGGTGTTTGATATCCAAACGGCGGACTTCACAACAGACTCAGGTAACAAAATGTAAAACTTGCAGTGAATTAATATGGAAGACGATAACAGCCGAGGCTTTTGAAAACATTGACAGCTCGCTCAACTCTGCACATGTGTATTATACTTAAAGGGATATTCCGGTGTAAAATTATTTAGGGTCAAACATACTGTAACACAGAGTTGGACACCCCCTCGAGAGATGAATGTTGCCGACTGCTTTCTTCTCTAGTTATACCAACTTTAGTAATGACCTCACGATAGCAATACACAGCGGTCTGAGGATCCATAAACAAACCTCAACCAAAACGCCACTCTATAGCCACAAATAATGCTCAGAACAGCACCTAACTTCATCAACAGGACATATAGGGTCCCAGCCACAGTACTAGCCACCAAACATCTTTTTAACTTTGCCTGATTTCTTTGGCAAAGAGACTAAACACAACTCACCTACTCTCTTCCAGCAGCCGCTTGTTTGTAGCAAGACCTCGGGCCAGTCCATTGACCACAGTGGGGGGACACAGCTCAAGGAAGAACATTTATGATCATTACTTTATCATTTCCCTGAAGTAATAATCATCATATTAATCATTTTGCACTGCAGACACAGTAGTTCGTCTGCCTTAGCATCTCAGTCTGATTGCATTTCCATAAAGACATGATCATAAATGTTCTTCCTTGAGCTGCCCCAGAGGTCTCCCTACTAACAAGCGGCTGCTGGAAGAGAGTAGGTGAGTTGTGTTTAGTCTCTTTGCTGAAGAAATCAGGCAAAGCTAAAAAGATGTTTGGTGGCTCGTGCTGTGGCACAGACCCTATATGTACTGTTGATGAAGTTAGGTGCTGTTCTGAACATTATTTGTGGCTATAGAGTGGCGTTTTGGTTGAGGTTTGTTTATGGCTCCTCAGACCGCTGTGTATTGCTATCGTGCGGTCGTTACTAAAGTTTGTATAACTAGAGAAGCAAGCGGTCGGCAACATCCATCTCTCGACGGGGTGTCTAACTTGGTGTTCTGGTGTGTCTAACCCTAAATTGATTCTATGCCGGAATATCCCTTTAAACCCTTTTTTCACATTCTCCTGATAAGACATTCACGATAAATAATACATTTGACTTTCAAAATTGAGCAAGACAAGATATTTTTATCAAAATAAGCTTTGAAAACTTTAGTCTGAAATCAATTGTTCATTGTGCCTCCAGTTCAGGGTTTACTTTAATTCTCTTCTTCTCTGATTTATTACTTCATTCAGAGTCAAACAGTTGAACAGTTTTCTGTCAAAACTCATACACATTATGGAGAGAATATAATCCTCGAGCAGACACCAAAACCCTCTTCTGACTCAGCGGAGGACACCGTGTATTCAGAGGTCAAAGCGCGTAACACAACAAACAACCAAACACAGGCGGCTGACGGCGTGGAGGATCTCTATATGAATGTAAGGAACACAGTTGATGCAGTTGTAGAGACGACACACGACACTTAAGGAACAGTAAATCTGGAGTCAGTTCTTTGCTGTAACAAAGTCTTCTATATTAAGGGCTGTCAAAATATTAGATTTTTCGCCTCAGCATTAGAGAGACCAAAAATATCACAATATGATATTATAGCTTTTACTTTTTCAAGAGAAAGCTACTTCCTGTAAGTGAGTCTAACATGTTTTAACTAGTTTAATTGATAAGAGGCACAGGCTCCAATAATCATGACTTATCAAAAGTGCTGAATCATGTTTTAGAGCTGCTTTAAGCTAGTTGCTGCTCCATCATCATCCCTACGAGGATTCTTACACATTTAATCACACTGACCCATCACTGCTCACAATCACTGACTGTTATAAGAACAGTCCCTGGGATGAGACGCTCTAATTTTATTCAATTAAAGCTACTATAAGGAGTTTTTTATGTTCATGAAACAGACTGAAATTCATATTGATCCCTTTTCATGATATTCTAAAGCAAACAAGAGCATCAAGAACAAGATTTGAAACGTGTTTATCATCATTTTTAATGTCTGAAAATGGTTGAGGAGGTAGGTGTCAGCCAAGCAGCTGAGGAAACAGTCCGGTTTTTACATTTTCCTGATAAGACATTCACGATAAATAATATATTTGACTGTCAAAAGTGAGCAAGACAAGATATTTTGTCAAAATAAGCTTTGAATAACTTTAGTCTGAAATTAGTTATTCATTGTGCCTCCAGCTTAGGGTTCACTTTAATACTCTTCTTCTGTGATTTATTACTTCATTCAGAGTCAAGCAGGCGAACACGCGTCTGTCAAAACTCCTGCAGAAAAAACAAAGGGAGAAGAGAAAGAAGGAGAAGGAGAAGACCCCATCCATTATGGAGAGATAGTATTCCTCGAGCAGAGACCGAAACCCTCTTCTGACTCAGCGCAGGACGCAGGACACCAGCAGGACACATTGTATTCAGAGGTCAAAGTGCGTAACACAACAAACAACCAAACACAGGCGGCTGACGGCGTGGAGGATCTCTATATGAATGTAAGGAACACAGTTGATGCAGTTGTAGAGGCGACACACGACACTTAAGAGACAGTAAATTTGGAGACGTTCTCCAGAACAGGATATGAGTAAGGGACTGTAGGATTTAATGAAGGAGTAATTCACCTGACTTTAACGACAAAGATGCATGAATAAAAGTTTGTTGATTAACAAGCCAAGTACATTTCAGAGTTACATTTTCACCCTGGAACTTTGGTTTATGTTAGCCTGCAGATTATTTGTTATTTGCATTAATTGTCATATACACCACATACGGTCATGCTTGTTGAGCAGTCATGCTTCTCGTCATAATGTGTGTTATTATATCTCTTATTAACTTCATTTTTATCCATCAGTTTATAAAAAATGATGAGCTAAACTTGGCATGAAAAGTGAGCAAAGGTGTTTGGTAGATCATTTCTTTGCTGTAACAAAGCTTCTTTGCAAAACAAATCTGATACTGTTGAAAAGCCTGTTTATTCCTCTTTCAGATGGTGTTGAATTTTATCAGTTTGAATATTTCTGAAGCGATGGTTACTTCCTCTCTCTGCTGCCTGAGTACACTCCTCCCCATTTCTCTTCAGGAATTGTTGCCTTAAGCTTCTCTTTCCAAAATTATATGTAACTTTGGGAACACTTTACTTGACGCCTGAAATAATCATAACGCATTATAAAGCATTTTATCATAACTTTAAGGTCAGGTGTTATAATGTGTTACAACTGTTAACATCTCACTTGCAATGCCCACATAGATAATGCAATGCAACTGTTGTTAACAGTTATAACACATTATGATACCTGGCCTTGTAAGTCATGATAAAATGATTTATAATGTGTTATAATTATTGCTATAAAACATTATGATCATTTATGAGTGTTTGTAATGATAGTTATACAGTGCTATAACATGATTATAACACATTATATGTATAGAGATAGGCGTCAAGTAAAGTGTTACTGTAACTTTTGTCTTTCTGTACAGCATGACGGTAGAGCAAATTCGCAAATACAACTATTCTAAAATTTAAGTAAAGTAGAACCTGATTGGTTCCTTGTGTTTAACTCAACCACTGAGGGTGTGAGGCTGTTTTTAAGCTCTGTTGTATCTGAGTGTCCAGAGGTCGGTAATGTGAAGTACTGGTGAAGTGAGTGGGTGTAGCTTCGTGTTATGCGATGGCTTTGGCCTTTAACTGAGTAAAAATCGGAGGTGGAAGGCCGTTAATCTTTGAGGCAGTGATGGTTGTTTTAGCGAGGGACTTCCAGTTTTTTGATTGTGAGCATGTTGTAGAAACATGAGTGGCAGTAAATTAGGACAGGCTGAACAATGCTTTCAGAGAGTAGGAGGAAGAGATTTAAAGTGACATTTAGACGTTTTAATCTCCAGTTTCTTTTCCCCTGAATTTCCCGTGAGTGCTGATCGAAACTGAATTGATCATACATTGTTAGTCCACGGTATTTAAAATGATCCACTTCCTAAAACCCTGAAGTGCGGTGTCGTCTGCATATTAGTGGACTGTGATTGTGGGTGAGGGACTGGTGCAGTCATTTGTGGGCTCAGCACACTGTCCTGTGGTGCTTAGTGATGGGCATGGCAGTTCTGTTAGATGTACTGAATCACTAGAATCAGTTCACTAAAAAGATTCGTTCAAAAGATTCGTTCACCAAATCACCAAATCACTGAATGCTTGGTGGGAGAGGCCTGCGACCCCGACCTCCTGAACTGATACACAGCTGAATGTTTCAAGATTCAGTTTAATTCATAGTTACTGGGACCGGGAGACCGGGTTGCTTTGGCAAAAGTCATGATGTTTTAAGTGTACTGTCCGATGGTGTGCTATTTATCAGGTCTGTTCAGTAAATTGGGGTCAGTGAGTGACTCACTCACTGAACATTTAGAAGAATTCACACTGAACATGCACCGTTCCCTCACAAACTGCTGCAATGATAGGATGCTGCGGGTTTAATGCACTATTTGTTACATGCTGTGTCCTATTGTAGGCAAGTTGTTGAGGCGGCAATTTAGCAGTAAAAAAAAAAGGTCGTTTTGTCCGACAAAAATTGAGTGTAATTCTGTGCGTGATTCGTTCATCATGTGATTCAGGTGTAGGTGCATGTGGTTCCCCGTTTGCCAGCTGCTGGCCTGGCAATGCTGAGTCTCACTTCAGCTCAACTGAAGTGAGAAAAGAATGAATCCCTCGAGGAAGTGATTTGGTTCAGTACGTTCACTTAAAAGATTCTGTTCTTTTGAACAAATCGTTTGCGAACAGCACAACACTAGTAGTACTCCAGTGTAGGTAGTGAGTGAGTGGAGCTGTGACTGACGTGCCAGCCTGTACAGTTAGTTAGAAGTAGAACATGATGTGTATCAACCAGGAGGGGAGTATAAGATAAAATATAAGTCAGATAGAACCTTATATTCATCAAATGTTGTCGCCATTATGTTTTTTCAGCTGATATAAAACAGTTCAGTTAATTTCTATTTGTGTAGCACCACATAATAACCAAATTTATCTCCTGACTCTGCAAAAAGAGGTCAAGATTATTATCCTTTTAAAGTATCCATCTAAATAATCTATTCAGAACTCCTTACTCAGCTTCACAAAACATCAGCTTTGTAGCAGACCATGTTTCAGTCTGCCTTTCAGTCATTTCTGATTACTTCATCGTGTCTCATATTTGTTGAAACACTGTTACCGTCACTGTTGCCCATGCTGTGTGAGTGGGAATTTGCATGTCATATTGTGCAATTCAAAGTTGCTGCATAAGTTCTTGGGTCACATGAACAGAGTGTCATTACATTTCAGTTTGTTTTTCACTTGATGTGTATTAGTTTTCACTGCTTTTCTGTTATTTTTGTGTTTTCAGCTTTAAAAAAAAAACATTAGACAAAGTTTCTGCTTTTATTTGTTTGTTTTATTCATTGCACTGTAATAAAAACCTTGGCTCCTAAAAATACTTATAATCTCAGTTGCATTAATTGGTCCAAAATTTTCACATATTGTGTGTAAACATCACCTGAAATTAAGGAGTTGAATCACAAACATTACAAAACTGGAAAACTGAATTATGCATAGTGATCCTTGGGTTGTTAAAGGACTCCTGGTTTATATATCCGTAAATACAGAGGTCAGTTTAAAGGGCATTTCACAAGACTCTGACAACAGCATAGTAAAAGAGTCATTTAAAATTGTTAAAACTTCATCAACTCTTGTTTAGAATTAGTAAAAAATCTTTGGATATTAGCTTGTAAACATTGGCCACATTTGGAAAAGTTAAGCTTAATGTCTCATTCAGCACAGCAGGGCCGTGGTGATTGTGCTTTAAATACGGCGCCAGGTTCTGTGAGAACAGAGGTAGAGACACGTACTTCTCTTTTTAACTAGTTTGACCACTTCACAGAGATCTAACCAGAATGATGCAAGGCAAACCTCCTACAGCCCGTACCAGTCTCTCAGTGTTGCAGCATTTGTGTCAAGTAGTGTCCAAAATGAGGGTATGCAGTGTTCAATCTCTTCACTTAAATCACCGACTGTGTTTACATGCACTGAGAGAAAATCGTCTCTGAATTCTTAACAAATAAAAAAAAAAATCCCATTATTTTAACAAAACCAAAAGTGTATTTTAAGTTCTCTGTGAATGTGAACCAGTGACACAGATTGCACCCTTACGATCTAAATCTTGAGTCATCAACTACCTCCCTGTCTCTGGATGGACTTTCTTTCAGTAGTTTGTTTTAATTGTGCACTCTGTCCTCAAGCGCCTTCAGCTCAGACGCCACCTGAGCCGGTAGATCTGCTCCAACTTGCTGAGTGAAGTACGCTCTCAACTCTTTTGTCTCCTTCTGCCAGAAAGGCACAGGCACGTCAAACAGAGCACCCATATCCACCTTGCTGCCCAAACCTTTAGTGTCGATGGCGCCATCTACTGGCAGCCAACCGATAATGCTCTTTTTGGCTGCTTCATCCTCCCTCTCAGTGTTGCAGCGCTTGAAGATCCACTCGAGGACTCTGGCGTTCTCACCGAAGCCGGGCCACAGGAAGGCTCCGGTTTCCGGGTCCTTTCTGAACCAGTTCACGTGGAAGATCTTGGGGAGTTGAGTGGGGGCTTTTCGGGTCTCCATGCTCAGCCAGTGAGCGAGGTAGTCGCCGAAGTTGTAACCGAAGAATGGTCGCATGGCGAAAGGATCGTGCATGATCACCTTTCCTGGATTAACAAACAAATACTTCCTTTGTTGGAGCTGAAATATGAGAATTTAGCAAAGTGTGTACAAGATTTAAACCATAGATGAGAGGTGGTACCTTTATGCTCAGCAGCTGCCGTCGCCTCAGACCTCATGGCTGCTCCAACAAAGACCCCGTGCTGCCAGTTGAAAGACTCGTAGACCAGAGGGACCCCTGTCAACATCAGTGTTTTATCATTTCAGGGATATCAAATACAGACTCAATGTGGAAATACCTCAATAAGTTATAAAATGACACAAAACAAAAACTGAAGACACTTAGGAAAAGCTTCACTGTTACAGAAGATAGACCCAGCACCAACCTTCAGGCCTCCTGCCGCCAAAAATGATAGCATCAATGGGAACGCCCTCCTCGCTCTCCCATTGAGGGTCAATGATGGGACACTGAGCAGCTGGAGCGCAGAAGCGGGAATTGGGGTGGGCACACGCAGTAGAGCTTCCTTTAACAGAGAGGAAATGGGAGTTTATTTGACTTTGAGAGCTTTGTAAACATCCACTTATGAAAACCACTGCTCAAACATAGTTTGAACCCTCAGATCAGCCCGTTAATAAACACGGTTTTAGGAAATTCAGAGGCGGTTTAGTGAACACAGCACTTATTCCTCATTCTAGTTTGATTCATTTATACCAGTAAAATCACTGAATGTTCAAAGTTACTCAAGAGAAAAGAGTTAAAAAGCCTGGACTGTTCAGCCTGGAGTTACCGTGTTTCCAGGTTTTGCCATGCCAGTCTGTGACTGTGATCCCTGCTGCAGGGGGATCGAGACCCTCCCACCACACTCCTCCGTCACTGGTCTCCCCAACGTTTGTGAACACAGTGTTTTTCGCAATGGTAGCCATGGCGTAAGGGTTTGTCTTGTCTGAGGTGCCAGGAGCCACACCGAAGAAGCCGTTCTCAGGGTTTATGGCTCTCAGTTTACCTGCGGATATAAAGGAGTCAAACAAGACAGATTAGGATTTGGATTAGGATCTATAGAGGCACAGAGCTATTTCATAAGTGGAAACCATCCTAATCTTTCTTACCTTGACTGTCAAACTTCATCCATGCAATGTCATCACCCACGCACTCCACCTTCCAGCCTGGCAGAGATGGTTTCATCATAGCCAGGTTAGTCTTACCGCAGGCACTGGGGAAGGCTGCTGCTACATACCGCTTCACTCCCTGAGGGTTTGTAATACCCAAGATCTACGAAAAGGAGAGGGTGGAGAACAGCAGTGATTAAAATCCTCACTACGCTTTTAGTCAAACTTCCACTTACAAAGTCTGGAGTTACTTTTCCTGAGTACTGACCGTCATCATCCGAGACAGCAAAGTTTTACACTTACCAGCATGTGCTCAGCCAGCCAGCCCTCATCCTTCGCAATGCGGGAGGCAATACGGAGGGCAAAGCACTTTTTCCCCAGAAGGGAGTTCCCTCCATAACCACTGCCAAAGGACATGATCTTCCTCAAGTCAGGCAGGTGAGAAATCAGCACCTGCTCTGGGTTACAGGGCCACGAGTTCACCAGTGGAGCTAAAAAAGAAATAGACAATATAGGTATTAGAGGGATGATACCTGGTAAATGAGTTGGTTGTGTGGTAAAAGGTTTTAAGGGATATCCTGGCATAAAATTAATTTAGGGTCAAACACATTGAACACTGAGAAAGACAACCCCTCGAGAGATGAATGTTGCCGACCACTTGTTTCTCTAGGTTTACCAACCCTTAGTAACAACCACAGGATAGCAATACACAGGGGTCTGAGGAGCCTTAAACAAACCTCAACCAAAACGCCATAACTCACCTACTCTCTTCCAGCAGCCGCTTGTTTGTAGCGAGACCTCGGGCCAGTCCATTACAAACAACAGCGGGGTTACGCAGCTCAAGGAAGAACATTTATGATCATTTCTTTATCATTTCCTTGAAGTAATAATCACCATTTTAATCATTTTGCACTGCAGACGCAGTGGTTCTTCTGCCTTAGCATCTCAGTCTGGTGGAATTTTCATACAGAAATGGTCATAAATGTTCTTCCTTGAGCTGTGTCACCCCGCAGCAGTCCGTAATGGACTGGCTCGAGGTCTCCCCACAAACAAGTGACTGCTGGAAGAGAGTAGGTTAGTTGTGTTTAGACTCTTTGCTAAAGAAATCAGGCAAAGCTAAAAAGATGTTTGGTAGCTAGTGCTGTGGCTGGGACCCTATATGTACTGTTGATGAAGTTAGGTGCTGTTCTGAGCATTATTTGTGGCTATAGAGTGGCGTTTTGGGTGACGTTTGTTTAAGGCTCCTCACACCCCTGTGTATTGTTACTGTGTGTTTGACCCTAAAGTATTTTACGCCAGAATATCCCTTGAAGACTTGTTTGGCCAGACATGAGAGAAGAGTTAAAGGAGCTAAAGGAGTTAAAGATGACTTGTTTGAGGCTTCAGTACCCTTAAGTGGCAAAGGTCGACCCAAAGAGTGCTGACAGCGGACGAAATCAGTTCCTTCAGCCAGTTTATTCAGAACAGGAGTTCCCATCCGTGTCATAATTCCCATACTGGCAACGACATACGGCGAGTCGGTCACCTTGAAGGAGAAGAAAATATTTGTTTAATAACCGTCAACCGCAGATGACAATACTGAGCAATAAAGAACTATAATAAATGACAGCAATCTACTGCAATAAAGCACAGCACTGCAAATAACTACATGGCAGGTTTACGGTTTTAATGAACTTTTTAATTTGAAGTATTGAATACTGAGAGGAGCACAGCGATTACCTGGACTCCATATTTAGTCAGACTTGAGCCCACAGGACCCATACTGAAAGGAATCACATACATGGTGCGACCTGCAAAACACAAAATGACGTGGTCTTTATATTAGAGTCAGGTATTCACAGAAATACAGGGTAGATTTCATGTCACTGAAGGAGACCGTCTTTGATTTATTATGAGTGCAAGTCTGTATGACTCATGAGCAGAGCTTGTTATGAAAAACAGATCTATCAAACTCAATCCTCGACCCCAAAGGACCCAGTATTTTCTCACACAGACCACTTAAGTACATCCACTAATGACACGATCCAACATGTGAATGGTGGGAGTAGATGTTAGGTGTTTCATGTAGAAATACAAAGACTGGGTTTAGCTTTGGAAAGGTCACCCGGATTGTCTACTCATCCTGCACCCATCATTTCTGATATACGCATAGAGCGGCTGCTTTGTCTCCTATAAATGATGACGCAGGTCGACGGCTGCAGCTGCTAACAGGCGAGGATGCTGACCTGCAGGAAGGCTGACTCGACAGTTGACACGCACCCATGAACTTTTAAGGAAACCAGTCATTGACTTCTTCTGTTGCTGATACCAACCAAACACAGAGATTGTTTATTTCCCCTTTTTTAACTTTAGGCTGAGGCTAGTTGATGATCATAAACATATTTGCAGCCAAGGTTAGCAGTTATTGGCGATTATTAAATGCAGTCATTTTTAGTTCAGAGATGACAAACTTGTAACACCAGGAATGCCATGCTTAATATAATCACATCTTTATAAATAGGCTGCATACATAAAGCTCTTTCTCTAGTCTTCTGACCACTTTAAGTGCTTTTACATTACATGCTACATTCACCCATTTACAGCACATTCACTCACTCCTGTCAGAGCATGCTAGACAGCAAGACTCGAGACTCCACAACTTTTCCCTGTACACCTACACACTAAACATATCACACCATACACATAATTTGAGACTTGAAGGCTGAATCCAATGATCCATCCTCCAGCTGTGCCTCTACAGAGGCCTCTTTTCTTCTCCTTTCCTCTTGCCTTGGGTGCATTTAAAGGATTAAAGGAGCGAGACAAGAAAGAGTAACTTATAGTATACCCCTTTTTACTTGTCACAGTCGCCGTAAAGAGGACAGAACAACCTGTTTTATTGTCTATTTTATTGATTAATGTCTAAAAGGACACAGTTTTTTCGCTTAGCTGGTGGCTGAATCTCTTAGAAATAAGAGAACTGATATTCACCTGCCATGCAGCCGGGGAAACGCTCCTCTCGGGCTTTCTGCCAATCAGACTCGCACATCCAGCTGCCCAACTGGCTCTTCACCCCCCCAGCAGGGATGGGGATGGTGTCCCTCTGGTTCTTGGTTACAATCACAGTCTTGCTTTCAACCCTAGCAACATCTTTCGGGTCTGTGCGTGCTAACCAACTGAAAAAGAGGACACAAACCAGAGCACAAAACAGCTGAAAAGAGGATTGAATAGAAGCACACTGTTGCTTTAAATCATTACACAATACGGAGTAAGTTCCCCAGTGAAGAAATTCAAGCCTTTACCAGTTCTCATATTTGGTGAGCTTCTTGACCATCCCCTCCCTCTCCAGACCTGCCAGGATGTTGGCTGTTTCCTCTGGCGTCCCCGTCACCACGTGCACATTGGAGGGCTTACATTCATCCACTGCTCCCTTCACAAAGTCTGCTACTGCTGGGGGCAGCGAAGGGATGGAGGCCAAGGACCGAACCCCAACGCTCGCTCCAACACTTCCATGTCTGCAAAAAGGAGAGGCAAATGAGTGATAAAAAATGACTGGTTATTTGTTACTTACAAAGACAGCAGTCCAGTTGCTGTGATTTATTATTCATTATTATTAATATCTAATCTCAGATTTTCTAGTTTTTGCTAGACAAACTACACACTAATATATAAAAGCACACACTCAGCGGCTGGTTTGCACCGTGAACTGAATCAGAGTTTCTGCACGTGAGGCTAATTTGACTGGGAATGCCAATCACACTCTTCTACTTAGTTTCAAAAATAGCGACAATGTGCAAGCACGTGGCTCACAACTCACTGCATCAAGTATGTTATTACACGCAAACACACGTACACACACTCTTCATAAAATTAGAAAGAAGAGATAAGCTTGAAAGAGAGAGAGAGAGAGGGCAAAGAACTGAGAGTACTCCAATGCCAGCTGCAGGGTTCAAACTCCTACTGAACACACAGCCTGGGACAAACATGTTTTTTACTGGTGAAAGCTTGGCAGAAAACAATAGTCTGGTTAGTGTTGGATGATCAGTTTTTTTTTGTCTATGATTAACAGTTTGGGTGTAGATGTTTTGTATCAGTTGGCACACCACATACTTCTCTGTAAAGTCTTTCTACATCTCCGTTTCCCCTTAATGTTACAAACTTCTAAGGAAAAACCCACATTTGCTTTTTGTACACCAAGACGACAGGTTCTAGAGAAAAGAGCATTTCTTCCTAACAGGTCGATGTGTTTATTTCATCCATTATTCACTCTCCACTCAGGAGAAGAGCATACAGTGAGTTTGCTACTTTAAGTTTGGCAAGCAAGTGAGAATCTGCCAAAAGAGCACCACCAAAACAAACAGCAGGAGCAGACAGAAACGTCAGCAGTAGGGCCCGACCGATATGGATTTTTTGGGGCCGATGCCGATACCGATTATTAGGGGGGGAAAAATCTGATTACTGATTAATCAGCTGATTTTTTTAATTTTTTATGAAGTTATAATATATATATATATATATATATATATATATATATATATATACTGTAGGCTACTGCTCTTCACGTCAGGAAGACCGACTGATCAAACTCGGACCAGAAAAACGTTTTCAACTACTATCCACAGATCCGTCGCTCAGCTGTGCTTTTAGGTAGTTTGTGGATGAAGACTGTCATGAGGTCGCTGCGCCACCTACAGGATAAGATGGGGAACATTTTCGAAGTGAAACCGAATCTTATTCTCCGCATTTTATTTCAGAAAAAATCGCGTTTTGGCAGATTTTTAGTCTCAGACAAGCTAAAATTGGCTGATTCAATCGACTCGCCAACAAATCGGTCGGGCCCTTGTCAGCAGTGACTTCAGAAACACCTTGGATAATGTTGCTCTGATGTAGCTCTCATTTGTATGAGATAGAGCAAAAATTTGGACACTTGGTTGGACAAGTCTCCTAAAGCGCGGTGTTTCAGTCCCTTTCTTTGCGAGGTAAATCAATTAGTCCTACCAGTGCTCCCCCATATTAATCCTACCATGCTACTAATCACTGTAACTGTTTGGGTGATGCTGAATATCATCTCTCATGTGATTTGTACAAAAAAAGTTGCTGTTCTGAAATTCAGCAGAGGCGGTTTACTGACTCGAAACAGAAAATAAAGAGGGTAAAAGCAGTGGTAAGAGATAGGCTGCTCTGCACTCCTTTAATGCAACAAAATGCTCTTTTTTTGGAACAAAAAGCAGCAGCATCAACTCAGATGACCTCTCAATTCCCCCTGCAGTCATGCAAACTACCATGCCTTTGTCTCTGCCTGCCATTCCTCACCCCATCCCCCCAACCTGATGAGGACAGGCATGCTTCCCATTGACAAATTTAGCACTGATATCGCCTGACGTCAGCAGGGAACAGGTAATGTCACTCTGTTTTTGAAGGGTAAATATTTCAGCAACATTACCAGGATGGAAAACATTTACTGATGAGGAAAAGATAAATGTAATATGTGACTATTGAACTTTTCCTTCAACACACCTCCAAATCTGCAAGCCAATCCTCTCACACCAAAGTTAGACACGCCTACCCCCATATACACGCACACACAGAGGCACACATAGATCCTGGTGCACAGCCTCTTAAGGGCAGAGTCTACACACAAAGTAAAGACAAGCTTGAGTATCACTGTTAACATGCACACGTGCTACATACAGGGAAAAATACACAGGGCATGCTCCGGGACAACAGGTGAGCCACGACTGCAACCGTGGACAATTTCTCAAGCAGAAATACAAACAAGATGCACAGGAACATAAGCCTCCATAACACTAACTCACATGCCCCTCCGGCAATGTGTCAGTCAGCTGCTCACACACATGCATCCTAAAAGACAGAATGGAAAGCAAACACACAACGCCACAGGGTGCTCACATAGGGTCCAGAGTCCCTGTGTGATGTAGTACCAACACAACGCCTGGAAGGACAAAAGTATTGAAGAGAAGGACAGTAGGAAGACGAAGAAATAGACAAACAATCGTGGTATATCTCAGACACCTACAACAAAAATGTCATCTGATCTGAGGCCTGTGTCTCAGAGCAAGTCAAACAAGTTTTTAACAACCTCACTTGAAACAATAAGAGTTCAACAATAGCAATAGTCTATGCTCACCTGAAATGACAAACAAACAGTGTTTAACAATTAATCCAGCATTATTTTTGCTTAAATGAGTCTGGAGCCAAAGGTCTTACCTGATTGGACAGCTGCCTATCAGTATATTAAATAGTGATAAGTTAAGGAGGTGTAAGAAGTGTAAAGCAACAATAAATTAGTCCAAAAAAGGGGGTCCACGTTAAACTTAAGAGGGTAAACTTTGATATGATTGAAAAAAAAAAAAAATAGAGAATCCTTGAGATTTCCCAAAAACATAAGCTTAAGTATAATGTTATACACATACATAAACTCAGAAAACAACAACATTAAAAAAAAAAGTAAATCACTTACCTTCTTATGACTCCTAACAAAAGGGACATCTTCGGTGCAAAAACACAGCTTAGCTTATAGAAATACTGAGTGTAAAAACGCACATTAAAGTTGGCTGAGGAGGTACCAAGAGGAGCAGTGCTCTAAAGCTGATCGTGGCTCATATCTGTGCTCGGAGGGGACCTTGCACTTTGCTCCGCGTGTACGTTTTACGCACATACACCTTGATGTAACCGGTTCACTGGATGCTGTCTCCTGTTGCACGTCTGTCTGAGGCGTACGCTGAACTTTTCCTGACCAGTCCCCTCGGTCTCCTCCTCACGCTTTTTGCCACTTTATAAAGTTTTCCACGCTTGGCATTAACTCGGAGTCGAGAAAGAGGAGGTGCGAGTTAACATGCAAACTGAAATGTCACTTCTTCACTTCTACACGTCCGTATAACCATGTTCTCTCCTCCCTGGCTCTGCCTCCCTACCGGATGATGCAAGTTTCCAGAGTTCCTGCACCACTAGCACATTTAGTACAACACATACACACGTATGGAGAGAGAGAGGGAGGGAGGGAGAGAGAGAGAGAGCGAGAGCGAGAGAGAGAGAGAGAGACACCAGCATGGAGCCAAAACCCGGAAATACGAGGTCTGGGACGGAAACAGACCTAACAGTGGACACAGATAGTGCAGATAACACTTTACAATTACCATGATTTATAAATGGTGAATAAGTGGTTTATTCATGTTTAATCATCATTTAAAAACAGCATATAGACCAATTATAAATGATAAATTGATAGTTTATCAATGTAAGTTAATAGTTACTTTACCAGTAACAAGCAATGAAATGATGATTAATAGTTTTCATTAATTATCCATGGACTATTAATTAAAGGTTTATATAGGATTTACATATTGGTTGTAAAACATCTAGATTCAAATGTGTGTCAGTAGCACTTTGTAAATGGTTAATATTTGGTTTTTAAACCATCTCTAAACCGCAGAGACTGTTGATGTTTTTAAGAAGAGGCTCAAGACTCACCTTTTTAACCAGGTTTTTCACTGATTGCCTTTTTGTACTTCTTTTATTGCAAATGTTCATTTAAATCAAAGTTCTTAATGTTTCTTAAATGTCATTTTATTAATAATCTCTGTTCTTAGTCTTTTTCTTTTTTTTTTCTTAGTTTTTTTTCTTGTTTTAGTCCATCAGGTTTTAGTCTTTCTTTGTATGTGTGGGTGAGTGTGGGTGTGTGTCTTTGTGTGTTTGTGGGCCCATGGGTGGGTGTGTGGGTGGGAGGTTCGGGTTTTATTGTTGTTAATTGCTGTTTTTAGCCTCTGTGAGGCACTTTGAACTGCATTTCTTTGTCTGAAAAGTGCCATAAAAATAAAGTTGAATTTAAATTTGAATTTGAATTTATTGTAAAGTTGCAACTGATGTTTGTAACACTTTGTAAATGATTAATAAGTGGTTTATAAACCACCTATAAACATTACTTAGATGGTTATTGTAAACTCAGGGTTAGGGTTAGGTTTTTAAAATTGTAAAATTTACTATTTATCAATGGTCTATATGCTATTTGTAAATGATGATGTAAATAGTCCATTAAGAATTAATGAAAATTATTTATCATAATTTCATTGCTTGTTAATGGTAAAGTAACTATTAACTTACATTAATAAACTATTTATTTGCCATTTATAATTGGTCTATATGCTGTTTTTAAATGATGATCAAACATTAATAAACTATCTATTTACCATTTATTAATTATGGTTATTGTAAAGTGTTACCAAGATTTTAGAAAAACTTTGATGGAAAGTGGTTTTACATCACAGAATGATGAAAACAGCTGAAGACAGCGCACACATTTATTTAATGTGTGTGCATTTCAATCATGTTTGGAATATTGCACGCTGTCAAACTGGTTCTGTAATGACAATGACTTAGGAACAGTGTCCTTAGCTCACAACAGGTCTAAGTCACAAGTCTGGGAGGTAGGCTTCATAGTTTTTAGGCATCAAAACAAGGGAGTGTCAAAAGCTGCTGGAAGGCAGTAGGTGAGCTGCCTTTAGTCTCTTTGCTAAAGAAATTAGACAAAGCTAAAAAGATGTTTGGTGGCTCATGCTGTGGCTGGGACCCTATATGTACTATTGATACTATTGACTATTGTGTGTTTGACCCTAAATTAATCGTACGCCGGAATATCCCTTTAATATGTTGTTGTTGTTTAACATGTTTTTTTAACAGTGCACATACAAAGTCTGGGGGGTGAGTCCTCAATCATTTTGCTTTTCAGTATACTGTATATATAGAAGCTGGAAACTGTCCTTTTTTCTCCTTTACACCTACCATCAAACTTTTCTTCGTAAATTTAAGTATAAACTTTTATAGTCCTTTGAGAATCACAATTATTATCATTGCACTCCTGACCAGATTTTCTCACTTTGCTCACCCTGGTGATCGAGAAATACTGTATACAGGGTTTCCACCAGTCATAACTACACTGTCTAGACATACTTCATGTAATCATTTCAGAGAGATAACATTTGTCGTCTTAAAGAGCAGTAAAAATGACCCCATTACAATCGTCTCAGTCTTCTTTTTGCTGTTAATGTTTGTCTCCATAGATTCTAAGGGAGGGGCTCAGACACACAAACACATACACACACACTACTAGAAGAAGTAATGAGTAAAAGGGGAGGTATAGGGTCAAGGGGCTGGACAGAAGAATATACAGTAGATTGGAGATAAAGTGAGGTACAACAGTCCAATGTGTCTGGTTAAACTTCAGCCCTCCTGTCTCGTGTTCTGTGATAGAGCCTGCAGAGTCAGCAGCAGACCAAACAGACCGCGTACGCACACACACACACAAACACACACAAACACACATATTCACTGGGAATGAATGCATACATGCTGTACATTTGGCTACTGCAGCCCACGCTTATGAAAGGGAACATTCAGAAATGCAGCAACCAGCAGAGGGATTCATTTACAGCAGTCAACGCTGCAGCTTTGGTAATACTGAGTGAACACTTCTTTGACAGTGCATCAGTTTTTGATGCCCTCTTGTGTAAACCAGTGACCCTCAAAGATCAAACTTGGCATAAAGCCTGCTGAAGTCAGAGAAGAACAGCTGATTTCAGGGTTCTGACTACCTTATTAATGATCTACTGATATGTAAGGGTCATGGATAACTTGTGCAAAAATCTCTAGAGGCAACCATGTGGATTTTCTTGTTTCTCTTTCAGGGAAATGATTTACAGTGAAGCAAAACAAAGTGATGGAGCATGGTGTTCTCTTTAAAAAGTGACATAGATTTCAGGAGGGTTTTAAAAAGTTCTCAACAATATTATTTTCTATATGCATATTCATAAGAATCATTGACAATGTGGGTATTTGTTGACTTTTTATCATAGATACAATTTTTTTTATTCTAAAAGCTACTAGGTTATAACTTCTGAGACATAGAGAATAAATAAGGGCTTTCTTTCAGTCACAGGAGATGTAATATTTTATGTAGACGCACAATATCATGAAGGTCAACATATCATGGCATGGGCGCAACAAAGACATGCTCATAAACTTGTGTGTTTTTACACTCTAACCTCACACTCGGCTCTCTTGCTTTTGTTCTGACACATGACCTTTGTCCACAATATTTCTCAACAGCACCTCTGCATTGAAAAGCACCCTGCTCTGCATTTTAACACTTAATCAAATCGGCAAATCAACAAATAATGCCGCTCACGCTGTAAACGAGTCCACCCTTTGAACTTTGGATCCATGTCCAATAATACTTCACCCTTGATTTCATTGTGCACTGTTTTATCTAGAGGTGTTATACTTGTTTTATCTGGAGGTGTAATACTCACTACAGTGTAACATAAGCATATTGGCATGATGAAAACATTAATAACTGGGAGTATTTACAATAGGAGGCTCTGATGTCCTTTTTCTGTCCACCCAGGGTCTTGTATTTGTTTAAGCTTGTAACCTGACTAGGGTGTCCCGGCTCTGTCCACAAGGCCTCTGATGAAACAAGCCATGTGACAACAGATGTACAACAGCAGATAAAAAACCTGGTCTGAACAGCTGCCTCTCTTTGGCCTCTGGTTTGTACTGATTAACAATAGGTGAGAAAGTGGGGATCTCCTCTTCCCATGTCAGAATGTGGAGACCGGTGGAGGATTTTGATAGCTGTGATATCAATTTAAAACTACATTTTACTATTTTTAAATCTGTTTACTGTCTAAACTATATGATGGTATAAAGGAAAATGAAAATAAGTGTGATACTTAATATAATTTAACGCATGCACAGATCTAACATTTGCTTTTTTACCCTATACACTGCTCTATCTAACCTACAGCAGTTTGATTTACACCTCAGCAGCAGCATCTAGTGGACAGAGTCTGAACTTCCTAAAAGGGTAGGAACATGCTGTGATCTTGCTAATTTTAGGGTATTTTTCAAGATTATTCAATAAACCAAGGCCAATAATGAGATTTCAAATCAAATACCCAAAAAATTGTCCCTGACACAAAAGTCATGCATCATACAGTAATTTAAAAAGATTTTAAATAACAAAATTATCAAATAGTGTTATTTCCCAAGGACCTTTTTTTTTCTCCACTAAGGAACAAAAACTACAAACCAGAGCTACATAATAACATGGTCTAACTTACAAATCTTGTTTTCCAGACAAATTTGACAGTTTGCAGTCACAAAAAAGAGGATGTTAAAAGAATAATAATTTAAACATCGATCAAAATATGAGACAAAGTCGTTTCGTTGTAAAAAGCATAGCTCTATTTTTCAGATAGTTGAGAGTGGGGCAAGATGAGCCATTTTTCATATTTCAGCTCACTACATCAAGGCAATCATAGTTTTGTCTCTAACTAGTGTATCTGCATATATTTCAAGATGTTGTTCATCCCTGTAAACCAACAGAATGAGTGCAAACATAACTGTCTTGATAATATAGTATGCCAATAAAAGTGGTCTCCTATGGTCAACTTACCCCATGTATGAGGTAAGTTGACTGTACTACCATGATCTTCTCATCACACTCTTTTACTTTCTCAGTTAAGCCACTGGCTCAATTTACCTTGAACTACTATGACTTTATTAGTCCTCTAAGCTAAAATGGTGTACTTTAAGGTTTTTGACCTCGTGCTGTAGCTCATAGATACCGCACAATTCTAACACAACACAATTCTAATAAAACTTATGACAGATTAAATTCACTTTCAAGAGTGAAAAATGACCCATGTCCTTCAAACCTTCACAGACTCCATGAATTGATGCCCATCTCCTAAATATTTGGTCACATGATCAATTTCTTTGACCATTTCCAAGCAACGGGGGGTGGCTCAACTTACCCTTTGGCTCAACTTACCCCACTTCCCCTACATTGTAAATGGAAACAAAGCTAACGCCTCATTATACTGTACACAGACCAGGAACTTAAGCTACGCAGCAGTCTTACAGAAAACTATATTTGGATTAGAGGACATAAAATTCACATTAAAACTCCTGAAACAAGTATTCAACAGCCTTTATTCTGTTTCTCCCGGTACGTTTAACCTATGACACCGCCTCTATCATTTCCGGGAAGTGTCTGTAGTACAGCTCAAACATCTACCTGAAAACTACAAATCCCACAATGAAACATGGTGGTTGATTTAAACTTGGGGAAAGTACGGAAGAGACTTAAAACGCGCTTCAGTTTCGTTTTCACTTTTTATGCTGAGTAACTGTGAGTAACTTTTTGTTCACCGCGCCGCATTGAATTACAAATATTAGAAGTTTAAGATTTATTAACTTCGATTTGTGAAGTTTCAGGCTTTGATAAGAACCTCTCCTCCACAGAGACGCTGTTATGGCTGCTGTTGATATTCGTCTTGAGTCGAAAAAACAGGTAAGCACGAAAGCTGTATCCTGCTAGCACGATTAAAACATGTTGTATAATAGTGTTTTTTTTACTTGGTTGTGGTCGTGGTGCTGGTTGATGTGTAACAGGTGAGCAGACAAACGGTCTGATATTGTAATATAACAAACAGCAGGGGTCGTATGTAGGGGTCAGGTAAATATCAGGTGATCGGATATAATTGCTGTAAGGATGAGCTCTTTTATGCTGGTCTATAGATGTAGAAAATGTTAAACCAAAATGCATTTTAACTTCACTTTCTCTTTGCAGGTGGATGACTTCGGCCTCAGTCTCACCAAGGAGGTATTTAGTAGATCTAAAACTGGCACATTATCTAAGAGTTATCACTGATACTGATAATAAAAATGTATATATGTTACTTTTTGGTCAACAGGCAGAAGGGCTGGTTGCAAAATTCTTCCCTCAAAAGATTGAAGAGCTCCAGGTTCTCCTTAAGGTATGGGTCTCTTTCATGAGGTGACTGCAGCAGCAAAACTGGGGTCCTGAGGGGTCTGACAGGGCCACTAGGGGCCTCCTCATTAATATAAGGAAACTGTTTTTTTGACGTAATTTACATGTTGAATATCCTTTACATCTATTCCTTGAATTCTTGCAAAATTATTTAATGTGTTTCCTGCCAGACTTCGTTCACCTGTGATGACCTGGCAACTCTGAAGGCCCCTCTTGACATCCCAATGCCAGACCCGGCCAAAGAGGAGGCCAAACGCAAGAAGAAAGAAGAGGTGAGTTTATACCAGGGGTGTCAAACTCAACCACAGCAAGGGCCATAATCTGGATTACGGTTTTACCTGAGGGCCAAACAGGGTCAACATTTCACCAAAACTGTCAACCTTCTTTTCAAAAAATATGTAACAAAAACAGCAATGATTATAAATCATTTGGAAATTCAAAAAAGATAAAAAGATAAGTTTAAAGGCAATCTGAGATAGATACATTCATATTTTTATTCTATTTTTATTTATTAGTTCAAAAGATCAGAGCATGATAATTAAAAATAGAAAAATAATTCTTCTAAAGAGCAAATACATGAGGAGAATGTTGAAATCAAGTTTAAAAGGTCAAAATATGACTTAAAATTTAAAATTGGAATCTAAAGTATAAATATGAAACAAGTCCGAATACTGAGTTGAACAAAAGCAAAGCACGAAATAAAAAAATCCAGTCATGTTTGACTTGTAATCTTGAAATGCAAAATTGAAGACATGAAACAAAACACCAAATATTTTCCCCCCACATTCTTGACTATTTATCAAATCTTCCTTTCTCTTTAATTTCCCAGATTTTCGTGGTTTATTAAATAATGGTGCTCAAGTGTACATTATTATACTGTAGGAAATCTGCAGACCTCATACTGGTGGGCCAAAAATAAGACAAATATGATATGATCTTGTGGGCCAGATATAATTGTTCCACAGGCCAGATTTGGCCTTGAGTTTGACACCTGTGGCTTAGACGTATTTAATATTCCAACATGTTTAAGACATGGAGATAAAAAATTAAGAGGAAAGTAAGTGAATCCAGTATTTTTATATTATAAGTACATGTAATCTTAGAAAGATCCTTCTTTAGAAACCAAAAAGATTAAGAGTTTGTTTGTAAAGCATCACATTTTATAAATGATTATGAAACAGGATTTACAGTCAAGCGTCTTGTCTTCTTATTTGAGCCTGTCAAACTAAGAGTCTTTGCCAAGAGTTTATATTTAACATCTCATAAGATATACAGTCAAAACACAGAGTCCTACGTTACTGTGGCAACGGTCCCTGTACAATTTTGAAAGGCTGTTTTAAAATTTGGCAGTGAGTGGGTGTTATACTGTATTAGTGAGCTTCACAAAAATCTCATCTTTTTGCTTTTGTTTGGCATGAAATGACGATTGGACAGCATTAGATCAAACTTGTTAAAATGAAACATGATTAATATAGGGTAGCAGTATCCTGCAGGTGATACATGCAACATCAGCATGAAGTCACTCAGTGTTTTTTGCAAGTATCTTAACTGCATTGCAGATAAAATACCTGCACTAGTTGAACTGTTTCTCTTATCATTAATGAGTTTTTGTATTATTATCAGTTTTCTGTTTCTGGTAAAATGAGGAATAAAAAGTTTTGGATTATACAGGAAGGTCTTGGAACAGACTTGAGGCTGTTGTACAACATTCAGTTACACTTTATGCCAAAACAAGAGGAACTAGGTCATATTTCTTCAGAAAAAAACATTAGAAATTTTACTTTTTATTGGCTGTGAAAACTCTCTTAACCTGCTGCCCTTTGTTCCCTTGATGCAGAAGGAAGCGAAGGAAGGAAAGAAAGACAAAGACGATGATAAAGAGGAAGAAGACTCAGGTAAGTGAGGAGAGACACAACAATGATAACAACTGGTTAGAGGTAACCAGGGGAGCCATTATGTGGTTTTCTACTCTTTTCAAACAGGAACGCAGCCAACTAAACATGAATATTTGACTCTGTGACAAAGTAAGCAATGTTTTGGGGTTTTGTTTTCTCAACCAGGGCCTCCTTGTGGCCCGATTTTCAGCAATGAGCGAGTGGAGAGTCTCCTGCGCCAGGTCAAGCCTGAGATTCAGACCCTGAAGGAGAAGCTGAACACGGTTAGTCTCCTGAATATTCTCCCTGCTTCATTTTATTCAAGATAATAATGTTGAGATTATCTTAACTTTTCTCATTGCCTGTGATTGCACAAGATTTTTCATACCAAGAATTGCTTTCAGTGTAATTGCATCAATGAACTTCTCTTTAAAAGATGTATTTTTAATCTATGATAAAATGAGGATCAGCACTGTAACCATCTTATACTCTGTATAAGTTAAACCACTCTGTTTTTTCTGGCAGGTGTCTATGTGGGTGCAACTCCAAATCCCCAAAATTGAAGACGGTAACAACTTTGGAGTTGCTGTTCAGGTTGATAACTGCTAAAAAGACCAGATTATCTTTTCTTTTGTATTGCTTATACCTGACGTGAAACATACTGAAATATTGTCCCTTCATTCTCGTCTCTTAGGAGAAAGTGTTTGAGCTGCTGACAAACACACGCACCAAGATTGAGACATTTCAGACTCAGCTTGCAAAGTAAGAATCCACACCTAAACAGCGAATCTGTGGTAGAACTTTATTCATTTGAATAAGATGCAGTTTTATAAATAAAAAGATAAAACAGATGTAATTTTAACCAGTGAACTCGATTTAATCAAGGGCCAATAGTCTTTTCAGATTTGACTAAAACACGATTTTCATCGGAGTGGGTCTTTAACTACATGTGCACACATTACTGACTATGCCACCAGTTGATATTTTGGGCTCATTGTTTTGCTCCAGGACACTTTAACATGAGATCTAGGGAGCTGAGGGTAAACCACCAGTCTTTTATTACACTGCAATAGCATATCAATGCTAGTTCTATCTCCAGTGCATGCCACTTTAAGCCACATTTTCCATTATCTTTCTGGGGTTTCGTCAGGTACTACAGCGAGAGAGGTGATGCTGTGGCCAAAGCTGCCAAACAACCTCACGTGGTCAGTATCTCATCTTTTGTTTTCTTGATCTGGAAGATAAGGTTCTGTGTTTTAACAATCACACACTCAGTGATTAACTCCATTAAGATGGAAACATGGATGTTCACTCTGTGCCACCTGCAGACTGTATGCCCTGTTTGTGTAACAAATAAAGGCTATTATGGCAATGTTCTGCTGTGTGCAAATTGGGTACATACGGGTTGTGCCATGTCTTGTATGTTTTTGCATATAAACTCTGTGTTCTGTTCACAGGAAGACTACAGGCAGCTGGTTCATCAGATAGACCAGTTACAATACTATGAGCTCCGCCTTGTGGTGCTGGACATCTGCAACACCTACGTAAGACACCTACGTAATATGGTTCAATGTCAGGCTGCTTTCCAAAAAGATTGATTGTCATTTATGCGCTTGTTTCTGAAAATAGATAAAGGTTAAATCAAACAGTACAGAGACTGTCAGCGAGGTACTAAAATGACTGCACTAAAGCCTGTCTGCCATCACTTGTAATTACACACTGTACTCTAAATAAAACTGCATGTGTTTGTAAATGATCCCAGCCATGTCCCAGAAACAGGGACAGCAGCTAAATGAAATCCATTTCTTCTTAATGAGGAGGGTAATTAAAGTAATTGCTGTGCTCGTGTTGAGCTGATTGGTGTTGCATCCACCACCCATTAATCACTGTTTGTCTCCTTCCTCTGGCTATTGTCCTGTGTTTAATCCTGTTAATGAACAAGGCGGAGCAGGTGATGATGAAAAGAGCTGTTTGACAATATTACACACATCCATCTGCCTGTCTCTCATGCTGTCCAACTTTTTTTTTACATCACATTTCACTGATGTCTCCCTCTGTTTTGTTTTCCTCAGGCTGTGCTGTTTGACATCATTACCAAGAACTTTGACAAGATCAAGAGGCCCAGAGGAGACGGCAAGGCTCTCATCTACTGAGACCGACTCATTGAGGCGTCCTAACAAGACACAACCAGTGTAGTATGGCACTCTTATCGAGTAACACCACACCTACTTTGACAAAAATGCATCTTCTTTTATACTGTGCATTCATTTTGGTTCCAATTACGAAATAAAACACCATTTCCACTCACCTACATGCCTTCTGTCTATCTTTACAAGCGAAACAACAGAAATAAGTTAAAGTCAGGTGCAAATATGACTCCCAGGGGAGACACCCCAGGTGAATAGGGTAAAATTTTTAACTAGCAGATATCACCATGAAACTTCCCAAGTTTATAAGTCACATTAAGACAAACATTTTTTGTATTACAAGTTTTGTCAAATGTTATATTGGAATATGTAAATGAGGCAATATCTAATTCAATATGCACTAATTTGCATAAATTTCCAGAACCGAAAACTGAACAGAGGATAAAGCTCCTTTCAAAACTCTTGTTTTATTTTGTTGACATACTAGAGTCAAAAGAGGGGAAGGAGGGGATTTTGGATATCTCTTTTGATCACTCTATAAATGAGAAAATATCATAACCACCCCAAAAAATTCAAATATCGCCATGTGTTTTTTTTTCCATGTCCTTAAAATGACCATCACTCCTTTGCATTTATTCTAGACTAGGATTACTGTTGCCTTATACATGTTTTGACCATGTAATATTCTAATTCGCATATTTGTATGATAGATATGTGAATACAAGCATAACTAGTGCCCCACAGACAGTGTCGCATGGTGACATTTGAATTTTTAGGGGTGGTAACAGTATTTTCTCATTTACAGAGTGATCAAAAGAGATATCCAAAGTCCCCTCCTCTTCCCTTTCTGACTTTAGTATGTCAACAAAATAAAGCAAGAATTTTATAAGGGGCTTTATCCATTGTTCAGTTTTCGGTTCTGGTAATTTATGCAAATTAGTGCATATTTAATTAGATATTTCCTCATTTACATATTCATACAAAACATTTGACAAAACTTCTAATACAAAAAATGTTTGTCTTAATGTGAGTTATAAACTTGGGAAGTCTCATGGTGATTTCTATTAGTTAAAATTTTTACCCTATTCACCTGGGGTGTCTCCCTGGGCTTCCTACCCATCACAGATGCATTCTTAAAAAAGACACCTTTCTAGAGGTCAAACTTTGGTAAACTTTTAGTGTGTTCTTAAAGACATCTAATATTATAAAAAAAACAGTTTAGAAACCTTTTTTTAGAATTTTTTTAGGGTTAGGTGTTCTTTTATTTATTTATTTAAATGCACCCGCCTATTAAAATCATCCATTGAGGAGTCCTTACTACTGAGAAAGCTTTTCAGTGTCTGTTGAGGTTTAATGTTCTTCTCCTGGTAAACCAGGGCAGCCCCAGCCTGGTTTGAGTCTGTACCATCCCTGATATAGTCCTCTCCATCCCAGGTAGGCAAGAGCTCCCCCCAGCTGCTGGGAGGGGAACTGAGGAAAGTTTGCCAGCAAACTCAGCAGCAGGAACAACCAAAGAGCAAAAAGAGTTACACAGAGGAGGAAGATAAACCTTAACGGCCCACCAGGGCTTCTCTGCAGAGACTTTGCTTTAGCCAGATGAGAGCCAAAGACGGACAGTTCCTCAACGAGCAGCAGGCAGCACAAGCAGAGGATGAGAACATCCTGCGAGACTTCATAACCTCTCCATATCATGTTTGCTCGGAGGCAGGAGGCCTTGGTCTGGTCTTCATGCAGGAGCAGCAGAGGCTGTTCTGACGAGGCAGTTCCTAGGGTAGCCTGGTCAGGTTTCAAAGGTTCATAACAAGTTCCTGAGGCGTTCTCTAATAGGGTCAGGATAGACTTAGACCCCCACCAAAACACCCCTGCGATCCCTATCCGGGAGAGGTGGCTGAGGAGGAGTGAAGGGGGTCGATGGGCTGAGGTGGAGAGGAGAAGGATGAATGAGCCTGAGAAGATGCTAGTCCAACCCCAAGTGGATTTAAGGAACTTCCTGTGTTAGAAAATAAAATGTAAGAACAAAAAACATTCTTTTCTCTTTTGATGAGAACTTGGAAACGAGTTATTTTTCCACTAATTCACATAGAGTGCACTCTTTACTGATGGTAAACACTGGCACACATATACTTAATCATACCAGATTAAGGCTGTTGTAGAAAAACCCAAATTAAACATTAGTTAAGCTGTTCATAATCAAGCTAGAGACCATGAAAATATCTTACAATAAAGGCACAATAAAGGTAAAGAGACATTCTACTTTGTGACATTGACGTTTCAACTAAATAGTCAACTCCAATACTCCAGGGTTTCCTGACATCTCACCTGTACAGGTAGTGGTTGCTGTTGGCAAAGACGTTGTACTTTGAAACCCAAAAACTTAACAGAGGACCAAACAGAACCAAACTGGACAGCATCAGATGGAAATGTCTCCTGACGAGGTTGCTTCCTAAAAATCTGGCGAGTAAGTCTGTCACTAACACCAGAGTGGCGTTCAGGAGCCTGAGGAGGAATTTTCCTGGCAGTATCAGCTCCGCAGCCATTTTGTGTAATTTCTCCAAGCTGATGTCTGGTGTGAAGCTTCTGGAGGCGTTTTCAGTCTTTATATCCATATTGACTTCGATATCCGTCTCCAGATGAGGTCTTATGGAAGTTTTAGATCTTCTGCTGGCAGTGTTGTGCTCTTCTTGTCTCCATTAGTCTGCCTCTCTTTATTTCAGCTGTGTGCAGCAGCAGCTCTACTCTGAGAGCCTTTCTACTTCATCACTTCCAGGCCTGCTGGAGAGCACATGGTTTATAAAAATACAACCCCTCTGTCCCCTCTCTCTCCTTTAAAGCCCTCCCCCACCACAACACACGCTGAAGAATGCAGGCCTGATAACAGCTGCTTCCCTTACTGACCCCATTATTCCCACATCCATGCTCCAAAGCATTGGGAATCTGATCCACTTAGACTGCAGCTGATGATTCAGACACTTAGAAATGAACCCTGAATTATATATGAAGGCCTGTAACAGCTACTTTTTAACCAGCGAACAGGTTCAGTGTAATTTAACATTAAAAGAAAAGTCTCCTCATCCTGCTTAAAGAATCATTCTCACATGAAAAGGACCATTTGGCTCCTTGTTCGGCTCTCTAAAGTCACCCCATTCTTGGACTCAGCTGTTAGAGCCAAAACTAATTTAAGTTATAAACTGTTGCCAGTCTGCATTTGGCGCCATGGACAGCTGCGTTTCTCTCAGCACTTTGAGTCTTTTTTATTTCTAGGCCCACTCCTCAGGCCAGAGCCTCTTAAACCTCTTTAACTCCCAGAGCCAAATTAAGTAAATTTGGTCTTTCTGAGGGACTTCAGCTCAGCAGAAAAGGCTGGAACTGTTTTTCTCTTTTTTTTTTTATAAACTAGGACATCCAGTCCTACTACTTCTGCAGACTCCAAATCTGCTCATACCGGGGCTACTGCTGGAGTAGAAAAAAAAAAGGTTGATATGCAGCTTTTATGATAGTCTGTGTAGTTTGTGCTGAATCTGATCTTCTCTTACATTCATCTCTTTGACATTACAGTCGTTCAAATACACAATCTAGTGTTTTCCTCTCCTCAGATCATTACAAATAACTTACTTTGCCATCGTTCCAGCAGCAGCTTATATTACAGTTGTATTTAGCAAAATGAAACCCCCACATGACACTAACAGCAAATACTCAGTATAAAAGCTTTGGTGTATTGGTGAAACATTTAAAGAAAGGTTTTATTGTTCATGTAAAACAATGGTCTGAGAATGAAATAAGGGTTCGGATATAAACCCCCTGAAAATTGCATATACAGAAAGTGTGTAAATTTTAATTCACGCACACATTCTCTGTCCCTTTAGCGAGTCTTCTACATTTTTTCACAAACATTCAAATTTTTTTTTTTTTTAAACAGATAAAAGATTTATATTGGCCAACAAAATTACTCTTATTAACTTTAAGTCGGCTCAGGGTTTGTGTTTACAAAGTCGAGTGCTGATCCTGGCTTGGACAGGCCATGGGCTATCACTGTTTTAAATACATGGGTTGCCTTAAGACTTGAGGTGGTCTACAGAGTATCTATGATACAATCATTGTGAGTTAAACGCTTACACATTTGTGGACTTGGTTTCCAAAGTTATATCCAGACCACGTGCTGGACCACAGCCAACTTTAGGTGTGCTGTTTCTCTCAAACAGCAAATAATCTGGATCTTTATGGTACTTTGGGGTATTTAAATGAGTTTAAACGACTCCGCTCCGGTTATCTTAACCACAAAGTCAAAACTGAGTCCAAGACAGCAAACCGAGAACTATCTAAATACACTCCCTGAACACACATACCATTAAAATACTATACATTTTTACAGAATCAACCTCAGGTTCTCCAACTACGATTTTTATATATCTATCTTAACTTTGAATTTCAAAAGCTCTTAAGTAAGTGCAGTGCTCAGTGATCGGAGCTTCGGCACATTGTTGTGATGTGCTTCAGACCAAATTAAAAAGCTATGGCCCGTAGACTGTGCGAGACAGTGAGGTGAAAGAAAAAGTAGGCCATCCCACAGTGCCCCAGTCTGTCCTTGACAGTGTAAGGTTATAATGCCTCTGAAATTAACACCTAGTAACCACTCTTGAACTGTAATTATTATTATCCAGCATTGAATTTAAAGTAATTAAAGTCTCTCCCGGTTCTGAGCTTATTGTTTCCTCTGTAAAGGGCTAGCCTCGGCCCCTTCAGTAGATATGTCACTTCTCCGGACATGTCTTTATTTTCATTTGTCGTCTTGAGGAGTTTTCCTCTTCCTCTGTCAGTCCTTCTCCCTCTCTCTGTCCTCCTCGAGAGGGAGGGTCTGTCTGTGCTCCCACATTCGCACCGCTCCATCCCACTGTGGAGAAACACAGACGAGAAAGTCAGCATAGCTTCCTATAACTGTCTATTAAAACTTGTTTGACTCTCAATGTCTCTTGGATTTATCGAAAATGTGATATTTATTTCTCTTTTCACACTTTCCAAAGGGTTAAAGATCAGTGACAAGCCTAATGGAAAAATCAAAGTCCAATTTCTAGTAACGTAACGCAACTTTCATGAAAATAAGCTTCGACACACTGCCTCCAGTGAGACAGTCTGCATTGACAGCACTCACAGAGCTACTGACGATGTTGTCCTCGTATGGGTGCCAACTGACGTCCCGCACACAAGCATCATGGCCTGACAGTCTGGAGACAACGGCGCCTGTCAGCACGTCATAAACTGGATGTATGCACAAAGAATTGCACATTATTAGCACCATGTGGGCATGTTTTGAATAACAATTCATCACGCTAATGCTCATCATAACTGCAGTTCTTTTCTACGTCGATGACCAAAGCTCACTCAAAAATAACACCACTCCATATTGCAGGCGACACATGGTGAGACTCACTAATGATTTTGCCCGTGGAGCAACCGGAGTAGATGAACCTCTGTCCTGTGCTGAATTCTGGGGAGAAACGGCAGCGGATGAGGGTGTGCAGAACGCCGTGACCACGGTATGTCATCACCGAGGTGTCGCCCGTCAGCTTGTGTCTCTTCAGAGCTGAAAGGAACAACAGGCCAGATTTAGAAACACACAACGTTATCAAGAAACTCCTTTATGGTTATGAATAAAATACCAGAGAAATGTAGATTTAACCATACATCTTTATTCAGACTTCAAAAGCAGCAGACTTCATTACACTACGTCCTTACTTTACCTTTCTTCCTCTTCCTTCTCTTTGTTTTTTTCTCTTTTATGGCAATCACTCATCTCTAACTCTGGTTTTAATACTGCCTTATCCCCTCACCCTCCTTCTCTCCCTCCCTCTCTCCACACCCTTGTTCCCCTTGCTGCCATTGGCATCCTCTCCCTATTTTTATTATGTCATTTCATCATCATCTCATCTCCTTCCTGTCTTCATCTGACCTTTCATTCTCTTGCATTCAACCTAACTCTCTCCTCTCTCTTTCTATTTCCTCTTCTCCTATTATTCTATCTCTTCTCCTCCTTCTCTCTGCACTCTCTGTCTCTTCCTATTTCCTCTTAATTTTTTTCCTCCTATTTCCTCTCCCCTCCACGTTTCCTTTCCTCGCTTCTCTTTTTGCTCCTCTCCTCCTGTTTCCTCTTAACTCATCTCTTTCTATTTCCTCTACCCTCCCTGTTACCTTTCCTCTCCTCTCCTAACCTCCTGTTACCTTTCCTCTCCTCTCTTCTCCTCTCCTCCTCTTTCCTTTTCTTTCCTCTCTATTTTTTCTCCTCTCCTCTTCTCTCCCCTGTTTCTTTTTCTTTCCTTCCTTCCTTTCCTCTTTTCTCTCCTCTCCTGCTGTTTCCTTTCCTCTTTATTTCTCCTCTCCTCCTGTTTCTTTTCCTTTACTTTCCTCTCTTTTTTCTCATCTCCTCTCTTCTCCTCTTGTTTCCTTTCATATCCTCTTTTATATCTCATCTTCTCTCTTTTCCTCTACTCCTGTTTCCTTTCTTTTCTTTCCCTTTTTTTCCCTTCCTTCCCTCTATTTCTCCTCCTCTCTCTTGTCCTCCTGTTTCCTTTTTTCTTTTCCCTTCTTTTCCTCTCTTTTTTCTTCTCTCCTCCTGTTTCCTTTCATTTCCTCTTTATTTCTCCTCTCTTCTCCTCTCTTTTCATTTCATTTCCTTTCCTTTCCTTTCCTGTTCTCGCCTCTCCTCTCTCCTCCTGTTTCGTTTCGTTTCATTTCCTTTCCTTTCCTTTCCTGTCCTTGCCTCTCTTCTCTCCTCCTGTTTCCTTTCCTCTCCCCCTGTTTCTTTTCCTTTCCTTTCCTTTCCTTTCCTCTCCATCACCTCCAGTGGTTCCCTCCGTCCTCCTCACCTCTCTGGGGAACCTGCTGCCAGCGGTAATCCCAGTTTTGTTGGGTGACAGCCAGGCGGGAAGCAGCCAGTCCTTCTTTGGGTGAGAACTTCCTAACGTCCCAGAGCTTGATAGACTGGTCTTTGGAGTTGCTGATCAAATAGCGGGCGTCACCCTAGACATGACACAGGTTCAAAAAGGACCCACAATTACAAAGGAGGAAACAAACCCAAACGCTGGACACTTTAAATAGAGCACTGACACCTCGCGCTGAGGTATTATGGACCTGAGATTAATCACGCACCGACCAATCATCAGTCAAATCAACTTCCCAGGAGGATCTGAGGAACTTTCCAGTGACAGATTGATAAAACACCACCAGCATCCCTCTCCTCGCCCCCTACCTTGCTGTGGATGAAGGTGATGCCATCTCGATGGCCAGCCAGCTGTCCGACAGGCTGCGGTCTGTCCTCCCGCAGTGTCCGTCTGTCCCACACCTTGCAGAGCGCGTCATCGCTGCCAGAGAAGAGCAGCTGGGATGAGCTGTCAGCGAACGCCACCGCATTCACATCGTCTTCGTGGGCATCAATCTGACGAGAGGGGAAACAAAAGAAAAGTGTGTGCCTGTGTGGAGGGCGTGCAAGCCAGCGCGCGAGTGTAAGATTATGCGATTTCCTTTGTGAGAGACGGTGTGTGGTAGACGTCGTTCTTGTGTTCGACTGTCTTTGTCCGTGTGCTTGTGTAGGGTAGTAATTTATGGAAAACACATTTCATCGCAAAACAGAAGCACACTGAAGCTGGAACTGTTAGAGGCTCAGATTGGTTTTTAAAAACAAAGGTTGATACAGCTTTTGGTTGTTGTTACTTTCATGTGGGATGATCTTCAGTATCTTTGTCATAAAATGCCACTTCGATGCTGGTGTTTGAATACTGTAACAATGGAGCTCTATGGCAAAAAGATAGAAATGTCAGGGTGTGGCAAAATGCAACACTTCCAGACTTCCACCACCAGAATCATCCCAGACAATATATTGGATCTGACCAATAAGATGAGAAGATAAAGACAGATGATTCAGGGGTAATGAGAAGGACAGAGGGAGAGAGATAAGAAAGTGATAAAGCAGATGGCAGAGGCCAGTCATTGACTTCCACACAGGTGGGGGGAAGATAGGGTGCAGCTTCTCTGGACTATGTGGCGCTACATTACAAATAGGAAACTTTGAGAGAAGCGGCGCACGTTCAGGTCAGCTAATGACTGGCCGACCTTGAACCGAGGGTGAAACATGATTGCGAGAGGTTGACAAATCTGAGAGTAACTAAAAAAATGCGGGAAGGGGAGCAGGCAAGGTAATCACAGTCCACACACTAACCTTCAGCGTTCGTTTATTCTGCTCAAGATCAAACACATAAAGGCAGCCATCATTCGCTCTGAAAGTAGAGAGGAGACAGTAAATGAATTCTCAGTAAAAGCTTTAGAGACACTGAACCGGCTGAAATAAGTGAGCTTTAAATCAAGTCTGAATGTCTTGTTTTCTATGACCACATATCGACCTTGAATAAACTGCTGCAGGAGAAGAAAAATGCTGCTTGAATTTACGTTCCCCCAAAAGGAGCTGAAGTCCTGCTTTAAACACTGTCAGTCCCTGCCTTGAAACATAATAGCAAATTGTACTCACCCTCCCAGGATCTCATTGCCATCTGTGGACGCAGCCAGCGAGAACACACAGAACCTCCTCTCATCTGGGCTACAGAAGCACAAAAACACACACTCAAGCTGGTTGACATCACAGCAATAGCACCTATTTTCAATCACAACTGCACTATCATATTTGTATGGGGGGAGGAAGCTTGATGAGGGCACACTCCACATTTTAAGCAATGCCTTTAAAGGTGGGGTAGGCAGGATTCTGTTAAAGAAGCATCTTTTTTTGTGGTGTATATACAAAAAAGTTTTAATATCAGTTAATAGCTATTAGTTATTGATGACATTTGGTAATATAACGATATCGCTGTGTTTTATGTCTGTGTAGTCAACATTTTTTAATTTTTGAGAGGCCTGCTCTTTCTGACTGTAAACAAAGCTATTCTCCACCTCCGCAACCTTATTGGTTGTGAGGCGGACCCTGCTCCCCCGTGTTTTGAGGCACACTCCACGTCCTTGCATGAGCTCAAACAAAGTTAGCGTGCGGCAATATCGGACAGTAGAAACCATCCAAAGTACAGAAAATTGTCTGAATCCTCCTTTAGCCACGACTGCAAACACAAGCAAGAAAACAAAGTAAATACCAGAGACTCTGGCAGAATAACAGGCGCATGTTGTAGCGCTGTTTACCTCGGGTCCTGGACTATGTCACTTTATCCTAGCTGTAGAAGTCCTGCAAACATTGTGTTTGCTGGTCATCTGTTGGCATCTACAGTAGCACCAATGCTTTTTACTTTCACATTGACTGGGCCCCATTTGTAATTATCTGAAGTATTTATCTGCATTATATCTGAATTTAATTGAAACGATACGCGCGAGCGGGAGTGTCTGTTTGTGGGCGGGGCTTTCTGGAGCAGAGAGGGAGGGGAGGGGAGGAGCTGAGGGGAAAACTGTCTGGGAGGGGTAGAGTTGACATTCAAGATTCCTCCCAAAAACTGGCACTTCCTCAGATCCTGCCTACACCACCTTTAAATGTGCAGTGAGTTTGTTGAAGCAATTCTCATCAATTAACACACACACACACACACACACACACATACACATACACACACACACACACACACACACAGCCAGAGGATGGATGCTGAGGTGACGAGCTCTGACAGCATCATTCATCCAGGTGGTCATGAAGGGATGGGAGGGCGGGCTGGTAGGGAATGATAGATTACCTGCTCTGTAATGTTATAAGTTACTATGAGGGAAACACTAACTTGAGGTCCAGGGCGGTGTGGTTTTCACTGTCTCCATCTATACTGCACAAATGGACTGCAGGAGAGACACAAAGAAATAAATCAGGTGTTATTATGTTGAATTTGAACTTTTCAAAAATTAAAAGAAAAATATTGTTTGCTTCTCAACAATTTTTTGCACTCATATGCATTGTCGACCGTTGACATTTTGAGGTATTATACAGTATACAGCGTGTACTCCCTAGCCTTACTGTAGTCAGACCAGCTGGAGTAGAGCACATGATGAGCGTCGGGGGTGAAGCAGACATCCAGCACACTCCAGCCCACGTCACGAGCCTTTACTGTTCGCTTCAGATGAAACCGCCCCCTGGTGGTGTCGTACAAGCGGATGTTCTGATCTGCACACACACAGCCATGTTCAGAAAACACTAAACAACTAAAAAGTACCCTTAATGATAAACAATCAGAGACATAACAAATATAAAAGGATACATTTATAACAGAAATTCCAAAATAAATGAGCTATCACATATAAAACAATCACTAATCAGAATCACTTTCGGGTGCTAAATCAGTTCCTCTTGGTTCTCATGATGGATCTCAGCTTATTTACCTTGGCAGGCAGAGAGAAACATGTTGCCATCCTCACTGTACACTCCACAGAAGGCCTTCTGCTGGTACGTATCCTTGTGGGATACATAGTTTGGCAGAAAACTGCAGAGGAACAGGGTTGATGTATCATCAGCAGAAGTACTCTTAGAAACAACACACATACCTGACTGATTTTCAGTAAGAACACCACACCAGTCGAATGAAATTAAACTGTACAGGATGTGCCTTTCACTGAACTTATTGGTACACATTCTTCTGTGATTTGCAGATATGGTCTCTGAATTGTGCAAAACTGAAGTGACACTTACTGTGTGCGGATACGACTGCACTCTCCGTGGGAAAAGCTGGTGCCTCTACATCGACCTTGCTCCCTCTGAAAGGTTTTCATCAGAGACAGACAATAAAACACTCTTCAACATTTAAAGGTATTTATAAGAATTATAACTTCTCTGTAATATTTGAAATACTGAAACTGCCAACATTGCATCTACATTAAAGGGATAGTTCGGTTAATTGAGGTGAATAACCCACAAGGGAAACCAGTCGGACAACCAGTATGGAAGCAGCACATGGATCAGCTAATCAGGTCTATGATGTATTTAGTGTGACTTTTGTCCAGTACGCTCACGCTGGTATATTGTTAACTTTTCTATCTTTGTAACTTAGTTGAAGATAGTTTCAAGCAGCAGATATTAAACATTGTCTGGCATACACAGAAGTGGCTGTAGTTTGTCATTTCTGCTCCCATCAACAGCTAACACAGGGTATTTTGTGCGCACCATGTGTTGAGTCAGAATGTAGTTGTAAAAAACAAAAACAGTGAGAGCCAAAACAGCTACACAGCATGTTTAGTTTAGTTGTATTTTTGTCTCCTCGATGCCCGCAGACTCAAACGACCGATCAGTTTGCTGCTGGCGGAGGAACAGGTATGTGTCTTGTCTAAGAATAGTGTAAAAATGCATCAGTATTTCTAAATAGGGCTTACACTAAAAACGACACGCGTGTTTGGGTCAAAGTTTCTTATAATTAGCTCGATAACATGGTAGTGTGGCTTCTGTAGGTTGAAGCTGAGCTGACCTGTATCCCCTGTGGGTCATAAACTCCTAAAAAAACAAAAAGAAAAACACAAACTATCCCTTTAAAGCAGAGCTGAAGATAGCCAATAATGGCTATCAATAAATAACCTATTTAATGGACTCTATTATATCTCTACCCATCCTGACCTCTGTTAACATGTGGGTGAAACTCTGTCTGCCTTTCAGAGAGGAGGAGGCTGTGGCTACCAGGATCTGGGTTCGAATCTCACTTCGGTCCACCTCATGTGTGTCAGGTTGGGTGTCCACTAGATAAGTCATGGGCAGAAAACAGTTATTATCACATTCAGACATTAAACTTGGAAAAGTTGTTACAAAGAGGAGATCTGATTTATCTGCTGGGCAACTTTTCTATAATCAATCATTTCAATCGTCGTTAAAAACTATGTTTAACCTGTGTCACAACTTCTGTAATGGTAAATCCTAATTGAACAAAAACTCACCACCGTTTTCTGTATGTGTTTTTTTCTTAAGAGTTTAGATACAAGTTACTATCACTTGAATTGAACGCACATTTGATTACATGTAAGCAAGCCCATTGCATTTATTGGACAAATTTACTTATAAACTATCAAATCTGTTTTTGTAAACTATTTACAGTGTCATAACTTTTGAAGAATTAGGGTTGTATTTGATTTTTAAGTCTAGGATATTATGAAAATGTAATCACCTTACTTCTGTTAATTAATGTTGAGTTATTACTAATGACAAAGAGTATAACTGGACAAAAATGCAGTTAACTAATTTAATAAAAAGTATGAGAGTACGTTTCAGCAGAGAAACAATCTTAAAAGGCTTAATGATATTAAGCAGCAGGCAATTTAGACTTTGGCCTTCACACAAATACAGAAAACAAAGTCAGTCAGAAGTTACCTGGTGGGTTGTAGCGGTCACCCAGTCGACCCTCCCAGGCGCCATCGCTGTCCTCATCAGAGTCAGAATATGACTGGACCAGCTGCAGCCCTGTGGCTCCACTGCCATGGACCAGTCTGACCTGGCCCCTAAAAACATCAGGTCAACAAGTGATCAGTCCAAATGTTAGGATGCAATCAAAGAGAAATGTCAATACGCTCACACGAGCAGAATGGCTATTTTATGCAGAGAGTGTTACACAATCTTCTAATGTTTGCAACTTTAACAAATAAGGATCCTTGGTTTGGGCTGACTCTTTCAGTATTTGTGGTGGTTATGAGTTCAGTGTGTGATCAGAGTGTTTTACTTTGGTGTCATGCAGTGACATTATCTACACACGTGAACAAAATCATTGGTGCCCCTCGGTTACTGAAAAAAAAACCCACAATGGTCACAGAAATAACTTGAATCTGACAAAAGTAATAATAAATAAAAATTCTATGAATATGAACAAATGAAAAATCCGACATTGATTTGGAACCATGATTCAACAGAATTATTTAAAAAAACTCATTAAACAGGTTGGGACAAAAATGACGGCACCCCAAGAAAAGACTGAAAATAATGTGACCAAAGGGACATGTTAATTCAAGGTGTGTCCACTAATGAGCATCACAGGTGTCTACAATCTTGTAATCAGTCAGTGGGCCTATACATAGGGCTTCAGGTAGTCACTGTGCTGTTTGGTGACATGGTGTGTACCACACCCAACATGGACCAGAGCAAGCGAAGGAAAGAGTTGTTTTAGGAGATTAGAACGAAAATTATTACAGACAAGCATGTTAAAGGTAAAGGCTACAAGACCATCACAAAAACAACACTTTATGGGACTGTAGCCAACTTCCCTGGACGTGGCCGCAAGAAGAAAATTGATGACAAATCAAAGAGTTGGATAATACGAACGGTAATGAAAGAGTCCAGAAAAACTTCTTAAAAGATTAAAGGTGAACATCAGTGTTAGATCGCACTATCCATCGTTGTTTGAGTCAGAGTGGACTTAATGGGAGATGACCAAGGAGGAAACCATTGTTGAAACCTTTTGTTGCCCCAAAAGGTTGTGCAACAAAATATTAAGTTAATGGTACCATCATTTTTGTCCAGGCCTGTTTCATGAGTTTATCCATCCATCCATCCTTCCATTTTCTACCTCTTATTCCTGTTCCCGGGATCATGGGGGGGACTGGAGCCTATCCCAGCATCTTCGGGCGAAGGCAGGGGACACCCTGGACAAGTCACCAGTTCATCGCAAAGAAGAACAACCATCCACACTCACATTTACACCTACGGGCAATTTGAAAGTGGCCAATTCACCTAAGCCCACTTCTGTATGTTTTTGGGATGTGGAAGAAAACTGGAGCACTTGGAGTAAACCCACGCAGACACAGGGAGAACATGCAAACTCCACACAGAAACGCCCTGTCCTAGATTCGAACCCAGGATTCATGAGTTTATTATTTTATTATTATTATTTCACAATAGTCTGTGACTATTGTGAGTTTTCCTTTCATTAACAGAAGGGTACCAACAATTTTGTCAACTTGATGTGTCAGCACCAGCATGATTGTATCTCACCTTCTCAGTAGGTAAGCCAGCACTTCAGCCAAATCGACCTCTTCCTCAGATGCTGGCTGTCTGTCTCCTTGCTGCCTGTCAGCCGGCCTGCGGACTCGGCTGCTGCTGCTGCTGCTGCTGCTGCTCTGGTTCTGATCTGCTGCTTCAGACTGCTCAGCTGGGTTGCCTCTGGAAGAGCCCCTTCCACCAGACATCCCAGAACTGGACTGAGAGCCCATAGACTGAAGGGAGCCTGGCAAATAGGGGGGGTGTAATGCAAAATTACGACCAAGTTTTAGACGTACCCAGAGAATATGAAGGAACAGAAAGCAGTGTACAGGAGATTATGTTCGTAATTACACATAGAGGGGGGATAGGAAGACATAATTGAAGTAACACAAGCTGGAAACACAGACGACTTTACTTAATGAACATAAATGTGCACAATTTGCTTAAAGCAGTGTACTTCCACTTCTTCAAATGAACAAACTGACTATTATGCACGACAATCAACAGCTCATGATCAAGATTCAGGGCTGACTTTGTTGAGCTAGCTGAAAATGCTAACGACTTGTCAATAATTTTACCGTTTGACTGTCAAACAGTCCTCTGGAAAGCTTGTAGATCCAGCTCTTTGCCGTCAGTCTGTGTATTTATCCGATGTGTTTATCTCGTCGGGATAGACGTCTCACGTCTATGACACAATAAAACCTCAAATCCTGATTGCACAGAGTTCTATCAGTCGGCTAACAGGGCCAGTTCTGAATCGCCATGTTGTTTACAAAAGTGTGAAAAAACCCTGCGCGTGCCCCTGCCCTTCGTCGTCACGTGATCCGTACCGACGTCAATCATGCAATCGTCTGTAACGCGAATTGAATAGTGTTAATGAGCTCCCCAAAAATGTGTTTTATTAAATGTTTGACGACAAAAACACCAGAAAACAAACTAAAAGAAAGCAGAAACGGTAATTTGGTGGAATAATTTTCACATGTTTTCTGAAACTGTTCACTGAACAGAAAAATAAAGATGGTACAATTTGTGCATTACAATATAACTAACAATTTCACATTTTACCCCTTGGCTTTTGACCCAGCATGAGCCAGCATTGGTTTTATTGCTTTTTATTATATTTTAAAACAACTATTTATTGCTGTTTTATGTTATGTACAGCATTTTGTGTCAGCTCTGGTTGTTTTTAAAGTGCTCTATAAAGAAAGTTGACTTGAGTTTCACACAAAACCTTAAACACTAAACGAAGACTGAGTGTTTGAGATCTTTTTCTGCAGTTTTACAGGTATAACACTGCTGTACACTATTGAACATAGTTTTTTTTCTTTTTGGTGAAAATATTTTGTCACTTTCACAAAGCTGTTTTATTCACACTGCAACTTTTTGCGATAATGGGACAGAAAGGTTATTGTTATTAACCAAAAAGGTAACATTTTAAGCTTCCGTGATATTGGGAAGGGGGTGTTAACTTACGTCCGTGATATTAGGCCACAGGCACAGGACCTTCACAATCAAAGAGACACTGTATGAGATTGAACAGATGTAGAACCATTTTATTTTGCATGTTTTGTCATGTATTCAATCTGGGGTGATGGGATATTCATTCTGCCTGACAAGTCATATTAAAAAGCCTCACAGAAAAAAATAAGGATTTGATTATAAATTAAAAAAAGAAATCTCCAAAGCCTTAAATTCACTTTGAGCTAGCAGACCTATTGAACACCTTTTTACAACAACAACAATAACAAGTCCCACACTCCTCCCTTCGACTGAGAGTCACATCTTTGCTTCATTTACTACCCTTCTTAAGTGTGTGTAGTGCAAAGGATACAGTTTGTAAAAAAAAGTAGGACCAACAACAGACATTGAGGCTTCCTATAAATAAAAATGTAAAGGGGTTATTGAATTGACAGTTTGTTTTTAACACATTTTAAAAGATCTTTCCCCTTTCACATTTTTTCTCTCTGTTTTACAAATATAAAACATCCTGCTTTAAAGATATCCACCCTAACAACAGGTAATCTGGAATACCTCTCACAAAATATGTTGACTCATCAGCTTTTCATAGTGTTTTGGGTTGTATCTCTTGAGGTAAACATTCATTTTTCCTTCAATTCGCTGATCTCCACTGAGACCTGTACAAAAGAATAATAAGAGATATAAGTGACATTTAAAGGAAGTTGAAATATCATATTCATATACAGTATATTAAAAGTTGATTAGCTTTAAACCATAGTCTATGCTTTGAACTCACCGAGCTTCTGAGCTGTTCTTTCAATCTTCTCCAAAGCAGATTGTACATCTCCTCCCTCTGGAACAAGGACCTCTATCTCTCCCACACAGTAGCCAAAGTCAGCTTGGTCAAGATCTATCTGCACCCCTTCCTCCTCTAAGACAAAAGACCTGCGAACTGTTGTAAACTCTGCAAAGCACACCAGATTCATTTTGCTTAGCCAAGCCTCACCCTCCAGAGAGAGGCTTGTCTCTGTGTCCTCACAATTGTCTTTCATGATCTTTGTCACTCTCTGCTGAATTTCAGGAAGGTTTGTTATCTCCTTGTAGCGGGTGCACAGCGCTGCTGCTTTAGATTGTTCTCCGCTTGTCTTTTCTGTGGTCGGGCACTTGAGTTCCCAGCATCCTTTACGCTTACGCAGCCACGCATCTCTTAAAGTCAGGTCAAACTTCGGGCTGTCATAGTACTGGTCGTGGAACTGGTGCTGGCGAACGCTGGCTAAAGACAAAAGGTCAAACAGGTAGGACTTTAAAAATGTAGATGTGTAAACATAATCAAGCTGAAACAGATAAATAAACAGAAAGAGATAGATGGCAAGTGATTGTAAAAGTTTCTCAGCAACCCTTGTGAGGACCGATCACAGCATCAGTCAAATCGCTAAAATTTAAAATTATCATTGCAAACAAGTCAAACACTCACCCCCTATCTCTTCCAGTGTTTTTAGGGTGTCAGCATTGCACAGAAATTTCCTTTCCACTTCAACACTCATCTGAAATGACAAAGATCAAAACAAAAGTATAAATTTTACAGTAGACTGTTGAAATCATTGTTAAATTGAAGCGGGTGCGCTCAAAAGTCATTGAAGTTATTTGTTGCAAATGCTGTTTACCAGTTGCATGGATCACTTTCCAGACATTTCAACTCCAAAGGCAGTTGTAGAAGTTTTTAGAGAGTATTCTTTATTGACACAGACATGTTAAAGCTCCCATGAGGAACTCTCTGTTTGCATTGACTTTAACGCCCCCTGTAGACAAAGCAATAATTGATACTGTCTCTCAATACTTGTAAGTGGCCATCTGAGCAGGTTATTCACATCCGGGGTCAGCACACCAACAGAGGTTAAATAGTGACATCACACGCCAGTTTGCTACACGAAAATGAGCGGGCTGTTGTGGAGAGAGGAAAAGGTAGGTGTGAAACAGTTTGAGTGGCGTGTTATTGTTTGCGATTACGCGTGGTCTTGATATTGTCGGGGGGAGAAATTGTTTCAAATGTTATAACTGTGGTTGTTTTAATAGTGAAGTTGTGTTTAAAATGCAAATATTTAAGTACTGTTTTGTTGAAACATGATTAGTATTTTTGCTGTGTTTTTAGTGTCACGGTACTCGAAGCGAGGAATAAAGAAATAAAAACTGTACCAGTTGAACGCAACTCCGTGTTTATTGATCCCGAGGGCTGTAATAATACTGTTGCTGATTTCGTCAGAAAGTGACATGAATTGACAACAAAACCTTCTCCTTTTGTTCCCTGTAATATTTTTGACTCAGCACGAATAATTTGCTGTGGGTAAAGTACCTAAAGCTGTTTTTGTAATGTACTTACCCTCTCACATCAGTTACAGGCTTCAAAATGACTACATGGACATAGTCAGTCTATTCACTAATGGTCTCATAAGCTTTTGTACATCATAGAGACACATGGTTGTTAATTTCAGTCTGATTCATAACCCGATAATAACTCCTCATAGGAGCTTTGATGTGGTAATTTGGGGGCTTCTCCTCTTTTGACTGAGGAACATTCATTTGGTTTTTCCTTTTTAGTCATATACAACTGGAAATGGGTAAATTTGGCTTATGACCTACTAACGCATCTACTGACTGCTTATGCTGCAGTCAGACATTGCAAACAAGCACATGCATTGTATAAAGGCAAAAGTATCAAAGCTCCACCTGCTGCTGTAAAATGCACCCTTTACAGCAACACACAAGCAATCCTAATTTCAATCACTTATAACTTTTTTTGCATAATATTTTGCATTTTTATTACATTTCATACTGTCACTGGTGTATATTTTTGTAAACTACCACTCACTTCTATCGCTACACCTGCACTGATACAGTTAAACTGGAAATCAATCATCTGTTACTGCGGCACAGTCAGACTTCCTGTAAATCCAAACTCCCAAACTGCAGCACAGATTAATAAATTCAGAATGTACATGGCGAACTGCCCTATTACAAACCTCTAGAAGTCTGGTCCTTCAAATCCAAATAATTCTTCCAAAAAAAAGTGACAGAAAGACAAATCCTCATCGCTTCTCCACACACAGCGAAGTTTATTTTGAACAGGCGCAATCTGAGGCACCTATCTGCGTGTTCAGGAACCTCACTTCCTGTCCCAGTAACGCAGAGGCATACAGATGGTGTAGTTTTAAGTCGTCTCCGCCTTATGAATATTTATTCACATATTCGACTTTTATGTGCGCCACACCCATCATTTCACTGAAACATGTCATAAAAGAGAAGCATCCGTCGTGTCTTGATTGTTGAAGCTCAAGTAACTCCTCCTTGACAGATCAAGTTGACAGAATGGGGACTCATTTTTTATTCACCTTAATGTGAGGAGGAGAGGTCTCACAGAAGAGTGGACTCCATGTAATCCAGCCGTCAAGTGGTACGGTGGCCAAGAACCGCCACTGCTGCAAATAAAAAAGAATGCAAAAAAAAAAAAAAAAAAAAAGAAGCCACAACAGAAGTTACCAATGAAAACACAACTAAGAAACATACAAACACAAAAAAATACAAAACCAAAGCCTGCTGTAAATAAAAAAAAAAACGGTGCAGATAAAAAAAAAAACACGGCAGAAGTTAATGCCGCAAAAAAAGGAGCGGTGCACAAAAAAAAAAAAAAAAAGTGACTTACTACGAAAATAAAAGGATGCAAATGAAAATAAAAACAACAGAAGTGAGCTGCCGGGGACCAATAATTATGATGCACCAGTGTTTTATGATCTAGCCACAGAAGACGACGGCGAGAAGACCAGCAATGAAGTAAATGGAAAGGTTATTTTTAAATTTCGCTTAGTGTGCTTTTCAATGTGTCATATGGTTAGACCATGATGCGCCTGAGTCGATGAAGTTGAACTGGAGGCGATATTTTTTTATTAGGGGAAAGTCCCGCCCCCTTCGCCTCTGATTTGCTAGAAAAAAAAATGCGAACTGGAGGATGCCGGTGTAGTGTTAGCTTTGGCTAACACTGGAAACCCGCAATGCCCCAAAAGACCATGCACGAGAAGTTAATCGAGTGCGATAGCTGTAAGGTTCGGTTGCTTTGCTCAAAGAAAAAAGTACGCAGATCCCTTGCTATTTTTCATTATTGGTCCCCGGCAGGTCACTTTCATTGTGGCTTTTTTTATTTGCATCCTTATATTTTCACAGTAACTTTTTTTTTTTTTTGCACCCCCACTTTTTTTTTGCGTCGTTAACTTCCATGGCCTTTTGTTACAAATCTGCACCTTTCCTTTTTTTTAAAAAAATGTATTAGATTAGTTTTTTATCTGCTTTTGTTTGCATTTATTTCTTATTTGCATCCTTTTATTTTTACAGTTATTTTTTTTTTTTATTTATTTTTTTTGCATGGCAATTTTTTTGCATCGCTAACTTCTGTTGTTGCCTTCTTTAAAAAAAATCTGCACCGTTTCCTTTCTTTTCTTTTTTTTAAATTTTTTTTGCATTTATTTTTTTTATTTGCAGCAGTGGCGGTTCTGGGCCACCGTACTCAAGGTTCTGTTACTGAATTTAAAAAAAAATCCACATATCATATTTACTCATCGCGTCACTGTTGTTTCCCAACATATATTAGTAATCTGTAATATCTGCGAGGTTACATAAGGGATTTAATTGCCGTATCTGTCCCCTCTGAATGTCACCAATCAGCCTTGGGGGGAGCTGTGGTCTGTTTACTGGAGGGAAGAGGGGAAGGAGAGAGGGATAGGGCGAATGTAGGGAGGGGGGAGATAGAGAGAGAGAGAGAGAGAGAGAGAGAGAGCGAGAGAGCGAGAGAGGGAGGGAGGGCACGCAAGAAAACTTTTCACTTCTGAGGAGCCACTGAGGAAGCGTGTGTGTGTGCGTGCTGGAGCGGCGACCATGCAGGTAAAAAACGCATTAGCTAATTGCTCCGAACTTAATTAAACGTCACCCGCGATCGGTTAATCGCGATGATTTGAGCGAGGAGAGTGGCCTGCGTCTGATCCGAGAGCGAGTAAACGACGGATTGTGCCCCGTATCAACCCGATCCTCCACAGAAATCCAACATTAAATCCCAAACTTTTTCAGCAGCTTTCTCGTCTGCTTCGCCTTGCCTTCCTCTAACGCCACCCCCCCTCATCGTCGAAGCGATCACGGCGCACGTACTCCGCTCCAAGTAGCTTTTTGGCGTTTATTTCTTTCGCCAATTACGTGCTGAAATCTGTTAAAATTATAGTTTAAACGGAGATGTGTTGTAGCGCAAGTGTAAAAGCGGTGGATTCGAGCACGAAGACGCGTCAAAAGGGGGTCTAGTAAGCGGCGAGGAGGGAGGGGGTGCGAGTGTTTTCTAACACATCTGTAAACGGAGCCCACGTTCATTAATTAAATGGCTTTAGTCCGGCTAGGCCTCAATTTGCGCTGTTGAGCAGCAGGCGGCGGGCGGTGCAACACTACATGCCCGATTTGCAGCCCACAATCAGAGGGGTAAGGAAACAACTCAAGGCCGAGGATTTTTACTCTAAAGCTCAGTGAGTGTGTCGTCTATCTTTGATCAACTCAGTCGGCGTATTGAAGCTGCAGTTCCCACCTGGACCTGGCAAGAGTTTGTAGGGAGTGGAGACAGTTTTCGGAGCGGGTTAATTATCTCTGCACAGCTAACAGGCTAGAGCTAGCAAAGTGACACGATTGTTATTAGCTCAACCCCCCTCCTTTTTTGTGTTTTTAATTTAGGGACAGTCTGAGATAACGCTGACGCTAGTCCATATGTGCGGTTTGACCATAACAGGAGGATTAATATGAGAAAAAAAGTAGCAGCTAACCAGAATTTCCATAAACCACCACTGTAATGCGACGTTACAGGGGGGCTCCTCAGACTAGCCTGCTAGCTAATTGACTATCTCTGTTCGCATGCTAATTAGACTGTTCATTAATTAGCCAGCACGACAGTGTAGTATTATGTCGGTTTGAGATCATGAAAGTCTTGACATAAAGCCTGCTAAGTTACAGACACCAACAGACCCCACTAACTTGCTAATTGGCATGACGAGGAAGTGGGCACTTTAGCTGTGTTGGTATTTCTCCGCATGGAAATAGTAGCTGCCCAGGTTGCATCTTTGATTATGAATGCATGCAGCTCTGCGGAAAAAAGGAAACAAACTTGTGGCCTGTGTTTGATTTCACCTCAACTGCATAGAGATTTGATAAAAACAACTCAGGATCATATTTGGTGGATTGATCACACTAGTTGCTGTACAGAGGATATGCTGGTTGTGAATTGTCAAACAATGCACATACAGAATAATCTATATTTCTGCAACTTTTGTATACTTGTACTATATGAATGGTTTACAGAAAGTTGTTTGATAATCAATTGACTGTCCTACAACACTAATTTAACTAGTCTGATTAATGTGTAATGTGCCTGTTTAGAAGTTTGTCAACAAGTAGGTTATCAAACTAGCTCCTGCCAAACATCAAGTTAATATCATCTGTACATTAAACACCTGTAACATCATGGGAAGTGGTTCTTGATACATAATGTATGCATAAGTAATAGGGATGGGAATTGATAAGATTTTATCGATATTGATGCCATTATCAATCCTTTAATGATTTTCTTATCGAGGCCTTTCTTTGATTTGAATAAAAAAGTAGACAAAAGGTTTTCACTGTTAACTCAAAATTTTACTGAATTAAGATGTATGCCACCTTCAGCGAGAGTCTAAAAATAATCAAACAGCACACTATTTGTACAGCCTTCACTTGGGTCAGTATTAATGCTGCGTTCGAGCTACGAATCGGAGGCAGAATCAGCATAAGCCAAATACAGAATTTGTTGTTAAGTCTGGCATGCATTGTGCTTATGTTAACACAGGACATATGTTAAGGTGACCATATGTGGAGTCGAGTTGCGCGCAAAATTTTGAGTTTTTTTGGGGTCAGGTTGAGTGTTTTTTTATGCGCTTCTAACTCAGTTACATGCATATTCTGAATTCCTAAGGACAGCGCATGCGTGCAAATACATCTGACTCCTTATATTTGATGCTGTGCCCCGATGACAAATGTTCAAGTGTGTTGCTGGTGTTTCCACCTTTGCATGTTATCACTGCTTGACAAACGTTGCATGTCGCACTGTTGCCGTCTTTCTTAGTAAAATGAAGCCACACCTTAAATTGTTTCTGCCTACTTTTCGTACCATCCGCCTTGTTTTTTCCTCAAAGTCTCTGTTCTGGTTCGCTTAGACTTGCACTTGCGAGACCGTTTTTCAAGGCACCTGGAAGAAAGAAATTGTTTAGGGAATCGTTAAGATAAAATGTAAATAATATCGATGAATTGAACCATTTGGAACCAGTTCTTGATTCCCATCCCTAATAAGTTAACTTTATTCTTCTTTTGAACTTTATAGTTATTACATGTATTGTCAGTTGTGATCGATCAATTACAGTTTTTCAAGTCTGATTCTGATACAGGTTATTAAAAAGCAGGTCAGCTGATATCCCATTATGTTGTATTCATTTATTTGTTAGTTTTTGCTTTCATTTGATGAAATGCAACATCTAAGGAGTACTAACATATATAAAATAAAGTTATTTAATTGGAGTAAAAATTGAATTGGATGTAGTACATACTGCAGAAAAAGGGATTTGTGACCAAGAAAGACCAATATGAGTTAAATAATGTGAGTCAAATAGAATAAATTCTTTTATAGATTCATCCACGCACAGTCAAAACTAATATATGTGGTTGTCATAACCAGTAACATGTTTTAGATGGGTTTCTAATGACTCAATAAAAAGACACACCTACTGTGTTGTGATAAAGGTTGCCTAACATGACTGACATTGCTGTCAATATGAAATACCATAATACAGTATAGCATAAGTACCCTATTCTGATTGATTTAGGATTGTCATATTGTCAATTAGTGACTTTAAAGATGTTTTATTTAGAAAAGATGATGGTGATATCATCCTCATTAGGGCTGATGTCAATATGATGTGGATTTTGTCAAAATGCCAATAATTTTTTAAATTGATTGTTATATCTGTAATTGTCAGATACCACTGACTCGGGGTTTACAGTTCAGTAGCATTCTTTAAAGATTTCATTCCTTTGGTTGTTTTTTAATGTATGAATCTACAGTAATGGTTGGCAAGTGTTGTATAATTAACAAACAGATCCCTTTTAGTGTAGTTCCCCTTTCGATAGGATGAAATTATTCAGTTCCATGTTGGTACTTTCACTTCACCGAGACATGTTTGATACTGTATGTATGATAGTAACAGCTCCAGTACGAAAAGGATTCTGTAACGCCCCTGTCTTGTTTTATTAGGAGGAGTGTGGAGAGACAGTAGGCAGTGAAAGCAATGGGGTGGCAGAGTGGCTGTGCCCCCTGTGCCAAAAAGGACAAAGTGACAGATCTTCTCTGTCTCGTCATCTTACAGAGCAACACAGCGTACTCCAAACTTGTGTCGACAGACTGCTTGACATTGTAAGTATGGCTGAAGTATACTGGTGCATCTAAAAGAGATAAAACATTGTGAAAAAGTTTGATTTTTTTTAAATTCATATTGAAGAAAGAAAAATTAAAGATTTATTTAGACTAAATTATAAATGTTCAGTGAAATGTTTCTGATGTTTTTTTTGTAGTTTCAAGATGTTGGAGAAAAATTTCTACAATTTTCCTATTTTTTTTCAAGATGCATGTGACATTATGGTCTGTGTACTGGACATACTGTGTTAACAGGTTTTGCTGAGTGATTGATCAATTACAGTGTTTTAACAGCTGAAGCCAACACTGATAGTAAGAGAGCAGGTCAGCTGATGGCCAATATATAATGCAAATATAAATATAAGGATAAAAATAAGAGGGAAATTCATGTATATATCTATTGTTTCATGCACATTATCAGTTTTTCATGGTTGTCTTTGCTAGGTTTTAAATACACTTAAAATGAATGTAGACAACATAATTGTGCTATCGGCCTTGCGAGAGCTGATTACTTTAAAATGCCAATAATTTGCATGATTAATTGGTCTGTTTCTAGTTTCACTTACACAAAGGCTGTACTCTCTGACGTACTCTACTCTGGGTGGTAAAAACTGAGTGTATGATGTTAAGTGGATTAACCTGTACTTTAATATAGAAAAAGCATTGAAATATTAAACGTCTTGCATTCCTGTAGCTTGGCAGTAAAAACAATATTAAAAGTCTTTTAGATGGTTTTTGTCTTATTGATCACTTTTTTTTCCTCTGAAAAGATGACAGACGTCCTCTTAAAGGTTTTTTTTTTTAGTTACAAACAGCGTTAGTTACAGACAGGGTACTGTGGCATGTTCATGACTGTAAAAGCAAAGAGAGTGACATGGGATGAATTGATCAAAGAAAATGAAATTTATGGCTTCAGGCTAATTTGAAAATTAAAGGCCTGTCAGGGTGGCAGTCTTGGATGTAACCACGCCTCGCTGTCACACCCAAATGTTGAGCTGCTCGGGTTCAACAAAGCTCATCTATAAGTGACTTTTGCATACTGAAGTTTGCTATGGGAGCTTTTTTTATTTTTATTTTTTTACATTCCCTTGTTGACATTTTCCTTTAACAGGCCACCAGTGGAGGAGAAGAAGAAAAAGAGGCTGACAGGGTTTCAGGTGAGTGTGGAAAGTGTCCACAAAGTTTTTAAGCAGTTCAAATTCATATAATAAAGCCATTACAGCGTGTTTCCCTTAGTAAACCCTAAATTGTTTAAAATGTAATGATGAGACTTTTTGTGCCACCGAAATAATGCGTTTTAAATGTGTGGAGTTTTCAAATGTTACTTAATAGATCAGAAGTATAATGAAAAGGTGAAATCTCAGTCTCTCTGCTCTGCTTTCCTATAGAATAGCTTGTGCATATAACTTAATACTAAACCTCTGGACAAAGTTTTAGCTGTTACTGACCAGGAAAAGAAATGTCTGTCAATCATGACTGTTAAGAGATTTTAGTGTTATCAAGTTATCAAGGCGAAGCAGAAAAGCCACAGGATTGAGCATGTCTCCTTACATACATTACAGTTTGACATAACAGGGCTGAAAAGATCAGGTTACTTTTTAAGAAATATTTTGCATTTAGTTTTGGTAGCTCATTCAAATTTTCTACAGGTTCCCCCTTTTTGAGTTAACAATCCTTTTTTTGTATCAAATGTACAATGGTTGATTGTCAACAAAAAAAGTGTTCAAGTGGTGATACTATTGACAACTTGAAGCATATTGGTGCTTCCCCCTTCAAGTCCACAATTGAAATCATCTGTAGAGGTTACCCTCAAGCTGGTCTACACCTCCTTAATCAAACAGATCAGGATTTTAAAACTGGCAAAGTGAAAGAAGCAGTTTTAAGCCACTATTATTGTCTGAAATGCTTTTTGGAGTTGATTAATAATCCATATTTGTGAACTCTTCAAAGGAAAATCTGTGTGCATTCAGAAGTGGAATCAATAAAATCAATTAGAGGGGGGAAAGCTGCCCTGAGTTCAGTGCAGATATGTGTGTTCTCTGTCAAAAGTTAAATCCCATTTATAACAAAGGTAAAATGTGTATTCATTTTATCAGATGCAGGATCTTCAAAACTAAAGCACGCCGAAGACATCCCTTCAGACCCCTGCCAATCTAGCGAGAGTTTGGACGCCACTGGAACACTTGGGGACACAGCAATGGAGGGAGAGAGGATAGTGGATCAGGAGGGTGGTGAGGCTGGGCCAGGGCCAGAAGAGGAGGGAAATCCTCTCACAGAAGCCAAACAGCAAAATGCGACTGAAAACACAGAGATCCCAGACGCCAGTGAAAAGTCAGTTGGGAAAAATGGCGTGTCAGTCGACAGTAACTCTCGGTTCAAATGCAATGCTTGCCTGGAAACTTTTCCCAGCAGAACTGCCCTGAGTGTTCATTACAACTCCGCAGCCCACATTCAGAGGATGACTACAGGCTCTTCAAAACAAGGTGATGAAAATGAGACTCAGGCCCACTCGATTCCTGTCCTGCCCCGGCCATATATATCAAACAAACCCTACCAGTGTGCTATATGTCGAGTCTCTTACAATCACGCCATCACCCTTGAAAGCCATATGAAATCTGTCTTGCACCAGTCCCGCAGCAGAAACGCTGGAATTGTTGCACAGTCTGCAAATAGTGCCGTGGCGGCTGCTAGTTTGGGAGTTGGCGTCACTAGTGCGCAAAATACTGTAGTGACCACATCTGGAAGTGGAAACAGCCAGTTAGTTACTACAACCAACTGTTCTGTCCCTGGGACATTAATGGTTACTGCAACAAAAGACGGGGAGCATATTCCAACTTCCCAGGTTGTTCCCCCCCTCCTCACCTCCCCTGTGGCCTCTGCTCAGGCAGTTTCAGCTTTTCTCACCCTTCTCACATCTAGTCCCAGCACCCTCTCACACTCCCTCCTCCCTTCCCTCTTTGCGGCTGGTGCTGCTCCTGGAGCTGCCGTGCCTCAGCTTGTGCCTCAGCCTCAGATGGTGATGCCCTTAATCTTGAACGGGCTCCAGGCCCAAACCCAGCAGCATCAAGAGAACCAGCAGGGCCAGCTCCTTACCCAGTGTGTGCCATTTGTAGGTCTCAGTGCAGCCCAGCAAGCTCTCCTTACCCAAAGACTCAACAGCTTACAGAACCAGTGGCCATCTGCAGGAGTCCCAGCAAATGTACTTTGCCTTGAAGGGCAAAAAGAGACTTTAAAGGTTGAGAAAGGTCAAGATAACCAAAACAGCGATGGGGCAGTTGAAGGGAAGGGATCAGATCAGATCGAGGTCACAAAGAACTGGACTACAGGGAAAACTAGGGATGATGACAGTAAAGAATTTGAAGAGTATCCTGAGAAAAAGGACACAGAAAAGGTTGAGAACCCTGAAGATGATGAAAAGGCACACAGAGATAACACAATGGATGGAGACAGCTCAATGAATCAGTTGGACCTAGAAGGCGATGAAGCAGCCTGCCTCAATCTCTCCCCAGCTAACACAGAGAGGAGGCTCCGCAATAAGAACCCCTCGCCTTCAGCTTCAGTGCCCAGCAACACAAGCCTCAGTCCTGTTCATATAAACCTTACACTAAGCCCTGATTCAACTCCTCAGAAATCCCAACCAAGCACTAGCCCATGTGGTTCTCTTGGCACCCCAAAAGCCAGCCCGAGTACAAATGCCTTAACCAACAACCAAGCCCGACCCCATTGTTATACTAAGGAATCCATATATCCAGACCTTCCAACGCTGTCTGAGTTCCAGATGGAAGTTCTTTGGGCCTTCTTTGAGTCACGTAGTGAGGCTGATGCTGCAAGTCCACCACACGAAGACTGTGAGGCCCTTGGCAGAGAGGTTGGTCTGACGGAGGAAGAGGTACGTAAGTGGTTAAGCCAAGCCCGACATGCAAAACAGAAGCAAAGGGAGACAGAAATGGGCCACATGCACAGCTTGGCAGGACTTACAAGACACGCCCAAAGTTCTGACAATGACTATGATGATGAGGAAAGGTCACTCATTATAGCAGAAGGTGAGGACGATGTTGAAGCATCGTGTGGTCAGGCAATAGATTTGTCCAGTACTCGAAGGTCACACAGACACAGATATTTGGGAAAAGAGGGTCAGACAGACTCATGTCTCACCTCTGACTCGGAAAACGAGGTCTACACCTCTGTCATCGTTTCTGATGAGGAAACCCAGAATGGGTCAATGAGGGAGGATCCCACAAGTCCGGTTAAAGATGAAGCACAGTGGGAGGTCCATGGTGACAAGGGGCCCATTGGAGGAAAGGTTCTGCGCTCCACAACTGTGTTTCTCTCCGATGCAGAGGACGAATATGAAGACGAAGAGGGAGCAGGGGATCAGAGGTCCCAGAGGAAAAAACGAAAGAGGGAGTTAGAGCACGAAGAGGTGGAGGTGAAGAAGGAGAGACAGGACCCAGATGTGGATCTAGAGTTGGAGGCCCAAGGGGACCCTCCAAATTCGCTCTCCCACACTATGGACCATACTGAAATCCCAACCGGTGCTATCCACTCACTTCCTCTGTCTCTTACTCCCTTTTCAACCCAGTTCCTCAGCCCCTACGTCCTCTCGCTTGCTCCCCCATTGCTTGGTGATTGTGGCAAGGTACCAGTCTTCCCAAACCCCCCAACCATCACACGTTTCTCCAGCTCTATTCTTTCACAGTCTCTCTCCTCCAACAACCAAACTTCTCACTTCCTGTCTAACGGTGGTGACTGTGAGTCTGCCCTGGACCTCAGCATAGGGAAAAACAACACAAAGTATGCCTCTTCCTCGACATCTCTGGCTGATAAAATAGCGGCACAGAAAGGACAGCTGCTTGATGGGCTTGGCCTGAGGCCCACGTCCAAAGGTCTGGTAGTCGTCCAGGTAAAGCCTGAATCTGTCAACGCCATGTCCTCGTCGAACAGCAGCATGAGCCTGGTTAATTGCAGCAGTATGACAAAATCAAATATTTACATGAGAGCGGCGGAGAAAATAAACACTAATTTGTTGGAAAAGGAAAGGGAAAAAGACAAGGAGCAGGACCAGCAGAGGAAGTCCAAAGGCAAACGATACAGGGATATGCGGCGTTCAAGAACCATCATTCAAGCGGAGCAACTTGACGTTCTGTATGGCTGCTATTTCAAAGACCCAAATCCTGGGAAACATGAATTTGAACAGATTTCAGAATGGGTCCGACTTCCAAAGAAAGTTGTTCAGATATGGTTCCAGAACATGAGGGCGAGGGAGCGGAAAGGAGAGGTTCGATTTATCAGCGATGGGACCTTGGCAGCAGTTGGCAAACCTCTTATCAAATTCACCTGGCCTCTATCCAAACCCATATTTTCAAACAAAGCACAAAATAATGCCGGTTGCATCACAACTACACCAATTGTGCGCACACTTATTAAGACTGAGAGAGAGCCTGTGAAGGAGCTGAGCAAACCTGCTATACTGAAAAAAATCACCCCAGTCCCCATTAAGCCCAAGGAAGTCGTGTCTTCTACCACAGTCTCTGTCAGCAGCAGTGCAGTGCCAAAGACCACACTTGAAACTACCAGCAATGTCACCATGGTCAAAGTTGCACCAAAAGTCTCCCCTCCTGTCATTTTAGCACCGCCCAAGGATCCAGTCCCCATTGCACCAAGACCTCCCCAGAAAAGAAAGTTAGAGGAGGAGAGTGAGGAAGAAAAGACTGATGAGGAGAGAGAGGATGAAGAAGAGATGGGTCCCGGACCAGGGACCACTAACCGCATGGTGCCCAAACTGCCTACAACACCCATAAACAATAGGTCCAATGCCACAAATATGGTGACACAAAAACAGAACGGGCTCAACTACTGGACCTCCAAAGTCCCAATCAAGATCAACACAATTTCAAGAGAACAATTGGCTCTTCCTACGCACGCACCTTCCCGCACCATCCCTCCTCCACCCACCCCCAGCATTGCACCAGTCAGCCCAAACACCCCATGCTCTGCCAAAGTGGCCATCCCCCCAACCCCGGTGTCTAAATCAAGCCCGTCGGAAAGCAGCTTTCTGCCCCACTCATCCAGTCGTCGACCACGAACACACCTATCCTGTCTACAGCTGTCCATTCTGCAGTCCTGTTACGAGACCTGTGCCCACCCCAATGCCATGGAATGTGAGGCCATCGGCAACGAGCTCAGCCTGCCACTCAAGGTGGTGCAGATCTGGTTCCAAAACACCAGAGCTAAGGAGAAGCGCTGGAGGCTGCAGCAAGAAAAAATCGTAAGTGTATCCGGATCTCATCTACGATATTTTAAAGATGGTCCAAAATGGTAGAATCATAAAAAGGGCTGATCTAATTCATGCATGGTAGCTGAGTGGTAATAAGGGACTTTAATCTTGAAAGTATTACTCTGCTGCTTTACTTCTTTATTCAATTGGTCCTGGTATTTGTTCAAATATTATATATGCAACTTAAAAATGGTAAGAATTTTCTCTGTAGTTGTGCTTTCATTTTTAGACGAGTAAAACCTGATTGAATACCTGAGTCTAAACACCATTATCACAGTGCAATCAAAGTCTGAAGATTACTTGTTTATCTTTAAGCATGTCCTTTTTTTTGTCCCTTTTGGGAAACCATAGTTGCTGTCGTGATGTGAAGTAATGACATCGCTGCACTTTAGAGTGGCACATTTCATTTATAAAAATCTCCAAAACAGCTCAGTTTCAGAGGTCATTAGTAATCCGCATGAACGGATTATCGAAGTGCTTATAGTTAGAGCGTGTTCAGCATGCATGTTTCACCTAATCAGACTGATGTTACCAGGCAATCAGGGAAGCTGGTAGAGCTGTATCTGAAGTGTGGATGAAACTAAATTGAAGAAGTTAACAAGTGGCAACTGATTGCAGCCCAGTCAACAATGTGGAAATCTTGGATCCAAAAGATGTTCCCGGTCTGGCATGTTGTGAAACGCTTCACTGTTTCAGGGAACAATAGTTTCATACAAACAAATGCTGTTTGAAACAGAGAAAGCAACTGAAACTTCAAAGTACAAATACTGTTGCATTAACCAGAAAACATTCGAAATTAGTGAGTAATCGACACTGATTGGACACGTATATTTCTTCCCATTCATTTGGTTTTCTAAATCAAGATGCTGATGAGAAATTTTTGGATGGATTTTTAAACATGGACTGAATTTTGATGAATGAAAAACTTCTGAACATATGATTTAAAAAGTGATTAAGATCAATTTAATCTTGAAACTAACTGATGAAAAAATGAATCATTAGACAGTCTTACCGGGGACGCTTAATTTTAAGAAGCCAATCAACATGTTGCTTTTCGAAATGTAAATTCAAACAAAATGTTACTCTAAAAGAAGAGTAGTTAAATTGCCTGTACAGGAATTTTATAGGGAGCATGTATCCTAGATGTTTAAACATACCATGAAATGTCACTAACAGATATGTCACACTTTTTCCTTTCACTCCTTCCCTGGACCTGCCCATCCACCCAACACTCTGCCCCACCTTACCTTGGATTCCCAGTCTCCTCTGTCTGGTGGGAAAGTGGACTTGAGCTCAGGAAGCTACCTGCAATACAACGCTTTCAAAGCCAATCGGCCCATCCTGCCAAAACCAGTTCAACTGACAGTTAATGAACCACCAGCTTCCCCTGTGGCAGGCCAGACAGCGCAGAAAGAGACTCTGACAGGTCGCTGCGATGCCTGCAATGTCTCCTTTGAATCTCGAGCTGCAGTGAGGGCTCATGTGTTCTCCTCACGTCATCTGGCAACCCTGAGAACAACTAATTTCGGCCAACCAACAACGCTTGTCAACAAGAATGGAACCAGTAATAGTGGACCTGGCAGTGTTGTGCCGGGATTACAGGTTTCTCAACCTACTCCAACAACAGGTACTGGTTCTGGTGCTGCAGGGGAGGTGGCTATGGAGGCAGCTCCACCTACAGCTGCTAGCAGCAGTTAGAGACTCAGATCAGCATTGGTCTGCACACTGACTTTTCTTGGACCCATTTGGGCTCCTCTGATTTTAATTAACAAATATGAGCACTAATCTCAAAAACTGATGTTCTTAAGTTTTTGGAATTGGCTCCCCTGCATCCGCTGCCCCTTGTTCAACCTTCACTGACTCAAATATGTTAGTCTATAAACTTCATTTTGAATCTAACAGCAGACTGTTTCCATGCTGCTTCCACTTTTTTCAGTTGCAGTTTGAGAAGTGATAAAACATCTCTAGTCACCCTCTTTCCTCACACACTTAATCCAAACTTTTTTGGTCCTAAGCCTGTGGCTATATATTACCTTACTTTAGTGACCTTCCTATGATTTGTAAAGGCATTTAACTTGCCATGCTTGAACTGTCCTGCACACTGGTGTTTCCTCCCCGGAAGTAGCCCTTGAAAGGTAGGCCTGGAAACACTTTCTTTTGGGATAATAACAAGAAAAAACTTGCATTAAGGACTCCCAGTTTGCTCCTGTGGAATAGTTTTTCTCATGCCGCCTCACTTTTAGGGAGATAATGCTTGGAAATAATATGACTGGACTGAATCATGGAGAAAAGATGGACTTGTCTTAACTGTCTCTTTTTTTTTTTTTTTTTTTACTTTGCTACAACAATGTGATCTGAAGAGTGCTGCATCCACTCATTGGGATTTAAAAAGAGGTACTAAAGAGAGAACAGGGCTTTTAACTCGTCCCCATTTACATGTTGATAGTTTTCATGACAATCCAACTACACAGGGCAAAACAAGAGGCTAAGGAAAGCAGAGTCTTGGCATACTGCACTTTGACACATTTTACTTACTTTGAGATGTTTTTAAGCATTCTAATGCAAGTGTCTTTTTAATGAAAAGATACAGCCGTGCATGTTGGATGCCTTAATATAAATCACATGAAAAATTGATTTGGGGTAGTCTAGTGGGACATGCTTTAGGTATGAGCATAATAATGTGCAAATAGCAGACATGGGTAAAAAATGAAGAGCTCTGTTCCAAAATGCTTCTGTATCCACCATGGGGGACATATCTGAATGTTACATTTCTAAAGTACTGAAGATCCTGCCCCACAAATTGTCTCCACTTTCCCGGTCAAGTACCATAATTACCAAACATCTTGTTCTTACATCAAATTTCTCTGATCCTGTGGATTTCACTTTCCCTTTAAATTGTGTGTATCTCATTTTGAAATGCAGCTCTTCAAACAAGTTGGGACTATATAGCTTTTGCCTATTATTGGTGTGTAATATTTGGTATGACCGCCTTACGAAGAAATACCATCAGGTTATTGAATTAAAGTCCAGGTGAAACCTGGTGATGTTGGTGAATAAATTTTATCCTCATCTTGCACAGAGGGTCAGATGTTTTTCATAAATACAGTTTTCTTTCTCATGAATACTGTGCACAACACAGAGGTTAGAAATATATCGACATCAGTATTTATACAAACGGCAATGTAAGCAATTAAAAACTGATGTGAGAGATTTTATTAAGGTCAAAAGCCAAGTCTCTAAATATAAGGAGAACAAATCTTGAAACAGGCCTTTTCTGTACTTTTATCCATTCTCTGCTAAGTTTTGATACAGAGTTACTTATTCAAGTAATGTATGTGTTGTGAAATTGGATCTAATATTTGGAAACCATGGCCAGAGAAAGCTGGGTATTACTAGCATACTCAAGGGACTAATGAATACTCCAATCTTGGCAGCAAATTTCGAAACCTTCAATGTGTTGGTGAGAGCTAGTAAGATGGTGCTGTGTTGAAGGACACGTGACATGCTAAAGATGTATTCCTTCAATTTAAGTTGTATATTAATGTTACGATAGTTTTAACTAAATGCAAAACTAAAACCTAAACTTTTGTAAAGAAATATATAAAATAACTGATATTCCAAAGTGATCCTCCCTTTGCTTTCTGTCATTCAGAAACCAAAAAGCAATCTTGAGGTCGACAGAGAGCAGGAGAGGTGTTCGTAAATGCAAACTGTAGGACAACCCACGGCTTAACACTTGCACTAGTCCACAATTTTTGCACAAGCTACAGACATTTCAAATGAACACAGCCATTTACACAATACAGAGAGATACACTTAGTGGGGATTTTAAAACGAGGAGGGAAATGATGTCCTTTCATGAGTAATAATTTGTACTCCTGCTGGAAAATCTATCTTCTGTGTAAAGCAAGGACTGGAGTGCTTTAACTTCAAGACTGGGATTACACACACAGACACACACACACAGACACAGACATGGTGTTGCACTGTCCAAACATGCTCGGTTTTTATGGAGATCTGCTTTTATCCATGTATGTTTCATTGTCACTTTGATTATCACTCTTGTTATTATAGTACTACTACTTATACAATTTATCGTTACTACTCATCACTGTTATTATTGATCCACAATGGTTTTTAATGCCACCTCTTTGCTCAAAAACAGTATGGTATTCCTCTGAATATTGAACAATAATAGTGGCAGTGTTGTTATGAATTGTTAGATTTTTGATTAAGCTCTTTTTTTTCCCTCACTTGTATCTGCCTTTTATGTTTGGTCTCCATTATGCTTTCTTTGATATACAAAAAAAAAGAAATAAAATCATTTGAACAACAGTTATCCATTGAGGTATCTTTTCCCCTTTTAGTTTATTTTTTTATTTTAATTTTTTAAAATATTTTTTAAAGGTTTCATCTGAGAGGCATGTTTGAACAAAGGTCAGTGAGGTCACACTCGGAAAAGACAATTTACATGACACTCGGATGTGCCTGGAATTAATCTGCTGAACAGGAGCTTTTGCCAGCGTTCCGACGACTGATAAAGATGATCGACAGGGATTTCACCCAATCAGGGGCGACCTTACTTTTCAGAACCGGAAAGACAAGTCCTTTTGTCCAATAGAAACGAAGGAAACGGCAAGGAGGCTTGTCTGGAATCCTTCGTTAACGAATAGGGTTTAGACTTTTACGCCCGCAGTGTTCCATGACTCCGCCCCCGGCTTCCATTTCTGAACCAAGGGACGCCGCCGCTCGCGTACTCTTCGCCTTTTTTATGTACACATTTAAGTAAATAAACTACGGACTTTGACGAAATTCGGGACCCTTGCGCGGTGGAAGCGAACGAATAGCGGTGTTTTTCAATCGCGGTACGCTGTTTCAATAGTGGCCGAAGCTGTAGGTACAATTTAATCACCATTTTAACTTTACTAAGCGGCGTTTTTTCCTCACGCCGCCCCGCTCACTCTTCCCCTTGTGTGTGAGTCAGGGCCCGCCTGTAACGTCGGTTTGGCCACGAGGCGAGTCTGTACAGTTGGATCAGGGCGATGGCGGAGTTTGGTAACGGACTAGCGGAGGAATCCCTACTAGATTCAGACCCCGGACATCCCGAGTTGGAAGACCCGGGTGTCGGTGACGAAGAACCGGGATTAGAAGAGGGAGAGGCCGCGATTGAAGACCCGGTAAGTGAAGGTTATTGTTTCACCGCATGTGTGATCACTGAACACACGCGTGTAGTGTAATCGTAGCTTTAAGCAACAGTAGTCGATATATTTTTGCTTATTTTGTCCCCTCCGATCTAGGGTCACATGTCTTGTGCGTTACTGCAATCTTCAAGTCTATATTAACCGCCATTGTGGTTCACGCAGTGCAGTAGAAAAGGGTGGTGACATGCGTGCTGTCGGCAGCCATCTTGGCGCAACGGCAATGCCAGTTTCTCTGCGCCAGGGAGCAGCACGAACCGGTGGGAGGGGGGGAGTGGGGGGCAGACGGAGATGCAGGAGACAGTAAGGGGCGAGGGTAGGACAGGCCGCCGCCATTAGCCGCCGCTGTGCGAGTCTACCTGCTTGAGAAGGCGACCTGCTGACGGTAATAAGACTTCTTTTCCCCTCCATTTTAATTGACCGTTAAGCAGGCGGCTGCTGCAAGCGAAGCGCCAGTTCGAACATGCAAATGACCATCCGCCAGCAGGCTAATGTTAGCATATTGCAAAGCGGTAGCATATAGTGTTGGGAGCCGAACCGATCTGTGGACCCAGCGACCGTCATCACCGGCTACGAGATGAATTGCTTTATGATAGGGCAGACACCTCAGCATGCTAGTTTGATATATGTCAATGCTTAAATGGAATTTTTTTCATGCTATAAAGCTAGCCGGTTTTAACATTCCTGGACCAGACATAGTAGACGCACCTGGCATTTTTTGGCATTATTTGGGACTTGGGTTGGTGTCGCCCATCAATGGTGGGCATATGAGTTGCTGTGCATTGAAGCTCGTATGTTGGCCTAGACTACCTTTCCAAATACATGCATATATTTCCAGGTGTGTTACTGACTGGCGGGCAGTGTGAGCGCGACACTAAGCGCATAAGCAGGGGGCTGCGGTATTTGAGGGGCTGGGTACGCATCCTTCAATGTTTTGCTAGGGCAAAGAGAGTGAAGGGAGGGGTGTGAATGAGCTTGCATTGGAATATGCGACAAAAGATTGGTGCTCCAATGTGGCACTGTCAGGTGACTTTGGCTCCGTCTGTGGATGTGTGGCTAAAGACGGCCAGTATTTGATGTCATACACATGATATCCAGATTAAATAGGCCCCCCAAGAACAACGATGCCGTTATTATCACGTGCAGTGTGACACTGAGCAGACACTCTCCCCATTTTTTTTTTTTTTGTGAGATGTGAATGTAATGTTGCCTGTGTGTCACTGCACTCAGATGCACAAAGAGCCTTTACATTTCAAATCCTGTCAGCATAGGCATTGGCCCTAGATAGAGCTGGAATGACTCCCACTATGCTGCAGTGCACCACTGTCAGGAGGGTCCGCTCCCTGTGTGAGGACACAGACATAGCTGTGTTCACCGTAAGAGTATTTCATCCTTTTGCAGTGGCTTCTCAGTGGGTTCATCATCATCATCAAGTCTCACTCATTTCCAGATTTCGGATTTTGTCATAGCTACAACACCATGATAACTGGTATTATAATTTTGGATAATAGGAATGAATGGCAATGTGTGTGAATGAATGTTTGAATTTTAATATGAAGAGAAATGGTTGTTAATGTCGCAGTTGAGGAAGGAGTAGTGGTGAAAGTTTCAGTGTTGTTGTCATGACCGTTAAAGAGTGATTTAAATATGTTCATATCGTAATTTAACAGCATATATTGTATGTTGATAAATGGCAATAAAGTCCAACTATCATGATACCTTTGAGCTGTATTCATCACCACATGCAAACAAAGCCAGGACAGGAATCATCCATTCTTAACTCTCAGTTAATATGATCATATATTGTTTGAATAAATATGAGAGTACAAGATTAATTTCTGAGCCATCCCTAACTTCATTGTGCTGCACATTGATCCCAGCTCGTGATTAAGAAGATAAAGTGAGAGCTGTCTGAGGGGAGATGTAGAGCCCATGTTCTGCTGTATGATAATCAATAGAATACTCACTTAATGAAACATGCACTTACTGCAGCCCTATTCTTGGTCACACTCTATGCAATGTGGTCCCTCCGATCAGTTTGTCTCAAGGACTGTCATCCGTTACCAAGGGTGAAGAAGACTGAATGAAAATTGAGTATCTGCACAGATGGAAACCTGGCAGCAGACTCTACTTCAGTTGTATGACAAAGCACGTGGAAAAGCAACCGCCCAAATGTAAAGAAGCTTAAAGAGAAAACCACTGAAAATATCGCTCTTGATAACCAACCAATGTGTGCGGTGTGCATATCTAATAAAACAGCTGTAATTGTGCTGTAAGACCAAAAGTACTTTTGATACACAATATAAAACCATCACTCTTGCTGCACATATATAATTACTCAGTTGCATTATAAACCATGACGCTCCCTTTGATTTCGTCGTCTAATTTCCTATATTAACAAAGTTTTTTCACCACTTTTCACTACATGGAGAGGCAACAAAGAAGCGAGCTGTTCCCAAAGTGGGCTTCTCTTTTCCATTTGGCAAACAAGCACCTAATATTTCCTGGTTACCTGGTCAACGCGTTCCCTTCCATCTTGTTGAATGATTAATTGGCTGGAGCAGCAACGCTGGCACCTGACCCAACAGCAGGCTGAAATGTCACATTGCACTCCAGGGAGCTAGACTTACATTAGGCATACCCACTGAGTGTTAATTTGGATGACAAGACAGAAAGATTCTCTCTCTGTTTTCTCTCTGGTTCTCATGCCGCTGATTATGCTCTCTCCTGGGGAACAGCTTGACAAAAAGAACTATCTCCCTGTTTCCTTACCAAAGTATCAGGGGCTTACATGTCATTATTAGTGCAAAGGGATGTTTGGCCGACACATGTTTATGTTTTCATGCGTAGAATTTAGAGGTGATCACCACTTGTAAGCATGTTTTTGACAGCACTTGTAATCTTGTATCAGGTACTGATGTTACGCCTTTAAAGGACTGGCAGCTCTAAAGGATTTGTGTTTGTGTTGCAGGAACTGGAGGCAATCAAAGCGCGGGTGAGAGAAATGGAGGAAGAGGCAGAGAAGCTGAAAGAGCTACAGAACGAGGTGGAGAAACAGATGAATCTCAGCCCCCCACCAGGTATTTGTTCATGCTTCTTCTTTCAAACCACCCAATGAAAAGAAAAGAAACCTTAATGACGCCTTAAGCAAAGTTCACCTCAATATAGAGCAACACATTCACTAATAAACAAATCTTGAAAGTTACCATGCAGCTATGGAGTGTATAAGCTGCAGTCCCCTCCAGCATTGAGTCAAGCAGCTCATGCCAGAGTTCAACCCTGATAGTGATGCCAACAATAAACTATTAACAGACAAATGAACCTATGCAATAATACCGCATACTGCAGTATCGAGCCCCCCCTCAACCACTGCAGGGGGAAATTCCCTCACCTAAACAGCTCTACTCCACATATGAGCTCAGTCCTTTCTGCAGCTGGATAATTCCTATTAAGTATCCAACTCCTGGTCTGAATGTTGGGCAGATGTTGAGTTTGACAAAGTTCAAGTCTGTCATTACTGATAGAGAAGCTGAAACTCGTCTCCATTACCATCAAAAATAAGGTTACATAAACAGCGAAAGTTGAAAATCCCTGCGCATGTTTTGAGCAGATGTCTCATGTGTTGTGCCTTTGAACTTCTGCTGGTCCCCAGAAGAAAATCTGTTTTGAAATATTTGTGGATATGGATATTTTTCTGTCTTTTAGGTAGTAGCTAGACCAGGTACATACAGGGGAATAGCATTTTAAACAGATGAGCTTTTGTTCTAAGGCTCATTCATAAATAAATTGTCTTTTTGACTATTTGGTCAACCTACAATCCAAGTTGTTTCTTATAGGCCGCTTAAGCTTTCATTAATTCTTCTTGTTTAACTCCTCTCTGTCTTCCCTCTGCAGTTGGGCCTGTCATCATGTCCATCGAGGAAAAGATGGAGGCAGACGGCAGGTCAATTTATGTTGGAAATGTAAGTAACTGTCCGTTTATCTCAGTAGGACCACAGTCCCCCCCTATTTACTGCAACTTTGGGCTTGATGAATTTTTTTTTGTTTTAGGAGGATTTTAGTGTTGCTTTTTTAAGCACACTGTGATGAGTTTGATATGTAATAAATTAAAATTAATGCAGATGTGTCCATATGAAGACAAGAGAGCCAAATTCAACAATTAAATGAACAGCACACCAACACAAAATCCGTTGGATTACAGTTTTCACAGATAAGCTTCAACTGAGCATTATGACAGAAGACTTCAAGACAACAAGCTGGTAGATTTTGTTACTTGAGAAACTTTGGGACTGTTTATCCATAGTTCTCCTCCAAAAAGCCTCAAGAGTTCACTGTTGTTGTTGCAGTGTCATTTCTTCAGCCTGTGATACTCGACATCTCACTGCACAGTAAAGTTTCTCAGAACAGAAATAATAAATCAAACGTAAACCTTCTCAGCACTCTGTTAAGACCCTGGCTTATAGGGGTGTAACGGTACATAAAAATCATGGCTCAGCGCGGTTCAGTTAATTTTCAGTACAGTATGGGAAACACTAAATGGAGTAAGTGGGCAGAGATTTATGCCGGTCGCTGATTCGCTAGAGCGCACTGTCACTTTATGGTTCCTGAACTTAAACACGTGCCAGCAATGAAATCCAGGTTTTCTGCTGTGTTTGTGAATCTGGGGTCACTTTTGCACATCTGCACAAACATACATTTACTAACCTTGCATGAATAAGACCCACTGACAATGAGAGACTAAAGGGGTAAATGTGAAACATGTAAGCTGTGAGGAGAAGTCTACATGTTGTGAAGGTAGCTCTCTAACTGTCTCCTCTTCTTTCGTCCTCTCTTTCTCCAGGTGGACTACGGTGCCACGGCAGAAGAGCTCGAGGCTCATTTTCATGGCTGCGGCTCAGTAAACAGAGTTACCATCCTATGTGACAAATACACAGGGCATCCCAAAGGGTAATTATCCACCATCATACAGTACCTCATCACTTTGCAATGAGCGCATCAGTAAATAAGCGGTTATTATAGTAATTGGTGGCAAATATTACACAGTCACGGTGTTAGGCAGAACTGCTTTATCACAGGTTTGCTTAACAAACGCAGTGACGCTGTCTCATCTGTATTTGTTGGTGTTTGCATTTAGTTTGTCGTATTCGCGTGATTACCTCCAAAATAGCTTAACTTGGATACTCAGAGTAACAAAGGGAAACAAACTGTTAACTGTTATTTCTGTTTGGGAGTAAAATGATTGACTGATTTGAGTATCTTGATTTTAAAAAGCCCTAAAGGTAAGTTATTTGCCTTCTTTAAATCGTCCCACATGCCTGATAACTAATAAGAAAACACATAAAAGTTTAATTCTGCCAAAGGCTTGAGTGTTTTTGATTCACTCGCACATATCATACTCTCTGACTGTTGATGTCTTCTCTCTAGTTCAGGAATCACCTCTTTACTGTCATTGTGGGACAGAAAGTTGCATTGTTGTCTTTTTAAATACATTAATTAAAGAAAAAATTGACAAGCACAAGTAATTCATTAGATATTTGATCTGCTTCTGTCAAATGTTAAATCATGCTCGTGAGTAATTCTCCTAATTTTGCTTTTTTTAGGTTTGCCTACATAGAGTTTGCAGACAAAGAGTCTGTAAGGACAGCCATGGCTTTGGACGAGTCCCTTTTCAGAGGCAGGCAGATAAAGGTAAGATTTAATTGAAATATTTTCTTCATTATTTCTTATTATGGTTGCTGGATCCACATTAAAGAGCGGGATATATTCCAGCTGGTTCTATGGTCGCCCATTCAGTAAAAGTGTTAAAGGTTAGCTTAAACTGAAAACTAAAATTTCAATGAATATTCTCTCAGCTGATGCTACACATTTAAATTAAATTATTTACTGAAATATTTCAAATTTCTGTAATATTAACGCTCACTTTTGCCTTTAAGGTGGGCGCTAAGAGAACAAACAGACCAGGCATCAGCACCACAGACCGCGGCTTCCCAAGGGCTCGGTTTCGGTCACGAGGAGGAAATTTTTCATCACGCGCACGCTACTACAGTGGCTACACACCGCCAAGGGGCAGAGGACGGGCCTTCAGGTGAGCTGATGACGGGGCGCCTGATTCTGACTCTTTGGGAGAACAATAAACCAGCATGCACTGCACCTCATACTCACAGGATGAACTAGGCAGGCTAATACGTTGGCATAAAATTAGTCTTGCAATCAGAATAAATTTCACTTTTACTGCTTTGGCGAAGAATTAACTAGGGAGCAACAAAATTTAGACGTCGAATAACTCCTCAGCAAGTTTAAATGTGACCTCTGGTCCTGTTCAGGGTGAGCTCTCAACCTGATTTTCACCACAGAAGGAACAGCATTTAGTGAATTAGTTAATTCAGTCTGTTCTTCCTCTATTTTTATGCTGATTGAGCGATCATGAGAGGGTGAAGACAGTAAGTTTAACAAAAAAAGAAAAAAATAGAGTTACACACTGGAATTGGTAACTTCAGTCAGTTTTCTTGTTAAGATTTATTGTAGTAAACTGGAAGGGCTAAACAGTAACTAAGTTGTGTAAAGGGATGGGGATAATATACATTCATGGAGCGATAGAGACAAGTAGTCAGAGCATTGTTAATTCTTGTTAATTTCTTTTCTATAAAACATGAATTCTAGGGTAATTGTGATCTCAATATCAAATTTAATCATTGTATCTATACGGAGAAATAGATTGTACTACAAACAGTGGAAGAAACTCATGTACTCAAATCATACCATTTAATCAGATCAAAAATCAATCCTAGCAGTTGTGAGACTGAGGGATTCATTGCATGCCGCATCAGATATGATTTCAGACTGTTTCCTGCACCGTCATTCACTGTTTTCCAACAGCTGTGACAACAATCAATCATGACGGTGCATGTGGTTTATTTCTTTAACAGACAATTCAAACATCAGGTATAGTCTGCAAACACCGTGCGTCATATTAAACATAAGAGAAGCCCGGTGAAGAGCAGACTAATGTGTGCTAGGATTCTGGAGACCTTAAGCAGTCTTGTGGGTCTTAGTTCCTTAAATTTAGTGTTTAAAGACTGTGGTTAAAATACTCAGTCAGTTTCAGGTAGACAGTGATCTTTAAATGAGAAACTACAAAAATTGTTCATAACTGGTTTATTGAACTTTTTTGTACCAAACATAGAATATCTAATTCCACACTTCATGTAAGCCCCACAGAGCTCTGTCCGTGGAGCTCTTATTTGTCAGCTTTCCCACACATGCACTAAGCTTTGAGACTGAGATATTCTGATTTGACCTGAGACCTCAGGCCCTGCCTTTGTCTTCATACATAATATTCAACAAATGATGCAACAGCATTTCTAACAGTCAGTCTAAAACCAGTAAACCAGTTTCCCAGAGGGATTCATTGAGTGAAGCTTATCTCGTGTGCCTATTGCTTCAGTTTTCTCTTCGCTCTTGTTTGTTAAACAAATTTCCATTTTCAGTGAGGCAACCTTGTCATTGTTTCAGAAAGTGTCTGAACTTCAAGGTCAGAATCTCAATTCCTACTTAGCCAGTACTACACATACCAGGAAACCCTCACATCACCAGGTTACTCACAGGGATTTGGCTCGAAATGCAGGACAAGTCACACAGAGAATCAGGATTTTAAAGATTCTTTATCAAGTTTCCAGGAGCTAAAAGGGCTGATAGTGACTTAAAAATCTGAACCTTAAAAATGATAAAGTATACATGTGTCAGCACATCATAATACACATGCTGCAATGATCCAGCAAATTGAAATTTAAATGTCAGTAATTGAATCATGAAGACGGTCATGCACTCAGGGAAAGGTTATGTTGTTGAGTCATTTCACTGTTTGTCTAATTTGCATATGATACACATTCAGAGTCCTGTGAATGTTCAGTTTTATTTCTATCTGTGAAGTCAGCATGAGCAGCAGACGTTTCCCCGTGTCTATTTCTGTAGGCTCCATCTTGATCAGTTTGTGGATTCACTCTGTATGTAACACTCTGGTTGCCTCCTCCTGCCAGGACAGAGGTCACATTTTTTTCCATCTTTCAGGGACAGAAGTTACAGCTCAGCTACGTTTCCTCATCATCATGTTTTACTCTAGCTTTTGTTGAGCGAAATTGTCCGATAGCTTCCAGGTCCAACTGTTTTCTTTGTGCTATTAAGCAGGAAAGTGTCATTTTGACCGGGGTGGCACAGCTGGGGCCCTGACATAAATCGAGGTTACCCACCAGCGTAGGCTTGTATGTTTATGTGAATAAGTAAAGCATTTCTGGTTTGTTAGTCTTGGAGGATTATTGTCAGGTTGATAATAAATATAAGAGCGAAACAACCACAGACATGATTTATTATTTGACATTAAAATCTAAACGGACATTAACAGTGATATTTCTCTTGTTACAAGGTCATGAAACGTTTATTTTACTCAGTTAAAGATAGAATATTAAAAGTTCTCACTGATAAAAACAGAAATCCAAAAGCCCCGTTTAACTCATAATCATCCAGAGTGTTTCCACTTTAGCTGGCCTTGATCACATCTTGTTGAGTGCTTAGTGAGTCCCACATGAGCTCATCTCTAGTCTACTTAACATCATGCATTGGTGAACAAACTGCATCAGGATCTGATCTAGAGCTGTTGTGGGAACACAGACATTGTCGAGAAAATCACGATCACTTAACCGTCCTCGTATTGACCCATCGTGAGCTTGTGAGGATGTGACTGTCCTGCACTTACCCTCCAAAATGTTAGTTTCATTCAAGTTTTTGAAGTGTTGATCCGTGTGGGTCACAGGTGATGATCTGAGCCTGTGAAATCCCGATGTTTTATATGTGCTTAAGAAATTGGCCTTCAGTTGGTGTCACACCCATTAACCTCATTATTATCATCATTTCTCTAATTTGGCACATTCAGATATTTTGATGTCGGCCAAAAGACACATGCTCATGATGTGGGAGGAGCTCTTGTGTTTTTTTTTGCAGTGCATATAGAGAGCATACCCATGCATGTACATACACCATCTTACACACCACACGCAGCACAGCTCAGACTCACCTTTACACCTTTCACTCCCAGAATGGAGGGTTCATTACTGCAGCCTGACTTCAGCATCTAAGCCAAACGACTGCTGGTTTCAGTCCCACTGTGACCTTTTTTTTGTGATTTTGTTGCCGCTGAATGGTGCGATGTGAAACGGTGAGAGGGAGTGTGTCGCGTTTGCTGTCGCCTGGCTTTTGTGTACGTGTGAGGCAGTGTTTGACTGTATAATCAATCGAATTCTGTCCCCCAAACTGTCAAATATGTGTGTACGCTTGTATGTGTAATGTGTCTTGCTGGGGGTTTATGTGTGGTGCTGTTTGTCCTCAAGGTTTTTCCCCACAGTGACCCCAGAGGCGGCTCTCACAGAGAGAGACAGAGAGAGAGAAAGAGGGAGAGAGAGTGCCTTTGCTGTCCCCTTACACCCGCACACTAATCCTTACCATGATATCTGGAAATTAAACACTATCTTCTCTTGATAAAGCTGCTTTCAGCTCCTCTCAGCACTGTAGTACATTCTTCCAGATTCATTTGTTGTAATGCAACAACGTGTATCAATCAAAGGCACAAATCCAAGTATGTCTATTTATTTGTGAGCAGTGTCCTCAACAATGTGTTATTCGTTTTCATAAATATATTATACAAGTATATTTTCCCCCCTTCAGTTTACACCCTGGAATGAAATTTCAGCAGACCCTGTCTCTGCCCACAATCGCACCCACACACACCCACACATACACATACACACACATACATACGCACACACATGTACATCATATTTATCACATTATACCACACCAGGAAATTGGTGTCCGTCTTCTTAAGCCAACAAGAAAAAAACTCACCCTCTTTTTCTCTCTCTTTTCCAGGGGCCGAGGGCGAACAACATCGTGGTATTCCCCTTACTAAACCCCCCCCCCTCCCCTCTCCCATACACCCCCTTACTATCAACCCTTTCCCCTTATCTGTTCCCATTTGAAAAAAAAAAAGAAAACACTGAAAAAAAGAAAAAAACACAATGAAAAAAAGCCCTCTCCTCCCCCAACAATAAAAGAAGAGAATCCCAGAAGAGAGAAAAAAAAGACAAAAAAGGAAAAAAAAAAAAACTACTCCTGGACAGAGAGACTGACTGGCCGCAGTGTGCGATTGTGTGTGAGCGTGCGTGTGCTGGAGGTTGATGCGGTCGCCCCTGGTAAGGTATATGTTGGCCATCGGGGAAACTATGGTGGCAGATTTTTTTGTTTTTCATTGGTTTTTGAGGGGATGGAAAGGGGAGGGGGGGGGTACAAGGGGAAGATGATGGTATCTCAGGCTGCAGATGTGTCTCCTTTGGTCTGGCTGTGACCTCCTGTTTCTTTTTTTTTTTTTTTTCTTTTTTTACACCATCACCAACACAGCCCACCCACTCACCTTCCACCACCACTACCAAAACAAGAAAAAAAAATGTGTGGGGTAAACGGCGAAAACAGAAAAAAAGATACTGTATTCATTTTTAAATGTACCGTAGAAATGTGATGCTTCTGATAGCCAGAGTATTTGTTGTTGTGTTTCAGTTTGTGGTTTGAAGTCTATCATTACCTCCCCTGCCCCTGCCCCCCCTCCCTCAATCCAACCCCATCTGTGTTGGCAGTTTTCTGCCCCTTCACCACTCCCCTCCCTGCATTACTTTATCTCACGTCTCCCCCGCTCCCTACCTCTTCTTTGGCTCATCTCACCATGGATTGTGTTCTTCTGTCCGCTGCTCTCCAGGCAGTGACGGACCTTCAGTGTTCAGTGCGATTATTCATGTTTAATTTCCGCTCCTGGGCGGGGCTCCTTATGTGCCGCCACCTCCCCATCGCTTGCCCATCCCTGTCCCCACCTCCTCAAACATGGCCACAGCTCCTCCTGATTTCTTAGACAGGCATCAATGTTTTTATTTTGTGCGCCCTGCATTCCCCCCCGACCCTTTTCCCCTCTCCCCCTCTGTGCTCCCTGTCTCTTCTGTTTCGTCTCTCCCCTTCCCTTTCCCTCCCCCCCTCCTCTCTTTGTATATTAGACCACTTCTTGTCGTTTCAGGTTTCAGGACCAGTGGAGGCTGACGACCCCTCCCCAGGTGGCGCCGGCCCCCCCCACTGTCTCTGCAGCGTCTCTCTCTCTCTCTGCTCCCGCTATGCACACTCACCCCATCCTGTCCGTGTGGGGGGGCGGGGGAGGGGGGCAGGGCGACCACAGGCCTGCCACAGGGGGCATTTACTACAACAGCAAACGCTGATGATGCTTTCAGGCCCCTTCACACCTCAACTCACTCACACATGGATGAAACAAACACACACACACGCACACACACACACACACTTAAACACCTGTTCAACATACACCACAGCACATTGCAGTACAGGCAGCACTTAACAGGCAGCCAACCCAACACATAATTTATATACAGAGCTGAAGACAGCATAGCTGAGTGGCAGGCAAGTTTGTGTGAAAGTGAGAAAGCAGGACCAGAGGCAAGGGTTTTTTCGGGGGGTGCACAGTGCAGAACTTAAGAGGCCCATTCTCTGACCACGTGCAGTGAAGTCACGGCTTGTCTGAGGAAGGCAGACGAGCTAACGGCATTATTAATTTAATAAATGGAGTGTGCTGGAGCTGTTGTTTTAGGGCTGGGGGAAGTCAGGTGTGGGGTTCGTGTGGAGCCTTTCTTTCTTCTTTTGAAAAGGGGGAGTGGGTTTGATCAAATGTTTTGCTTTTTTAATTTTTATTTTTAACCCATGAGTCTGTAATTAGGGGAAAAAAAATAAAGACATTGTGTAAAAATGAGTCTGTGTCTGAGTTATTTGTTCAGATTGATCACTTCATTGACAGAAACCTGCACACTGAAATATGTATTTTCCGAACATAAATCAAAGATGAATCACTCCCTGGAGCTCATGTTACTGTCATGAAGGTCAGAGAAACCTTAATTAGTTTAATACTAACACAAGTCATCCTCTCCAGGGAGTGGTTCACTCTGGAATCCTGACACTTGATTCTTCATCAGGTATGATTTTAATGCTCTTAGTCACTTCTTGGGTGGGAAACTTAAATTCTGAATATTAAGGGTTTTTCTTTCAGCTCTGGTATTGGTCTGCTAAGAGCACACATCTCTGCTTGTTGCAGGAGAAATGCTAAAGTTAACTATTGACAGCTCTCTCTCAATCCAAACCCACATCAGTAATCTTACCTGGTCTGCATAGTTCCATCTTCGCAACATCAATCGTCTCCACCTCTCCCTCAGCCCTCATACTACCTCAATTCTCATCCACAGCCTTGTTACCTCCCGTATTGATTATTGTAACCCTTCTCTTTGGCCTTCCTCACAAATCTCTCCATAAACTTCAGCTGGTTCATCACCCCCATCCTCCTGCAGCTCCACTGGCTCTCTGTTAAATTCAGAATCCAATTTAAAATCCTCCTGTAGACATTCAAGGCCATCCACAATCTCATCCCCTCTTAACTCTCTGATCTCCTCCATGTAGTCGCCTCCTCCCTCTCCCTTAGATTCTCCATCCACCTCACCATGCCCCCTGCCCTACTCTGAAACCTACCCACCTGACATCCAGAAAATTAACTCTTCAAATCCAGACTCAAAACCCACCTGTTCAGATTAGCCCACTCCTTGTAATATTGTTTATTTTTTAACTCTATTGCTTTTATCTGTTTTTATGCTGCTGTTCTTATTTTGTAAAGTGACCTTGAGTGCTGAGAAAGGCGCTTATAAATAAACTATTATTACTACAAAGACCTATGGCTCTGTTACAATCAAGTCAACTAAGAAGCCTTGATACTGTCAACCAAAAAGGCATCATGATAATCAGACATCAATTTTACAACTGATCAGGAACGGTGCTGAATTAAAAAGTTCTTCATTATGACTTCCTCGGGAACAAGAGAAAGGAACTACATCTGTCATACATGATGGTCTGTTTGATACTGCCCTCTAATGGACATAAAACATCACATACAAATACAGACGACAGGTATTCTTTATTACAAACATCATATGAAAGGGGTCTGGGATTGATTACTGCTGTTTCACTAACATCTTGCTCATAAATTCCCGATGACAGCTTCATGAGAAATCCTCCAATCCTCATTTTATCATCATCCTGCATCACTGGACATCGCGTTTCAGGTCTATCGGTGCTTCCTGAAAGCTGCAGGACAGAAAAGATGACAGGTCACATAAAGCTGTTTCCAAGTTTGAGCAGATTTTCTAAACGGAGGTTTGGCTTTTTGTTCCCCTGCTTCTTAAATCAACATGTTTATCTGTAATATTGCAAAATAGTCCGCCCAAAATCGCTTGTTTAATAAAGTCTCAATGTTTTAGATGTTTATGTGAAATTAATACCATAATTTAGATGATCTATGATTGCTCATGTTATTTTTTCCCATAAAATCTGAACATTCTGGATCATCTCCTCACCTTTTCTTTTGGTGTTCTTCTTCATGAGTTTCTTCTTTTTCTTGGGCCGAGGATTATCCGCACCCTGTACCACACAATGACAAATCAGCCGTCTAACTCTGGATATAATGTAAATAAAAACATCCTGCAATGCTGCCAAACAACATAAACAAAAATCGAACCATTCTGCCTATTTTCTCTAATGTCCATCCTAACATTCGACACCTCTCTGATACATGGAAACACTTCTCACCTCTCCGCCCGTCAGCGCTGTGATGTCACTGAAGTGTGTTATACCGCTCAGCTGGCCTGACATGGACATCATCCCTCTCTTCTTGGAACTCTTCATCTGTTTTGGCATGTTGAGACGCACCAGCATCGACTCCTCATAATTTTTCCTGTAAGTTAAAGACAATATTTAAGCTTTTAGCCCTGCACTTGACGCCGACTTTGATCAGCCTCCAAACAAATGAGCACCTGTGTAGCTCCTCACGGCTCTGCCGATCACTCTGGAAGTCTCTCCTATCTCTGATCTCCTCGGGAGCGTCGCTGTACTGCTGTCTCAGCTCTTGGATGACAGAACTCCTGAGAGCGGCCCGCCGCTGCCGCTCTGCCTGAGCCTTCTTCTTGTCCGCTTCTGTCATATCACCATCTGCAGGAAAGAGGTCAGGAAGGTGGTGTTCAGTTAAAGCTCAAATGTTGTCCTCTAGACTTGCTTGATGATTTCCAAACAATGTGATTAATGTGTACAAAAGGCTGAATCTACATTACCGTAATGCACTGCAGCGATCTTTGGTGGGACATATTTCTTGCTATGAGAGTGGGCTGCTTTCTTCTCTGAGGCTGTTTTATTCTCAGTTTCACCGTCAGACTCTTCAGATTCACTCAACTAGTGAGAAAGCAAGTCAGGAGTTTATTAACAATTCAGTAAAATTCAGACGCATTAAATAACAGAGACATGTGACCCTTACTTTACTGATGAAATTCTCAGGATTGGGACGAAGCTGCAGTGGGTCGTTTTCAGCTGAAAGACACAAGGCCCAGTGAAACTCTTGCAGCTTCGAAGAGTGTGAGTTGACCTTTATCTTACACCTTTCATAAAAATACTGACAAAACCAGCTGCATCTCAACCCAATACCACTCACCCAAACTGCCAGTTACAGCTGTACGCACAAGTTTATCAATCTGATACTTCAGCTTGTGATCGATCGGCCGCATCTTTTCCAGGACCTTAAAGACAGAAGGTAAAAGAAAAAGGATATCGGGTCAGCTGGATGGATATTACATCATTGGTTTGTTGTCTCTATCACCAGCGTCTCACCGTTCTTATTGTGACCACTCTGTTCAAGGCTTCGCTGCCTTTTATTTTTACTCCCTCTGTTTTGAGAGACACAAGGTGAACAAGGTCTTGGAGGTAGAAGAGCAGGAGGTGATACCGAAGATCCAGGAAAGACAAACCCTGCAGGAAACAGTGAAGAATGAGAGGAGAGGCAATCTACACTAGAATGAGACGGATGGGTTCATATGACAGGTGGTCTGTGATTATGATCATATAGAATGTGTATATTTTTTAAAATCCTACAAGAAACCTTTGTAGCAGGAGAGTAGGTAAATTGTGTTTAGTCTCTTTGCTAAAGAAATTAGGCAAAGCTAAAAAGATGTTTTGTGGCTAAGACCCTAAATGTACGGTTGATGAAGTTAGGTGCTGTTCAGAGCATTATTTGTGGCTATAGAGTGGCGTTTTGGTTGAGGTTTGTTTATGGCTCCTCACCACTGTGTATTGCTATCATGCGGTCTTTACTAAAGTTGGTATAACTAGAGAAGCAAGCGATCGGCAATATTCATCTCTTGAAAGGGTATCTAACTTGGTGTTACGGTGTATTTGACCCTAAATTTTAATTTTACACTGGAATATCCCTTTAACAAAATGGGAAAACAGTAATGCAAACACACAGACATATACATTTGTATGAAAAAAGATAAGATAAGGTTGTTCAGTCCACTAGGGGGGCGCCAAAATCGACACAAACATAAAGTTCCTCACATGAGCTTTAACATCATCTCACCTTTGAAGTCGAAAACGCTCCATCTTTAACTTTTGTCAACAGCTCACGGACATGACTTGTAACCGATGCAACCTGAAGATGAACAGGACACACACAAGTGAGGGTTACTTTATCCAGAAAGTTTACGGACATCATAATCAACATTTAACTTGAAAAATTCCAGTTCTTACCTGCTCTGTCAGACCCCTCAGCAGCTGCACTGCTTTAGGCAGATCACTCTCTATTAAATCCTACCATGAAACACAAACAAATAAGATTACAGTGCAAAATTACAGACACTGTCTGATCAGTCAAATTTCTATTATCTTGATAATACTACTTAGTTAGCTAGTGGTTAGCATAACTCATGTAATGAAAAACGGGCGATAGACAATCTAGTATAACGAGGAAGTTACCCGGCTATACATTAACTCTTTTCCAGTGAGCACTATCAAATCAACATAATTTGACAACACACAAAATACATGTTTCATTATTTAGAAACACACACAACTTCACTCACGTTGTCCGTAGTTGCAGCCATTTTGATTTCAATGCAACCTAAGGTGGCCGCCGAGGGACAAAAAAAAGTCAAACAAAACTCGTGCACGTTATCTTTCTGTCGTTCCTGTTTTCGTCTTTATTTTCAACTACACATCATTTAGAACAATGTGCATGGTGTTATTATATCTGATTTGTGATGATATATTCACAAACAGTAGATAGTATTTTATTTAAGGTACTTTATCTTTTGCTATTATTGTAAAGAGGAGAGATAAATACAGAGGGGAATACACTGTAGTTCATATGAAGTTGATTAAAGAGAGGATATTACACTTATTACTTTAGATTTATATTGTATTATTTTATATATCTAAAGCTTCTTAAGAGCTTTACATTATTTACAGTTACTTTATTTAATCCTCTTTCCCTTTAAGACAATCCAGCAATCCAGAACCCTGCATTCTGGAAGCCTCCTTCGCTGTTACCAGGTGACAAAGTTGTTCTGTTGGGGAAATTCACTATCTGGTGATGCCATGATTCAGGCAAATTTCATATTTACCTTATGTATTGTGTAAATCTTTGAACCCGACATTCAGAGCACCCTGTAGTGCCATCTGGAGATTATTTCAACACACATTAATGTGACAATCTGAAACTTAACTCATGTATAGTTAGTACTGACATCCAAGGTTTGAATTAAAGTTTGTTTTCAAAAGTGAAAAAAGAAGCACAATACCACCTCTTTAACTGTCTAAAGACTGACTATTGATTTGTAAATGTATGCGTCATGAGCACGGTATGGAAAATCTGTAATAATTGTTTCCGTCACTGCTGTAACTGTAACACTACTGATTTGTTCATGCCAATAGTGCCATTTGAGTTTAAACTTGGAAGAGACAGAGAGAGAGAGAGAGAGAGAGAGAGAAAGAGGAAGTGATGGTGAGATAATTAGAGGGGTACCTGTTTGACTCCTGTCTCTTAGACCATTTTCAACTGAACTGTGAGAGGACTCTGAGGAACTGTAAGAGTCTGTGGAAAGCGTAGTCATGGTGAGTCAAATCAAACCTTTATTAGTGGCCTTTGTGATTATTGATCACAGATTGCTAATGCTTTATAGCCTGGACAAAAAAAGAGAACAAAAAGAAATTAAATTAGAGATGTTTTTAATTTGTAAAAAAGCTGATTTACATTTTTTATTTATTTATTTTAAATATTTTGTGGATACTTCATTTGTCACATCTTTCATTGTATTTTGCTACGACAATTAGCTTTCATTTAAAAAATTAAAAAAAGTACTCAGTAGGTGAATTTGACATCCTTACATACTAGTCTAAGTTTCCCAAGCTAGACTTTATCTGAAGACATTTTCAAATCCAGAAACTGGGATAAGTAATGAAATACAATTATGGTCAAGTTCGATTATTTACCTGTCAAACTAAACCTGTTTAATTGAAATTAAAGATGTGAAGTTCATCATTTGATTATTTGAAAATAATCAAATATGAAGATCGTTGGCAGTTTTTTGACGGAGGTAGAAAAAGTATGAAGATGTTACACCTGAATAAGAGCAGAAAATTTGTTATTCTTGAGCTGAATGATGATCTGTGTTTAAATGTTACACAGACAATAACATAAGCAGTAGCTGGTCAGATTAAATCATACTTTTTATAAGCTATTGATTTGGTGCAATGCATTTTTTAATGTTCAAACAATAACAGTTATATTAATAGTGTAATGAAGACAGCATCATAAAATAAATATTCAGCTCATGATGAAGAAATCTTACTGTCTCCAAATCCCTCCAGATGTCAGATACCAGGGTGTCCTCTGTCATCCAGGAGTGGACGAGCTCATACCAAGGTCAGCCTCACAACCAGACCACCTCAAACCAAGCCAATTCGAGCAATCAGTTGACTCCGATGGACATGATACCATACAGCCAGTCTCAGGGGCTGATACGAGGAAGCAGCGATGACAGGGTGGCAGAGCAGATTATGGGACTGTCTTACCTGCCGTACACAACTTCCTGTATTAGCAACACCTCAAGCACAGGGACCACAAACCACCACCAGAGCCACACCAACTCCCAGCAGGTGTGTGTTTATGAAATCCATTTTCATTTTTTTTGCTGTACAGACAGAGCAAACACTTAACAGCTTGAATATTTCTGCAGGACTTCTCCTTCCTCCTACCAACTCTGCGGGCTCCAATTAACAAGAGGAGCATCAGCAAGGACAGCGCCGAGTACCGCCTGAGACGTGAGAGAAACAACATCGCTGTGAGGAAGAGCCGGGACAAGGCCCGCAGGAGGATCCTGCTGACCCAGCAGAGAGCCTTGCAGTTGCAGGAAGAAAACCAGAGGCTCCAGACGAGGATAGGACAGCTCACACAGGAGCTGGACACTCTCAAACACATACTGTCACAGCGACATCTGCATGGAGCCGAGGACGGAGCAGCAGGAGAGTCAGGCATTTAAAGTCGAACCCTCAACCCCTTTCTTTTCATTCTGTAACAGCTGACTGTAAACATTGATCATTAGGGCCAGGCAGGCCTGACAAGCTTGTAGCTTCTGCTCACATATTTTTAATCTGCTGAAAAGCCAAGAGGCAGATTCAAAATATTTCTATCAACTATTTAGTCTGTATCCCTGTATTCCTATCTATGCACATTTTTAATTCATGAAGACGATGTCTGTGGAAGAGCAGGGAAAACGTTCAGTCAAGTAACAACTAGTGTGGACAAAAGCTTCAAAATAAGATATAACAATAGAAGTCATACACACAGAAATTATTTAGGAAATGACATGGATTAAATAGTTTTGAGTTCTTTAGTTAAGAGGATCATGACATGTTAGTTTTGTTATGACATTGGGGCTTTTTAAAATTGTGGATGTGCAGTTTTGAAGATGTGACATTTTCACGTAAAGATTCCAGAAGAGACGGAAAGCTGCATGTTTACTGAAAACCTCTCTAAAACACATTTTTGGCAGACCTTTCAAAAGGACAATCATCCCTTTGCTTTGCGCTAATTAGATAAGAATCAAATTGTACAGCGTTGCTTCATCATCTACCTTACACTTCTCATCATTGTCCCGCTGATTGTAAGTGTTGTTGCCCAATAAGTTACACAACAACCTGTGGTTTCTAAGGGCATTAAAGCGAAATCTAAGTATCTCTCTGTATAAAGCAAAACCCTTTGTCTGAATAAGCGGATTACTTTGACTAAAATGCTGCAGTTTTGATTCACATGTTGAAGTTTTAACTTTGTTGTTGGATATGTGTTATATTCTATTGTGCCACTCTGCTCAAGCAAAACTCTGTCAAAGATTTGTTTAAATGAAAAGCAGCTGCTTGTGTTTGATAAGAAAAACAATAAAAATACTTCATAAAAACATAAAATGTAGAGATATAACGTCTAGATATGCTCTTGGTTATTGAAATATGATTCTTGAAATGGCCTTCATTAATGAAAAAACATTAAAATTTGCCTGCAGTACACCAAATCTTTAAAATTAACATTAAAATGCTGTGATTTATCTCTGTTTATACTATTATATATCATTCCACTCACTGCAACTTACAGAAGTTAACACGCTGTACACCTGCCAAATTATTTACCATAAGTTGTCTAGCCACAGAAACGGACGTCATGCCATGGACCGTTGTGCACCAGCGGTTTCCCTTTGTGGGATGGGCAAGATTTCGACACAGCGGAGGACAGAGATGAGGAGCAGAGTGATAATATCAGTGTTTCGGGCTGCCAGAGCTTTCCTGTGGCTGTGATGGTAGTGAGGGGACAAGAGATAGGAGACTGACAGGAGGGGGTGGGGGCAGCACGCCAAACACGCTTTTTTATTTTTTAAAATAACCCCCAAAACCTTTGTTATAATACCTGATGAAATATTTCCAACACTTTCAGATCACGAAATAAAAAAATTGATAATAGTCTTTTGCATATAGAACCTTAAATCAAAGATTATGAGGCTTCTGAACTTGGTGAAGGTTAAACGCTGAATGCAAACATCCAGTTCCCCCTTTTGCTCTGTTTGTTCTTTGTTGACGTTAATGAAAGTGAACATGTGTCTGAAAGTCTCGTCAGAAATGATTTTTGCTTTTTTTATAGTACTGCTGGAGGGGCATCAAAGTCCACAGGAGGCAACTTTAAGAAGTTTTTAGCATCCCATTGGTGAAGGCTCCTTATTTACACGGGGACTCGAAGTGTAACAATCATCGTAGTATTGGGCAGTGCATAATGACTTCTTGTGTGACCGAGTCTGTTGAAATGTCCAACACTGGCTTGTGGGGCAATTTGTGGTCCCAGGACTGCAACATCTCCGCAGAGTGAAGAAAGACTGTGTTTCACCCAATCCTCACTAAGTTACTCAACAACAGCAGAACTCCAGCACGACTTCACAGCCCTCATCTGTAAGCTTCTCACAAATCCATGTCATTTATGACAGCTGAAGACCCCAAAGCAAAGGGCGATTACATGTTTGAACACTTAAACAGTAAAGGAGTTAGTTTAAGAGTAAGACACATAACATTCTTCTTATATTAACTACCTTCAGATACACATGCTCACAACAAAAGGCAGCCTCCAAACTCTGCCTTTCATTTCAGGTTCTTAGCTAACTTTCAGAAAACTTTCAAGTAATGGCAAATATTTTAAAAAGTCACTCTAAGTCCTGCAAAGACAGTTATACAGACTCATTCTCTGTTGCATTTGTGAAAAAGCAGACGAGGCCTTCAATTCGTATTTTTCACAAAATGGAATTTTTCTCTATTCCAACCTTTATGAAAGTGGTCTCTTGAAAAATAATATCACCACCCACTGAGCACGAGTCCCCAACACCTCTATAAGACACCTTACAAGAAGCATCCTTTATGAAGTTGTTGTCTGTTTATCCAGCAACACCTACTCAAACCTGAACAGGAAAAGGTGGAAGGGCAAATTCAAGAGATGAATTCTTGTATTAAAAGTGAAATGAGGAACAAATAAATTCATCCAGGCAGGCAAAACATGTGCAGAAGAATTAACAACAAATGTAAACTTGTAGAATAAAAATTTAAGAGTTTATCTGAAATGTACATCCCAAAAGGGAATAACATAGAGGCAGAAACAAGCCAATATGAGAAGGGTTATAATTTAAAACTGAATAAAAAACAACAACATTTAAAGCGCTGATATGTTTCATTTTCCCTAAATAATGTTCAAGGTGATCAATTTCACCAAAAAAGACAATGCTTGGGGGATTTCTGTCTATCAGTAGCACTTTACAGAAATCAGCAACAATACAGGGGTTACAACTTTGTCCACAGGGGGCGCCAAAGTCAACACTGACAGAAAGTTTCTCACTGGATCTTTAAATGTTTAAAGATAAAAGTATGAGAAACAAAGAAAAGTGGTTCTTTGTTTTGGACTTGACATTGGCAGTGAGTGAACAAAAGAGACTGTATCACTACGGAGTTAATCACCCAGTCCTTCACAATGGACAACAGAAATGAAGTACATTTAGAGTTTTTATTTCATGTTTTTTTTCTAACGTCTAGAGTCCTTCATACAGGATAACAGTCCTATTTCATTTATCACTGACACTGCCATTGAACCCCATGGCCTGACTGTGTTTCATCAGCCACACAGCCTAGCCGAGACGGCCGCCACTTCCCCTCAAAATGAAAGATAACATCTATAACATGATCACCCACAAAAAAATCCAAGCTGCCTCCTCTTCAAAAGTGTGTCACAATTTGTTGCCTCATTTTAACACTGATGATACACAGTCTAAGCTCTCACTTAGGCGTACAGCATCCACATATCCCAGGTATGTCTTTGTCTGTGCATGGTCAAAGGGTCAGACAGCAGAGCCACACAGCTGAGCAAACATTATAGTAAGAGCAGTTTGAAGAATATTTAGGGTGAGTTGTACAGCAGGGGTCCTGATGATCCAGTTGCTTTATAGGAGTAAATAATAGAGGCGTGTTTGCAAAACACTTTCATATTACATATCACCTTACTACAAACAAACTCTCAATGGTCTTCAAGATTTAGACAAAGGCTGGATTAATGAATGAATAGATGAATATGATTTTCGTGTGGAAATGTATTAAGTTCATCAATGTCTCTTGACTGGAAAAACATTTATTTGACTAAATAATGAAGTTTCAGTGCATGAGACTTACACGATTATCTCTTATATATAGCTCCACCATGCGGTGGAAAAAGCGTATATTGCACATTTATAAAGATAGTAAATAGAGGTACAATGTATCACTCTGGTGCTGATTGTGAAGACAAGAATACAAATTTATTTAACCACATCAGGTACTTGACAAGACAAAAGATGTGCAAGAAAAAAAAGGGTTATACAAGAAAAAGTATAACAATATAAAAATTGTATACAAGGCATGATCTGTGTTTCATTGAGTAAATGCATCTTGCACAACACAGGCCTGATAATAATAATAATAATAATAATAATAATAATAATAATAATAATAATAATAATAACTCATAGTGGCTGTATTTATTTTATTTAAATCTACGGCCTGGGAATGATAAAACATTTTTTTTCGCAAAATCATAGTATTTATAAGTGTAATTTTCATCATCTCAAACAGAGATATATGACACTACAAACCTTCTTTCTTTCTTTCTTTTCAGAATGACGTAGTAAAACTGATTATATCAGAGTAAGACATCATACTCAATAGACGATCTCTGTGAGAATCGTCGTTTCCACGATGTTGACCGAGTTTTGCCGAAACGTGCCGCCGCCAGTGGAGCCGTTCACCCTTCGCACAGGCTTCTCCCATCTCAGCTTCACACCCGCTCTTTGTCCATGACCGGCTGACCGACGACGCGTTTCCCCTTTAAGAAGATGTCGGGCGATATTATGGCTAATTTGCTCATTTTGTGTGATGGAGGCAGACAGAAACCCAAACCGCGCAACAACGTTAAAAGGCAGCGACGGTAGGAGATGAGTGTAACAACCCCGGCGGGCATCATCTCGTTTCCAGTGACGGTTGTTAGCTGTGCTCGGGACTGAGAGGAGTCCGGTGTCCTTGCTTGTGTCAAAGACAGTGTCTGCGTTTACCAGAGGCTTCAACCTTTTTCCTCTCGAGACGGAAATGTCTTGTCATGAAGCGGACAAAGCAGACTGGCATCGAAGCGTAGGAGAGACACGGTGACTGCGGTGAAAACTATCCTCTCTCCCCCATTCCCCCTTTCACCTCGCAATGTTTTGGATGCTTGGAAGAGACAACAGGAAATTTGCACATATCTGAAAGCCTTTTAGAGGGGTAAGTAACAGTATCCGGACTATCTTGAGTCATGGCTGTCGTTGTAATAGCAGCTGGGTGTTTGACCAGTCTGCCGGGGCAGGTGGGAGTGTTGTCAGTCCCTGGCCCTGGCTGCGTTTCCCCATAACATTCTTCAATTTATTCCCCTCACACTGCTGTTGTTGTTTTATTTGGTGAATTTGCATGTTCACAGAGGCTAGTCAAACCCCAGAGTGCTACATTCCCTCCACGTCCCTCACCCTTTTGGTGTAGAAGCTCTTATGTAACCCTGTGGGATTCCTCTTTCTGTGAGACTTCCCGGCCCTGTGTCAGGAAAACACAACGACGCCGACTGCCCTGAGAGAGAGCACCATGTGCACCGACAGAGGAGGCTGGTGAGGAAAGCACAAGCTGTTCACATTCCAGCCCTTCAACTGGGAACACACAGAGAGCAGCCTGTAATACAGAGGAGGGGGAGAGAAAAGACCACCACCATCCTTTTTACTTTTTCATACCAGGTTTTCTCAGGATGACATAATAACCACAATGGGGAATTCAGTGTCTAACAACAAAGAAATCAACAACAGTTTAGTGTGGTTTTTACTGTGGGATGATAAAAGCCAGTAGAGGGGAGAGTGGGGTAAGTTAAGCCACCCCTTGTTGCTTGGCAATGGTAAAAGAAATTGATCATGTGACCAAATATTTAGGAGATGGGCATCAATTTATGTACTCTGTGAAGGTTAGAAGCACATCGGTGAAGGGGTAAGACGTTTATTTACAAAAAAAGAGTTTAGTCTGTCATAAGTTTGATCAGAATTGTGTTCAGACCAAAAAAGATAATTTTAAATTAGTTTTACACATGAATTTTGGTATCTATGAGCTACAACATGAGGTCAAAAACAACATAAAAGTCCACCATTTTTGCTTAGAGAACTAATAAAGTCATAATAATATTTTTGGGGTAAGTTGAACTGAGAAAGTCTGATGAGACGATCAGAGTTTCAGTTCAGATTGTGGAAATGTGTTACTTTTTCTTCTCAAAAATACAGCTGTGAATGTTCTGAATCTCTTAAGTCACAGGTGTCAAACTCTACCACAGCCAGGGCCATAATCTGGATTACGGTTTTACCTGAGGGCCAAACAGGGTCAACATTTCACCAAAACTGTCAACCCTACTTCTCAAAAAGTATGTAACAAAAACATTTTAATTTTTTATTCTATTTTTATTTATTAGTTCAAAAGATCAGAGCATGATATTAAAAATAGAAAAATTATGCTTTTTAAGAGCAAATACATGAGAAATAAAAAAATCCAGTCATGTTTGACTTGTAATCTTAAAATGCAAAATTGAAAACATGAAATAAAACACCAAATATTTTTCTCCCACATTCTTGACTATTTATCAAATCTTCCTTACTCTTGAATTTCCCAGATTTCCACGGTTTATTAAGGACATTTTAAATAATGGTGCTAAGGTTTACATTATTATACTGGAGGAAATCTGCATACTTCATACTGGTGGGCCAATAATAATAGAAATATGACATGAACTTGTGGGCCAGATATAATTTTTCCACGGGCCAGATTTGGCCCCCGGGCCTTAAGTTTGACAACCTGTGGCTTAAAGACATTCTCATGTTAAAATGACTTTTTAAAAAACAGCTTTTTAGCAGTTATATGCAATAATGATTAAAAGAATTATTTTACCAGTTGAATAGTGAATGTGAAGAAGTGAAATTCCCCATACAAGGGGTAAGTTGACCATAGGAGACCACTTATATTATCAAGACAGTTATGTTTGCACTCATTCTGTTGGTTTCCAGATAAACTAGTTAGAGACAAAACTATGATTGTCTTGATGTAGTGATCCGATATATGAAAAATGGCTCATCTTACCCCACTCTCACGACCATCCTTTTACTTTTTCATACCAGGTTTTCTCAGGATGACATAACAGGAGTCACCCGAAACCACAATGGGTAATTCAGTGTCTAACAACAAAGAGTATGACAAAGCCTTCAAAGAAATCAACAACACTTATGTCTGGTTTTCACCGTGGGATAATAAAAGCCAGTGTATTCCGGTTTATCCACAACAAACTTGCTCAGTTTACTGCAAACATCGCAAAGTAAAGCAGCGAAGTGTCACGTTTTAAGGTGCAAAAGCAGGTGATGTTTGCTGTTTGTTTAGAAAGAAAAGAGCCTGAAGAGGTGCAGGTAATTTTCTGTGAAGCAGGCCCTCTGGGATCTGCCCTTCTTCATCTCCACACTCCAGAAGAAAGATTTCTCTCTTGTCTTTGAAATCAGTGAAATAATCGTATTTGTGCCCTCCTACTGTTGAATATTTGGATCAGTACAATATAACTGAGAGCTCCTCAGGTCAGTTCCCACTATTCAAATGAGATGCAACATGTGGCTCAGCCTGAAATAACCAAATAACCGTTGTAGAAAGAGAACACACATGAGCAACGCAGCATGCTGTGAGCTTGTGCGCACAGTATCGGGACTCCTGAGTGGAATTAAACAATCATTCATTTGATGTTTAACATGTTTAACTTTACTGTTCTTACTTCTTTTAATGTCTGAGGTGAATCAAGGCTTCTTACAGCACATTTACAGGACTTTTAATCGATCATGTTACAACAAATTTCTCTGTAGTGACTATGCTGACCTGAATTTTAGTCACTTTAGTTTTTGATTAAATGAAAAACAAACAAAAAAAGAAAGATACGTCCAAATTACGACGATGGTGAAGTATGTGACGAGGGTGAGAGTGGTGTCGGAGATTCGCGGTAATACTCGTGTTCTCTTCTCCTTCTCCCAGATCACTGCTTCACCTGTGTCCCTTTTCTAGCATTTACCTGCCCACTCACCTGAAGAGCCCCTCGTGGTGATTGTGTGAGTAACGAAACATTCTCTTTTGTTTTTCCACAGAGCTCTCCAGCTCCTCTTCCCTCTGGCTCGGGACCAACCATCACCAGAACCCCAACAACACCACCCTCGCCTTTCATGATGACATCCCCAGACTCACCCCCACTAGTTTCCCCTTCCCCCTGCCCTGCTCCACCTCCGTCCCTTCCCTCCTCCCCGGTGCCTTCCTCCCCAGCACCCTCCTCGTCCTCCCTGCCCGCCCCGCCCTCACTGCCGCCCACGGGGGAAGTAATGGTACTGGCTCTGGGCAGGAAGAAGCAGAGGGTGCTGATTGCTCTTTCGATTCTCCCCAACCTCTTTCTGGCCTTCCTGCTTTCCTCAGACCCCCTCATCACCCTCTCTCCACCCCATCATTGTCACCTACCGGGGCCCTTGCCGTCGCCTGAGGTCCTGAATGCCTCGCTTCCTTGGGAAAAGGGGGTGAGGCCTGGGGACAGCGGGGGCTTGTCTCAGTGTAAGCAGTATGTCAACGGCAGCCAGTCACCTGTGGTCGACTGCCAGGACGGCTGGGACTTCAACGTTACAGAAGGGCTGAGAAACAACATTGTGACTGAGGTAAAGCTCCTGATTGTTTTAGTTCATGTGTGAATTTAGCATCTTAATATGCTGAAAAGAGTGTTTCTCCTTTATGCTGTGCAAGGGTCTTGCTGAGCATGCAGCCCTCATCTTGCAACGGGCTGCGAAACCTAAATATAGCACATACCTGCAGCTTTGAGTTGGACAGGAACTCTTCTGGTTACGACTAAAGGGCTGTAACTTTCTCAGACTGAGGGTTGTTCTGGTCCTGGAGAGATAGAAATGTTGTGGAAACTTCTCTTTGTTGGCGTGTAGTGGACAACTCCAACGTAAGAGATTTGGGAGATGCCTGATGCAATTTTTGATACACAAATCTCGTTTTGTGAGAATAGTTGTTGTTTGATTCACAACACAGTCAATCAATCAATTAGTCTTTATATTTATAGCACTTTTCATACACAACCATGTAGCACAAAGAATACCCAAATCTACCCCAACCCAACCCCTCATTCCCAACCCATGATCTAAATGCAACAGAAACAGGATTAAGATGCAAAAACTTAAAAAGGGCTTGATTTCGTGGAAACAGGAATGTGCGCACTGAGGAAACGTCATTTTAAAACTCAACATAAGGAAACAATGAAGGTTTAAAATCTAAAAACAAAGAAACATAGAATGAAATTTAAGAAATGATAAATAAAATGAAATAAAAACAACAGTAAAAGATACTAAAATAAGAGCAACAAAACAGCTCAATAAAAAAAGATTCTGTCATTAAAACTAGAATACATAAATGCTAAAACACTTGAAGTTAATGATATAAAATTTAGATAAAAGCAAGACTAAAAGGGTGCATTTCCAGTTTGGTTTTAAAGTCATTAAGATTAGGTGGAGTCCTCAGGTCTTCAGGTAAGCTGTCAAACTCAAATTAATCGACCGGGTTTCCTCTTTGAAAAAGACTCTTCATTGTTGTTGGCTCGGCTTCCCTGCCTCTGAACCCGGGTTAGATAACACCCAGTAACCTATTCATACTCATGAGTTTTACCTGCATCACTGTCAGACTGATTGAGCAATGACAGACATTCCACAGATTACTGAGACATATCATACATTTCAAAGGTTAAAGTTCCCTCAAATACCTCACTGAGGAAAGAAAATCCCTGTTTACAGCTTAGATCCTTTCGACCCCTTTAGTTAAAACCGAGGTGAGAACCTAAAATCACATATATAAGTCGTCGTTAGTGAGTTCAACAAGCCTCTACAAAACCTGGAGTTCGAGCACTTTGGTGGCGCCCTGAGGGTGTGAACCTCCTGCCACTACCTTTGCCTTATTTTTTTGCTTGTACTTAATACATACATAATAAAAAATACAAACAGCATTTATTTCAAACAAGAAGACAGGGTTATAAATCCTAAAATGATTCATTAATATGTTTCTCTAAATGCTGCTGCAGGTCGGCTGAAAAGTTTAAAAATCCTTCGTTTCAGAGCTGAAACTCAAACATTAAATCAGCTGACTGCTCACTCACTGTTTTCCACTCCGTCTGGGTGCTCAGGCCTGCATGTGTGTTGTCATTTTTCTGAGTGCTGACGTGGGAGCCACACCCTGCCCTCCAGTCCAGTGGTACTGGGGCAGCTTTGCTGGTTATCCACCCACACCACTGCAGCAAGACGAAGACACACACACGCTGTGCCAAGGGAGTCATTTAGTGGGATTATTCTAATCCACATATTATAATTATCATGACTTCACTGACTTTATTTATGATTTACACGCCGAGAATGACCTGCAGAGGCGCACAGATGCACAGATTTTTGCTGGTGGGTTGGATGTAACTCTCTGAGTTTTCTGTCATTTTGATTTTTATTTCCTCCAGTTCTGCTGGGCTGGCAGTCTGCTGAGCAGGAAGCACAGGGCCTCTGATCAGCTTTGCCTCTACCGCTAATCAATAAACACTGTGTCCTTTCAGCAGAGGCTAACTCCACGCTACACGCCTGTACTGTGAATCTGTCACAGACCTTTTCCTGTGTCTTGTATAGCAGTGTGATTAAAAGCAGACTTTTCCCGTACGGTCGCATTTGATGGGTGTATTTCCCCCAGGACATTAAAGGAGGAGTAAGAAATCTGAACAGGTTTCTGAATGTCCATACAGAATGATTCTTTTGTCCCCTAGCCTCATTCCTAAAACCAGTCAGAGCAGTTTACAGTCTGGTTTGTTTGCATTTCTCCTCCCTCTGTTGTCCAAAACACTCCACCTGTATGAACACCGTGGGTTGCACTGCTGCCCTTTACTTTACCCATCCTCTGCACCTCAGCAGTACAAACAGCTGATATTATGAGACAAGCTTTTTATGTTTCTGTGCATGAGCTCCAATTATGCGAGGCCTCTTTTTTCATTATTTTATCACCAGACCTCTGCTTCGCCCCAAATCATTAAAATCATTTTGCTCCCAGTAGCTGGCAGACAGCAACATTAGCAGAGCGCAGCTGTTAATGCAAATGGCCGGGGCTGGCTAAATGTGATTAAACTCAGATCTGAGAGTGGATATGTGTTCCTTTGAAAAATGTGTCCTGACTCAGATGCACTGCTGATTGCAACCAAACTGCATTTTCCAAATAGTTAGTAAATAACTGAACAAGAGATACAAAGGATTTGTATTTTTTTTATGAACTACAGTTCTGCCGCAGTCACCCGTAAAAAATAAAGCTTCATCATCCTCAGGTTTTATAATGGATCTCTGTGTACTGCAGCATACAGGCCTGACTACAACAGGGACACAAAATAATTAATCAGTGAGGGAAGGAAGCAGAAGTGTTTTTACACCTACACAGAAATAGAAACTACATTTGGTGGATCCTTCTTATATATTTTTTAATTTGTATATATTGTATTTAAAAGTTGACTTTTTTCAAATCAAAGTGACTGACTAACTAATCCTAATTATGAGGGATCGGCATGATAAACAAAAAGTACGATTGTGTAATCACTATTTGATGACTAATCACATAGTTGCCCTCTTTCTGCTGGGTGTCTCCCTCTCTGTTCGTAGCAGTTGTTGTAGACTTGTGTGATAATCTAGCCTGGTGAGTTTGCACTTGACCCCTCCTCATGGAACATCTTGAAGGGTCACAATCTCATAAAAACACATGTTCACCTGTGCCTGACATAAGTGCTTTCTTCTTATTTTGTAGTTGTTAGTTAGCAAATAGCTTTCGGATTGGCCTCCAGTTTTTGGTAAATATTCTATTTCGAAGATGAGATTTTAGTTTTATGGACTTGTCGATATTCCTGATAAATAAAAGATCTAGGTGTTAGAAAATCATGACTCATTCCTGTTAATAATGCAGCTTGGCTCTGGTTTTTCAAAAACACACAAAGACAAATCTCAAAGAAGGTAGATAAGTGTTGTTGAAAGGTGATGGTGATGTCTGATAACAACTGGCTGATGTCTCTTCCTCCCTCCTGTGACTGTCTAGTGGGATCTGGTGTGTGCTCAGTACTGGCTGGTCCCGGTGGAGGAGGTGTGTTTCATCCTGGGTGTCCTGACTGGCTGCCTCGGTCTAGGTTACACTGCTGACAGGTAATCATGCTCACACATGTTGTCATACACAAACACAAACACACACTCGTGTCTCTACAGTCTACATCTCTGTTATTGTTGCAGGCTGGGCCGGTCCAAGTCTCTGCTGGCTTCCCTGACCCTGTCAGTGGTGTTTGGGGTGCTGGTGTGTGTCTCTCCGTACCCCTCCATCTTCATCGTTATGCGCTTCTGTTTGGCAGCAGCTAGCGCAGGAGTTTATCTCACTCTATACATCACTCGTGAGTTTCAAAACTTAAAGGGATATTCTGACATAAAATTAATTTAGGGTCAAACACACGTAACACCGAGTTAGACACCCCCTCGAGAGATGAATGTTACCAACCACTTGCTTCTCTAGTTGTACCAACTTTAGTAATGACCACACATTAGCAATACACAGCGGTCTACATCTCCATGCGCACACCTTAACCAAAACGCCACAAATAATGCTCAGAACAGCACCTAACTTCAACAACTGTACATATAGGGTCCCAGCCACAGCACTAGCCACCAAACATCTTTTTAGCTTTGCCTGATTTCTTCAGCAAAGAGACTAAACACAACTCACCTACTCTCTTCCAGCAGCCGCTTGATTGTAGCGAGACCTCAGGCCAGTCCATTACGGACTGCTGTTGGGTTACGCAGCTCAAGGAAGCTGTTCTGAGCATTATTTGTGGCTATACAGTGGCGTTTTGGTTGAGGTTTGTTTATGGCTCCTCAGACCGTTGTGTTTTGCCATCGTGCGGTCGTTTCTAAAGTTGGTATAACTAGAGAAACAAGCGGTCGGCAACATTCATCTCTTGAGGGGGTGTCATGGACTTGAATCTGATTGTTTAATTGAAGAGGATTTTGATTTGAACTCCATATTAACTTATGTTCACCATCCAAAGTTTGTGTTGTTGTTTGACCATCAGGTCTGGAGCTATGTGAACCATCTTTAAGGCTGGTGGGCACAATGCTAGCCGGGCTGATGACTGTTGCCGGAGAGCTGCTGCTGCTGGCTGTCGCCCTGGGCTGCCAGTCCTGGAGGGGACTTCTGGGGGCTGGTGCTGCCCCACTTACACTATTTCTTAGTTATGGGTACGAGTAGAACATCTATCATTGCATGTTTATACGTTTTAGTCTTTTATTTAAACCTTATTTAACCAGAAAAAACCTCATTGAGTTTAAAAATCTTATTTGCAAGAGTGTCCTGGCCAAGACAGGCAGCAGTACATTTACAAAGTTACAGACATAAACAATTACAGACATACACAGACAAAACAACCAGCTAAGTCGAAGTCGCAGTATTAAAATAATACTTAAAGTTCCTAGTATGCCGATCCTCTTTTTATGACTTTTAATATGTCGAGAGTGAGAGAATAATGGACCTTCATGGTCTTCTCCTCAAGTGTCTTGATGCCACCTGACATGCTGAAAGCTTTGTCGGATCATATTGATCTTAATTCCCATGCCGCATTGAGCTTTTCAGCTCGTGTCAGATTGCATTAGAGCTACTTTGTTAAAGGCTGCTCGCCCATCTAAGACCTCTCTTACCAGATTAGCCACTTTAGTAGTTTTAAAACCAAATTAACTGAGATCTAAATATCATTACTGGCGTTGGATTGCAGGTTTTTAATAAGAGGAGAAGATTAAACTGGATTAAGGAGTAAACAGCTCTCCTACTTTGGGCTGTTTTCCATGCTGACTGGCTTAATCCCCGAGTGGTCATGTTTGTGTTGGATAAAGGTCAACAAAGATTAAAGAGTGGACCTGATTTGTGCTTAATGTTTTCTCCCCCTGCAGCATTCCTGGAGTATTCCCCGAGTCTCCTCGCTGGCTCCTTTTGTCCGAGAGAACCGCAGACCTGAACTCTTTTAGGGACAGAAGAAACTCCAACAGAGACGTGAGAGACGACGAAAGCTTCACAGGTGTGTGGTGAGCGTAGGTCTGGAGTCGGACTCTTTCCTCTGAGATAAGAATTATTTTATGATACCTGCATTATTTATGGATTATTTATAGCAATGCATTCCACAACATACAGTATGTACTCTATCACACACCACTAAGAGCAGGTAATGGTGCTCATTTATAAGTCATGACCATTAAATACACAATCCCTGCATGAATGTGGACTCGCACTCTTTCTTGCACTTCAAATTTGTGATCAGGGTCTCTAAAACAGTTAATAAGCAAATATACAGATTTGTTTCCACTCTGCCTCAACTTAACCGAGAGAAAGTGTAGTTTCCATGGACGCCACCACGCTACATGAGGAGACAAACTGCTAATGCTGCGTTCGAGTTACCACGAAGGATGTCGGAGCTGAAAATGACGTCACACCCAAGCTCAATAGGAGGCAGAAACAAGATGGCTATGTCTACGAAAGTTATTTTAGCACTTGCCTTGTCCTTGTTATATTCCGACAAGGCAAGCGCTAAAATAAATTTCGTAGATGTAGCCATCTTGTTTCTGCCTCCTATTTAGCTTGGGTGTGACATCATTTTCAGCTCCGACATCTTTCGTGGTAACTCAAATGCAGCTTAAGCTACTGAAAAAGCACTTGATTCAGAAAATAGTAACGCTGCCGACAAGCTACCAAGAAATGAAAACTACCAACATCAAAGTTTGGATCATTTAAATCACTTTGAAAGCACATGGTCTCAGATGAAACACTGACTGAAAGAGTAAAATATCTGTCCAAATATTGTTTAAATGATCTAAAAAGAGTTTTGTTTGTTTTTGTTCCCTCATTATAGAGCTGGACTCCGACCCGGCCCCCTCCTCACGCCCTCACTTGTCCTTCCCCGAGCTCTTCCACTCCAAGAACATCTGGAAGAACATATGTGTGCTGGGTTTCACCTCGTAAGCCGTCCCTCACTGCTGACGTCGGCTGCGCAGTGCTTTGTTTCGTTTGTCGTTTCAGTTCTTCCACTTTGAATCACTCGACCCTGTTCAGAGCCGTAACTCTGTCCTCTACGTGTCTCTGCGTTTCCTCCATCAGCTTCATCTCTCACGGCATCAGCCACTGCTACAGCTCTTTCCGAGGCGACGTCAGAGGCACAGCCCCGAGCTTCTATTGGACGTACCTGCTGTCTGTGTGCGCAGGGGGCGGTGCTTGGCTGTTGCTCTGGGTGACTGTCGACAGGTGTGGTCGCCGTGGTATCCTTCTCCTTTCCATGACGATGACGGGACTGGCTTCTTTGATCCTTCTGGGACTCATGGAGTGTAAGTCGGCCTTTGTTGGCATCAAAGAAAGAGAGCAGAGTCTACCTCCACCTCCGCTGAAATCACCCCCCACCATCATTCAAGCTTCTACACAGATTTAAGAGCTTGATAGAAGCTCAATGGAAGTGTTATATTACCACATCATACATGTGCCACTTGTTTAAAGTTGATAAAACTTCACAGTAGGTTATTGCTTCATGAAAAGCACACTGGTCAGCTTCTTATTAGGAAATTACACGCCATGTGTCTCGCCTTTGTCTCCTCTCAGCATGCTTCACAAACACACTTTCCTCGGTCTCAGTCTCCCCCTTGTGGTAGGAGAGGAGCTGGTCATTTGTTTTATGTAGGGCACTGCAGTGGCAGCAAAGTCAACGCTGTGTCGGATGCTGTGCAATCATGCATCAGAGGCAGAGGGGAAAAGGAGCAGAGAGACCTCCTCTGAGACCCCCCTGTGTTTTTCTGTTCATGGATGAAGTCTGACAGGGTTTTAGGGGAAATATGAGTAAGGGTAGTTCAAGTGTTTCTTAAAAGTACTCCATATTTACTCATGCTTGTCCCTCCTTCGCCCTCAGATCTCAGTGAGACAGCCATCACAGTTTTTTCTGTGCTGGGTCTCTTCTCCTCTCAGGCCACCGCCTCCCTCTGCATCCTCTTCACTGGAGAGATCATGCCCACCATTATCAGGTAACACAAAAACACCACATGCAGACTAGTTTAAAAAAGTTATAATTAAAACAAAAAAACCTCTGTATGAAGTTTGTGTTCAGTTTGGTGTTTGATCTCTGTTGCTGGGCTGAGTCACAAATGAAATCCTGGCATATTTTGGGTCCACTTGATGTTGTCTGTGTCCACAGGGGGACTGGTGTGGGTATAGTGCTCGCCCTGGGTTGTGTGGGCCGCCTCAGCTCTCCGCTCATGGACCTGAGGAACCATTACGGTTACTTCCTGCATCACGTGGTGTACTCCTCTCTGGCATTGCTGGCTGTGCTGTCCATCCTGCTGCTGCCGGAGAGCAAGAGGAAGCCGCTGCCTCAGACGCTGGCTGACGGGGAACAGTACAGACGCCCCCCGCTGGGCAGAAGGAGAAGGGACAATGTGCCACTTCTGGCCACACCTAACCCAGAGACGTAAAAGACTCCCCAGAGGGGGTGGGATGGACTGTGCTCTCATTGCTTATTTACTCGGCATTAAATTAACACCTACCATGTTCTTGGAGGGGAAGAGAAACAATACAGAGCAATATAGAGACTTACAGAGGGGATGGAGTGGAGCATTGATGATGATGGGAACGATCCTGCTTATATACTAACTTCCTTACATATCATCTTCTTGTCATTCCAAGCGCAGGCGGTTGGGTTGAGCTTTCATTTTCTTTCAGCACTTCATTTCCTTCTGTTCGGACGTCGAGGGAAATCTTCCCCGTCCACGCATCCTCCTTATTATCACGCAGCGGGCAGTCGTCCACCACGTGACACACCAGCATCCACTGCTGCACACGGCCCTCCTGTGTGAGACTCTCCTGAAACTAAACGCTGTAGTGTGTAACATCTCAACCGTTTGGCTCTCCATACAGGAATGGACCACATTTCTGTCGCAAGACTCCAAGCGTTGAAAGCCTTGTACATACTCTAGATGTAGTTTCTTTAACTTCTAGGGGCATTTGAGCTTAGCTGACGCAGAAACTGGACGGTACGGTACACTATGCAGTGGAGAAGTGGTGCAGAGCACTTTGAGTACTTCTTATTAAAGATGATGTTTTAAAAGGGAGTTTTGTTACTGTATTATCGACTATTATTAACACTAAGATCAGAGGCTCAAACTTAAACACGTTTTAAGAGGCTGTAAACAGAGAGGTGATCCACCTAGTTGCTGAATCTGGCCTGGAGCCGGTCCTATTTATGTTTTTATTTATGTTACGATTAAAACACACACTCTTAATCATCTAGAGGCTTCGCATTTTTAAGTATTACACTAAATATTGTTAAATTAATGATAAAGATTATGCGGCATGGAACTAACTTCCCAATTTCTGATGTCTCTGATCGAATAACAGTGAAGCTGTTGACTGACACTACATTCCTGTCTGCATGTTTGGAAGCACTGAAGGGCTTATTTTCTGTGTATTTCCTCAAAAGCTTATAGTTAATCAATACCTCTCTAGATGACCAGTCTCAGCTGTGAGAATAGACGGCTATGAGCAGACCGCAGTAGAAGTTTTAGGACGAGGCACATATATTTTTTCGTCAGGTATTAAATGTGCAGGTTTTGAAAGAGGTCGTCTGTTATTTTGCCTAAATCTGTATTGATGCTGTTAAAAAAAAAAAAAAAAAAAAAGGGCCCAATGATGACGCTGCTCCATGAGGTCCGAGCGGGAGCTGAAGAGGGCCCCCCAGAGCTCCAAATTAAGGCCTGATCCCTCAACCACGCACAGAGGATCTATTTTTTCTTTCCAGCTTCCTCATCTTGAATGTGTTTGCTGACGCTGCGTTGCATACGGCGTCGGTTAAATCACGGCGGAGAATTACCAAAGCATGTTGGTTTTAATACTTCAGATGAATCCCGGTTTATGTCAGTGTGCTCGGGTAATTCTTTTTCTCCAACGTTCATGGGTGCGTGATACTAAGTTGAAGAGGGATAGTTTCTTTTTTTTCTTTTGTATTTGGACTCTGAGGTGGGGAGTTTTAAAGAAAAGCTGGACACTTTATTTTTTTGTTGCTGGAGGAATCCTCCGCCCTCGACCTGTAGGAGGTTTTCTTTTCTTCTGTATTTGCACTTACACTGATGATCATTATCACTATGATTAAGCTGACTCCTGTATTATTATCTCTTACAACACTGATGATCTGTTAAGTGTTGAGTGTAATGCAGTTAACTATATAGCCTGATTTAATGTAAAATAAAACCAGTAAAAAAATCTAGATCTGGTGTTTTTTAAGTCTCTTTTTAGTCTCTGAGTGGAGGTTCAGGACTCTCTGGTTGCACCGTCAAAGTCTGGTTATCATTGTAAGACAGGCTGCAGTTATGTATTAGCCACCATAAATTCACTGCAACAATTAAACTTACTGTACATTTGAGCGTTCAAGTATTAAAGGGATTATGTGGCGTATGGATTTTACAGTAAGACTGAATCGATTTAAATCTCATTGCTCTCACTACAGGAGTGTGATGTATAGGATGATACTCTCAGCAGGAACCCTCTACATAAAGTGCTTTAAAGCTTTTTAACAAGATGAAAAAGTGACAGAGTTTTTAAAAGTTTAAAAAGAAATTACAAATCATTGAATTTACAAGTTTGATTGAAGAAAATATACAAAAACAAGTGACAGCTTTCAAAACAAAGTTCAAGGCTGTTTGCTTTTTTAGCAAATATACTCGTGAGAAACAATTCTGTGGGTCCCAAGTCACAGCCAATTTAATATCAGCATTTTTACATTAAAAAACAACAATAGGTACAACAACTATTTTACAATTTAACAATAAAGATGCAGTTTGAAAGAAATGTCCTCTGTGCATTTTACTCAGTGCATCTAACATATCAGCACCAGTAAATACTGCTAAACTGGAAGAGAGTGACGAAGGATATGTAGTCTTCTTCTCCGTAAAGTCAGTCACTGTTGACTGTCTCTTATTCTGCTGTGCACTGTGAAAACAAAACAACACAAAGAGAGACAACAGTGTCAATTCTCTTCACTTTTTTTCTGTGTTAAAGGGGGGCATCATGCATTCTTTTTCAGACACTGTATTTCCTTTCTGATACATTTTAATAGCTTTAAATCTGAAGATTTTCAGATTAAAAAAATACCCCTTAAACCCTTTCTCATAGTAGTGTACTAAAATATCATCGTATCAGCCTCCGTCTGAAATGCTTGGTTTTTGCTGCTGTCTCTTTACATTTTTGGAGGCAGGCTGTTCCGCTTTGCTGGAAGCACATCAACCAGTAAGAAGAGTCTATAATTCCTTCGTCAGACTTACATAAATCTCGCACATAAACTACAGTCTCGCATTTTTGAGTGTTGGTCCGAAATTTGAGGAGTTTACTTCCACTTTCTCAGGCTGTGACAAAATATGTTTACCTTGTGATGTAAAACTTTGCATGCATGTAGTATGGCCACCAAACTTTATAACTTTGCAGTTTTTGTTGTAAATGTGGAAAAGCATGATCCCCCCTCTTTAAAGAAATGTAATCAAAGAAAATACTTTACTTTGTTGTCATGCTAGCTTTAAGTCCTTTTATAGTTTCAAGAATTATTATCTGTCCTCATCAGCATCTCACCTTTTACTGGCTTGTTGCGGCATCTTGACCGAAACCAACTAAAAGAAGAGGAGAAGGGATAAATAAACAAAAACGTAATAAACACGAACTCTCAGGAGAACGAATCTGCAAATGATCATCTCACCACTCGAAGATGATGACTGCTGTGCACAAAGTGACTATTCCCAGAATCTTCACTGTGACATGGACAATAACCCCAAACTCTGGATTACCTGTAAGAGAGAGTGTGGTCACCTGATGCATCATGGAAAGTATAATGTCTCTGAGACATCCTGCACTTTAAATCTTGTGGTAACTTCATATGTAAGTGGCCATCTCTGAGGCTCAAAAGGAAACGTCTAACATGAAACCTTGTGGTTGAAGTGACCCAGTTACAAAGCATTTTTTTTCCATTGTAGAGTTAGCATCATGATGAGTTTCTTGAATATGACAAACTTAATTCAACAATAAAATTTCACAGTTGAATCCAAAAACAGTCATCCGCAAAATCCACAACAAAGAGATGGTTTCTCTACCTTCATTCAGTTGTGTCCCAGGTGATATTTGCGTACCTAGATCATTCCTGGCCACACAGTAATAAACTCCTCCCTCTGTTATATTGAAGATGTAAAACTCTCCTTCAGATACAACCAAAGGTCCATCTGGGCTGAACTTGAACCAGGTGAAGTTCCTGACTGAAGGTTTGGCTCTGCTGGAGCAGGTCAGGTTAACCGTGGCGCCTGCTGTCCTCACATCTGATGGACTGATGGACGCTGAGGTGTCTTTAGGAGCATCTGGGGAAAAATTAAAAAACAAATTTCATCAAAAAAATCACTAATCCTCGTGCCCAGGATCTAAAAGAGTCACGTTTGCTTACATGAAACTCTGAGAGTCCTCGTCTCCTCTGCTGACTTGAAACCTGTTCCTTCATTTACAGGATATGTGGCGGAACAGGTGATGTTGAATCCGTTATGACTGTCCGTCAGAGTGATGCTCTCCTGGATTTGAGTTGTAAAGGTGCCATCTGCGTTTTTCACCATGTTGCTTTGAGAGTCTTTCAGGAGATTCCAGGTGAGTTTGGGAGGGGAGTGTGGACAGGGGGTGAAAGCTGAGCAGGTTACAGTGACGGACGACTTCTCCGTCAGATCTCCTGAGATCTGGATTTTGGGGCTCGGAGGAGAGTCTGTAGGTTCAAGTCAAGCCGACATTATAGAGAGAATACAGGAAGAACTGTGATGGTGGGATTAAAAACAAAGATCCTGAAATGTGTCAACTTTAGCATCCCATTTTAACAGCTCAGATTTGAACAGAATATCAAACTCAGGTTATAATTAAGTTAAAAAAGATGATTTACCTCTAACTGTCAGCTGAAGGTGATCACAAAAAGCTGTTTCCCGAAACGGCCAACTCTCGACTCTGAAGAAGTATTTATCCGAGTAATTCATGTGTACGTGCAGAAACAAAGTGGTGCAATCTTTACGCCTCAGGTTCCCCATCAGTTTGATTGGGTATCTGTTAACTGTCTCGCTGCTGTTGAAGATTACATGACTGATTTTGGGGTAACTTCTGAGCCACACTCCAAAGGTCTCGCCGCCGTCAAATCTTTCTCTATATCTCGCTGAAAAGGAACATGGGATATGCAAACAAGATCCATTCAGGGCCTCCATCCTCTGTGGTGTTGTCACAAAGAGGTTTGACCATGGACATGGGAGAGCACCTGAAAACCAGATTAATGAAAAAATATTCATGTATAGAAGACATCACGATGCATGATTTACTTTCAACAGAAGTTAGAAAAACTCACCTGATAGAAAGAAGACAGTCAGTAAAACGGACGTCAACATATTTGCAGACATGACTTCAATAACATGCATCTACTGCAACAGACTCAGAACAGACTGTCCTTCTTCACCACAGAGCCAGCAGGGCTGCAGCTCTTCTTTCTTCCTGCCTCAGGGGAGGATGTAGGTAATCTGTCAGGTTTAAGTTTTTTTTTAGTTTGAGGTCAGCTTTTTTCTATTTGAAAATGAAACCCATCACGGTATTACTCATCACAAACCTTTGTGCGTCATCTTCTATTGTGGTGCCTGTCACATCGGAGTGATCGCAGTCATGACCTTTAAATTGATTTGATGTCAGATTTTGATTTTGTCCAGAAGAACAAGACAGATTATGACCAGGTGAGACAAGACAAAACAAGAGAAAGTGCAGAAGAGCAAACAACAATTGGAGAAACTGGAGAGTTTCCATGGTGCATTTGTTGTAATTTTATGAAATCTTTTGACCCTCCTTTAAAAAAGCCGATCCTGCGATGGTCCATATGGAGGTCCAGGCGGGAGAGAGAGAAACTCAGAAAGTCCCAGATGTCTGATATGACCTGACCTAGTAAGGGCAGAAGGGGCCACAAAATCATCATCGTGTCTTGATTATTTTCTGCACAGACTGTATATACAGTGGACAAATTGGTCCGGCCTCCCGCCAGTATACGGATTTGAAGCTGAAAAACTCGGTAATTCAGCGTTTTTTCTCCATCTCCCCAAACCAACATTGCGCAGTAGCGTTGTACGCACTCAACCACTTGCGCAGTAGCATTGTATGCATTTGGCGGGAGAGTCGCCAAGAGTCGCTGTGATGGCACTTGGCTCAAATAGCATATCCCAGGTGAGCTACGCAATCTTCGTACGCCCATAGGCTGTATCAGGTGTCAATCAAAGAAAATCTGAAGCCCCTGATAGCTTTTAGAAACGGGGCTGTACAGCAGAAAAGAGGACTTGAGCACAAACCAGTAACTTACAGTAACTACATGTCAACATCGCAACCAGGGGGTAAAAAAATGTATGTGTAATAAATTTCTAAAGTTTGTCCACAGTTGCATAAGGATGGCTGGCGGAGGCGAGATTTATGACCTATACTGCAGCCCGCCGCCAGAGGGTGCTGTTCTCAGGGTGGTTTCGCCCAGCCAGGAGGCAGACGGCGTCCATTCTATACACAGTCTAAGGTTTTCTGCATTTTCTGCGTGTTTCTCCTAATGAAGATCATTGGGACCATTGCATATGGCTGACCCCTGTTGGCCACCGTACATCTGACTGTCTCACGCCCATTTTCCTTGAACACCAACATGCCATTTACATCCTACTGAAAAAACAAGTCATACTTTAATTTCTGTTTACAGCAGCGCTCAGGCACCTCTTCAAACAAACTGGGTCAGGTAAGGCTAGTTTGGGATTAGTCATGTTTTGTCACTTTATATTGTTAGAAACAATGAGGGAAACAACCAGACATTCATAATGTAGCCTACATAATAGAAAAACAGCAGCTACTCACCCCTCCCCCTTCTCAGGATACAAAGACTGTCATTAAACGACTGAAAGAGGAACACTTTGCCTATCTGCAACTTTGCCTATTATCAACTTCTGCTTCCTGAAAAAGCTCCTCATTTAAAAGGCCGGCTCGATTAGAGTGTTTGTAATTGAATTATCACAAGCCTGAGGTGTTTCACCTGCTCCCGGTGACAGCCAATCATAGTGCATCTGAAACAGAAAGCGTTTTATGTGTCCTTATCAGGGAAACATGTCAGAATGAACAATATCACCCATCAATGAAAAACCACAACATTTGTTTGATGACATTAATAAACTCGTAAAAGTATTTAAGGGACAATTCCTGCGAAAATAAGAGGGATGAAATAAAAGGAGCAGCAGGAAGCGATGTAAGTCACCCAGACAGGAGAATTTCCTTGTAGGGCTGAGAGGTTTGACCGAGTCATTTGCATGCCCCACCATTTCTCTGATGTGTTTACAGAAGTGGCAGAGGAGCTGAATAAGAACCGCTGCCAGCATCGCTCCATCTTAGAGTTCCTCTAGAGGAATTTCACCTCACTTTTCTGTATCGTCACTCTGAGCTCTTCTCTTATTCGGGTAAGTGCAGAGTGTGATAGTTTCTCTGGTGTGTTTTTGTGAATCTGCTGCTCCTAATCCTCTCTGTTTTTCTCCCTCTAAACAGTATGTTTAACAGACTCTGAAGGAACTATGGCCAAGAGGGCCAATCTTGTGGCGTCCAGGGATCACTGGAACCACATAGACCTATCTGGGTCTCTTCAGGATCAAGACACTCAAGGTATAGAAACTAACTAAAGGGATTTTATAAGGTTATGAAGTTTCCAGAGATGTTTAAGTGTAATCTTATGACTTAAAATCTTCCAAATCAAAGTTCATTTTATTTAGTTTTGCTTGTCAGGATTAAATGTTGCATCAGTTTCATCTTCAGAGACCTGCAGGAGGATTCAGAACTTGTTTTTTTTTTTTTTTACATTTCTATGTTTCTTTATTGCTGGAGACGCTGCTGATCAGCTCTCAGTGGATCTTTCTTCTTCCTCCTTCACTTCATGCCAGCAGTTGCTTATCTGCAGACTCATTATAATTAGTTGCATCATTTCAACCACAGGAAGTCCAAGGACGGACGGCGTTAGGAAGTGGCTCTCCACCGCTGTCAGTGGGTGAGTATCAGGACTGAACCCCACATTGTTCTTCGATATAAAAAGACAGTTTAATGTTTTTTTGTGATAAAGCTTATTGAGTATAAACTGCAGGATTATGAATAATTTGAAATGATCTGGCTGTAAAAAAAATCATGTGGTTATTTAAAGTTCCTCTTGATATATTGTGCTTTTCTGGAGTCAAAGTAACCCTGAAATTTCTGTTCAACTATAGCGCCATGTAGCCGCAACATGTTCAATGTTGTCTTAATCTATTAGATGTCATAGATGGTACTATGACATCTGCTAGCATTGCTTTTAATGAATAAAGAAAAAATAATCAAGCAAAGTCAGCTGGGCATTTAAAGGGAAAGTCCGAGTATTTGCATTAATCAATTTCAAAGTCAGATGTAAAAAACTGTGAAATTTTTCTCTGATGTTGAAAAGACTGTTTAAAGTTTGAGTGTGCATGTTTACACTCTAGTGTGTGTGTGTGTGTGTGTGTGTGTGTGTGTGTATGTGTGTGTGGCCGAACGTGCACGTGCTTGTGTGTGTGTGCTCTGTCCCTCCTTCTGATATGATGTGACCTGTGTTTGCAGGGAAGATGCAAAGCACGAGACTCCGTGGAGAGCTTCAGGTACAACCAATGGAAATTTCTCTCTCTCTGTCTTAACTCTAAAGAAGTTTTTTTTGCTCCTTGTCTTCCTCCTAAAGTGATTCTGAGGTACACAGCGGTGAGTACAGCGTCTGTTCTGACCACTTTTGAAAACTTGCAAACTTTTTTAATGGCTGTAAGTAACAGGATCAGGTTAAAGAGGATCGTCACAGAGCTTCTTCTGGCTGAGGAGAAAACGTTGGCTTAGATAAGCATGCTTAGATTGTATGTACTGTGCCACACAGATCATTAGTGAATGGGAGAATATAGACACAAAGCATCTGCTGTGTGATGAAACACACAGTTGCACAACACTCCACTTAACATGTGATGTTCATTTCATCATTTCAATCAAATCCCCCTTTAAACTGCTGTCTCTTCATTTTCTTTCTATCTCTGAGTACTTCACTTTTTTGTTTACTTTGTAAAAGACTAAAATGACGTTTTCTTATGTGACTGTGACGGATAAAACCAGGTGAAATCAAAGGCCACACTTGATAGAAATTATGCATTTTGCTGTTGAGGGTTTGTATTATCTAACCTACACCTCTTCATGTACCCTGCCCTTAGGTCAGGCCCATTCAAATTGCATGCAAATGTTGGCTAAGAAAACCATGGGAACGGCAAATTGCTCTTCATGCCTCTGCTCACTCCTCCCCCTCACCCCTGAACAGAGTCGCCCTGCTCGGCTGTTTTTCACTCTGGCTGAGACTTTCTTTATCTCTATCCACTGTGATGGGTTTATTGAGGACAGAAACAGAGCCGAGGACTTTACAGAAACAATCTTGGGTTTTACAATAAGTTACTCGTATTACAATTGACTAAATTAAGAGCGTTATAAATTTTGCAACAGTTACAGTTTGCTTACATGTTACATCACCATCTCTATTTATTCAAGAAAATGCGTTACTATCACTGTATAACTATAGCTATAAACACTCATAAATGATCATAATGCTTTGTAGCAATAATCATAACACATTATAAAGCATTTTATCAGGACTTACAAGGTCAGGTATCATAATGTGTTATAACTGTTAACAACTCACTGACAATACCCACATAGAGAATGCATTATACATATATTTATGATGTGTTATAATTTGCTTATAAACTTGTATAACCTTCATTATTAACACTCATTACTTATCATAGGGCTGTATAACAACAAGCATAACACATATACCTTACCCTGTAAGTCATGATAAAATGCTTTATAATGTGTTATGATTATTGCTAGAAAGCGTTGTGATCGTTTATGAGTGTTTATAACTATAGTTATACAGTGCAATAACATGATTATAATGCATTATACATACATTTATAATGCATTATAGAGATAGGCGTCAAGTAAAGTGTTACTGATAAGGGTATTCAATTAGAAATGATAAGAAGAGAGAAATGAAAAGTGACTGCGCAGAAGAAAAAAGACAAATTCAGCAGAAAATAACAAAGGTTAAATCACAGGATCCCTCAGCGGTGCCAAACTGAGCCCATTCCTCATTTTCAAAACACAGTGGCGTACAAAAAACAAATGCATAAAGCAACACAATATGCATGATGTTGGCAATCTATCGGCAAGTGTCTTGCAACAACCCACCACAGGAAATAACACCTAAAAAAGGCCGGTTTACCCACACAAGTGAGAATGCCAACACAAAAACACAGCTTCAGCACCGAGGCGAAAACCACACCTAACACCCCTGACACTTAAAACCGTGCCAGACTGATTTTGTCTGTTTCATCGCACGAAACACAAACAATACATGTGCACATACATAAATTAGTTCGTTATTTACAGATGACACCATCAAATCTGAGCCCATTCTGCTCTAAAATGTTTTATATAAGTCTGAGTGTTCAATAGTCTTCATGTTTCTGTGTCTTTGGTCTCTTGCAGAGTCTCTCACGAAGAACCCAAGCTGTGAAGATGACCTGGTCCTGGGTGTAGAAGGTAAACAGCATCCTAGCCTGGACATTTACGGTGTCATTCTGAGCGAGGAATCTTTGCAGGCACACTCCAGCAAAACACTGTTTACGAGTGGGGAACATGAGCCAATGATTTATCCGTCAATTTCTGCTTTTGGAAACAAACAGAGAGGGAGAGAGAGAGAGAGAGAGAGAGAGAGAAGGAGCAGCTCCAGAATCTTCTGTGTATTTATGCTGAGGAGGGGGGCAGACGGAAAGGTGAAGCAGAAGTTGTTTAGCATGGGAAGACTCTTTGTTTGTATAATTTAAAGCACAGTATAAGACCCTTAGCTTATATTCTGTTTTCCAAACATGTTTAATAAAATATTTAAAGGCTTTTTAGTAGTAATTTTGGCTCATAACCCCTTAAAAAGCAGTATCCTAAATTATTTGAAATTTTCAAAGATTATTTAAAATAATTTATCCCCAGTCATGCCGCTCATAGAAGGATCCAAACGAATGGTCCAACTTTTTTGGACTGTGTTGCAGCCATAGACTGTATATACTATGGACAACGTGGTTCCGCCTTTCGCCAGTAGACGGATTTGAAGCAGAAAAGCTCTCGGCATTTCTGCGATTTTTCTCCATTTCCTAAAACCAACATTGCACAGTAGCATTGTACACATTCAGCGGGAGAGTCGTCGAGAGTCGCTCGGCTCAAATAGTGTATCCTACGGGTGAGCTACGGGATCTTCGTACACCCATAGGCTATATCAGGTGTCAATCATAGAAAACATGAACCCCCTAATAACTTTTAATACTGGAGCTGTACAGAAAAAAGAGGACTTGATCACAAACCAGTCTTACAGAAACTACATGTCAACATCGCAACCAGGGGGGATAATAATTGATATTCTGTGTCATTAATTTCTAAAGTTTGTCCACAGCTCCATAGAGATTGCTGGAGGAGGTGGGATTTATGACCTATACTGCAGCCCGTCACCAGAGGGTGCTGTTCTTGGGGTGACTTCACCCAATGAGGAGGCAGATGCTCTCCGTTCTGTATACAGTCTATGGTTGCAGCATCGAATTCACAATGAGTGAATATTTACAAAAAACAAAGATTTTTTTAAATGAGTTTAATTGAATTTGAAGTTGGTCTATTAGAGAAATTTCTTTTTATTGATATAAAAAGTTTGAGGTTTTTTTTTTTAAAGGTCAAAGCATGGCAGTAAAGCCAGAGAAAATACAACAGTGTGTCAGGGGGAGGTAGGAGGGACTGCCAAAACCTTCAGAAGCCTCTAAAGGGAACAGAAAAGAGGGAGGGTGAGAGACAGAGACCGAGAGAAACACTTTCCTAATATAGCTTGAGAAGCCCTGACACTAGACCTGGACAGGATGTACTGACTTCTGACTTTTTTCCGGCATTCTTCATCCCTCCATGTGTCCCCCTCTGCATCACACTCACTTTTTACCTCCTAGAGCGGGATAACGAGTCTTTTCTCTCCTGCAGCTTCTTTATATGGTAACAAGGGAGTGAGGACTGCGCAGGACTTTCTGCGGTAAGCACTCATCCTGGATTTTTTATCTCCTGTCTGAGGTAAAATGTCACATCTAGAAGTATAGAGTACAGATGACCTCTATTACACTGCAGAGTGCAAAAACTATTCCCTATGAGTTATGACTGATGAGTAAATGTTATTAATTACAGAAAAAAGTATGTTTGTTTGAAAAGAAGTGACCTCTTGCTTTGTTGTTTAAACTTCTACTGAAATTTGGCCCAAACATATTCAACTGCAGATTCAACATCTAGATTCTGTTATCCCGTTTTCTACCACTGCTCTTTGTCTGTGACTGTAATGGCAGCTTCTGGACCCTAAAAACATATTACAGATCGTATTTACCTGGCAAATAAGCCTCTCCTCCTTAACCTGCGCAGCATGCCGCACGGTTTGCATATGAAGCGAAAGGATCGAATAATTACAGTGCTCGACAGCTGCACAGAAATTATACAGGTACTGGTATGAGTGCAGAAGGTCAGATTTGAAAAAGACCAGGAACTAAATGTGAGTAAACAACAGCTATTATATATTTGGAAGTCTATTTCTTTAAACGATATCTGGGCAATTCAACAAAGTGTAGCTTATCTCTTCATTTGCATGCACAGAGAGAAATAGGAGGCCACAGTTTACTTTGACATTATGATTTGAATCCCACAGCATCACATCATGATAGTTAAATTGGCTGAGTTAAGCGATAAATATGCTTATGAATTTCAATATTGATCCACAACTCAGAAGACAACATTACATAGTTGCATAATTTGCAGCTGAGAATACTCCTTATTACTCCTTATATTCCTTAACGGCAGGAACAGCTTTGTTTGTAGGGAAACATCATTGGTGACTACGACTTTTGGAAAAGAAATGAGTTGTGATTTTCTTTCACGGCCAAAAAAACTCTCAGGAGCATCTGTCTGAGATACTCTGAATCAACAAAGTGCAGGTCTGGGTGGAAAGTAGAGCAGTGAAATGTGTTTTCCAGCTCCTGTGTGGGCGTGTCTGTAATAAAGCTGCTGGGTGGGCTCATCGTCCCACTGGCTCCTGTCAAACTATTTAATTTCAAGACTGCTTGTAGGCTTTGTACAAGGTTTCTGACCTCTGACCTCGGATTTATTTTGACATTTTATCTGTTTGCTTTGCCTGTTCTGATGTTAACTTTGATCCACGTTTATGAAAAGTTTAAAAAGTTCATTGTTATCACTTTTTAGTCTTTGCTATTTTCAGCTATGACCTATACTACAAGTTTTACTGAAGCGTTGCCCCACTTGTTGTCCGTCATACTTGTTTAGTTGGAACAGGTCCAGTCCAGCTTTGAGCAGGTGGAACAGTCTCAGCTCAACAACTTCAGATCTCTCTGGACCCCTCAGGTAACACTTCAACACCTCTGTACATCGATAAAACACGCCAAAGCTCTGTCGCCTACGTTGACTCTCTTGTTGACAGTGTGATGGATGTACTGAACCTGTGGAACGATGACCCAGAGGAGGTTCTGTTGGACCTTGGCTTCGGCCGTGAACCTGACCTCTCTGGGCGAATCCCGGCTCGGTTTATTAACTACCCGTCCCAGGCAAGAGGAATAAACCTCCAGGTGTTTCTGGAGGCCCAACAGAATCGGCTGGACTTGGAGAATCCAGATGTGAGCAGTAAGTCTAACTTGGATCAATAATCAGATTAGGAAAATTGTGTATTTGTGTGTGTGTTTGTGTGATTGTGTTGTGTACTGTTTTAGATCAATTGTCCGTCTCCTTTTCTCAGATCGTTTCAGGCAGCTTGAAGTTCTTCAGCAGGTAACCACAGCTTTCTCAGCCCTGATTGGGTCTTCGCCCCCTATCAGAGCACCCCAGGAGGACTTACCTCTTGAGGCTCGGGAAAGAAGGAGGCGTTTGAGCACGCTGTTTAGACGAGCATCCAAAAAGACACTCAGTGATCTCAAAAACCGTAAAAGCCAAGACCAGACCGCTTCTACTACCCAATCTCCGTCTTGTACTGCACCTCAATCAAATCCTCCTCGAACCGGCCTCGGAGACAATCGAATCCCTTTTAAAAGAGTAAAAACTGGACTCCTGGAGACCATGCCTCTTAGTCCTCTGGCAGAGGAGCAAGGGGCTGGTTCGGACGCTCAGCCCCAGCCTCAGATGGTTTCTTCGTTGGCTCAGGATGGAGATCTTAGATCGTGGCCTCTCAGGGAAGGTCGCCCGGTGAAAACTAACCCTTTTTCACAGAAGAGGAAGAGCCGAGGGCAGACCAGGGAGTCCTTTGAAATGGAGGAGGTAAGAGCGTCTGCATCTATACATGTTTATCCTAGTCAAGGTAAAAACACGTCCTTCAACGTCTTATTTTATACTTCTTTACAGATCTATAGTTTTGATGAAGGCAGTGTGACAGGGGGCTTCACTGGAGGAGCAGAAAGTTTAGGTGGGTCATGAACGATCAGCCGTCAATGGTGTTGTGTTTTTGAATGCACCACTTTGAGTTGTAATTGTTGTTTTTTTTATCGCTCCCTTGTGTGAACAGTCCGATGTGTCGTACGCACCAACAGCTGTCAGTCAGACAGCAGCGGTTTCCAGGAGGAGCCATTCGTCCCCCCTCAATCTCAGCAGGAGTCGCCTGATCTCATCAAGGTTCTCACTCCTTTCTCTCTCCTGAAATTAATATTCAAAAACACGTTTCTGGCTGTTTGATCATCTGTCCTTTTGGTTGCAGGCTCTGTCGTGTCTGTCAGGAGGGAGCACTGAAAGCCACAACAATGACAGACCTGGCTCGCCGTCTCCTGCTTCTCCTGATACCTCCCTACCTCTCCTGCAACCTTCAACCCCGACACCTCCTAGTCTCAACGACTCGTCTGTCTCCTCGACATGTCCTCAACAGGACCAGTCATCAGACTTTGTCTTTTTCCCATCTCCTGCTTTATCATGTCTCCCAAAATCGGACCTGGACGTTTTAGAAAATGAGACTCCACCGGTCCAGGATTGGTCACCATCTGCAGAGTTGGAATGTCTGTCCCGTTGTTCTTCTCCACCTGAAACACAGAACTCAAATGACCGATCCAGCACTCCTCCTGCTCCTCCTGTCTCCTCCAGATCTCCCATGGAAACTGACTCATTATTTAAAGAGTCAGAGGAGATAAAAACTGGGGACAGAGACAGTCCTCCCCCTGAACTCTCTGCATGTTCTCAAGACTCTGATCCCACAGCATGCACTACCTTTTCTAGTGGACCACTTTCTGCCTCATCCACCCACCCAGAGTTGGATTTTGCACCTTCTCCTATAATTTCCTCCTTTTGGGATCCAGGTGACACACAGTCTGAACACTTTAAGGACTCTTCTTGTGAGAACTCCCACTCTGCTTCTGATGGACCATCATCTCAGCTTCCATCGTTTTCTTTTGCACCTTCTCCAGCCCTGTCTGATTTCTACACCCAGAGTCAAGAAAACCATCAAGACAACCATCTTCACCAGGACTCAAGACAACCACCTCCCTCTCTCTTATCTCAGCTGGAGCGGGACAGACCTTTGGCTTTACCTGCTTTAATTCAGGATTCCTCAAGGATCTGGGAGTTCTCCCCAGAGCAGGCTCTCTCGTGTCTTTCAGGAGGGAGCACTGAAAGCCACAACAATGACAGACCTGGCTCGCCGTCTCCTGCTTCCCCTGATACCTCCCTACCTCTCCTTCAACCTTCAACCTTAACACCTCCTTTTTTCGACGACTTGCCTGTCTTCTCGACATGTCCTCAACAGGACCAATCATCAGACTTTGTCTTTTTCCCATCTCCTGCTTTACCATGTGTCCCAAAATCAGACACGGACGTTTTAGAAAATGAGACTCCAATGGTCCAGGATTGGTCACCATCTGCATCTGCAGAGTTGGAATGTCTGTCCTGTTGTTCTTCCCCGCCTGAAACACAGAACTCAAATGACCGATCCAGCACTCCTCCTGCTCCTCCTGTCTCCTCTTGCTCTCCCATGGAAACTGACTCATTATTTAAAGAGTCAGAGGAGATAAAAACTGGGGACAGGGACAGTCCTTCCCCTGAACTCTCTGCATGTTCTCAAGACTCTGATTCCGCAGCATGCACTAATTTTTCTAGTGGACCACTTTCTGCCTCATCCACCCACCCAGAGTTGGATTGTGTATCTTCTCCCAAAATTTCCTCCTTTGGGGATCTAGGTGACACACAATCTGAACACTTTAAGGACTCTTCTTTTGAGAACTCTCACTCTGCTTCTGATGGACCATCATCTCAGCTTCCATCGTTTTCTTTTTCACCTTCTCCAGCCCGCTCTGATTTCTACACCCAGGGCCATGAAAACCATCAAGACAACCCTCTTCTCCAGGACTCTGGACAACCATTTCCCTCTCTCTTATCTCAACTGGAGCGGGACAAACCTTTGGCTTCACCTGCTTTGATTCAGGATTCCTTAAGGACTGGGGAGTTCACCCCAGAGCCAAATCTTTCTCTGAATCCATCTACTCCAATTTGCGAGTCTACCGTGCCTCTTGAAACACACAATCAGGACAGTCTGATGGATACAACTGCTGGAGAAGTTTTAGACGTGACAAAGCAGTCCACCTCCCAACAAGACAGACCAACTTCTGATGATGAGAACACGAGTGCAGACCAAGAAGTTTTTCCTCCGGATATGGATCACTTTTCTTTGGACTTAGAGGAAAACCTTCAGAAGAATGGAAAAGGAGACAGACATTTGGATTATGTGCAGACTCCAGAAGCTGTTTACACCCCAGATCCAGAGAGTTCATCTAGTCTGCTGGAAGGGTCCAGTATAACCAATGAAGAAGTATGCAAACAAGAAGAAACGGATCCACCAATCTCAAGAGAAGAGTGTCAAATGGAGATTTTTTTTGGCTCAGAAAGTGAAGCAAGGAGAGCTGTTTTAGTCCCACATGAAGCTGCAGAAGCAGACAGCAGACAAGAAGTACAACCAAAAGGTTTGTTCGAGATCGAGAGCTTAGACGTCGTGTTTCAAACCTCAGTGGATGGCTCAGACGGTGAAAACGGAGATTGTGACGCTTTTCTTGAACAGCTTGATACTGAAAGGCAAGTTTACTGGGCAGAACCGATCCATATCTCCAGTCAGTGCTCCGTGGTTGAGGAATCAGGCAGCTTTGAAGCCTCAGGTGGATCTCCTGAGGAATCTCTGCTCCATGGAGGACCGGTCGTTTTAGACTCACTATCACCCATGAGTCGAGTAGACTCTGCCCCAGCAAACGCAGATCTAAAGCCATCAAACCGCTCTGTTTCTGTCCAGATGTCCTCATCTCCATCTTCTCATATCATCCACAGGAAGGATATTCCCTACATGACTGATTCAAAACCCACACATTTTCCTTCAGATCTTTCGTTGGACACCTCATCCCCTTTCCGGGCTGTTCAGTCATGGACAGACTGGCAAATTCAGAAAAACAATTGCTCCAAGATGTTGTCACACGGGGCTCTAGATGTGGTCCAAAACCAAGCATTCATGTCCACAGACTTTGCAGAAACTACGCAAAAGCCTCCACTGGTCTTCTCCTCATCTCCATGTCTTCCTCTGTTAAAAGACTGGAGGTCATACGATGGTCTCCCTGGAACAGCAGAAGATAACAGTGCTGCATCAGTTTCTGTGAATAAAGGTTTATGGTCCGATCAGGAGGAGGAGGAAGTGGAGAGGAACAGAAGTGAAGATGAGAAGAACCTTTGGGAGGACAAACAGACAGCTCCCTTTGTGTGTTGCTGCTCCTGTGACCATCAGGATATCTGCTTTTACAACAAGCAACACAGTATGGGAAACATACCTGTAAGTAATACCACACTCACACTGATCAATCAATTAATTAGACAATCTTTATTCACTATAGTGTCAACTGATGAAAAATATTTACCCAAATAACCTTTAGAGAAAAATTACTTTCAATCACCACTCATGGATTTTTAACACCCAACATTGGGTGTTGGGTGTCTTCATTTCACTTGTTGGGGCCTGTTAGCTAAAATGCACAATCTAAAGCACATGGTGAAGGGTAAACCACCAAGTGCATTTTGCTGGTTTGAGCTGAGATGAAATTGAGTACATAAATCAGGTGGTGGCAAAAGCAGGTCGATGCCTACTGTAAGTACCTGCATCTGAACTCTCTAGAGTCAGCTTGGTGGGATGAGTCTCTACTCTACTCCACTCAACTACTGGGTTTGAGTTGTAAAGGAAAGGGATTGGGCCTGGTCTCTCTCTTTTTCTTAAATACTGATTTTATCTTGAACTCAGCTGAACTGCCAGGAGGACTTCTGGTGAAGATAAGAACTTGACTAGAGGTTTCCAATCCATTGAGTGCATCTGACATGTGGGCCAAGAGGCAATTTTTGATTATTGGCTCACGGACTACTTTGCTTCCTGATCACTCCCCTGCGTGCTTTGGTGGTTAGTGGGGGGTAAACCACAGTCCTTGGATTTTGGGACCGCCAAGGTTTCTGGAGATCCTAAACACAGAAACAGTTTGCACATTTACATGACACTTGAGAAAACCGAGTTATTGCCTTACTCTGATTAAGACCGAACAACTGAAGTGCATGTAAACACCTTAGTCCAACTCCAATAAGAGTTTCAGAACTCCGATTAAGACACCTAGAAAATATGATTGGAATTCAATTTTCTCTACCATGTAGCCAGCGTAGTCAGAGTATGATAGGACAATCATACTCTGTGTGCCACGCCTCCGTAACCCCGGAACAAAAACACCAGAGATGAGAAGCAGTGTGCACCTCACCCACCCAGAAAAAGTTGCGCATACATCATGTACAACGACAGTGCTGTATGATGCTCCATCTTCTTGCTCAAAAATGCCCACCAGCAGTTGTAGCCACTTCTGATGTCTTGCACAGACCTACTGTTGTTGTTGGGTCAACCAGAAACAGCACCACTGAAAAGACCCATATCCCCCTCTAGTTTTGGGGAGAAGGACACGTTCACGTCAATAATTTAATTTTCTCATGTGCATGTATACACGTACAAGGAGAGAAGTCTGATTCGGAAAAAAAAACAACTAATTATGAGCTTAGTCTGAATAGGCTGTGCATGTAAACACACTGAGTCTGTTGGCCAGGACATGATTAAATTTCTTCCTGTTTCTACTGAAATCTCAATCGTTATTTTATCATTTCTTTGTTTGGACACATTCTTTATAGATATTTAATGTAGATCCACAAAAACTGTCCTGAACCCAGACCATCTTCATTACATCAAAAAGACAATTAATGGTTTGCTCTTCAGAAGCATATTGTGATTTCCAAAAAAGAAACATAATCAGATTAAAGTCACAACATTCACACTTTGTTAGTATTGTGTATTTGTTGTCTTGTTGCCATAGTTGTTGAGATGTCGGCCTTTCAAAGCTAGAACCATATTTACATATAAATACCTCATTTGCATCCCGGGCTTGTGTTGATCTTTTCTTTATTTTTCTGATACTCTCTGTTCTTGTTTAGTCGCTCTTTAATTCAGTGTGTTTCAGTCCTAATGATGAGTGACCCCTGAATTAACACTTTGGTGAATTTAGACTGAAAATAAGAAAACACACAGGCTTATTATACTGCTCTCTTCTGAACAGAGGAGTCAGCTGTGCCTCCTTATTTTTATTTATACTTAACAGTGAAGGTCTTGATTAATGTCACACTACTCACAGCTTAATCGCATCTACAAACAGAACTTGATCACTAAAATACAGCCAGTAGAAAATGGGAGTTTTTAGGAATAAATAGGGATCCATATTTGATGGTGGTTTACTGATCGTTTACGCACAAAAAAAGAACAGGTTTACTCCGTTTATCTGATGAGAGTGTTAAATCTACAATAGAATACATTTAATCTTGCAAGGGAATGTGTTTATTAAATGCAATATAAGTATGTAGAGTAAGTAAGCAGAGTTTTGCTTAGGCCCCCTTTTGTTAAAGGGCTATAGTCCTGGTGGTGCTTGTTTTAGGACGTATTTTTTCCTCATCCTCTTCCTATATTCCCCATCTCCTGCTCTCTTTCTCTATGAAGCTTTCCATTTCAAAGGCTAAAAAGCCCCTAAATATCCCCACAGTAAAATGAAAACAAGACAGAGTCTCAGTAATTGAAGGTTTCCGCCTTACACTGTGTTCTTTAGTTTTCTTCTGGTTTTATTTGAGTGCATTTTGTGTTTTTTCCCGAGTGTTCCTGTTTCCCTGTTGTCCAGTCTTGTGAGTTTTCAGTTTGTGTTTGACCCTGTTTCCCTTCTGGTCTCTGTGTTTTATTCCTTAGATCAGTTTCCAATGTTTATTTCCTGTTTTATTTTGTAGTAGTTGATTCCTTGTGTTTCTAGTCTGGTTTTACTTCCCTCATTTTCCCTCCTTCGTTAATCACCCATGATGAGTTTCACCTGTGTCTCGTTTGCCTCACCTGTTGCTCGTTACCCAGTGTGTATATAGTCCCTGTCTTTCCCTCTGTCCTGGTTGGTTCATTGTGTGTGTGTCAGCGTATGCTTGTGTCCCCAGTTGTCTCCTTGTGGTTTTTTTTTTTTCCCCTCAGTGCCTTTTGTTGGATTTTGCCTTTTGGATTTTTAAGTTGGATATTTTAAACTAAGTTTATTTTATTTTTTTTGTTGCTTTCATTTTTGAATCTGCACTTTGGGTCTTTTCCCCTTTTGTTTAACCCTGGACTGTGACTCTGTGACCGTTTCCTGTCTGTGAAAGGTTTTAAATACAAGTGTAAAAGTTGTTTATTAACTGTCTTTTGTATTTTTTTTCTTCTAAACAGGAAGAAGATCTTTCTTATCTTTCTACTGTTCACACACTGATTTTTCTTTTTTATTTCTGTGTCCGCTTCTCTTGATGTGTTGTAACTTAATATAAGATGTTTTTATCACTCTTGTTTCTTGTTTTTCCGTTATCTGTATAAGACTATTAAAACTGTGACTGTAATTGCTCTCCACAGTACTCCCTGGATGAGTTGGAGGAGATGATGCTGTGTCTGCAGCAGTTTCGCTCTGTGCTGTGCAACATGGAGGAGCAGCTCTCTGAAGACCAGGCTGCGGTTTACAGCTGTCTCTCTGATCAGGACAGGTACATACACACACATACCATATATATATATATATATCAATTTTTTAAAATCCTACATGGTTAGTTTAGAAGTTTGGATCAGCTGACTGGTGTGTGTGTACATGTGTAGGGAGAAGGTTCGGGACATAGAAGAGCTGAGGCGAGCAGTGAAAAAGGAGGCCGAAGAGCTGGAGATGCAGCTGAATGAACTGGCCCATCACTATGACGATGGCTTGAAAATGGTACTCTGACCTCTTGTACTGTGACTCAAAATACTGAATCCCTGTCTTCTGTTTAGTCTGATTATATTACTGTGTTTTGGAAATAGAAAATGCACCGACTGTTAGATGAGCAGTCTCTGCTCTGCAGTCAGCTCAGAGTCTCTCTACCTGGAAAGGTGTCGACATCACTAGGCCCCGCCCCCAACAGGACAGTAGCAACTCAGTGCTCCCTGCTGCCCTGGATGAAGAGCGACTACGTCTCCCATTGGAGTGCGGACTCTCCCAGACAGTCTCCTCCTGGATCAGATAGCATAAGTGAGGGTCCCACGAAGGCAGACAAAGTGGACTTAGTCAGCTTTTTACAGCGGGTAAGAACATCCCAGATATATTTGAAGGGGCTTAGTCAGTTAATTTGAAAAATCGATACTTGGTGGATGAGACGATACATTATCACCAGACAAAATATTGCGATACGATGCAGTATCGATCTTTTCTCCCACTAATACAGGCCGTGACTGTGATTTTCGAATAAATCATAAAAGCTTAGATTTCACCAAAGGGCTCAAAAGTAATGATTTAATTTGTATGTGGTGCAACTGATAGGGTTCTAATCCACTTATTTTTATCCTTATGTGATTATAAATATATGTTTTCAATCATAAATAAATGTTGTACTTCTGAATCACGCTGCTTTCTCAGTACTGAATTTTGTTTGTCCTGCTTTCTAGTTGAAAGAGTCTTTGCAACATTCAGTGAACACAGACTCGCTGGAGTAAAAGGTGAGTGAGCCGCAAACACACCCATGCACATGCCTTCAATGATAAAGGAAGGGGGGCACAGGTGGAGCTGAGCCTGGGTCACCACCACCCTGACCTCCCTGATCATTACAGTGTGGTCATTTTTCACTTTAATTTTTCTAACGTATGTGATTTCCTTGTTTACTGTCTTTTCAGGTGTCAGCGGTGAAGTCTGCCATCTTTCCAAACTGTTTTCAACTGAATTTATATCCTTTTTATGCTGTAAATGTTCACATTTTACTGATGTCAAGTACTAGAGCCACTATGTAATTCAGACTGCTCAGAGACTGCCTCTTTTGTGAAATAAATAAAAGTATTATTTTAGGATTTTAAAGAACTAACACTAAAGTAATAGAAACAGGTTAGAGGAGGGGGGCTATAATGACTGAGGAAATCCTCAATGTAAAATTTGTTTATATACAAAGAAATTATTTAGTTATCTGCTCGGTGAATGTACAATGGTTAATGATTTACACAATAAATATAAGACCACTGAGACTTCTCTGTTATGTGTTTTCAATGGGTCTGTGATTTATGTGAAAATGCATCATTGGTTATTGTGCTGAAGTACGGCACACACTGCAGAACAGGATGTACCAATTATTCCACTACAACCCCTTACTAAGACTTCAAAAGGCTTTGGCGTAATTGAAGCATCAGAAGTGTTTTATTTGTAGGACCCAGAGCTTATATAATTCCCTAGATATAGTGGGAACACGACTGTAAACCATCTGTTTCCCTGTTGCTTTTTTTAATGCATTTAATGTTAGAAAATATAAGGAGTGTTTTTAGAAACTTTTACTGATTTCAGTCTATTGCGCCATATTTGTCATTATAATCATCATTCAGTCATGCTCTTCGTACTCAAGTCCTTTTCTCATCGGACTTTTTCATTGTGACTGGAGAGTTTCAGCTCAGACCTCACAAGTGCATCACAATAGGCGCTAAAGCAAAGCAACACAACACACAAACACATAGCACAGATACATCAGCAATAACGGAGGCGCACAGAGCGAGGAGTGGATGCTCCGCCTCCGAGCTTTATAACCCCGGAGCCACACCGCTCCAGTCTGTCTTTGTGACACTGAGACTCTGCTGAGACTGAGGTAAGAACACATTTGGCATCCTTTCTCCTCACAGCTGCTCGCTTTAGCCTCCAGTTTGTTTCTATTTTTCTATAATTTAGGGTTTTCTGTACCTTTGGTTTATTTTTAAGTCCCCTCATGTCTTATTTTGTTTCTTATTTCTTTCTTTGTTTTCCACTGTTTCTGTTTTATGTCGACTTAAGTGATGTTGACTCTTTAATTGCTTATTTAATGGAGTTGTGAACAGTATGGGCACACTTTTATAATTTATGATGTTTATAAATTCAGAGAAATGTTTGAGTGTGAATGTTTAATTCGTGTGAAAATTCAGTTTCATCGCCCACATGAATACACACACACCAGCTTGTTCACATACACGTTTAATGCTTTATCCTTTGTCGGTGTTTGCTTATGAATAATGGATTTTTGTGAATGTGTGTGTGCATGTGTGCATTTGTGTGTGTGTGTCTGTGTGTGCACGTGTGTTATGTGATCTGTTAGAAAGAAAGCCCAGAGGACCTGACAGATGACGACTGGCTGTATGAGGTCGACCCTGGAGCCTGAACATCGACTGATGACACAGGAAAGCAGACCCTGTAAAGATGGAGCTCTTGATTTTCAATGTGATAGTGAAAAATAAAACTCAATATCTTGTATAAATAACCACCATTTAAGTTACTTTTTAAAGCGAATTGATTACGAATAAAAAAAACATAGTAAACATAGCTATGGTTAATCAGAATTTACGTTTTACATGTATAGTGAAGGATGCACGTTTGTCTCCTGTGTGACAGATGGGGTTTCAGAGAGCCTGGTGGACATGAAGTCAGAAATGAGGAATGATGAGAAGGAGGAGGCGCTCTGCACAGAGAATCAGGGGGAAGACCTGCTGAAGAAACCTCGCAGAAAAGACACGCCTGTCCTCAACTCTCCACCACATATACCAGGTTAATGCTCACACAGACACTCACAACAAACACAAACATCAGTGCTTGTTTTGGTTAGCAATCGGAGTAAAAAAAATCTGGTCTAGACTGTACTCTGTTTACAACGACACAAAGTAAAGATGGAGTAAGGTTCAACCACAAGATTTAGCATTTTGCAGCATTTAGCAAGTTATAATGAAGAGGACAAACTTCCTTTAACAGGCAGAAACCTTGAGCAGAACCAGACTGGTGTAAAACTGTCATCTGCTGCTGCTGCTGGATTGAGTTTAAAGAGGGGGTAGAGGGAGATGCAGAGAGAGGGGGTGGTTAGAGCAGCTGCAGAGGAAACTTCAGCACGATAGAGCTCAGAGACTCTTAGAAAAGACTGTGTTCATGGATCTAATGGGACATGAAGGTTCAAATTTAATGACACTGACAGAAAGGTGATAAGTGTGATTTACATCATTCTGTAGCATTTCACCCTTACAACAAATATGACAGTGTAGTGGCTGCATAACTTTCAGGTGACAGTCTTTGTTTTTCTTTCCAGGAGCACGAGTACAAAAGGCAAGGATGCCGATGGTTCACTCAGAGGATGAGGAAAAGGATGCGAAGGATTAAAGCCTTTATTTCATTTATTTTGTCCAAAATAAATCTTATTTCCATTAAGGACTCTTGAATCAGCCTTTTTGATTTAACAAAGCTTCGTTTACTTGTCAAATATCACAAAAAACCAAAAGATTTTTGAAAAGGGTTTTTTAATAAATTACTGCGGACAAACATGTCAATAAGTGGACAAAAGCTGAAATGTTTTAACTCAAGAGGACTCCTTCGAGGCATTTTGTGTCTCAATTCAATTTAATTCAGCACAAATTAATTTAACAAGTTTAATAACAGGGCATCATTTAATTTAACACAGAGAAAAGGTCCCTTCTCCTTGATTTACACCGTATTCAACAGTCTTCGACAAAGATAAAAACTGGTTATAAAAAATGAGCGTCTACAAAGTGTTTTAAGTGATTTGAGGTTTAAGGCTTTTAGGAGGACCTCTGCTGGTATTTTTAAGTAGTTGCATTTTATTCGGTTAAAAAAAAAAAAGAAACCGGCAGGAGTCAGTAGGAGTCCACGTACAAGAAGGGGAAATACGTGTTCATAAGAGACTTGTTCAACATGATTAAGTGCATAAAAGCTGAATTCAGTTCCTGAAGTTCATAAGTTTTGATCTTAACAGCATGTCCTCTTTGATAACTGAATTATAGTACAACTCTACAGACAGTAAATAAAAATAAAAAAAACTACTCTTGGTACACAACAGTATACCTGAATACCTCTTCAGTGTATTACTGGGATTGTTTTTACTGCTTAAGGCATAGGTCTCAGGGAAATATTCCAGCATATATATAAATACTTCTGCCTTTTTTATCATCCAGCTTTTTGTACCAATTTTTACATATAAGCAGAAACAGATAACAACCTGAAGGTAATATCCAACTGAGCAACAGACGACTATTAGACGTCTAGTTTTTTTTTAACCTAATTTCAACGATCTATTTTTAGACGGAATCTAGACGTTACACTTTAACCCATTATTCAATAAATAGTTATTTCAAAAAGCAATTGTGAGTTGCATAACCGATCTCAAAGTACTTAACCAAAGTAATTATGATAGCCATTGAGCGATAATACAGTGTAGTATAGATATAGCCCAGATTTAGACTCGGTCTAAATTTAGACATCTAAAAACGTTCATTTTTAGACCTTTGGTAGTCTGATTTTAGACCAGTCATCTAGGCTACATTTAGACGTCTATTAGACCTCTTTTAGACCAAAAAATGCTCAGTGGGACGTTACCAGGTATTTTTGAGTTGCTGTAGACTTGCCAGCCTCTAAAATACACAATGACGGCGATCAATCAAAACGTAAAAAATAAATATTTCCAGTTGGACAGGGGAGAACTTGGAGAAATGAAAAGACAGTAAAGCAAAGGAGTTTCCTAAAACCAGAAAAAAAAACAGAAATCGATGCATCCATCACATTCAAAGCAAGAAAAACACTCAATCCTGTATTACAGAAAACTCTATATTACAGAAAACATGTTCATCAAGGTTTAAGAAGATAAATAAAAGAGCTGTTTGACCAATTGTAACTGTTTGTAGTGTTAATGTAAAGCTGCACTGACATTATAAAGGGTGGTAAAGGTGACGATAACAGGATGTAAATGAAAGTGAAGCTGGAATACAAGGTTTGTGTTTGCAGCAATACTTTAGAGAGAGAAGTCTGACTATCATGATAACACTCTACACCACAAGGTCACTTTCGTCGCCGGAGGGAGATGCGCTGCAGTCTTCTGGCTTTTCCCCTCGCATCGATGGGCTGCATTTCAGTCACCTTGGACCTGACCAGCCGATAGGAGCTCGCACAGTAACTGGGTCTCTTGCAGTAGTGGACCAGAGGGCAGTCAGGCTGGGGGTCTAAAAGACATTCAAATCTGGGTTAGTGTTAAAACTGCGACCGCACAAGTGTTGTCAAATTAATGGACAATACTGAAATGGATGTTGGGTAACGTACCACTCTGCTGCTGCTGCTTCTTCTCCGTCTGGTCTCCAGGATTCTCCTCGGTTGTGTTATTTTGCTCTGACCCCTTTATCGAGCCCTCAGCCCCTCCTGAAACCATCCCTCCTTTGTCCTCCTCTTTCTCCGTGACCTTCTCTGTCTCCTCCTGTCCGTCCATGTCTCTTTTTGTCTCATCCTGAACTTCAGCATTGCTGTCGGACTCTTTCTCAGCTTCTGTCTTATTGTCTTCTTTTCCACTCTCATCTCCTTCTTTCTTGGTGTTTTCCTCCAGGTCTGTCAGCAGCACACATACCAAAGACAAACACTCCGTTGATAGAAGTAAAAACAGGACAGAGCATAGAGAGTACTTACTAAAATATCGAGAATCAAGAATACCTTTGGCCCCCTGTGCCTTCCACGTCTCTCTGTTGTGACTAATCTCCTGGTTCCAGATCATCTTGAAGCTCTTGAAGTCCATGCTGGCCAAAGAGCAGCAGCCCTCTGAGCCTGCTGTGCTCTTCACGCTGGAGTTCTTCCCATCACTGCCGTTCACACTGATATCACTGAGAAATACAGAAACACAGTGTAATTTCTGAGGCAATAGAGTTCAAGTCAAGACTGTAAAAAAAGAAATAAGAAAAAAATAAAAGTCCAAAGGTAAAGGACTTGTGTGTGTCACCTGGAGCGTCCAATGCCAGCCAGTCCGGAGCGAGCGGCCTCATCAATAAGTGGTTTCACAATCTTCTCGATCATTTCTGTTAAGACTGTAAACGTTGGCTCCACAATGAAGTCGATGAATCCTGCAGGACACAGTAACACTTGATAAATCAACATTTACCTCTGATGGTTTAAAAGTAGTACCAACATTTTACTTTATATATTCAGACTGAGGATATATAAGGTCAACTCTATCAAAGGCTTGGAGGAAAATGATGCCACCTTATACTTTAACAGCCACATTTATTCAGCATTTGCAACTACGAGTTAGACACCCCCCTCGAGAGATGAATGTTGCCGACCCTATATGTACTGTTGATGAAGTAAGGTGCTGTTCTGAACATTATTTGTGGCTATTATTTGTGATTTACTTACCAATCTGAGACTGGGCCACCATAGTGGATTTGCGGTCACAGAGAGGGGAAAAAGGTAGACCCAGCTCCGCCTCCTTATCACCCTGAAAACATATTTAGCATAAAAAGATATTTTCAGGTTGGGTTTATCCCACTATGTTTACAAAAACCTCATCAATTAAAGCTTTAAACCAAATAAATGTCATTTAATGGAAGAAATACACAGAATTGGACTTTAGATAAATAAAATCACGCAACTTATGCTCATTAATTTATCAGATACAGTATGTGCAGTATTGTCAATGCACGGCTGTAAACTCATCTTGAAGCAGTTTGCGTGTTTTAAACCAGCTTTGGCAGACAGTAGTGAGGAGTATTTTGGTGACTACCTGTCTGAAAAACTCCTCCAGCAGGGAGGAGGTCCAGGAGTGATGGAGCGACCAGCGTTTTGCAGGATGGCTAATGTCAGCGGTGTGCAGCAGCAGAGATAAAGCCTTTGGTTTGTCAATCCTGCAAACAGTACACTGTCAGTGTCACAACCTCTTGATGTACTTCCTATAGAAACTGAGAAAAAGCCCTTCCAGTCAGTGTTCAGTCTAATCCTTTAACACTGAACCAGTGGAAGTGGTGACAACAACTTCACAGAAAAAGTCATCTCCAGGTGGTCTGTTTGCTGTTGGAGGCATCAATAATTATCAAACATCATATCGTCAGAACTTGCCACAGAAGTGAAATCGGGTACTTACGCCTCAGGCTGCTGCAGGAAACTTTTCATGGCTTTGATCTGCTGGAAGTGGCAGGACATATCAGTCGCTAAGACCATCTCCACAACCAAAGTCCGCAGTTCCCTGAAAGAAAGCAGAGTCAGAGAAATCACTGTAGTGCTGAGATGTCTTTCATTTGACCTTTAATATCTCTATGCAAGGGACTGCTTGGTATCTCAGGAGATCATGAATGCATTCTTAGTTTTGCACCTATTTCAACATATGATGAAATCCTTTATGTGGTCTGAACGTGAAACTGATCATTCAGTTGAAAAAAGTTTAAGTTTCAGTAAGTTTGACACACGGAGCAAGACTGCCACCCTGTGGAGTAGATTCTGGATCCTCTTTGTGTGTGTTTAAGACTTGAAGACAAAATTCTGAATTCTGAATTCAATTCACGCTCGCTTTAATCTTTATATCATATTCAGTGCAAAGCTGAATGAGTTGTTAGAGTGCTTCTGTAAATGTAGATATCACCTATCACAATGTTTGGATTTCTATTTACTTTAAATCTTCTTTTCTTTAAGTCGTTATTGTTCCTTTTGGGCAAAATGAAAACCTGGAGATCGTCTGCTCTCACCTCCAGTCATCTTTGGAGAGATTAGAGAGGATGTTCATTTCTTCATCATCTTGTAGGAGTCGATAAGCACTGCTGACATGGTGGTTTTCCAGAACTGCTCGGTCGTTGTACAGCATGGCCGTGTCTGACCTGAAAATCCCACATAGCTACATTGGTCATGCAGCTTGTCCTTTATGCTTTTTTAAATGCATGCAAAGGAAAAAAATACACCAACTTAAATGACAGCAAGAAAGCACAGACAGGATAAGATCTATAAAACAATCCTTACAAGAGGTTGTGCATAACTGACAGCCTTCAAGCCTTTCAAAGTACCCGCTCTTTCATATGCATCCTTAATTTGTAAACCATTGGATCAAATTTAGTGGTGCCCCAATCTTCTTCAAAAACTGCTGCGATTTAAGCTGAAGAAATAATGCTGGCTTAAATTACCTGGTCTGAATGTGAAAGTTATTTGTGGTCCCTGTGTGTTCATAGTCATGGATGGCAGCTGCAAAAATAATCGCGAAGATCTCGAGCTCAGTAAGCCAGTGCTGTGAGAGAAAGAGAGAGAGAGAGAGAGAGAGAGAGAGAGAAAGATGAGAAAACAAACATATGAGTATTTGTAGCTTGCCTTGACTCCTCTATTTTTGCCCCAGACTTTGGGACTTCAATTGGGGGTTTGTTGGGTACCCTACATAACTCCAAACTCACCACCATGCCAGTCTTAAGAAGCAGGTAATGGATGGTCTGTGTAACATCCGCGGCATGGACCAGATTGTGGTATGGATTTTTGTGTTTGCTGTAACCAACCTCCAATGAGTCGGCAAAGGATATGAGAGCAGAGAGCGGGACCTGGAGAACAGAGGTCATCTTATTATTGCAAGACTGTTTTGGGTTAAACAGCAGAGCTCCATTATATTTTATTGACTTCAATCTGGTGGGGTTTTCTTTGAACATACCTTGAAACGATTGATCAAGTCATATCTCGTGAGCAGCTCATACAAGACAAATTTCAGAGCGTGGTCTCCACTGGCCTCATTCAGCGCAAACACATCAAATGACCATGTGTCCACATTCTGCAACAGATGAATACAAACTCGAGTGAGCAAATGATGAACTTTTGGTTTCCAATTCACTCATTTGTCTAAATAAGATGCCAACACACCTTCAGCACAGCGATGACATTTGGGGGATAATTAAGACCGACCATGTTTGAAGTTCTTCTGTACATCCTGAGACAGATACACAATGTCCATGTCAGTTTTAATGCTACATCCTGGTTGCAGTTTAAAAAAAAACAACCTCACAGGCCAGAGTGAAATGAATAAAACAAGTGAACCTCTCCACAAAGATGCCAGCCTGTACTGCGTGGACAATGCTGCGGAAGCGTGGCTTGTCTTCGTTACGGCGCATTAGGCCTCTTTGCCGGGTAAAAGTAGAAGCCAGCCAGTCACGAACCTCTGATGGCACGGAGTCTGACTGGATGTCACCGAGCTCATCCTCTGGATCCAATAGTCGCCTGTTGGGAAAGGCATATGGAATATACATTACCCTTCGAAGCTCGACTGAAGCAGACTGAATTTTGAGCTGTACTTTCATGTATGTCACATTTGCACACATACTGGTGGCTGCAAGATAACTAAAAGATTCTCACCTTGTTTCCTCAACATACAGAGATTCAAGAACTGAGGCAGCATACTCAAGGTTTTTCTTCAGGTCCGCCACAGATGCTTCCCCCCTCTCCAGCTGCTTTACAAGACAACGCAACCTGCAACACAAAACCACCACAACCTCAGCATCCCAACCACATTGTTATGCCCTTTGGGTTGGCTGAGACACAACATGAAAAAGGCCTGTACCCCTCAAGTCCCAATCAGCCATTGAGAATGAATTACATAAAGGGATATTCAGGCGTAAAACTAATTTAGGGTCAAACACACCGTAACACAAAGTTAGACACCCCCTTCTGAGATGAATGTTGACGACCACTTGCTTCTCTAGTTATACCAACTTAAGTTACGAATGCAGATAGCAATACAGAGAGCCAAGCGCTCAACCAAAACACCACTCTATAGCCACAAATAATGCTCAGAACAGCACCTAACTTCATCAACAGTACATATAGGGTCCTAGCCATAGAACTAGCCACCAAACATCTTTTTAACTTTGCCTTATTCTTTAGCAGAGGGACAAAACACAACTCACCTACTCTCTTCCAGCAGCCACTTGTTTGTAGCGAGACCTTGGGCCAGTCCATTACGGACTACAGCGGGGTGACGCAGCTCAAGGAAGAACATTTATGATCATTTCTTCATGGAAATTCAATCAGACCGAGACGCTAAGGCAGAAGAACTACCACGTCTGCAGTGCAAAATGATTAAAATGATGATTATTAATTCATGGAAATGATAAAGAAATGATCATAAATGTTCTTCCTTGAGCTGCGTCACTCCGCAGCAGTCCGTAATGGACTGGCCTGAGGTCTTGCTACAAACAAGCGGCTGCTGGAAGAGAGTAGGTGAGTTGTGTTTAGTCTTTTTGCTAAAGAAATTAGACAAAGTTAAAAAGATGTTTGGTGGCTAGTTCTATGGCTAGGACCCTATATGTACTGTTGATGAAGTTAGGTGCTGTTCTGAGCATTATTTGTGGCTATAGAGTGGTGTTTTGGTTGAGGTTTGTTTATGACTCTTCAGACCACTGTGTATCGCTATCATATGGTCATTACTAAAGTTTGTATGATTAGAGAAGCAAGCAGTCGGCAACATCCATCTCTCGAGGGGGTGTCTAACTTGGTGTCACGATGTGTTTGACCCTAACTTTAATTTTACGCTGGAATATCCCTTTAAAACTGAACAAAATCTGGTTTATTTACTAGAGCATCATAGTACAATCAGTGTTTGGTACATGTATTATCTTTATGTGTATCTGGGACCTGATAGCAGTCTTCTCCATGGCATCAGGTGCATCTGGTCCTGGCAGTTCATCAGCCAGGATCTCCTCATTGCTTCGAGGGTCAAATAGAACTGCTTTGTGCTCATTGATGCCAGCACAGGCTGTGACAGCCGTGCATAATGCATTTTGGGATCGTGAGCCTGCAGGACAGAAAAAAAATCAGCTTGCTTTATGAGCACCCCTCACTTTTTGAGACTCATGACTAACCCTGTTTTAAACCTTTTGATAGTAAGTGATGAAATCCTGCAGTCAGACTCGGTGAAAAGGAGGAACTGCAGTGAACTCACGTGCAAATCGGGCCAGTGGACGGCGCTTGCTTTCCCCGGTCTCATTGGCAACTGTAAAGGAAAAAGTTTTACCTTTTAATAGAAAATAAGAGGAGGGAGTGAGAAAAGTGTGCATATTTGTTGAGGAGGAAAAGAAAGAGGAGAGCAAGAACTGCAGGATGGGAGCAGAACTGGAATCAAACAGAGAGGGATACGATAAACCAAAGGCAGATTATGCTATATGACAGAGGCCACCTCATCAGTGATAATGACCCCCTAAGCTACGCTCCCTGACAACTGACCACACACACCTACACACCTACACACACACACACACACACTCATTTGCACCAGTCAAAATGATGTCATAGTCATTTTCCCTCTCTTCTGGTTTCCATAGAGACAGCAGTCAGTAAACACTTAGACACATACCCAAAAATGTACATGGCCTTCTATTTCTACCAGCACAAGCCTGATTCACAACCCTGTTATCCAAAGTGGATGTCTAACGTTGAATTAAATACAGGACCATTAAAACACAAAATAAAACAATGATTATAAGGAAATATTTGAAATGTCTGCTTTCAGCAATTCAGCGTCAAATCACATAAACAGTTTCGACTTTAAACATCAAGTAGACTCAGATTCAGTCATTGTAGTGGATTAATCTACCTGTTTAATGCTGCTTTGAGAAGCTGTGTGCTTTAGAGGATGGTGGCAGGTGGACTGGTCTCAGAGAAACAAAAACCATTTCTGCTTTTTGTTACCGTGCAACTTTTTCCTCAAGTATTTTGCATTTATTCCAATGCATATAAAAAGGCGGTCCACGCAGCAATCAAAGGCGTCACCCTGTATGCAGCGCTTTGACAAATACTTCTCAGGAGTAATAATCACCAATGTATACACAAAGATGGTTTGTGTTGTGTATTTTGTATTTCTATCTTTGCTAGTGTCAACAGAGTGTGAGATAAAGTGCAGACAACAACACTGCTTATGAGTGGTTAGGTAACATCGAGGACGCCTACTCACAGACAAGGCCCTTTGAGCAGATCTGACCGCAGTGTCATTGAATTGATCCAAACCTATCACCTGTATTTTTTTACTAACCCGACACCAGCAAACAGAGGCGTGTGAAACTGAAACAACATATTTGTGACACACTTTTGAGCTGAAGATATACTGCCATGATAAGACGTTACTTTGGCTTGCACTACAGATGGATTGTTAGATACTATATACAGGGAATAAACTAAAAGAGGAACTCTTTGGGCTCCGACAGCCTGACTGACATACTTTGCCATCATGTTCCTTGTCTGGACAAGAGTTTGACAAGGATTCAAATACTAAAAGTGACCAGCAACCACCACAAAAGGAGCTCTTAAAAACTGCATCCTCAGCTGTACCTAACATACTGCGACGCAGGTGAGAGTGTAATCGAGTAAACTTATACAGACATATTGCCTTTTTTAATTTTTTAACACAGATTATTCAGGATAAGTCAGATCCGTAAGAAATCTCCAAACAGGAAGAGTGACATGTACCTTGAAACTTTGGGGTTGATGGGTAACAAAGAGTCCACATTTTGCTTTTAAAAACCGTGCTTCTCACCCAAAAGTACTCATGCACTTCACCTTACTTTAAAATAAAATGATATTTGATAAATGGTGCTGAGATCAGCTATTTCTACAATGGGGATCATGGGGAGGAGGTTGACTTTTGAAGCAAATGCTGATTTTTAGCCATCATGCACCATGATGTTGAGTGAAATATGATTTTCATCCTTCACCAGTGAAATACAATGAGACCAGAAGAGAAGAAATGGGCGCAGCAGCATGTTTCAAAGACTAAACTGTAACATAAGATGTGCATGCAGAACACAAAACCCTCTTTAGCAGGGGTGAATCCTCTTGAATAAAAACAGTAGATGCGCCACCAATAGAAGAAAATGTCCAACTAGAGTGAGCACCTACAATTCAAACACAATAAACCTTAAGTAAAGAGAACCATCTGTTCTCAGACACAAGCAATCTCTGACTCTCACACACAAATATATAAAGGGCACGCACCCACCCACCCACACACACACACACTCACACACACACACACACACACACACACACACACACATCCTAGCACAATTTAACAAAGAGTCTCTTACCTATGGTGAAGCTGAAGCCATCAATGCTGAAAGTGGCACTCCGACACTTTTTAAATCCCTGCTTTTTAGATGTTGGTTCTGTCATCGTGGGTCTTGATATGCACTCCTCTGCTTGCTGTCTGTCAGTGGATAAGTGTAGAGAGCAAAACACTCCTCCCCAGGAGAGAAGTGAACCCAAAGGCTGTTCCCCTTGAGTGGCTGTTACCTTGGCAGTGCTTCTAATCCCGCTGGAGGCTGATGTGGTGTGGAGCTTTCAGCTGCTGCTGCGTTCAGGAAAAAGGCTGGCTTCCTCCTCAGTGCTCTTCATCCCTCAAGGCCACAGCAAACCTGCACGAGCTCTCACAATAGCAGCTCCCTCACTTAGTCTCTCTTTGCTTCTCTCTCATATCTTCTGCCATCATAGCTGTAAATGATGGGTCTCTTTCCTCTGATATCTGCTGTATGGCCATCTGTCATGCTTTGCTAAAGCCTGTAGGTTATTCTCCTCCTTGATGGCGTCCTCCTTCACTCCTTTCTTGACAATATTTTTTCCTCTTTTCCCCCTATGTATTCCATGGGTATGTCTCAATGATATCAACTGGTCATCCATCACATCCTCAGTCCCTTGTGGCTCATTAACTGAAATGTTTACGTAGCCTTACGAGGTGGTACGATGACCATGCTCACGGCTACAACCTCTACATTTTTTAGAGGACTGTTACAGACTCCTTTAGCAAGGTAAATATTATTGCAGTTTTGGTGTGATAGTGGATCTGAGATGGACAAAGACACCAGTGACTCCTGTTTCCATCCAAGTACCTGGGGGTGTACATGGATGACAAACTAGTCTACAAGAGAGGCCTCAGCTGTCTCTACTTCCTCCAGAGGCTGAGGTCCTTTAACGTCTGCAGGACCACGCTGAGGATGCTCTATGAGTCTGTGGTGGTCAGTGTGATCTTGTTTCCGTAAGGCCAGTGAGCTGAACTCTCTGACGGCGGTGACAGACAGGAGGATGTTGCTGTTGAATGAAATGGTCGTGGGTTCAAATCGAGCTCAGAACAAGTGAAAGTAAAAACAGGGATCTATAAAATTGTAAGCATGCACATTTTCACCATCCACCTGCAATTTCTGGGTCACAACCTAAAAAAAATAAAATAAAAAATAGATTATTTAAAAAAGTTGCTATTAATGCTACATTTATCATTATACACTGAGGTGTTTCTTGTGTTTCTTATCATTACAAGCATGTTAACACCAGCTGATGGTCTCATTCTACCCAAGTCTAGTCTGCCAATTTACGTTGTGATATGTGGTTTTATTATGACCAGGTTGACCTGCATTGTAACTGATTACAAGGTTATGTAGGTGATTAATTTTCATTATAATTCAACTCTATATTTGTCTCATTAACTGAGTAAACACTTTGAGGATGATGTGACATTGGTGCATAAGTGCGCCGTTGTGATTGGCAGGTAATTCTTTGCAACAGTGAGATGATTTAATAATGAATGGCAGCATCTAGTGGTCAAATGTGGTCTTTGAGTGATCAGAGGACTAAAGAAACTACTTATTAAGCGCAGTACATTTAGGGTTTACTTTCCCCTTCTGCTTCCCCCCCCCAGTTGCTAAGGTATAAATTTTGGGGCAGGATGCAACACACTTAGTTTCCAATCTGGTGCTATAAAAAAACATCCTTCCAGTCTTTGTGTAAGACTCTGTCTTTAACATCTTACATCTTTCTTATTGTTTTCTGTTAAAGAAAATTAAACAATTGCCCCAAACACTGATGCTGTCCTTGTAACTGTTACAGGGCTGCAGAGCAGAGGCAGGGAAAGGTGAGCTTCTCTTCTGCTCTATCACAGACGTCCTCTAGGCGTCTCTCTTTACCAGACATCCGTGTCTCTCCCGTTCCTCCTCCTCAGAACTAAATTAAATTTAGGCTCTTTCCTTCTCAGAAAAAAAAGCACATGATCATCTTGTGATTTTTACCTCTTTTTTTCCCCATTTTATGTCTCCACATCACTTCATCTCTGGAGCTGTTTTGGATGTTAGTATTCAGTCAAAAGTGAACTTTATTGGGACAGATTTGGACAGAATGAATCCAACCGGTTGGTTCTTTGCAGTAATCCTGGTTGCTGGCACCTGTGAGCTTTGTTTGGCGGGACCTCTCCATGCTCAGTGTAAAGTTGAATGGTATGTTTTTATTCTTCTGTGAATTTGTACTTTGCTTTCATGTAATTTAGTTAAACCTTTAGATAAGTGCTGTATCGCTTTACCTGCTATTTAATTCTCATGTTAGAAATATATGGACATTTGTGATAGTTTCTGTCACTCTATCTATTCACAGCTTTGTTTTCAAGGATCATAGATTGATTATATTGTCAAGTATGATCAATAAACGTGAAAGTCTCATCACAGAGCATCAGATAGAGGTCATTTCTTTTCAAGCTAGAGCAGGACCTGAAGGTGCTGGACTGGACAGAGACGAGTTTCCCCTTAAAAAAGGCCTTTGACGCAGTTTTTAATAAGCTGAGGTCATCTTGAAAAAGTCTTTTTAAACAACCTGCTATAGTGGAAAAACAGGCTCAATATGACAGATATAACAGAGCTCTTTTTTGTAATCTTTTCTTTATTCTTTGGGCTATAAGAATAAAGGCTATAATGGCAGCCTAAATAGCTTTGTAATACTGCCACTTAAATTCTGCTGTAGAATAAGCAGTGAAAAAAATGATAAAACTCTTCATTTCAGTCATATTTTAATATAGTGAAAGTATAAACTGTGACCAAATGTCCACTAGATGGCATTATTCCACTCATTATTTCTTCACAGCGGTTTACTTTCAATGTCAGACGACTAACAGAGCTCTCACTCACACTCCAAACCTCATTCATTCAGATTATTGTTGTTTCTGCAGGTACTTTGGGATACCATGCCAAGTGGTTTATGAATCGCTTGTCTCTCAGATTAAAAAGTGGAGAACCATGACTGGCTGCAGCATGGGAGGACAGAAGTGCCTATACAAGGTGTGAGTGAGTGTGTGTGTATATATGTTTTGTTTAATTTTCAAACCTAATCAAAGTTCCTGAACACACAAGACTTAAATACAGCTTACTGTATCACATGTTTGGATATTTTGGCAATGCTAAATTTAAATACTGACTAAACTTTTCCCTACCTGAACCATCTTTGCCTCAGACTTCCGATGAATCAATCCTTATTTATGTTGCAACGATTTACAACAAGAGTGATCTTAGCACCTTAACGAAACAACAAAAAAAAAAGGTGATCAAGCTATTGTGAAGATGGGATAAGATTGACCCCTTGTAAGATCATCCCTACTCCCATTCCATATTAAGCCACTTTGCAGCATTTAGCAAGTTCCAGTAGAGAGGACAAACTTCCTTTAACAGGCAGAAACCTCGAGCAGAACCAGACTCATCTTAGACAGTCATCCGCCGCTCTATTGGGTTTAGAGAGGAGATAGAAGAAGATGGTGGACAGAGGTGAGATTGATGCACCAAAGCAGGCAGGTCACTGGCTATTTATTTCTTTTGAACTGATTTTAAGGTTTTATTTGTTACGCTATCGTAGCAAAAAAGCGAACATAACAAGCACAAAGAGAAGACCAGTGTCTGCGACTATCAGTTGGTCCTTAGTCACCCTCAGTAGTGCAGTTTCAGTTCTATAGTGGACTCTGAATCCAGACTGAAAATCCTCAAATGGACGGTTACTTCTGAGACAGACATCGAGCTGATTAGTCTCAAGTCATTCTGAAATAAAGGGGAAGTTTGATATAGACCTATAGTTAACCAAAGTGTCTGAATCTAAGGTTTTTTAAGAAGTTACAGCTACTTTTAAAGACTGGTGAATGTATCCTGTCACTAAGGACTTATTGATGAAGTTCAGTAAAGAAGCTCAACTAACCTAACTACAAAATGAGTAAATATAGATATATATGTAATTTCTAATCCAACATTCTGGTCTCTCTACAGCTGCAGTCTGCTTCTGTCCACTTTATAGCAGCCAAACACACCACTCCCTTCAAAAGACATGTGGACGACATCAATTTCCGGCTGGTCTCCTATCACTTCTTCACTTGCTGTCACGTCTCAGTAGGTTCTCGCACTCCTCTAATTTATTATCTCACAGATACTGAAAAACTGTACTAACCATAGACAGTGGATCTTTTTTAGTCTGAATCTATCTTCTCTTTAAAACACGGCTCATTTTCCTTCTTCTCCTTATTTCTTTTCTTTATTTTTCTATTTCTCACTTTTCTAGAAGTAAACTTTTATTTTTATATCCTACTTTATCTGTCTTTATTAATGCCACTATTATCCTATTGTGGTGTTTGATTATGTGCAAAAAAATTTAAAATGACATATGCAACTGTTGATTCATAGGCTATGTCCATCTCTGAGACCTGGTATGCAATCAGAGATCACGGCACAAACTACTGCAACCTCTACAACCTGATGGAAGGTAAGCTTCAACCAAGACGTCAGGATCCAAACAGTGTTTATTTAAGTTTTACCCATACAGGAAGAGTTTCACCTAACCTCAATGTTAACCAGGAAGTGGCTAAACGCTGATGTTAGTTATGATTTTGTGGGAATATTTAGGTTTATATAACTGTCTGGTTGTTAATTTTACCTGCACAGACCACAGTATAAAGTAAAGCTCTTCTGTTACAGCATGTTGGTGAGTTCACTGTTCCGCTTTAAGAATAAGATAGTATAGTTTTGACATGTCGGTGATTAAACCAGCAAGAAATCTAGAGATCTACTCAGAGGTCAGAGGTCCTGACCTCTCGGCGTGTAAATAGTCACAAAACTCTGCTACTTACAGAGCTCTGAGTTTTGCTGGTATTGATGAAATTGTTGCTCATGAGGCTTTTCACAATCTTTACCACAATCAAATACACACTTTGATGCTCATTTTTCCACATTTCTGCTGGATGTATGTGTTTCATCTAAAATGTGCTCCTCATGCCTGTTTTTATTGTCATTTTTTTTTAACAGGAAGTGGTCTGACTGAAGCCAGAGGTTACAGAGAGGTCACCAGTGACTTCATGTGTACGCAACGCTCTTCTGCTAACTGCACTATCTACTGACCTGTGAGCAGAATAAACATTTAGGGTGATTAGAGTAATCATACAAATGTGAGTTTTGATCCCCAACATGTTCAGATAGTTATGAGATATACTGTATTTGCAGCTTGAGCTAAATAAAAAAGGTAATGGTTGCTTTTACTGCATGTGTTCAGGGGGTTTGTTGTTTCCTTCAGACGTAAAACAACATATTAATCTAAATACATTATCGGTATATTAAGTAAGATTTATTTACATGAGTTTTCTGATATTTAGATTACACATACTCTTTAAAAAGCATTTTCTGACATAGGTTTAATGTTACTATTGTCTAAAAATATGACAAATCCCCAACCAGGAATAACAGCTGCATGTCTCAGATTTTTGATTCTTTCAAAGTAATTAAAGATGGCAATGGAAGTTGGGATTTACAATTAATCAGCTATCTTGTTTTCTATAAGTTATTGCCTTTTATGTTGCTGCTATATTGTGTTATATTTCCATCAACAGCAGAAGTTGTCATGCTCCTTGATGATCACAGTTAGAAACTGTTTTATACTTTTGTCTATAAAGGGCTTATTTTAATATTTTACTTTTTTGATCATGCATCTGCAATATATTTTACTAATATGAAAAAAAAGAGCAATAATCATCCCAAAAACAACATACCAACTACCTTAAAAGATCTAAATGAAGTTTTTATGATCAGAAAGTCATGAATGGGAAGTTTGTCTTTTATGATTTAATAAAGACTTGGGTTGGACCACTGAAGTTTCTGGCTGCTTGTCCTCTTTTTCGACCTTAGTTGATCTTTCACAAAGCTTAAATGTAACCCTAAGTTATTATTGACATGTACAGTACAACATTTGACAGATAGTGAAGCTAATGTTTGATCTTCTGTTCTTGCAACTATGAAGACTTGTTGAGCCTTTCAGGCCGATCTTGTTGCTCCCCTTTCCTGTTTTGATATCACAAGATGACATAAGCTCACATGATGTGGTTTATTGCTCTCCATACTCTCTATTATTACTCCATACTGTACCCTCTACAGTGTGTTATCAAAACATACAGTGTGTGTGAGTCAGTGTCAGTACAATCACAGCATCATATACTATTTGCATACCTCTTTAGCAGACTGTAACAATGTTTGTCCAATGAATTAGATAACAGCAGGAACTTTTTAACACATGATACTCTCAATTGAAACCCTAGTAACTTAATCCTTCTTCTTCACGATCTATAACTGTGTTATTTTAAAGACGCCGATGTCTCCGAGCTTGCCGTTAAAGCCAAATAAAGATTAAAACATAATTTTAGATCTGAAGCCACCAGGTGAAAGTTTAAGCGTGTCTCCTGTCTTTCTTGTTTGTTCTGGACCCTCGGTAAAAACAAAAACCAAAAAAAGAAAAGAGCACAGACCAACAGAGAGCCACTTGGTGTGATAATAGTGGTGGATACCGCTCAGAGGTGAGTCACATTCTGACAAGGGGCATCATTCTTTCTGACACCTTAACCAGTTTTCGCTCTTAAAAATGATGGCAGAGTAAGGAGGGCGGAGGGAGACAAAGAGAGAAAATACACCCTTAGCAGCGTGTGGATTGCAAGGCAGCTTTTATTAAGGGAGCAATATGCTCAGCAGGGCTTTGCCATCCATCATTAGGACCAACCCCCCCAACCATTGTGGCTGGAGTATTGTGGACTTCGCTATATCTTATCCTCGAGGCTGAACAACTGACTTTCGGGCACCTGTAACATCCCAGACAACCTGAGCTGAGTCGAAACAGAATGTCAGCAAGACAACATATGTTACCCCCATGTACAAGAACATTAATTATGATTACAAAATAATAATAATTGTAAATCTGCTGGACTTTATTCTTTCTGGATCAAGGAAGCTGATGTTTCTCCAAAGTCACTATCCAGAGAAAATGTCCCACATTGAAATGCAAAGACACTTCCAGCAGCCAATTAAAATTCTTGATCTTATTATAAGTAACTCCTCTCAAACAAATAGCCAATCATAGTTGGGGATTTCAGGGGCAGCCACGGTGTGATTGGTAAAAAACTTGACAACAAAATTTGTAGCAAAAAGAAATCTCTGATAGATAATGTTGAGACAAATTGGTTGGCTCTAGTTTCATTACTGTTTCTTACCCTTTTCTCTTCTTTCACACTGATGTTTGAAGTATCTTTCTCGAAAAACTATCATGAAACTGAACAAGTTTTCGCTACAACATTGACAGACATGACCCTAAAATGAAACCTCTGTTTTAAGTGCATTTTACAGCTCTGATTCATCATAATTTTAACATAGAGACAGATGGGGATGTATTCTTACAGAACTGCTTCCTGGTAAATATGTAGAAGCGTAAATAAAAGTTAAAGGTGTGAACTTTGCACAAATGTAACTAAAATTTGGAAGTTAGGTAACCCTTAACTGACGCCCATCTCTATAACCCATTATAAATATATGTATAATGTGTTATTATCTCGTTATAGCACTGTATAACTATAGTTATAAACACTCATAAATGATCATAATGCTTTATAGCAATAATCACAACACATTATAAAGCATTTTATCATGACTTAAAAGGTCACTGACAACTCACTGAGAATGCCTATATAGATAATGCAATGCAATAGTTGTTAACAGTTATAACACATTATGATACCTGACCTTGTAAGTCATGATAAAATGCTTTATAATGTGTTATGATTATTGCTATAAGCATAATGATAATTTATGAGTGTTTATAACTATGGTTATACAGTGTTAAAACATGATTATAACACATTAATAATATAGTTATAAGGCGTTATAGAGAGAGGCGTCAAATAAAGTGTTACTGGAAGTTATAATGCCGAATAAAGCCTATTATAATAAGTAACCATGAACAACATTACCTCTTTATTATCACATTATTATTCAATTAACAGCATCATATTACCATTTTTTAAACTGATTATACCTTTTTTTTTAAATTATTTTTAGCATGTTACTAAAATATTACTGTCCCACGACAACATACTCTTTTATCTATTATTTTGTTTCCTCATCTTTGATTTTGGACCATTATCATCCTATTGCTTATACTCCATAATGATTACCAAAATAGAAGCTGTTATATTATAGTAATTACCATGGTGATATGGCATTATTACCCATATATTACCAATCTAATGTCCAGTAATTCCGCACTATTACCATCTTACGCTACTGAAATTTCAGATGTTCTCTATCAAGTCTGGATGTTCTCCAATGCTGAACATCCAGTGTGCTTTAAGGCAGTGGATTATTCAGGAAATGGTCAGTTCACTGTTCACTGAACCAAAGAGCTGTCCGAGACACACCCTGTGAGATCATGACTGTGTGTGGCATTTCACCAGCCTCGTCTCTCAAATTTCCCGTTTGTGCCTCTCCGCTAAATCACATTCAAATTCAAGCGTCTTCTGGAAACTGTTAAAGACAGTCATGTGTGCGAGTTACACAAATGTTCATATAATACTCTGTTACTCTATATTACTTTAAAAGGTTTCACTGTCAGAACCGATTTGTGTCTCATAACTAACTCTTCTCATCAGCCTTACATTGAAAGAGGGCAGTAGGAGCTTTGACTTCAAAATAGCTTTGCCTTTCACAGATCATTTTTAATTGACAGTTTTCTGACTGGCTGACACATTTTATCTGCCCCTTCGGTGTCCGCATATGAATGTATTTCACTCCTCCCCGATCTGTCCAATTTCAGGCCTGCTTTGCATGCGACATGCATTACTGCGCATGTCAATATTGTTTATTCAAGAGTAAATTGCGTACTGTTTTAATATGTCAGTGTTATTGCTGCATGTTTTCTGTTTTCTTTCTTTTTTTTGTTTTGTTTTTGGCACTAGAATTGAATGAGAAAAACCGATTGCCTTTGAAAGTACACACCTTCCCACACAAACTGTCCCCACCGTCTTCCTTTGTTTCTCGCTCTTTCCTCTTTTTCTCTTTCCATCTCTCCCCCTAAATCACCACCATCCTCTCTGTCTCTCTTTAGTTCAAAGGCTGCCAAATCCTTCCCAAACCAATTAGAGTGTATGTACGGTCCTCAGGGGGGGCCTGCGGTGACAGTACAGGGTATAGAGTGGCAAGGGGTCTGAAGAGGCAATCAGTCTGCAGTATTCAACAATATCAGGGAGGAACAACAATAGCAGGCCATAAATCAGAACTGGAACAGTGAATAGACATTGACTTGTTGGATGCAGGGAGACAGAATAGTGGCTGGTTGAGGGGACAGCGAACACACACACAGAAAATAAAGAAAAACACATAAAAATAGAGCGACACCAACAAATGCACAGACGTATGTATCTCTAGGTGTGTGGTGCTAAGTCTTTAAATGGTCATTTCACAGCAAAGACTGTTTCCCCTTCAGTCACAGCCGTTGACTGCTCCTCACAGAACTGTTTTGATTGCCTTGATGGGCCTCCTCTGCTTTCCTCAGGAGCTTTGCACCGGCTACCAATCCCTGCAACCTATCTCAACACAATGCACTTACAAATTCCAGCTTTTCTCTTTCGCTTTAGCTGCAAGGTTGGAAAATCACAGCCTTTTTCTATTTGATCTTTTATCTGCCCTAAGAGGAGACCATCAGCTCATTGATGAACACGCACCAGCAGCGGGAGTTGGCCCATTTCCGGTCCCAGGTGTGTTGTTACAGTTTTAAATGGATTCAAAGCTATTTGTCTTCATATTTCAAAGCTCACTCCATGTGATTTTCATCCTCTTAGTGCTACTTCATCCTATGCTTGGCTTGGGATGAGGCTTTGGCACAACTGGCTGCTTCTTCTAGGCAGTCCACCACCACTCTCACCCTAACCCAAAGCACCCTGTCTTGTTTTGGGCTAATTCTTTATCCTAAAGTCAGACGGGTCAGTCTGTGGTCACAAAGTCCTTGGAGAGACCACCTAAAGGACATCAGTGGACATCGCATTTTACACTGGTCTGCATTGCATCATGCACCAACCCTGGAAAATGAACCAGTGATTGCACCTCAAGGGAAATTTCTGTCAAACTGCTGATGTTTGCAGACATCATTACAGTCATTGGTCCTATATAGTACAGTGACAGTAAGCAGCTAGTCCTCTGATGTGGTCAAAACCATCTGGATCTGAACCAGCTAAAGACTATGGACTTGGCAGCAGACTTTAAGAGAAGCTGCCTCACACTCCATGTCTTGAAATCCTCAAAAGTATCGCATCTGCTGCTGCCAATGTAAACACCTACAAGAATGAAAACGGCAAACTCTTGGGCAAGGTCCCCGAATAAGAGAGCAATCTCTGCTCTTCGTCCCCCACTGCAGCCTCCTATTTTGTATCCTTAAAAAGTTAGAGAATGAAAGCTATATCTCCTACCAGCACAAATCAGATTTTAAGAATAGATATATCTTAGAAAACATTTTGAAGCATGTTGATCATGACTGATTTTTCTCAATGATGAAAAATAACATAAAATACAGAAAACTGGACAAACTTTGTTAACTGAAAAGCTTACCTGCTAACAATAGCAAACAATAACACAATCAAACCTGAACAAGTCTACAAATTCTGACTGTGCGTCTATCAGTTCATTAAAGGCAGCTGTGTTATCGGTTGAATATTTAGTTTGAGCCACTTGAGAGTGGTCAGTGTCTGAGTTTCACTGTAATTGAGCCTTAGGTTTGAGTTTAAAAGACTCCACTTTAAGACTTTTGCAACAGCAGAGACTGTATTACTGAGGATCCTAACTGAGTATGAGTCTGTTTGTTTTGGGTTGTTTTTCTTTTTTTAACACAGCCACCTATGTGTATAACTTATACTCACATCTGCAAGCTATACATTACTTCTTTGACATTTCCTCCTGTATCCTCCACAAATAGACTCTTCACTCATATCTCTATGAGACTCTGAGACTCAAATAGCATTTGTGGCATGTAATCAGCTGCCAACTGAGCAACAGACGGCTATAAGACGTCTAGTTTTTTTTTAAGACCTTTCAACCGACTAGATTCTGTATATTTTTAGATGGAATTTAGACATTGCACTGTTGCCTACTATTCGATAACTATTTATTTCAAAAAGTAACTGTGAGTCGCATAACTGATCTCTAAGGACTTAACCAAAAAGATTATGGTAGCCATTGAGCAATATACAGTGTAGTATGGATATAGCCCAGATCTAGACTTTGTCTAAACTTGGTCTAAATTTAGATGTTTAAAATACTTTCATTTTTAGACCTGTGGTATTCTGATTTTAGACCATTATTAGACCTCTTTTAAACCAAAAAAAAAAAGAAAATGCTCAGTGGGTGGCCTGTCTGGAAGTTGTATACTCAGTTTATTTCCTAAGTTGTTTTATTTTGTGGATGATATTATTAAATCACAGTAAATTAAACATTTATCTAGCATTTTTCTACCTTATTTTCAACCGCTACCTCAAAGAAACAAACTCAACTACAAAAGGCTGCAGTATTATATTTGGAAACAGTTTTTTAACAGTGTCTAAAACTGTTGGAGACATAGAAAAGAAAACACAAAGAAAGCAACCTGTGATCAAAACTGGTGAAATCTGCATCTGAGTAAACAGACTTGAAAATCACGGATGTTTATTTTCAGCAAAAATAAGAAAATGATTCAGCCGAGTCTGGACTCATTGTTCAGAGGTCCTTCAGTGGCTGATAAGCAGTGAAGCTGGATCCAGCAGGTTCCCTGCAGCTCTACTCTGATCTATCAGTCAACCCTCACCAAGCTCATTAATCCTGACAGAACACGAGTTCGGCCAAGGAGGGCAGGAAGAGAGGAAGAAGTTCCACTATAACCTCGCCTATGTCTTCACAGCAACTTGGTGGATACCACCTTTGTGACTTTCTGAGTGACACTGTACAGGATCGCAAGACAACCAAATACACTTGTTAAGATGTTGTGTTGGGAAACATGTACTATTGCCTGTACGAGTACACATCACTGCTGCCTCACATGTTATCTTACTTTAAACCTGAGAAGAAAATAGGAAAGTAGTTCTTGTTGTTCAGAGAAATGAGTCGTAAACCGCAGAAGATTTCTGCGACTCATAAACTAATGCGGTTTGTTTTATCTTCATTTGATTTTGTTCTCATGTTGAGAAAATGATTTAATAATAATATGTAATCTAGTTCAATCACAGACACACTTTGGCATTAATTTAGACCTCATTTGATTTTAGGCAAATGACAGCAGAGTGGCCAA